TCACTCTCCCTGCTGTCCTGCCACATGCCCACATCCTGCTGCTCGTTCTGGCTGTGGTCCTGTCCCTTGGCCTTGTCGTTGTCGCTCTGCCACGAGCTGGCATTGAAGTCACTGTCTTTGTGGTCCTGCCACGTGCCAGCTCTGGCGTCCTTCTCACTCTTGTCGTTGCGGTTCTGCCACGTGCCCTCATAGTCCCTCCGGTTGTGGTCCTGCCACGCGGCGTCATCACCCTCACAGTCCTGGAACATGTCCTGGTCATTCTTGGTGTGGTCCTCCTCTTGCCGCTTTTTGTTGTAGTCACTCTCGAGAGACGGGAGCGACCAGGACGTGACGGTGTCGTTGCTGTTCAGGGTGTCACCCGCCTCGTCGACGTGCTGCCACGATGAGGAGGCTTGCCATTGTTCACCCTCGTTGTCCTTGGCTATTGATTCTACTCAGAATCGAGTTTCACAACTTTAAGTGACATCATTGCCATGCTCACAGCAATCGAGCATCTTTGTCAGACCCCTGGCATGCCATTTTGCTCGTTGATCCTGAGCTAACGATGCAGCACAAAAGACAATGCGAGAATCACTCGACGACTACAGTGACAGTGACTAGTTGTGGGATCAGCGGCTCTCTCAGGGCTTCCTTCGCGATTTTGATCGTCCAGCTGGAGGGGTCCGCCTTGTCGGTGTTCCTCAAGTGGTACAAGAGGTCACTCGTCGCCTCCGGGTTCACGGCGTGCAGCAAAAACAGCACCTGGCGGCTTAGCAAGTTTGATTCGTGGTAATTACATGAGCAGGTCACACTCTGGGGCAACGGTCCCAAACAAACCGTCCTGCTGCGAACCGCGATCGAGGTGTCGCCCGGCGACGGCAGCAAAATTGCCAGGTAAGTAGCGCAGGCACACGGAGCTGTCTGTGCCGGTGCCGGCCATCCACAACGCCGAGGGTCACACTCACTGAACACGACGTGACTAGTTTGATGCCTCCGGCTGTCTTGTCACTGTCAGTCTGTCGCTCTGGAATCACATGGTCTGTTGATCTGCTGACATGGATGCATGCAGTGTAGCCTCTACGTGGCCTACCAACAGGCAAGCCTGGGCCAGATCTGCAGACTCGCTCACACTGGCTGGCTGACATTCAGCTTGCAGCAACTCACTCACTGATCAGTCAATGGTCCGCATGCCGATGCAAACTCAGAAGGGGGGAAGCACCTTCACATCATCTGGCCCCGGTGGCGGCTGCACACGTCCTGGCCGGGAGCTGGCTGTTCACACCCAGGTCGCACCGTCACTCTAAGAATTATACACACAGGCCAGTTCGCACCCAGGTCGCACCCTCACTGTCACTCTATTAAAAGCCAGCTCGCACCCAGGTCGCAAGGTCACTCTCAGTCACACAGAGGCCAGTTCGCACCCAGGTCGCACCCTCACTGTCACTCTTATAAAAGGCCAGCTCACACCCAGGTCGCAAGGTCACTCTCAGTCAGTCAATTATTCTACACACAGGCCAGTTCGCACCCAGGTCGCACCCTCACTGTCAAGGACCCTCACTCTGAGCTCCGGCCGCGCCTCGCAGCTGGAAGTTGGAACCATGCCTGGGCTGAGCACAAGTCCGCAAACGGATCAATCTGAACAACTTAGATCTTACACATGTCAAACTGCTCTCTCTGACTGCACTGCGTTCCTTATTTTTCAAACACCGTCAGCGGCGATGAAGATTGCCTGACTGAGCGTCCAGTGACACGGACTCACACTCACATTGATACCGAGGCCCTGAAATCTCTGACTCACTGGGTAGCTGGGTAAAGTGCTGGTAGCATATGACAATGACAATGACGATTACGCGATATCATTGCTTTCATGGATTGTGAGTCATGTCACTGTCACTCTTAGGTTTTTTATACACACTCGCGCTCCATCCTTGTAGGACTCGCTGCCGGTCAAGCTCTCTCACGTTCGCCTGACTCTCCTCGAGCTGCTTTTTCAGCTCATCAATCTTACGGGCGTGCTTCTCACAAGTCACCCTCATCTTCTCCCTGAGCGAGCGATCGGCCTTCTTCTCCACATCCCAGTCCGCCTCCTTATCCGCGAGCCTTTTCTTGGTCACCCTCAACCCCTCCTCGCTGTCCTGCAGGTGCCTCTTCACCCTCGTCAACGCTTCGCTTAGCTCGCCGTAGGCCTTGTCGCGCTCACACTCCCTGATGGCCATCTTCTTGGCGTGCTCGTTCTTCAGGTCCTCGATGCTGTGACTTGTCACATTAACAGTAGTACCTTAATACCCATTAATAATGTTAAATGTATTTGTTAGACATTTGTTAAAAATAACATCAATAATACACGACAAAGAGTGCCATCAACTCGGTCCTGGATGTCACTCGCACACCTTTTTGTAAGGGCGGCCATGTCACCCTCTATCTTCGCCTTCTCGGCCGCCCATTTGGCCTTGTCACTCTCGTGACGATCCTGGCGGGAGAAACACTCAAGTAAGGTCTACATTCCTATTATTGATAATTTAATGTATAATAATGTAATAATGTTAAATTGTTTAATAAACTATTTAATTAAATTACATTTAATAATATTATTTGACATTATCTATTTCATCTGACTCCAGCCTCCGCTCGTTTGATCTCACCCTCAAGGCGGTCGATCATCTTCTGGGAGCTCGCGTACATGGAGCCCCGAAAGGCTTGCGTGGTGCTCCTGCTTTTTGGATCGATTTCGTGACTGCTAAGTTAATTCATTTAAGTTTTAATAAAAGTTCAACCCCGAACAATATTTTATGTCAGCTCAGTCCTTCCACGACCACTGGCATCACTCTCACCCTCACCAGTGGCGGGCTTGGCCTTGTTCTTGCCGCCGCCTTTCGTCACACTGAAAACCTTCCCTTGGGGGCCTTTCACCGTCATGGCTTGCGGAATGCTGGCTTTCGGCATGCTGGCTTTCGCAGTGGAGCCATCGTCGGCCATGGCCATGGCTGAAATCTCACTCTGGGAGCTTAGTGGCTTAGTAGTCGTCCGTGGCATCCGATGATCCATGTCACTCTTGAAAGGACTACCTGCTTCGTGGGGCAATGAGAAGCTAAGCCGCTGAAAACTGCAGTGCATGCAGGGAGGCTGCTTCGCATGCGGCGATTCAACTCCAAGGCAGGTCAGCACTGCAGAATGACGACTAGCTTGATGCTGCCAGGTTGCCACCAGTCACGGTCACGCTGCTGGCAGCGGCGATGGTCGGGCCTGAGGAAACGGTTAAATTACATAGGTTAAGGGCCAGAGGTAGTTGAATTTCCAATTATAATTGGAAATTCGACTACCTCTGGCCCTGGCTCACACTGGCATCACTGGCTGCTGCAATCACTTGAATCTTGAACTGACAGGCGGCTTCACTCGGCTTCAGCGCACGACATGCACAGCAACCCTTCGTCCTGAATGCCCCTCACGCTCTTCACCCGTCACGCTGCCCCCCCATGCCCCCGGCGGCGAATGGTTCGTGCCGTTATCTTCACTCGTCACTCTCCCCTCAAAACCCTCCTGCAGCTCGTGCCGCTCTTTCCACTGACTGACTCACTCTCCCCTCGATTTTTGCTGCCGCCCTCTTCAATGGACTCTGCCCCCGAACCCCCCTGCAGCGAATGGTTCGTGCCGCTCTCCACTTTCTGCCACTCTCTTCACGTCACTCACTCTCGCCCGAACCCCCTGCAAATGGTTCATGCCACTCGCGCCCCCCCCAATCCTCCCTGCTGCCGCTCTCTTCAACTCACTCTGCCCCCAAACCCCCCGGCGGCGAATGGTTCGTGCCGCTCTCGTCACTCACTCTCCCCTCGAACCCTCCTGCTCTCTTCACCTCCCCTCGAACCACGGACTCCCCCCGAACCGTTTGCGGCGAATGGTTCATGCCGCTCCCTCCCCCCCGAACCCTCCTGCTGTCGCTCTCCTCGCTCACTCTCCCCCTGTCCCCCCCTGCGGCGAATGGTTCCTGCCGCTCTCTTCACCCTCACACTGCCCGCTCACTCTCCCCCTGTCCCCCCCTGCGGCGAATGGTTCCTGCCGCTCTCTTCACCCTCACACTGCCCCCTGAACCTCCCCGACGAACACTCTAGGCGCCCGGCCATGGCATGTAGATGAACGCCAGGTTGTGCTCACTCTGAAGCTGGGATTAGCAGAGGGTAATTTTAAATTAGGGTCTCGGGTATATTGGGCCCAGTATGAAGTTAAGGGTTCTTAAGGTCACGATGGTCACTTAGGGATCAGTTCTTAAGGTCACGATGGTCACTGAGGGATCATGTCAGGGTTGTCACGGTCACGACAGGTAGGGTTTTCAGGATGACCGTAGTAAGTTTGAGCACAACGCCTTATCGGGAGGCATCAAACCCCAGCACACCGAAAAATTAAAAAGTTTCCGAAAGCGCCACCCAGAATACATGTAGATACACAGATGGATAGATAGACAGATCGATGGATGGATGGATGGACGGCCGGATGAGACAATGGAAAGATAGACTGATAGGTTGATGCACGCTGGGACGCATGGATAAGTAATCTGACAGACAGACAGACAGACAGACGGACAGACAGTCAAGTTCGAGACTTCTCGTTGTGCTTGTAAGCGGAAGAGAGAGTGTGTTCTAAAATTTTGTAGGCGCGGAGGTTGAAGCTTGGGAGGGGGTACCCCGCCACCACTCCCCCCCGCCCCACAAAGATCAGCCCCTCCGCCCTCCCCCCCAAACAAAGGCAACCTCAGTGGTGGTATGTCCCCCCTGCCTTCGTCGGAGCAGTAGGGGGTTGGTAACTTACCACGGGCGACCTATCATGTCGGGGTGGCCGAGGATGCGAGAGGGTGGGTGTGATCTGTGATCTTTTCTATATATCCATCTATATATATATATATATATGTATATCTATATATAGATAGTTATATACACACTAGATATACACCCACACATACCTGCGTTTACGAAGTGTCTAATGCTTAGACCTAACAATTACCGAAGTAACAGATGTCGAAGGCAAGACACATGTGGAAGTAGTGCCAAAGCACGGAACCGGCTGATTTCTGTAAAGCCTCATAGCAGGCAGCAGGATCCGATGGACGTGGGATCAGCGTCAACACGAAAAGATGCGCAGCAATCGCAGCACAAACAGGAGTGACAATTCACAGGCCAGGATGCTCAAGGATTTCTGCGATGCCTCGATTTTAGGCGAAAGCACATCATGAGGGTTCACAGGGGCACAAGCAACGTGCAAGTATGCACGTCTGCACGGTTAGAGCGAAAATCCTGCACCAAGTGCATTATTTCCCTGGAACTACACACTTGCGACCGCCTCGCCGACTCCAGCTGCAAGCGAGCAGCATCCATGATGACAAGTCTGGCGAATTGAATGCCTTGTGCCCGCGCCTGGTGCAGCTGTGTGCAGGCAGGCTAAACAGCGCATACAGAAGCCGAGACGAGATGATGCAAGCTGGAGTGTGCCAGCTTCCACGCATTTAGTTCTGTTAATATTGATGAAGTCATGCCACCTTGATTTGCACTTAGCCCTTGATCGTTCCCCCGTGTGCAATTTACACTCTCTTACTACTGTTCAGTCCCGGCCACCCCTAATCGTTTTTCATGATAGGTAGTGTCATAGGTCAGCATGTTCTCCTTGAGGTACTAAGTCAGAACGTGATGACTGGGGAAAGTTATAAAATCAACCACGCCTCGGCAGTCAGCATTTGCAGGATGCGGATGAAGCCAGGCGCACCGGGAAGTCGGAATCGAAAAAAAAGCACGTCCTCGGATTTTTTGGCTTGGCAAGACAGCTTCTGAGAATCTCCAGCAAATTTCACTAGTGGAGCAGGGTGTCAGAAGACGCCGGCGCATATTGAGCTGAAGCAGCCACATGCAAAGACAAGGCAGGCACGTAGGGCGGTCGAATGCCTGGCATGGGCAGAAAAACAGTCACTACAGCATGTAGCAGCTCCCTTCCTGTCAATCGAGGCGCCGCTCTGATAGTTCAGCATTTGCGCCGAAATGGTGGCCGCCGCGCTCAGTCGTCCCTGACCGTTCGGCCAAAGAAGACACAAATGACGAACGGGAGTCACTTGGACAAGCATGCAGCCTGCTTCAGAAGGTCTGCTCCAAGTGCCCGCACCAGCGGCCAAAAGGCTGGGAGCTCCTGCTTTAGCGCTGAACGGTGAAAGTACAGAGCACAGTGTTAAGTCCGCGAAGTCACCTCTTCGCCAAAGACGTGAGCAAAGGCGTGGAGCAAGCACCTCGCTCGTCTGCGGAAGCGAACACGTGGAAGATGCCGTCTGCTGCTTTCTGGCACGTTCTACCAAGTGGCATACTTACACGAACCAGCAAATGGCCGGAACCCACAGCAGCATGAAGCCTCGGCTCTTCGACAACGAGCCCACAGGAACTAACGACGCTCCTTTCGCCCTGCTACCGAGGGGCAGTACACAAAGCCAGAGCGGCTCGCAGCAGATTTGCAGCCCTGATCGGACATCATATGCGTTTCTTTCAGCACCGCCGGCAAACTGCCACGTATGTGGGCGGCTGCCAACTTTCACCCGCTTCTGACTTGCTTCCGGGCCACGACTTCGCCGAAGCAGCGGCTCGCGCTTCGCGAATCCACGAAGTGCTGAAACAGCAGCTGCGACCTGCACCACAACTCCAGCCCTACACGCAGAAGCTGTCAAGCCGACCTTCTCTGAGGTTCTACTTGCACAAGAATACATCTGTACCCTTATGATGCCGATCCCGCCCTGTCTCTTCACCTTATACACATGTATCCACATCCCAAACCGTCCCGACGAGACGAAGCATGTGTCATGGCTGAAACTGGTCTTGGCAAGAATCTGTCCAACCAGGGAGGCCGTCGGTGCGGCCTTAGATCCGCCCCAGAGCACCGGAACATGTCCTGGACCCGGTAAGCGTACAAAAGAGGGCTTGTGCCTCGAGATATTGTGAGCGGCTCGCCCCAGAACCTCCAGCTGGGAGCGCATGCGAGCAATGCATCGTCAATGTCATCTCTTGTCGTAGAATGCCAGGCAAGACAACATCGGCAGAAGAGCGGCTCCTCCCAAGAGATGCGAAGCGTCGCACGCAAAGCGTCGCCCTCTTTGGTGCCTCAGCCAGCTTCAGACCATGTCCTGGATTCCTGCAGCATCCGTGCAGCAGTCTGTCTAGCTCTCTCTTGTCTTTCATTTTTCTTTCCATAAGCTCAAGGGACAGGGTAGGCCATGTAGGCCCTGCCGCCCCGCCCCGGCCTGACGGGCCCGCTTCGCCAGTCGACTTCGGCACTGAAACCACGAAGAGATTCAACTACTAGCAATGGGTCATGGGTTTCTAGATTGACTCAGGCCAAGCGCAGCAAACCCCACTCACATCGAGCGCCATAGTTCACTCTTCCGGGGACCAAGTTGGTGCAGCCCGGGGGCGGTGCTGTCCAGAAGGTAGTGCTCCCATTCGCGGGTGCGAGCCATCTGTTTCTGTGCCCGGTAGGCTCGCCAATCCTTAATTTTTGCTGGCAGCCTCGTTGAGTTTGGTGTGCCAACGTTTGAGCTCCTGGCGGTGAAGGTTTTGTACCTCTTTCCATGCGCGCCTTCTGTCGATGCCCGGCGGAATGGTTTGTGCCGCCCTCCGCTTGCGTTTGAGGTCGGCGCTCTCGTCAAACTTGTCCATTGCTCTGCCCGGGTTTGTCATGTCCCTGCAGATCGCCGCAATGGCGTGGTGCTGGTCCCCCTGGTAGTAGATCTTGGCAAGGGTGTCGAAGTTTTTGGAGAGGTGTCTGGGCCCCCCATGCTTGCGGTAGGTCTTGTCGGCAGTGGCGTGTGGGAGGGTGCCAATAATGGGCTCATGGTCCGAGTGTGCTCGGTCTCGGTGTTCTCCCACATGTACTTCTTGGAGGTGTACTCCCTTCGTGGTCAAGTAGTCCAGTCGGCGAGGGCGTTGGCCCGAGTAAGGAAAGTGCGATGGTTTGTGTAGTTGTTGTTCTGGGAACTTGCAGGGGATGCCGGCAATCCAGTCAAAGATGATGTCCCCTCTTCCAGAGGAGCCGTTGGGAAACGCTGGTGTGGTGTCGCTGCAGGAGAAAACCTCGTTGGCGTCCAAACCGATAATGACCTTGTGTTGCCGCAAAGCTTCGCACTGCAACCAGTCTGCCAAGATTGTTGATGTTTCGTCCATGGTGGCATGGTGCGGCACATGGCCGCAAAGTACTCCCCATTTGTGTGCGCCACGGGTAAGGACGACAGAGCTGCCTCTCGGGTGGATGGTGGCTTTGTGGTGGTTGTAGTCTTTAAAGGCAATGGCGGTTCCTCTCCACTCTCCTGCCTTTTTTCCGCTAACCAAGGTCCATGTGCCATCGTCCTCAAAGAAGATGCCTGCCTCCGCGATTATTTCTTGGAGCAGGACCACGGTCAGCTGGCAGAGTGGCGGGTTGCCCGCAGAAAAGGATGTGTGCCCCTTGAAGGCCTTCAGGAATTCCATCACCTTTGGTGGCGTCATTCCCCCAGCGTTCCAAGTAGCAACCAGTGCGTGCCCCTTGGTATCTTTTGTCTCCAGGGGGTGAAACGAGTCGCCCATGTTCTGGGCTTCTGCCGCGAATCACTTGAGTGCACTGGCAAGCTGGTGCCAGTGAGTTTTGACCGCCTCCAGGTTGTGGTGGATCTTGTTGGCAATGGTGCGCAAGTCGATCCACCCTTGCGTGCCGGTCGTCGTGGAGTCTGCTGGTGCGCCTGCGTCTGTGGCTGATGCCACTCTGGTCGACTTGTACCACACCTGTCCCGTCGAGTACTCTGTGTCTACGTCCTGTGCCAACGCACCCAACTCCATGAGCAGCCGTTTGCATTTAGCTGCGACTTGTACCTTGCGTCTCTTCTCGGGCGGCTGCGAGACATTGAGCCAGAGTTTGGCTGGTGCTCCGTCTTGACGGGTGCCAACTGTAATGTTGGCATTCTTGACGTGGCGGATGCAATTTTGTACCCGAGATCTTTGGTCCGCTTCGGTCTCGTTGTCTTTCTTGTGCAGCGGAATGATGCAGTATCCGCGTCGGACGCCAGGCACGAAAGCGTCTTTGCAATCAAGGTCCAGGCGCAATGTGTCCACCAGCTTGGTAACTTGTTCCACCACTTTGTCTGCCTCCGTGTCAGGGTGGAAGCCCCCCATGATAGGGCGGGTGCCCTGGGTGGTTCTCCTTGGTGCAGCGCGGTGCCGCCTTGTTCCAACTTAGTGATCCGGGCCTCGATGCTTTCCATCCTGTCCTGGACTTGGGCCACTTTTTCTTTGTTCGCCTCCCAGTGGATCTTCAAGGTGGCCTCGGCGAGTTGCGTCTGAACATTTTGCTCAAAGGTGCCCACTCTCTCGTTCATTTGTCCCACTGCTAGGGAGAGTTCCCCTCGAAAAAGATCACGAAGGGCTTCCAAGGTAACTCCATTGTTGGCGTCGGTTCTGCCGCGCTTGGGGGGGCTCATGTCCAGGAGGTCGAAGCCATCCCCTGTAGCAGTGGATGCCCCCGGCGAGGTCGGGTCCAAGTTCATAGGCATGCCGGCGCCTGTTGCAGGTGTTGGTCCTGCAATGTTCCCTCCTGGCGCGGGTGCGCCCGCCATCATAGGTGTCGAGTGCATTCTCGGTGGCGATGCCCAAGTCACGATCACTGAGGTCAGGTAAGGGATCACCCAGCGGAGAGGAACGGGTGCAGCGACGAGGCCGGGTATAGCACCTGTAGGTTCGCCGAATGCAGTCAAGTAGCGGGTCAGCAAGTCCCTAAGGGTCACGGCAGCAGCGGGCGCCCTCGGGCTGCGATGCACACCTATCTCCTCCTCGGAAGCGGTGTGCTTCTTCAGGGGGGTAGATGCCCTCGTTATAGTACAGCAATGGTGAGGCAGAGCGCTCAGGTTCGGAGGAGACGCCCGGGTTTCGACTTGAGCCAAAATGCGCTCTCTTTCTCTCTCTCTCTCTCTCTCTGCCTTCGCGGCGCTGATCGAGCACATGGTAGCCAAGACTCCTTCAAGCGCCCAGAGATAGGTGAAGAAGTGGCCTTCCTCCACCTCCGATTTTGCAGTCATCCGAGCGCTCAAGGGCAAACAAAGCAAGACCTGGAGCAACTGCTGCAAGTCCCATGATGCGACATTCTTGCCTCCACCGTGGAATCCTGGTAGTCACTGCCGCAAGCCTCCTAGCAAGTTGAAAACATCAGGAACAAATACAGGCGAACAGCTTGCCCGGGATGGAACCCCACTCGTGCCGACATGCAGCTATATTTCTTTGCTGTGGGAATCACTTTATACACCTTGATTTTCGCGAATCCCGTCCCGTTCAGCTTGCAAGCCTTAAAAAGCGGTTGATGTGTGCCTTGACTTTGACGTTATCAGCACCTGTCGTCTGGCGTAGGCCGGTGAATTTAAATCGCAGTGTGAACATTGGCTCCTTCAATGCAGCGCGGGCAGTGCTCAAGTGGTCCAAGTTCACCTCGCACTGGCTCCCTCGACTTCTGCAGCTACCACACCCAGCACGACTATTCCTTGGGTCATGTGGCTGGCCCATGCTCTCCAATCAGCGCGATGGGAATTCGTGAGCGGCCAGCGCAGAGTCCAGAAAAATCCGGCCCTGCACAATGTACAGTGGAGAAGCGAGTGCTGGGTCTGAAGGAACGACGATATGTCTTGTGCAGCATGCAGCTCTCGCAAATCTTGGGGAGGCTTCGAATCTGGCAGGGCACCAGCCGCTTTAGAATTCGCATACCACAGGCACCAGTCGCATACCAAATGCACCACGAGAGCTGAAGCTATTCGAGGCTTGCGCGGCAGTGCGTCGCCTGATGCTTCCAGCGTCATCAAACTCGTGGAATCCTTCGTAGGGCCATTGCTCCGAGACATAACGAGGATTTGTCTTGTGTCGGAGGGACACGGAAGCGCAGCACATTTGACACCACATCCAATTTTACATGCAATGGGTCTCCTCGTGCCAAGCTGTCAGTCTTGGAGGTGGCACAGGATGACGAGAGCAATAGTCCTGACCACATATGACATATCTGACTCGTTGTGTTCACAGCGGGACCGCCATTTACGTGCGATATCTCTTAAGCCCCTGGGCGAGGGCAAGCCGATGCTAAAGGTGGCACCTGCGACACGTTGCACCTGTGAAGTATCTAGTACCTCTATGATTACCCGAAAGTTGAAATCGACGGACATCCTCGTAGCGTGGATAGTACACACCCGGCTCCGTGTTGATGTTCACAGCCTCATAGCTAAAGCTGGCTGCTGTTGACGGGTGCTTTGGAAAAAGGCGCAAAGAACAAACGGGTAAACCTATGATTCGTCCAAGTGACAATGTCCGTTGATGTCAAGCCCCAGTTGGCCTTAGAAGGGTCTGTCCATGGACTGGGGCTGGTTCTACATGAACCAAGTGGAGACAGAAGATGAAATTTCTGCCAATGGTAGTCCTTCTCAAGCCATGGCGGTGATTTCAAAATGGGCCAATGCTTCATTGCTTCACTCCCAGTCACCGTCAATGCAGCCAACTGTGGCCCGGCAGAAGCAGGTCACCTGCTGCGCTCTCAGATATTTATGTTGCTGACGGGGTTCGGACTCGGAGTGGTCGAGGACGTAGTTTGGCACAGAATAGATCGAGCCGAAGGCATTTAGCATCGCCTCCTTCGAGGAATATCGCTTCGCTTGCAGATAAGCTTCCCAAGCAGGACTGGCATTGGCAGCAGGAAGCTAAACTCACCAAGTGCCCACAATGTGCTCCCAATGTTTCATAGCTGGGATTTGCATGTATCCATTGGAAGCATGCATCAATGCTCTCAGCCCGGTGCCCAGTACTGTTTCAGTGTCTCTGGATCCAGTTGGGCCCGCACCTTATTCCTCAGCTGCAAGTGTTTTCCGCAAATCCCACGTCTGTGGTACCAAACATGTATATGTCGTCGACTTGCTTGTGTTGTGCGACTCAGTAACCCAGTGCATATATATATATATATATATATATATACATATATATATATATATGCGCACACACGTATCTGCAACCTTCTGGGGCGAAGCTCGCGAGGAAAATGACATACTGCACGAGCACAAAGCCCACCGGGCAGGCCAAAAATCCTGCAAACTCCTCCGGCCCCCATTTCCTGAGCACCAGCGAACGTGCAACATCTAGGATGCTGATGCCGGCTCTGGAGGTTAAAGTTTAGGAGCTAGAATCTATAATCTATGAATGAGGAAGTCCTGAAGAAGTTTAGAAAAGTCGTTTCAAACAAGTCTTGCGACACACTTGCTTGAACATATCTTGCGGAGGGCAGTCCGTTGTGTAGAGAAGAGATCACGGCTTGCAACAAGCAGAGGACAACACTTCCGTGAAGCAACACCACGAACGGTCCATGCATCAGCAACAGTTGGTAAGGACCAAGTGAAACCTCAATTCGTCTCGTCTAGATCGCGTGTGCCAACAGCTGGCCAAAGAGAAAGAGGGCTGAGGTGGATGGCTGGAGACCACAGAAAACACATGCGATACTTGTCGGAACCTTTTCGAGACCTTTAGTGATAGCTGAGGGGGGAGCAACAGAAGTCGTCCTTTCGGTGGCACTGCCGCAGCAGCACCAAAGTCACCAGTAGCAGGTTCCGCAGGACTGAATAAGATTTCTGTTTCCACTGTTTCAGCGGAAAGTCTCGAACACCTCTGTCTCTCCAAAGTTAAGTAATTTCCATATTGACACTTCTTAGAGCATCATGGGATTTGGTAACTAGGGTTATAGTCTTGCGGAGACGCCACCCCACACGCAGCGGCAACGAGATTTGCAACGAAAGCGTTAGGGCCGAGCCCAGCTTCGGCGGATCATCGAAGAGCTGGGAGAAGTGCGCCTGGCTCGCGGCATTCGGTGTCGCATTAATCTTCCGTGCACTTGCAAGGATGTATGGGGCAGAAGGACTCTTTCTCAGGACAGTCCAAGCACTGCCTTCTGAAGCACCAGCGGTAGGTCGATCAGATCCGCGATTCGTGTTTCAACTGCTGAGCCGTTCCTGGTAGCACAAGGTGCTGGGGCTGCCATGACGAACCCCTTCGCACCACAATTACAGCTTCAGCACCTGTCTCTACACCACCCGTATAATAATACATGCATCAGAAGCACGCGAAGGTGAGGCCGGGAACGGTCTTAGCACAGCCACCGCAATCACCCGCAAATCATTACCGACAAAACAACTTTGACCTGGTGCCATGCCACTTGGACGCAAGCCATCGTGGATCTTCATGGATGCATTCAGCCGGGAGCTAGAGATTGAGAGAGATCCAAGAGCTAAGGAGAGCCGGTGGAGGTGAAGCTCTGAGAAGTTTAGGAGCTTCGTCCTGGGAGGTGCCTCTCATGCCTCCCTAGCAAGCATGATACCCCGGATACCCCCCTTTGATTGTCGAAATTCATGCTCGCTGATGCAAACTCATGATCACCTTCATCCATATCCTTCGTTGGCTCTGGGGCTCATGGGAGAGGTGATTCGACCGTTGTGCTCGCCGCTCGTTCCGGTGCAGCACTTTTAGAAAGCCTGCTCAAGCCTCGCAAGACAGGAGCGGCGTGATGAGCCGAGTGCAGACCGGGGGATGAAACGATTTGAGGCCTGGCAATGGAAGATGACACTCGCCTCACTGTGACCGTTAGTGCACGAACATGTGGGAATGCCGAGAAAAATGGCACACTCGCTCTCTCGCTGTTGGTGATTCTGTCAGGCTGCCATGATCATCTCGCCTCCGCTGTCCCGCCGACGGAAGAGATCTTCCTGCTGAGAACTGAGTCTAAGCCCCCGAGCAAGCAATGCCAGCTTTCGACGTGATACAATTGATTCACCATGAGCGACAGCACAATCCAAAAACTCCTGGAAGTTTTCATAGTCCGTCCATTTCCTCTCCAGGCAGTTTCCCTTCGCTTGCTCCTTTTCGCAATGATTTTGACAGCGTCAGGCCTCACGGCCAGCTGAAGCGTGGTCTCACCAAACACCTTGTTGGTCCCGCACTGACGCCTTTGGTGTGTGCGAGCCCCTTAAGCAAGACGAGCGGCACCCTCGGTGAGGAGAGCTTGCCGAAACACTGGCCAGAAGCCGTGGTCTTGGCCAAGGCCTTCCTTCGGAACAGGCGAACGCTTACAGCTCAGAGCAGCGGAGGTAGGACAATCGTAAAAAACATCCCAGCAGCGGGCCCGCGCTGCTATGGCTTTCGACTCTCCCAAGTGGGTGAGCCCGGGCTTGCTTGAGACAAAACAGGCCCTGTCTGCCCACCGCCCACCGATTCATCGACAGCAAGTAACAGCAAGCCAAGCGTCGCAATCCAAGAATGCCGCAGCCCTCCTGGCAAGAGCTGGGGCTATTGGCTTCGCTGCTCTGTAGGAGCAAACTGTAAAACATGCGTGTGCTTCATCATTTAATTGCCATCATAGTTGATGCCACGAAACGTGGAAACTTGAGGTGGTAAAATAAGTAAGCGAGTCATCCGAAGCTTGACTGAACCGCCCACTGGCGACTCACTGGTGTTCGGTCCAAGTGGCTCCGGCGTTGGCGGATCTGCATCCTGTCGGGGGGGGGGGGGGGGGGCAAACTATATGTGGTTCCGAGTCCATGCACTCCCACTCACCAAACAATGCTTGCACGTCCTTGAGCCAAGACTGCTCGTCGAAACTGCCTGAGAGCAGCAATTCAGGGAATCACGCAGCTTTGCAACGCTCGAGGTGAGAAGTCTACGCCGCTGTCCGAAGCTGAATTCGTTTCCGCAGGCTGAGGCAGGCTCCGTCTGCCGTGGTGAGCGATTCGCTTGCTGCGAGAGCCGGAAAATACCAAATATGCAGGCCGAGGGCCTGCCGAAAACGAATCACGTGCTGACCGACGGACCCTTACCGCAGGGTGGGAATGCAAAGCCTACATTCTCTGGAGCTTAGCGCCAGACCGGAAGCATGCAGGTCACGGTCAGCATGGCGAGTTTGGGCGACATGCTGTGGAGCAACTCATCCAGTTGCTCAGATTTCTACTTGAGATTTATACCCATTTATACCCGGAGCACATCCACGGAGTCTGTGAACATCTGCAAGCCACTTCGAATGTGGACGTTCAGCGCGTCACTTGCCACATGTGCTTAATCTAGGCATGCTCCCACAAAAGCAACGACAAGCGTATGACTGTTGCACAGTGGAGCAACCAGGCGCGAAGTCACGCACCCTGTAAGGCCCTAGGGCCCAAGCGCCGCTCTGCACGTGCTGCCAGCTCGCCCTGGCGAAAGGATCTTGCTTGGGCCCTTCAGTCCAGGAACAGCGGTTGGTCGTTGCTCCAGGCAAGCAAGGGATGCAACGAAGCTCATCGGCGAGGGCCTGCTCAGCGGCCCGGCTGGCTGCATAAGCGGCCTTTGGTCAACATCCGAGCACAAAGCCCTGGATGGGACTGCGACACGGTGACCGCTGCACAGCCAGGCCTTCTCCTCCAACCTCTGCTTTAGCTCAATCTGGTCACTCTGCGTGATCTCCTTGGCCAGTCGATAACTCAAGAAAAGAGATGCAGCATGGAGAGGAGAAACGTTGATGCAACGTATTTGTCGGCGAGCGTTTCTTGGATGGGCCTTTTGAGTTTTGCTTCTTCGTTCTGCAACATCAATTTGCCCTCAAGAACCGATGATAGGGCTGATGCTAAGTTCCCTGCGCGCCCGCTCTCCGCCTGCCGCAACCTCGCAGTCAGCTCGAAGACTTCGGCCTGACGTGCCGACGCGGGGTGGCGAGACTGGAGCATGCAGAGGACTCGGTGGGGCCTGCAAACGGCGCTCAGTGTCGCCAGCGGCACGACCGGCAGCATCCTATGCCGAGTGCGATTGCAGAGCGCTGAGCGAAGCGAAACAGCGAAGACCGAACCAACAAAAAAAAAACAGCCCGCCGCCCTGCGCCCGCCTGCACCGCTTGTGATGCCTGGGCCGCCTCGAGCAGCAACGTTCAGCAAAAGGAGGAAAAGAAGAAAGCACCCATACTTTTCCCTTTCCGTCTCCTCCTCACTGGCTGCCAGCCGCTGATGGAGCTTTCCTATTTCGACCTGGCTGCACCCAAAACAGAACAAAGCAAAAACAGGCGAACTTGCCCTGGGCATGATGCCATGCCACCCGATGTCACGTGTCATGCACAATCCCTTGCACGCAAGTCCACGGAGCTGTTGCTGAAGCCGCCCGTAGTCTGAAGCGTACAGTAAATTCTTTCGTCTAAGCTGTTCAGTCGGAGCCCTGTCCCTGTCCCCAGAAACTGAAAGAGATGCCAGTCGCAAGTCTGCATTGCCCAATTTTCGTGTGTCGGCCTGCGCAGCTTGCGCTAAGGTGCGCTGATGAGATGCCTGCACCCAACAATTGTAACGTCAGCAGGGCGGTGCACAGTAGGTAGGTCGCTTCCTCCGAAATGGGATCAAAAGGCTTGTGGCCGCGGCCTCACCGTTGGCTGCGTCCAGGCACTGCTGCAAGCGCTCCACCTGCAAAACGATCGCTTCGAACTGAACCCGCTTTCACGGTCACGCGCGGACTCTTCGGCTTCATGATAACCCGTATCTCGCAAGTGGATTCTTTACTTCGCACTTTGCACATCTTCGAAGCCTCGCGCGATTCAGTGTTGAGCTTCTTCCGCAGCTCTGACAGCTGAGCCTGAGGCCGGGCTGCACACTTTGCCGGCTCGTCCTACATCGAAGCGGTCCTGTGCCCGATTCATCTCCACCTCCGCCTGGCGCTGCAACTCCGCAGGAACGACCAATGCAAGTCAAATGTGCGGTCTTGGCGCCTGAAGTCGGGTGGAAGATCGGGGGCGTCGCATCGAGCGGCTGGGAAGGCCTTGGCAGCTCAGAAGTGAAAGAGAGCATGATATGAGCCTGAAAGCGAGCGCGTGCATGACCGGAGAAGGTCTATGATGGCCTGCTGCATATGTTTCATAATGCTTCATAACTTGCCGTTCATGCCATCCACATCTTATCAGTCAATTCGCATATGTCTTTGCTACTTGCCCACTGTCGCCCAGATTCAACAACGCCGTGCCGCTCCACGGGCCTCATCAGCCGAGCTCCCCACCATCTACACCAGGGATACTGCTCCCAGCACCTCAGCAGGAAGGTGCTGTTTCCTTTAAGCATCTCTGAGCCTTGCAGCTTCACGGCTCCCAGGAGTGGCACAGAACACCTTCGGCCACAAGGCTGCCAGGTCTCCGACTGAGAGGCCGCGTCTCAAATGCCTCCCAGATTTCAAAGGCCTCTCAGGACACGGGCTAGTTGCAAGGTTTGAAAAGCAGCCCTTCTCGGAAGCACGGAAGATGCTCTGCCCATGGGTTTTTAATCACAAGCCGCATTCGATTAGGGCACCAGATGCCCTGCGGAAAGGCTCCAACATGTAATAGTTAGAAAGGAAGCAACGTGCAAGATTTTCCAGTGCAAGGGAATCTTCAGCACCAACCCCTGGACAAACGACAGTCTGCTTGCTGAAAGCATTACATATACCCGTATAAACCAAACACATCTGTGCAGGCAATGCCTCGGGGCGCGCCATCTGGGCCTGGGTGGCCATAAGGTGCGATCGAAGTCCACTGAATCCGGTGTCGGATGCGTCAGAATATCACGATTATCCACACCACACCCCAACAAACTATATGCATGCTGCAGTGAAGGACCTCGGCCGGAAATTGACATGGTCTTGCTTGCAAGGCAAGGCCGTATTTTGGTCCGAGCCGACTCGCTGAATCGAAAGGTGGCAAATCGCCGACCCGCCATGTCTGCAGCGTCGCGCAGCATTGCGGAGTCTTACCTTGCGCTCAGGTGGTGTCCAAAACAGCACGGTAGGCAAGCAATAAAGATACACAAATTCCATGAACAATACAACAATATCACTACGACGCGCTGCGAATATGGCGACCAACTTTTTGATATTGTTCCGACTAGACTGAATGATTTATTGATTGGCTGCCTGTGGGTGCGAAGACCCTTGCACCAGCAAGGAAACAGAGGCTGCTCCGTGCTGTACACACAGACAGCGCTCACACGCTCGAAGACTTCGAAGTAAAACGAATTCACACTCGTAGCTGCTGCCTCCAGTTGGCACTACTCTGACAGCGACTTTCTTTGTCTCTCATTCGCCAGGGTGAGGCTGAAGGGAGAGAGAGTCTTGCTTGCTTGCGGGGCGTTTGGGAAGTCGGGCACGGGTCCTCCCTTCCCTGCGCGCAGCGCGACGCCACTGTTCGTGTCTGGTGAGAGGTGACACTGAGAGAGGCTCTCTCCCTCCCTCTTGCTTGCTGCCGCGGTTGGGGTCTCTCTGTCTCTCTCTCCCTCTCCCTCACTCTCTCTCTCTCGCGTTCTCTCTGCCGTTGCATCCAGAGACTACAGCGACTGCTGCTTCCATTACATGAGTTCGGTAGGCCAAGTAAAGAGGGGGACATGTCTGTCAGACAAGGAAAAGGAGGGAGGGAGTCAGGGAGGCTCAGGGAGGCTCAGTCTGAGTCGAGCAAGCAGGCATCTGCTGCCGATGGGACCTGTGATCTACATCACTGAGCAGCAAGACTGTCATGCTGCATCCAGGCTGCCATGCAGACAATCCAAAACGATCTGAAGCTCCTTCGCATCTCTCCACTGATACCACGTACATTGCTCCCCTCCCACTCACCCGGCCCTGTCCGAACAGAAAGCCACACACACACACGCACCACACATACACATACACACAAGCAAACAAACGGACGGACCAGAGTTTCGACAGGGTTCCCAGGGGGGGTGCATTGCGCTTTACAGTTAACGCGCCAGATGCTCGGACAGTTCAGGGTTATATAAATGACACTGCGACCTGATGTGACGGCCCCAAATCCCAAACAAAACGATTGTGCCAGCACAGATTGCCAAACAATGAAAGAAACATCACGACGACCATGACGACCACGACCGCTAGGAATTCTAGGACCTCCAGGACCAACAAGGCGATCGCTAGGACCAGGACGACCACTACAACTTGGAGGCAACAGGAGACTATGAGGAGATGTCAGGAGACCACCAGGACACTGGCGGATCACGGACCACGGCCAAAGTCCTTACCCCAAAACTCGAGAGAAAGGCGCTTCTGCCTCCCCCTGAACCCCGTTAACTACCGGGAGCCGCGCTCTCCAGGGATGCTTTGCAACAAGAATTGCACCGAACCACAGCTGGAGCGACATTTGGACTGCCTGCTTTTGAGTGCGCGACGTCACTGTTTGGGACATTTCAACAACTAGAGTTGGGCACGAGTCATCGCAATTGCCGTTTTCACACTGCAACTTGCCATTCAACACAGCTCCAGCCCCCAACAACAACGAAGCTGCTCATGCCGAACCATGGATTCACGGGGTTCGTGGCCTCGGGTCGGCCGCAACAGGTTGGAGTGGCATACCAACATCCGGCTTCTGCTGTTCACATGGTAAACACATTCGGCAACAGCTGTGTGATCTTTGTCGAGCTGCCTGCCCCAAAATGCCCAATGTGTATCTGTAAACGGTCGAGGTCTACTGTTAACCTTCTGACCGGCAGTGGTTATGCAAGACTTAAAGTCGTGTCCGTTGTCCTCCGGTGCATCTGAGGATGCGCAACAGCGCCGGCCGATGCCATCCATAAACCCCAGGAAGTACCTCAGAGCTACAAGTCACGGCAGAGTTGCGTGAAATGATTGCGCGAGCGCAGAACATCGACTGTCCACTCCACCCTTGCCGGAGCATGCACTTCTGCCGCGCCTGTGAAGAAAATTCCGTCGGCAAAACTGCGAGTCTCGCAGGAAGGTGCCTAAAGATGTGTAGCGACCATCTGTTACCTCAGCTGATTCTTTCCGTTTCTTCCTCACATTCGGAGTTTTACGTGTCACATCAAGCGGAGCAGCCCTTACACCGGTTGCGACTCTCGAACACTTGTTTTGGCGAAAGGCTGTCCTTAACGAACATGCGCCCGACATGCCGTCAGGAAACATGTCACAATGGACGCTCTCTAGCTATCTGGGGACAGCATGTCCAAGTGCCGACATTAAAACCAGCATGTTACACCCCTCATTCTGGCAAGCGTCCGTAAGCGTGCTGGAAAGAACACTCAGCTCAGACTAACTTCACGGCTGTGCCGTCAAGCACAGACGAACCTCCAGAACGAGTGGCTGTGGGGTGACCCTTGTGTGCCAAGTGTGACCGGATTTGGTGCCGGCGGCCAGTGCCAATACCTCAGGCGAAAACTGCAGACTGGAGCCATTCTCACACCACAGCAGCACGGCAGCTGCACGGCAAAGGCACATGTTGCAGGTGAGGAGCGGATCACTACCAGTGTGACTCCAGCACTGGGGTGGTTAGCGTGGGCCGCAACCTGCAACTCCGGGGCATGGATTGCAACATGGAGCAGACGTGCGCTTGCAAGATGTACAACCACTACCGAACAACACACACACTTTCTTGTGAAGGGGAAGAGGAGGACGTGTTTCTCCCGCACCCTCCCCCGCGAGTGCTCACCCCATTTAAAAATGGAGTAGACGGAAGAGGTTGCGACGGCTTAGTCCCACCAACCCTGGAGGAGCGGCCTTGAAAGCAATACACCTCAGCACCATAAATGCGGGCTGCCACACGACTGCAGATCACGACAGCTACTGGAACAAGGACTACAAAGGACAAGAACAACTGCTCAAACGGCAACCCATCCTAGTCGTCATGATCAAGGGAGCTGCTAGGTCTTCTCCTACATTATTGGAGTGTACACACACACAGACACACACACACACACACTCAGGCCAACGGCCCGCCCGACCACCCCAAGTGTAATGGAGTGGCCGTTTGACTTTCTGCTTTTTCATCCACAAAGCCAGAATCAGCCAGAAGGGGTCGCGAGCTTCCCCCCCGCGCGCTTGAACGCACTGGTTTAGGGGCCTACGGCGAGCGGGTGAAATCTCTCTCTCTCTCTCGCTCTCTCCCTCTCTCCCTACCAGGATTGGGGAATGCACGGCCCAGTGCAAACGAGCACCTGCGGGTCGAGGCAGGTTATTGCTCGAGCGCAGGAAGCCTTTCTCAAGCAAACAGTCGGCTTCAGTACGCTACCAAAACCCCAGCACCTACATACAGACTCAAGCAACGTTTATAGGCTGGGCAGAGCTGGCGTCTTTGCCGCTCGTTTCTTCTCGTGCAGCATGGCGTCGACTTGGGCTTCCAGATCAGGCTGCTTCCCCCTCTGCAATTGGCAAGTTAGCAACTCGACGAACTCTCTGAATTATGTTTCTCTGCAGATCTCTGCAGGTTTTATCTATCGGCTTGGCTTTGGGACGCTCCCCATTTGATCAACTCGGGGCTGTTCCAGCTCTCCCCAGAGTCTTGGGCATTGTGACTGGCCACGCTTTGTACGGAAGTTTGGCAAAGCCTGGGGGGCCAGACCAAACCACCAAGGCGAGAGACAAAGCGATAACTGGCAACATTTTTGCTGATTTTGTCTTTTGTCTGGGATATAGCCGGGTTTGGGCGAGCTCTCCAAGAAAGAGTGCTGTGCTTATGGGACCTCAAGACCTCTGTTTGAAACCCCGTGCAGGTGCAGGTTGTGCAACGACGCAAGGGCCTTGATACGCGTGAGGCCTGGCTTGCCACGGCCCCCAGACATGGTTCTGCCACCGTCCTGCATGATTGCACAAGGCTGCCAGGGCTTTCAGATGGTACTTGTCGTCTAGTCTTGAAGTTCATGATGTCTTCACGTTAAGCACTTTTAGCATCGTGCCCCGGATCGTCGGTGTTCATCCCACGCCAGCGGAATCTGGATCAAGCTCTCGGCTGCATCAAGCGGGCGTCCTCGATCATTACCTTGGCGCGGCGGCAAAGTAAAAGGGGCAGAATCATGACCATGGAAGACCGATTACTGTCTGTTAGCCCTGAGCCGCCATTGAACGTTCAGTCAAAATCCAAACCTATGTCTTGGGCGCCTGGGCCGAGATGTCGGTGACTGCCGATTCCATCCAACCGTGGCTCAGCACCATATAATCCTGAGATCGATGGGTGGGGAGCGCGGCCAAGGTTGGCGGGTATTGACTACAACCGTGCAAGTGTTGCCGGATGACGTTGACTGGAGCAAGCCGACGCGGTCACAAAGAGTGTAGTTGTGGTTTGGTCGGCGAAATTCAGCGTCGTGGTCTGCGATGATCAATGCCAGCAAGTTTTCGGGTCATACAATCTGAAATTATGTCAACATCGTCGTCGGTGTCGGTCATAATGGAGCGTGTCAAGGGTCATAGCGTCGAGGAGCGGCTGTTTATTGCTTGTTAACGGTTGCCGACATTGGTTGTCACGTGAAGAGATGCAGCATCGCATTGTCAATGATGGGTAGACATGCATATCACTCCCATCTCAGTAGTGTTATGAACAGCAAGCATGAACCATGTCCAGCTTGCAAGATGATGATGATGTCGATGCTAATGATGGTGAGCATAATGATGATGATTATGATGCCAGAAACTTCACTGCAGGTACATCGGGATGATCAGTCCCGATGCCTCCGTTTGTTGCGGATGATGATGATGTTGCCAGAACCATCACTGCAGGTACATCGGGATGCTCAGCTTCGATGTCTGCCAGTGTTGTGGTCGTTTCGTTGAACAATCGTGCACAGCACACCATTACTCAAGTCCGACTGCATGTTCGTGCTTTCTGTCCGTGAGTGGCAGCTCACATTATCCCCGATCAAACTCTCCGCACCACACGTACTCGAGTTTCGGCTACAAACACAAAGAAACACATAAGCGCACAAACACAGACACACACACACATACACAAAAAAATAAAAACAAAAAACAAAGCACAACAAACACACAAACAAACAAACACACACACACACACAAATGCAAGAGCGCTCAATCACCGGCAAGAATCTCGCAAAATTTGACCAGTCACCAATTGCACCTCGCAAAGCCAACGCTGCAATGGGAGATGATGATCACTCCCGCAGAGCGAACAAGAAATCAAGGCATGCAAGCGCCTGCAGATCATAGTAACGCTCGTAGGATTTAGCAGCCAAGATCAGCCCAGAACTTGGCACATCTAGGCGGTGGAGGAAGCCTTAGCATCTTGGTTCGCACGCCTACATCATGATGCACTTTTTACAATTGATCACAATTCAACTGCACAAGGTATCGCTGAACGGACTGCCCAAACACCGACGCTCTGAATGCTGCCCGTGCACCATGCTCGTGCTCCTCATCGTGCAGAATCGACAACTTATTGCCTAGGATGATTACCATGATCAAACGAACTTCAACATTGTGGGGCTTCTGTTTTGGAGGCAAGGCCGGCTTTGCTTAGCTGCAGCGCCTGTGACCGGAGCTTTAAGAGCACTTGTGAGGTTTCTTGTGCGGCAGCAACTCTGGCCGCACAGGTGCAATGACAGCGAAACTTGAGGCACCATAAACAGTGTATGGACCAAATGCATGATCTCACGTTAGAAATTATACAAACAGGTGCAGCTGCTTCGCGCAACCGCCGCAAGTCTACACCACTCAGTCGTTGTGCGTCCGGAACCAGTGCATCCAGTGTCATGTTGCACGCTTGGAGTAACTCTCTGAGGGCGCTGCCAGACATCTGTGCTCTGTAGATTGGTGCAGCCGCGAACACAAATTCTCTACCTTTGTCCTGAAAATCGTCGTATTCGAGCAGGCCGAGAATAGGCATTACACATGAAGCTCTTTCTTGTTTTGCCCCCCATCGGAGCCTCTGGGCCCGCATCTCTATATCGTGTTTGCGGCGTTCTTGAAAGCTCAGACTGCTTAAGAATGGGCAGCACTTCGAAGCCTTCAAGAGTAGTGTGCAGGGGGCCTTTCGGCGCCTGTCCTCATGCCTCATGCCCGTCTTGCTCGAAGGGCTGGTGCCAGCACAATGAGTTTCTGCTTCGGCTTTTCCTTGTGATATGAACTTAGAAATGATGACCCGCATGGTGCTCGTCGAGCTGTGGGCAGGACAACGTTGCAAACCGGAAAATACAGGAAGTCAGACTCCGAAAGGAAGCCATGTTCCGGGGACTTGAGGCAGCTCCTAGTACTTCTGGGCAGGTCGGCCGCTCACGAGAATGGTAACCGGTAATCCTCTCGAACTAAGACTGATTGCCGACCGGACTGGCACCCACAGCTGCAACACCACACGGATAGGCCATCGTCTATCATGCAAGGCACAAGATCGCGGCCGGACACAAAACCGTGAGTTGTGCAATCCAGTGATGATTGATCAGTTCTCGTAACCTGATGGGCTACCAATGCAGGATTGAATCGACGAATGCTAGTGCACCCTCTTAAGCCGGCACACACAGGTAAAAGGACGCTTTGCTGTAAGGCCTTATTCAAGCAATGCTGCGGCGTCCGTGTCTGATTTCGCATCTGTTGACGGGCTTCTGTTGTCTGGTGCCCCGCAGAACATGCATCGGCTGGTATCCTCCCAAACCTTCCCAAACTATGCGTTTCGTCCAAGTGGCAGAACATGGCAGACATGAAGCACGACAGTTGGGGTAAATCGGAGTTCTCGTCATGGACTTCATAATCGGCGGGCTTGAAGAGGACCGCACCTGACTTGTGACTGGCACGGTCGCATGTGCTGGCACACAGGATGCACTGCACAGGCAGTGTAGACGTAGGTAGACTTGGGGTTGCCAACGCATGCTGCATCTCGTGCTCGTTGAAGCATGTTCGACAATATCTTAGCTGTAGCCTTCGCGGTTTCAACAACTGCGGGTAAGTCCAAGCGACTGTCCGAGGCATCCAACACAATCGTGGGCTGAGAATCATCATGCACCAAGCGCTGGCTTCCTGGTCACAACACTTCTTTCTTTCGAGCAGCTTCGAAAGCAGGCTCGGCAGCCACGGTGGTTGAAGGCTCTAGTTACAGTTCCAATCCGCTGTTCCACACACTGCCTGGAGTCTTTGGAACGACCGTCTCCTGAATGCGATCCAACATTCCTGCCAGTGTGTGACAAGTCACTGACTGCGCCGAACGCACAGGTTCTCTGGTTTCTCCCACTAACGCAATGTACAACTAAGGCACAACCGGCAGGCAAGCAAGCTCACTACTTGCTTGACATTGATGACTGCCTGGTACACAATCCTCCCAGTGCTCAAGTGGAATGACATGCCTCCAAAGCGGAGCAACGCCGCACGAATTCGATGGTGGGCATCGGCCGTGAGGGTGCGAGAGAAGGTGCAGGCCCACAGCGAACCTCGCAGAAGCATTCGGAGCCACATGCGGCTTCACTGGATACGAACTGGAGCCTCAGGTCAAGGCCCAAAGAGTCCAACGTCCATGCAATCTGCATTGGTCTGGGCAAGCTCGCCCAGTCCTGTAGTGATGACGATCTGGAGATTTAGTTCACCCCATGTACAACCTATACGCGGTGGCTAAGACACACCAATAGGACATGGCATGGTCCGGTGATCTTCAGTCCAGAATGCGGCTCAAGCTTCAAGTTTGTCTAGTCTGTCCGCGGCTTCCCGCTGGAAAGCCAACTGCACCTGCTGGTCCTGGGAGTGGAGCAAGCCGGCAACGCAAAAAGCCAAAGCGGATTAATGTCTGATGGACAGTGGCATGGTCGGTGCCACTTGGAGAACGGGAGTACGCCACTGTCCTTCGCACTGCCGCATGCGCCCCAGAGGACCTCAGGAGCAGCTGAACAAGCTGCAAAGACAGTCTGAAGTCACTCAAGACACTGTTCCACTGTTTCCATAATATGCCACGAGTGCCACCGACAGCATCCCAAATCTGTGCAGGTGGCCATCAGCAGTTCACCGAAACGGAAAGCATCGACTTGCTGGCGGGCGTGTTTGCCTGCATCTCTGGCGGTGTTGCTGCTTCCATGGACTCTGTACATACAGTGGAGTCTGCAGCAACTGCTGAAGCCAAGGCACTCAACGTTTTAGCCAAGGAAGGGCTTGTCACACCCAACTTGGCTTTCGGATGCTGTGGTAGTGCTGTGACAAAGCTCAGTATTACATGTCGCTCGGGCGTGTGACTCACTGGGTGCCCGACCATGGAGGCTGACCACCTGGGCAACTTGACATTAGCGCTGGGATAGGGTTAGGTTGGCATTGTGACCAGCAAGGCCACCTAAGACCAACGAGCCTACGAGTCCAGGCCCTGCCCCATCCTGAAGGTGCCGAGGTGCCAAAGGCTGGCCAACGCCATGGGTGTTGGTGCTTCGCACCGGATCGCCGCTGCAGCCTGGACCGGAGAAGATTCGGTCAAAAGGGCGCAAAAGCGCCGCAAGCGAGGCACTCCTCGGCCATGGCTCCGTGCATGTCTTCGGCACTGGCTCCGCCCATGGAGGCCAGGGCCCACGGCCTGCGAACATCCCATGGCGCGGCTGCACAGCTGGGATGTCATTCCCATCAGGACATTACAGCACAAGGCCAAGTCACATGAAGGAGACAAACTGAGCTGAGGCGAGCTCCTGCCATGATGCCGACGCTACACACATCGCGCAGTGGCAAAGCTGCACAAACCCTCGCCCTGACGAACGGATCCCTGCTAACGTTAAGCATCCACGTCTCCTCGAAATCGAGCACCAAGCCCAAGGCTTCTTGCCCGGATTGCCGCAGCAGCTGGTAGGTGATGAGGAAGCTTTTCTGCATTTCAGGGTTGCATGTCAGATGCGTGGTTTGCCGTAGGCCTAGCAGCTTGCATCCCATACTGTAGGTGGGAAACAGTGGAACCAACGCACACTGATTGGCTCAAGTATGCTCAAGCGGTCCATGCTCTTGTGCACCGAGAAAACCTTGCTTTACGTGTATGTCAGTATGTCCTCGTCCAGGACGACACGCGACGTAGCAGCATGGCAGAGGAGCGAAAGAGCCCTGGACCACTCACCTCGCACTTGCATGTCTGTCTGCAATGCATTGGTGCTCAGATCTCCCTCCCGTCAGACACTTCCCGCGAAGGAGACTGCCTGCTGCGGACGCTGCAGAAGCAGCCGAGGTGCCTTGCGATGCTTGGAACTCGTGCTGAGCACACGCATACTCGAGTTCATGACGGCATGTGGCTTCAAGACAAGACATCATGCCCGGGACGGCAAGATCTGCAAAGGAACTTGTCATCTGAACTGTGCTGAATGCTTGCGAGGTGAGCAGCTGCTGGCGATATCAACCTTCACGGCAAAAGCCAGCCTCAACACCAACAAACCAAGCAAGATAAGAACTTCCAGAAATACTGGGTCTGCAGACAAGAGCAATCCAAGAAGTCTGCCTGAAGCTCAAGAATCAAGGCACACGAGATCCTCCGCCCTACAGCCCAGCGTGGCGTTGGGTCGAAGGCAAAGAATAAGATGCAAAGCTGAGGGTACCACATTGACATGAGCGATTGAGGATCGGGTGGCGGTTTGAAGGCACAAGTGTCTCGAAAAAAGGGATGAGGGAAGCGAGAAGATGATGGTCCGACAGGAACCCAGCAGCTGGTTGAAAGCGTGCTCTGGCGAATAGAACAGAGCCCATGACATGCCGAGGCCGAGGGGCATCTCCATCAAGAGGCCGGCTGCGCGAATCCACTCCCGACCATTCCTGAAGAACCCCGAGCATCCCAAAACACGAACTGCACGCTGCAATACGAGTAGCTTCAGCCGGGCAATGCAAGCCTCTCAACTGCCTAACTGCCTAGCTTGTGCCTACGCTAGGTTTGGATATGTTGGGATGGTCCTGCAGGCTCCAAGGGCCGCAGCGTTGCAAGCAGCATCTCTTCCAGCACTGAGGACGGCAAGGGCCCAATCCCAAGTAGAAGCCTCAAGCACGTGACTGTCACTCGGCAGTGATCTTGCACACTTAGTTGACAATTACGGGACTCCAATGCGTGCCGTGGCCAATGCGGTCAAGGTCAACGGTTCCACAATCTTTTGCCCCGAGGCACGGCTGTGACATTTCTTCTACATCGGCCGTGCCCAACCGTCACACCACAAAGCTTAAGCCTTAAATCCACCAGTAGACCACGCCACGTGGGGCTCGAGGTTTGGGCATGGCTGCTTGTTCGATTTGTTTGTCACTGCATGAATCTAGGGAGGATTTTCCAGGATCCCAAAACCACAAAAAGTGCAGCGTATGAACGCCATTGCGGATTTGGACTGAAACCTGTGCCCCCGCCCCCTCCCCTACCGGCAAGCATTCTTCCCAGCGCTCCCTCTCCTCCACCAAGCTAATCGGATGCGAGATTGACGCCAGGCACAAATGGCAGCTGGCTAGACTCGACTCTCCCTGCCCGCCCTGTGCACCCTTGTCGATGTTGCGAGGCATTCGCCGAGCGATCTCAACACGCCCACTTGGATGTGGCACCACCCCTCTTCGACGACACATCTGCGGACGAAGCTGGGAACAATTTACTGCGCACGAGCACGTCCAACTTCGGCGACTATTAATTGCAAGGACAAGTTGAACCTGCTCGGACTGCTCATGGCTCCTCTGCTTGGTGCGACCTGTAAATGCCTTGTTAGATCAACGAGCATTGCAATACCAAGCGAAGCAGCCCGATTGGTCCAAACGTCAATTTCTGTAACACCAGTGCACGAGCTCAAGACGTCCTTACGAGGCACGTTGAAACAACTTTTCTCAGCTCGTTTCAACTTTCTTCGAGATACAATGACTTCAGATGGGCGAAAAGTCGCACCTGCTGGCACGCGCGAATGGCTCCGCAGCAGGATGTGGCTTCCACACTGCCCTGCTGCGTCTGCACCTGCATTCGACCGTGCTGTTGCTGCAAAGCCTTCTATGCAAACGCAACGATGCAACAGACTGTTCACTCCTTACCGTCCCGACCTTCGCAAAGTACTGCAAGGCTTGAAGCCATTGTCCCTCTCTGGCTAAGTGGCCTCACCGGCCATAGAAAGAGACGGAAGGCCTATTCTGAACTGTCCTGCACAAGGTGCGCTCATACCTACGGTCTCAAGACATCTGAGGCAGGAAGCCAATGGCCGCGGTGTCGCTGGGTGCTGAAGATCGCACGCGCCCGGAATGCATTGTGTGGAGCATCGCCGAGGCAGCAGCCCAAGCAGCTGACAAGAAGAGCTTCTCTCCAAAATACTGGACAAAACAGCACACCTAAATCAACATGTCTCGCCGTTCCTCCGACTCGACCACTGCAAAGGGCAGCACCATGAGCGAAAGCATCGGTGGAAAGGCGCTCGCATGGCATCGCCTTTCATACGCTGGGGCATTACGGGGCTTCTTCGATTTGCCTGCAGCTGGGCCTCCAAGGCCGCGCTCGCATGGCGCCAGCGATCTCCTGCTTGCCATGCCTTCAGTGCAAGGCAGCAAGGCCAGCAAGGCTGCAGGACGAAACAAACAGCAAAGTCGACACAGTCGCGGCAATGGAAAAACGCTTTTTCTCCGAGGCTGCAGCGATGGTCTGAGACTCGATGGACATCCCTAGGCCAGGCCCTAGCAGCGCCCTAGGGCTTTAGCTCACTTGCGAGACACTCCCCCAATCCCGCTTGCCGAGAAAGTCGAGCAAGCACAGACAGTCCAACATGGAAATTGGCCAAGGCTCCGCTGCGGTGTGCGAGGTTGCGAGCTCCGAAAACCATCCATGTCTTGGTGCGAGAACGACTTGCGGCCACATTTACAAAGCAGCTCAGGACCTGCAAGCATCGAAACTGGATCCTGCGATGGCCGTGGCTTGAATTGTTGAGAACGCATCTGGAATGTCACAGGGAAGGGCTTGTCGGGGACCCAAGGGTTTGTTGTAAAGGCTCGCCTCACTACAAGAACCCTGAGGCTTGTTTCCAACCCACAGCTCTCGGATAAGAATGCGGCATGGTTTCTCAGATCTTGAACCTGACCGGCGGAGTCCGTAGTGGATTCGATAGTGTCAGGTGCGACAAAATCTGCCAAACGTATCCGTTGTAGGTCCTCGATGGAGGCAACCTGGTGCCTGCATATGTCTGCATGGCTCTAAACACCTCGGCTTTGCAGGCTTTGTCCGCGCTATCCAGTAAGCCATGCTGTTGAAGCACCTGGCGAACCCGACCATCCATGGGGGCTTTCTGCCAAAGTCCTGCGGTTTCATGAGAAAGGAAAGCTATCCTCAGCTTCTCTTGAACTTCTTGAGCTGTTTCGTCTGGGCATGGGAGCATTTCCAGCTTGCGCAAACAATGTTTGTTGTCACTCATGTTGGTAAAGACTAGCATCGCCTCGGCCAAATTCGAGTTTAAGCTGTCGTCAAGATACCCAAGCCTTCGCAACACGCAGCTTGTCAAATCAGGTGTGTCCGGCACGAGAAAGGGACCACCTCCTCGGAAGATCCGTCTAGCCAAAACACTCCCATACCGGGACACTTGCATGGAGGTGCCGCCCGGGGATGTTTTGGGAATCACGAAGGCAAGCTTCTTCCTGTATGTCTTCCATCGGTCTCTGGTCCTCTGCCTAATTGTCTCATGAACAGCCTGCGTGGCACACTGCTGTGGAAACACTGCCAAAGGTCCCAGCCCATTCCTCAGCCAGAATTTGGCTGCAGCATGTATTAAATAGCTTCCATCATCGAAGGCCAAACCCTGAAGAAATCCTCGGACTTGCTCGACTTGTGCAGTGTTGTCACAGGAGATGTAGGGATCAGCGAACTGCACACTGCCAGTTCCGTCTGGGTGGAGAATTGCCCTGATCTTGGGACTGCTGTCGCGCACCGTTTCCAGCGACCGTACTCGAGCACCTGCTTCCTCGTATCTGCGAAGGACGTTGAACTTCCTGGACGGTACAAACACCTCCAGATCTGCCTTTGACGAAGCATCCTGAACAGCGACCAAGAAACCCTTGTCCTGCACTAAGAGAGCAATGCGCCGTCTATGCGATCCACCAGCAAGCTCAGCAAGCCTGGCCGTCAATGCAGAATCATTTGCTTCTCCATCGCTGCGAGGTACCGGGCAGAAGTGCACACCGGGTGTTTGCATGAAGGCGCGCCACTGCTTGCTTCTTTCCCTGTTCGGTGCTGCATAGATAGCTGTTCTAACTGTTCGCCCTTCTTCCTCAAGGCGTGCAATTGCTTGCTTAATCTCTGCCAGGCTGTGCGTATCAGCATCCACAAGGAGATCCGTTGCCTCTGCCATGCCATGGTTGCAGGCCCATTGAAGGCACCAGATGTTGCGAAGTCTCGAGTAAGCTGCAAGACTCCTCGGATAAACCTGCAAGCCACGAGAACGGCTACGCCAAACTCTCTGGTGAACCTTATGTCCACTAGTGTCGAAAGCGCAGAACAAATTTACCTTTCTTTGCAGAACCTCACTGGTCTGAAGAATACCCAAAATCAAAACTTGTGGAGTCACTAACCCTCTGCCGCCGACGAGCGCGTGGGTGCCAAAGCATTGCAGGGAGTCAGAACATGGGAAGGGCGCGCGGTGCCATGAAATCGTGATGGATGGGCAGATGCTAGTGCAACTACGTACTGGCTTGGCCCACCTGATTGGAGAAACACATCCTGGAGAGATTTGGACACCAGCAGGTCAGCATGCTCCGCCCAGCCCTTTTGCAAACGTGTCTGCCCCGACTCCGACTGCCTCCAACACGATGCATGTGGCCATGTACATCATGGGTTATCCGCAAAACAGTTCAACTGCGAGCGAGCTGCGTTGATGGTAACGGTGTGACACACGGAATCCTGTCCAAGGCGGGCTTCATCATCGTGCCATCGTTGGCGGCTCTTGACCCGTCCCTAACCCTCTCCCAGTCCGGCTCCACCGTTGTCAACGGCAAGGACTCGAAAAGCCTGGTCAAAATCTCACGAAAGAGTGCGGTACCCGAACAGCCGATGACTGCGATGACAAGGACGTGTCAGTTTCTTGCATGTCAAAATCGAAGGCTCTTCGAAGCTGCGTTGCCTGAGCGAAGCCTCCCAAGCAGCTGACTTGCCGCAGGTGCACAAAGCCTCCAGCTCTCCGTGTTGACTACAACGAGCCGAACAAACAACAAGAAAGCTCCGAGCTTTGTTTGTTATTGACGACGTACGGCAAGGTTTGCGGAATCGTCAGCGTGGGTTTGCGAACCCATCCTGCTGCTGCGGATAGCGACATTGAGCTCGCACCCACAGACGACTTCGTGAGCGAATGCTTCTTCACACTTGCTCTTCGCAGCTGCTAGCGGCTCTCCGATTCGCCGAGCTGCATTGGATCGGCTTACAGCAGAAGGTGGCAATGCCACATCCTGCATCCGTGAGGAGGCTGAAACCAGTTCACGTTTTGCCGCAAAGAGGCTTTGCTGCAGGTGCTGCCGAACTTCTGCAAATCTACAAAGGCACAAGAAGGCAGTACTGTACCACCAAAGCTCCTGGGAATGTCCAAGGATGCGCAGGGCAAAGATCCACGCGCAACCCTGTGCAGGGATAGCCACATCATCAGTACGAGCAGGGGGTGCCGATAACGACTCCTCCTTGTCGAATTCTGCATCTACCCGCGTTCCACTGATTGTGGAGCTGACCTTTGATGCATGCAGAACTTTCTGGGAGCCATTTTGCAAAAGCAGCGATGACTCGAATGGTGCCAAGCTTCCAAACCTTGATCTGTTCGCAGAGACAGCATACACAAGTCCTGCAGAAAACTATCAAAGTGACCAACTTTCAAGGCTACATATGCATATAGATATATATATATATATATACATACAGAGCACTCTTCCGTCGGGTCCTGGAGAAATGACCAGGCAGCCTGCCAAACTCCACCTGCGAAGTGGTGAACAGATCAGCCGTAAGCGACCCTGTCCACCTGAGGCGGTCTAAGGAGCCGGCCTTGGGCACATGCATTGGCAGCAGCATTGGCACAAACAACATCTGAGTTGATGTCCTGTGCAAGTCGGAGCGCACCGCTCGTTCATTCCAGCACTGCTGCCCTTTCGCCTAGTCTCCCTATGGCCCTGCCGAAGACCCCTCTCGATAATTTGATAGTAAGCGAAAGAAGGCTTCAGGTAGGCGCTTCGAGATCAACCGTCGAACCAAAACACCTATAACGCATGATAACACATGTCATGGCAAGTATACTGCTGGGGCTGTATATCTAGCACCGTGTTCCTGAGCAAAGGTTGGCGAATACATGGAGTTAGCCTTGGGTGAAGTATTCAACAGGCGATATTCTAACGCGGGTGCACTACTACTACGACTACTACTACGACGACCACCACGACGACGACTACTACTGCTGCAGTGCGGCGGAAGACGAGGGCCGATGTTTGACCAAGTTTGTGCGGCAATCTTACCCATCTTGGTATTTTTTTGAGCGGGGCAGGATTGGCGCGCAAGAAAAGGCAAACACCACTTCCACCACTTGGCGGGGGCGGGGGGGCGGCAATCTTGGTCATCTTGGCTTGCTCCACTCGCGCCACGTGCACTTGGGGATCAAGATCGACAAGATTAGCAAAATCTTGGTCCCAAACAGCGGCCCTCATTTCCTGGCACAATGTAGTAGTATGTAGTAAGAGTGGTAGTAACTAGTAGTAGTAGTAGTAGTAGTAGTAGTAGTAGTAGTAGTAGTAGTAGTAGTAGTAGTAGTAGTAGTAGTAGTAGTAGTCGTAGTAGCAACAGTAGTAGCAGTAGCAGCAGTTGCAGCAGCAGTAGTAGTAGTAGTTGTTGTTGTTGTTAGTAGTGGTAGCAGCAGGCGGCTGTTGCCGCCTGCATGGCTGAGCGAGTCGCAAAGCAGGGTTACAGTGTCATACGCTTGGCAGCGCAGACTGCTGCTCCGGCTCGCACACGCGCACAGGGCAGGCACGCCTTGATGAGGTGGGCCCAACTGTGTTACAGAAGTGCTTCTTTAATCTCTGTCATGCAAGACCCAGTCACTGTGGCAAAAGCCATTCCCAACGTTCGTCAGATGCAGTAGCAGCAGAAGACAAGACACTTGGAGCCCTGAGTTCGAGAGGCTTCGAGTGTCGCCATGTTGCGAGAGATGTCCTCATTGACATTTACTTTTCGACTGTGCGACTATTTGCAGAGGGGGTATGTGTGCAACAGATGTGGGCGCCTGATTGCCAAAGACATTCCCTTTTTTTGACACTCACACTCGGACAAAGCCTGGCAAGGTCTGCAGCGATACTGGTCTGAAATCGTTAGCAAGCACATCCGATCGGTGGCAGCGGACATGAGGCGCTGTCAGACACAATGAACGCATAAGCCACCAACAAGTGTGCAAGCGTAGTTTATGACATCATGCTGACAGCACGCCATCCCCTTGGCACAATCGAGTAAGGAAGTACTGGATTGACAGATGAAACACTTCCAATTAAGTGTTGGATATGCACAACATGAGACCAGTGCAGCTGCGATCCCGAACTGCGTGGTTTGCGGCGGCCTTTATCAAACAACCACTACAAGTGTGCCAGGTGCGGTGCGTTTACACATTTTCCGTGATGTGTTTAGGAAGGTGGAGGTGCCGTGGGAGATATGCCCGAGGCGTGCACGCTGCTTGGGAAATCTTGGGAGCCAGCTTTCCTGTGCGAGCATTTTGTATGAGGCCTCTCTGTCTTCACTTGATGGAATGTTGATGTGGAGCAATGCACATCAAGAGGACATCATCACTATAGAATCCAGAAGTCTCAAACTGCACAAACGTTAGTGGATATGCTACAACGCCGGCGCGTATGGCGGACGATGAACGTCGGCTCGTATGGCGGACGCAATAGCGACGAGCTGGGTGTAAGAGCAACGTCACAAAACTAGCCGAGCGGACTACTCAGGCGGTATCAGCACTTATGGCGGATACTTGGCACGAAAACGGCAACCAAGCCCTAAGAGGGGACTAGAACCGGAACCTAAACCAGGGCGGCGGAGGGTAAGGAAGGCGGGGAAGGGCACACCAGGCAGGTCAGGCAGTAAAGGGAAGGCGCTGCGACAGGCAGGCTGGGCACTCGGCTTTTCAGGGTGCGGCAAAGGGGGAGGCCTCCTCCCCACCCTGAGGCAGGCGGCGGAGGACCGCACGGTCCAGGCTGGGGCACCATTTCGGAAGGCTCAGGGCAGGTTTATTCATCCAGTCAGTGTGTTCCCAGCCATTGTCTGTTAGAGGGTTTCGATGTGCTTTGGACTGGTGGCAGCACGGATCTCTTTCATGACACTGGAGCATCGTGCATTTCACTATGTAAATCCTAGTTTAACAACTTCCAAAAGAAACCAAACATTGAAGCCGGTTCCCCACCATTGAAGCTAACGAACAACTGAAAAATGTAGACATGATATATATATATATATATATATATATGTATATATATATGTATATATATATATGTATATATATATATGTATAATATTTCTGAGACGCGTGCATCTAATGTGTTGATAATCATGAACCTGCGGTACTGTAGTTACTATAGCACGCGAATTAGAGACACAGATACGTCCATGTGTGTGTATACATACAAACCTACCTACATACATACATGCGTATATGCGTACACACACACATGTATACATATATATATATATATATATATACGTATATATATATATATATATATATGTTGATTGTGTTGTACATGTTGATTGGGTGCACCATGTATACTTATAAACTTGTTCCATCTACAGCTGCTCTCTAGGGCCTTTATGAGAAAACATGGGAATTGATGGCAGCGATTTCTTGTATCGCGTGCATTTGTACCGGAGTGCATGGGACTGGCCTTCTCTCTCATCTGCTGAAGCGCACGTCCAGCCAACGGCCATCTCTTGCCGACACCAAGTGCACCGAAGAGCGCACTGAAAGATACCACATCCTGGACAGCTCTCTTCAACATCTGGCGACAAAAAACCCAAAGCACACTCACCCGGTGGTGGTTTCTCAGCCGGCTGGTGGCAGGTCGTCGGGCCGAAGGGCACACCCCCCCCCCCCACCACAAATGAGGTACTTGCCGAGCCGCTGCTTGCGCCCGAGCACCTGGACAAGGTCAAGAAAGCCTCACCGAAGGCATCTGAAAAATCTTTCTTGCGCCTTGAGATGTACTGAACAGGTGCACTGAAGGTGCGGACGGCTCAACGGCTGCCCTAGAATCCCTAGCGGCCCTGTCGCCTTGCAGCGCTTGCAGCAGTGACAGCGCTGCGTCCCAGGATTGTGCCGATGCTGCGGCGTTCCAGTCTGAAATTGGGTCAGGCTGAACACTCATCACAAGGTTCGCTAAGGGATCGATACATGTCTGTATGTTTTTTGTCGTTTCAAGCCTCACAAAAAACGTCAAGTCGCCGAGCCCCTCAGGCCCTTACTGTTGACGATTGCGCGATGCCCCACCAAAGCATCCTGCATGCATTTTCAGACTGTGCATGGATCAAATCATCTAGATTAATGGCAGATCTGCTACAACTGCTGCATGCACCATCCGGTTTTCATTGCAGTGACGGCGACATGATGCACGCGGCTTATTGCTGCATCCTGCAGCAGTTGCGAGGCCCGCTGCCAGGAGTTCCGACATGCGACGATGGCAGCATTGAAGCCTTTGAGATGTTCGACGGTTCATGAAAGCTGAGTTCCAGAGGTTCCTGTCTGTCGACCTAAGACCTAAGCCCAGCAGCTCACAGCGTCTGGCTCCAGAAGAGAATCGGGCATCCCGTGCAGCAGATGCAGCGCTGCCTGCTGAATGTCAGTCAGAGGCCATGTACGCCCGAGTCTGTGTGCCCGTTTCAACCAAGGAGAAGCTAGATATAGCCAGAGAAAGGGGCTTTTGCATTTTTGTGTATCCCCATCGAACCGAAAGTCCCCCGTCTGGCTTGGAAGGGTGCCTCCCAATGTTCTGATTTGCCACAGGCACTGATCGCGGTGTTGAAGACAACAGTGTCAGCGGCAACCTCGACGGCACAAGAACACGCCTCAAAGTGGGTCATAGTGTTTCGCACAAGCAAAACGACGCACGGAACCTTCCAGTTGGGCATGCAGGCGAGGAGTGCAAGTGCCACCTGCCAGTGGTTACCTGCCGTCACACTTTGCGCCGAGAAAGACGAGCACGGCTGGCATGCCCGCATGCTTGGCTGCGCAGCTACGAAGCTCTGCCTTTCTCACAGGCATTGATGGCAGCAGAGAAGCTGAACCTCAGCTGGGGCCGATTCGAGCATGCCAACTCCAGACCAACACAATCGAACACAAGTACTCCAGCGCATGACAGGGCACTTGTTGGGCCAAAGGTCATGCTGCACGATCTTGTGGAGATGGTCCACTGCAAAGCGCCTGGGCCGACTCTCATTGCAAGAGCTTGAGGAAAGCGTCGTCCTGTGAATCTGGAAACAAGTGCCCTTCAATCGTGCCCACGGCGCCAATCTCCTGTTCTGCCACATGCATTCAATACCTGAGTTTGGCAACAGAGCGGATCACGAGCTTACATGCATGCATTTTCACGGCATTGCCCAAACCTGATGACTTGCAGCTTCCGTGACTCGCAGCTACATTGCGGACGACATGGGCACCACACACAGAAGCTACACCGATCGGCGAATCAGGCTTCAAGCTGCTGCGTTCAGGTGGTAGATCTGCGGCCGAAGATTTGCCCTCAAGAGGCCCTCGAGCTGCCAAAGAACCTGGTCACGAGTGGGATACGTCAGAACAACAAGGAGCACGACTTAGTCAAGACGCTTTCCACAACTCCACACAACTGCAGCGGTTTTTGCGTTGCCAGGCCTCTTCTGGTGGAGCCTGCCTCGCCAGTCGGCTCAAGGCCGCAGCAGTGTCGCCGCTATGGCGCGGGGAAGGCCGCATTGCACGACCATGACCGGCCAGTCGCGACGGGTCGACGGCAGCTGACCGAACCAAAACAGCCTCTGACCAGTGGCCGGCATTGTGCAAACTTGCGCAACGCATATAATACTTCACTACCTCTGCATCCCATGGCTCAAGCGGCTGAGTTTTGACCAGACATGGACAGTAGTCTTGACAACAGCTTCATGATCGTATGCGAGTCCGTGCAAGCCAAGCTCGTTGCGCAAACTCCGGGTGAACCTCTCCGCAAGTTGCGTCAAGATGCAGTGAGCAAGACTCTGCTGGCCACACAATGCTCTTCTGAACAGGTAACAACAGAGCCTAGTTTGGAAGTCCGCCCTTTCGGATAAACTGCCGACCCGGTCTGGCCTTCCATCACTCGTTCACAGTCCAATCCTCGAGAAGTCATTGGCACATTTTCGCACCCTATGTAATTGTACCTCACGACCGGCAAAGCTCGAACAGCCCGGATGCTGGGTTCGGGACCGGGCACAGGGGCCGCCGGCTCATTCGGGCCGCATGTCAGGAGCTGCGGAAGCACGTGCAACAGAACCCCTAAACCCTTAAAGGACCGAGACAGCCGAGGCGAAGTTGATCCCGAAGACTTAATTACAGTAGTCTCTGCAGCATTCCCAACCTGGTCTGCACAACCATTGCCTGCTAAACGAAAGGGCACCGAAGTCCCACAACAAAAAAGACAGTGTCTCATATGTCTCATGCGCCATATTGCAGGCATGTGAGAACGAATGCTGCATGGAGGGAGCGGGATACCCCCAGCAGTGCGTAAGCGCGCTGGGAGATCGTGCCTCGGCAGAGCAGGGCTAAGCTTCTAGCCATGGGATGCTCGCCGGTCGTCGGCTCTACTGAAATCTTCACGGACTCGATGCGGCTTTCGCAGCCGGTGTGGTTGGCAGCTGTTGGCTATTGGCTTCCTTGCACACTTTTCTCCACTTTCAGCACTCCGCACCAGGTACCGGGGCGCTTCCTCACGAAGCGCTGCGAGGCCGCCCAACAAGCAAACCACATGCCTTTCGAGTGTGATTGATTTTCCAGGTATCCCTGACCCACCCACTTGCAAGAACGACAACAGCATCAGACCTGTCACAAGCGCCAACTGTAGAAGCAAGAGTTTGTCGATAAGCTCAGCTCAGTCACCGGATACCTTCGCTTCGAAGTCGTTCGGCAAAGTCGGTGCCCAAGTCTTCCCCACCCACCACGACCACCTCAACGTGTAGAAATACTGTGACCATGCTGATCAACACGACTACTTCCACATTGTGGGCTAGTTAGTTGGCACAAAAGATGGTACACATATCATGAAGGGAGGGCAGGCAGCTCGCTTGGAACCTATTGCTGAATGCACGGGCTTGAAAATTTGGGTATCACGCGTACCTCTTTCAAGTTGCTTTCCTCACGAAAATGGGCCTGGACAGCACCACCGGCGAAGAAGGCACAGTGAGCAGGGTACAGGTAAACACATGGGGGCTGAGGGAGGAGATCGTTGGAGTTGCAACACCAAGCGGAATCTCGACAGGCAACGATGCTTGAGGTCGGCCCTGTCTCCACCGTGGACCCAACAACAAACAACGACGATCACGACCCTCTCAACAAAGCAACCCTGTAAGATCCTGTAAGCACCTTCGAGCGAGCGAAGAAAGAGGAACAGAGAGGAAGCAGAGAAACAAGAGCGTCCATTTTGGCCGCGGCACGAGACGCGGCCGAAGATCCGTGCCCAGCCAAGGGGGCGCTTCTTCAGGGCCTCGGGAAAGTTTTAGATATCCTGAAGCGTTGCCAAGGAGCTCCACTCCACTTCTGCCAGCTGTCACTGAACAGACGAGGATCTACAGCTGCGCATGGTTTCTGAGTTCCGAGCTACTGGAAGCGAGTGGCTCAGATGCAGCCGCAGTTCCTCAGAGGGTACCCGTACGCTTTGGAAGTTGCACGTAGCACTGGGAAACAAAGCCTATACTGTACCAGTTGAGCTGTAGCTTTCTGGCCTTCAGCGCTTGCTTGTGCTCCACTTGCTGCCACGCTTGTCTTCTGCAGTGAAGACTGTGAAGGCGTACCGCACTGCGCCCTCAGTGCATCCAACGTCGGAAACATCCGACTGCATCAATGCAAATTATAATTACATATTATCCGAACCTTTTTGAAACAAGCAGCACTAGCTCTTGTGGCAAAGTCCGCAGCAAGTCCAGGACATCCGCATCCTTAACATGGATACTGGATTGGAAGTGGCAGTCGGCGAACTCCTCGCTCGTTCGGGCATCCAGCACATAGCAGCAGCTTCGAAAGCTGAGGAGGTCGTCCACCGTGATGACGGGAGGAGTTGGATTATTGTTGATTTTTTGCCGCCACCATTCACACTGGCGCCACTGCTCCGTGGCATGCTGCAATAGCTGTTGGTGTGGAGATGTCTCACCGTCTTTAAGCCCGCTTGGATCAATCTTTGGATCAACGCACGGGTCCATTGAAATTGAATCGAGATATCCTGAGTTCTGAGACAGCACTTGAACGCAGTTGACAAGCAACCCGGGCAACCCGTTAACGACAACGAAGGGGCTGAATGAAAGATGCGACTGACTCAGCCAAAGAGTCCCCAATCAGGATCTGCCGCTGCCATCGCGGTAGAACCATGCTCCCACAGAAGCGCCTCGCCGGCAGAATGCCGCGGGAACACCGGCAGCGTCACAGAGGCCGGAGTGGCCTTCACTCGGCTATAACGTCACAAAGCCGTAAGACAAGCGAAATCGCTGGGATGCACGTGCCTGAAAAAGAGCGAGCGCAGAGGAGACCAGCACTTGACAGTCGATGAGTTGAGCACAACTTGCCAGGAAGCTGGCGACATGGGACGCTTCCTGCAAAGCACGCATGTCATAGAACAAAGCTTTTCATGCCAATTAATGGGCCAGTGTTGCTGCTGCATACCACCTCTACGATGCTACTATCAGTCGCAGGTCGTGGGGCATCCTCCAGTGCCAACAAGGACAGCCGGAAGAAATGCACCAAGCAAACCTCAGAGTCTAATGAGTCGAATTGTCTCAGGCAACCTCTGACCTCGGATGACTTACTGATTGAGTGTTTGGGTAACTTGATTTGGTAGTGACAGAGACGCGGGAATGCATTGAAATACTCCGTTCTCGTGGCTGTCCGACCGCATTGATTCTGATGGAGGAGCTCCAATGAAAAGCGAAAACTGCGGCGGCCGCAGGAGCAAAGCATCCCACAAACGCACAGCCTGCAACTGCACGGAGCGAATGACATGGTGATGTGCTGGCCAAAAGCATGGAATCTGGCCCGTGCGGCCTGCGATTGTGGCAGAAGCTGAGCGAACCACGTCGAGAACCAATCGCTTGCGTAAGCCTGCGAGATGAGACAGGCAGCCAATATCCGAATTCGGTTCATTCCTTTTCCAAGCTCTGAGCCCCCGCCTCGGGTTCCATGCCCAACTCCTGCAAATGAAGCGCCAGGATTGGATCGGCGAAACCCAGCAGAGCCCCGAAGAGTTGCAGATAGTGCCTGGCCCAGGGAGCAAGACAAAAATTTTGCGGCTCTCTCCGCTCGCTCCGCTCGGTGCCTGCGCTGTGCTTTGCCATCGCGACCGTAGAGCGGCCAAAGAAAGCCATGGAGGACACGCTGCGAGGCCAAAAAAGCTGCTGCCTCCTCAAAGCAACGGACACGCACACGTTTTTTGGTCGGAAGAGGATGCCAGAGCACCTCTGCACCGAAGACGGCTGCAATGGGCTGGCACAATGCCCCCAGACCTGACAGAGGCCAACAAAAAAGTGCTAGCTGCCGAAGTTCTTACACATGTCCCATGCCTGTCGCGCAGCGCAGTGAAGGATTGGCGGTCAGCACGGCCCGGACCTCAGCGCAAGCTGGAATTTTAAAAATCTGTTCCCTCCTGCGAAACTCGGGTGGCATGTCCAAAGATCCTCGAGAATGCGAGAGATGGTGTGTCTAAATCTCCCTCCGAGTCACAATTCTCTCGAGCCTGGCAATGACGCAGCCCACACTGTGGGACTCGCCTGTCTTTACAACGGCGCCGAAATCAGGTATGGACTGCAGCAACCACAAGCGTGAGAGCCGCAGGCTGGGATGAAAGCTCTACGGGCTGCTGAAAAACGACTCGAAGAGACAGACATGCAAACATACATATCACAGACAGACAGATAGACAGACAATAGACATAGATGATGAAGTACATACGTATACGTACATGCATACACACGGAAAGACATGTCGTATGCAAAAAGCCAATCATACACACATACATTCGTTACACATACATAAAGACATCCAGGCATACACATGTACTGACAAAGAACGAAAGACATACATGAGAGCCCCCCCCTTAAGGGGGGGAGGGGTGGGGGGGTGGGTGAGGGGGGGGGGGGGAAATAGGTGGCATACCTATTTCGATGTTTTTCATATGTTGGGGGGCTTGGGGGACTGTAGGGCAGAAGGTTGTGTGCTGAGTGGCTCAGGTTTCGGGTTGAGCGTGCGAAGGCGACCCCGAATCCACGCTAGACCCCACCTATGTATCCATGATGCTGGGCTCCTTGCTGCTAGCCTACTACTAAGGTATGTACTGCTAGCCCACCAGCTATGGCCTTGCCTAGAAGCCTTCCCCAAGCCTTCTAAGCCAGGAATGAATAGGTGGGAAAAGGTGGGGGGACCGTAGCGTGCAAGAGCCTTGCGCCTCGTAGGCGACCCCCAACCCCCCCTTCGACTCCACCTATTTTTTCTTGACGCTGGACTCCTTGCTACTAGCCTACTACTCGGGCAGGTTCTTGGAGCTAGCCTATTTCTAAAATATGTGCTGCTAGCCCAACAGCTATGGCCTTGCCTAGAAGCCTTGTTAGCTAAGAATAAATAGGTGGGAACAGGTGGGGGGACCGTAGCGTGCAAGAGCCTTGCGCCTCGTAGGCGACCCCCAACCCCCCCTTCGACTCCACCTATTTATCCTTGATGCTGGACTCCTTGCCGCAACCATCCCCAAGCCTTATATAAGGTAAGTATAAATAGGTGGGAACAGGTGGGGGACCGTAGCGTGTAAGAGGCTTGGGCCTCCTAGCGACCCCGGACCCCTCCCTGCATCAGTCCGTGCGTCTCTCCCTGCTCTCTCTCTCTATCTCTCTCTCTCTCTCTCTCTCCCTCTCTATCTTTCTATCGTTCGCAGTCCATAAGTTCATAAAAGGATGGTGCTGGGGACGATAGTACCAATACGATACTGCACGTGGAGATAGAGGGTCGTCATGCTGCTATTCTAGTAGTTTCCCACCTATATTTCCTTGACCCCCCCAACTGTAGCAAAATAGGTGGCGGAAATAGGTGGCACTGGGCCCCCCCCCCCCCATTCTCACTATATTAAGGGGGGGGCCTCATACATGTGCAAAGGCACAGATGCAGGCGCATGAAGAACTAGGGTTTCCAGGCTCCACAGTATGCAAGACAATCCAATGCGAGTCCTGCCGAGAAATGAAGTGCGCTGACAAGAATCTGCACCCCATGCTGTCAACAAGTGCAAATTTCACTTTGAGGCACCCCTGGGGCCAGCATGCAGCATCAACAGCATCAGCAGAGCCTCGTTTCTCGTACGAAGACCCTGCCGAAAGAGTTTACTGGAAGACTCGAGATCTTGCCCAAAAAGGGCCCTCGTGGCAACACGGTCCTGGACAGCCACGGGTGGAGAGGAGCTTTAGAAACCGTGCAACATCCCCCGCCCCCCTCGCAACGTAGCGTGGGTATTTGACGATTCTCGCCCGGGGAGCTTTCATGACAAGTGACCATTCTTGTCTGTTGTTCCCGGCCTCGTCTCATGCCTTGGTGTTTTTCTTGCCAGCCTGCCGCAACTCGAAATCTCAGATGCATGGTACTGTTTCTCTGTGCTGCGCTTCTCGCAAGCTACAAGGGTCGGCACACTACGTCAAAATTTAGCACACCTAAGAAGTATGCACGATAACGCTGAGTCATCTTGCTTCCGACCCTGCAGGCATCTGTTTTCTCTTTGCCTACGTCCAATCTCGACCAGGCCTTGGATGCCAACCATGGCTGCTTGCAGGATGTCCTCCTAACGAAATGCGGTTTGGGAAATGCCCTCGAGGCCCTCGGCCTTGTGGTGAGTGGTTGGGCAATCAGCCCGCATACTGGCCAAACCTGACAAAAACTCGAAGTAGAACCCACCAAGAGTTGAAAGTCACTAGTCCTGAAACCCGAAAGGTATCTCCCGGTTCGGGCTGTGAGTAGAGAAGATAAGCCACAGCGCAGGGACTCCGTGTCCTCCGCAGCCGGAGTTGCCAAAGCATTCGAGCTGCTGCGATGGCCCAGCAGATAGGCATGGCCCACTTGATCTTGGTTAAACTCAAGCGATTTAGGTCAACCATGTCAAGCCGCCAACCGACAGCTCAAGCTCAAGCGATGAAGGAGTCAATAGACTCGGTCGCTACAACTTTCGCATTTCCGCGGGGCGGCAGCAACGAATCGACATGTCATACAACAACACTGGCATGCAACACGCTTTTCTTCATCCAATGCATCTTCGCCGTCTTTCGGCAGAAGCCCTGCATGCAGCCCCATCATGCAGGGAAGCCCCACATGAAAATCCGACCCTGCTCCGGATATCGCACACTGCCCCCTGCCCCATCACCGTTTCCCTCGCCCCATCCTTGTCTCCGTCGTCTCCTTCCAGTTCAAAAATCTCTCCATGGGAAGTGCCCCTTCTCGATCTCCCCACCAGCCGATATGGAAAGCGAGGACCGCAGAGGGGTATTTTCGGGAACAAAGCACACATGCAGGATACGGCAAGGAAACTCTTAGCCGAGTCACCTCGGCTCTTCAAAGGCGCAGTGAGTAGATTCCTGAAGACATATGTCAAACTTGGAGGGGCTCTGTCATGGAACACTCGAATTCTCAATCAGACTAGGGTCTCATAGAAGGGTGCCCAGCATGCCTGGTCCACGACTGGGGGAGCGCCCCCCAGCAAAGCCTCAACGGCACAGCTCCGCACACCGAAAGCAGGCATGTCACGACGCTCGCTGCAAGTCGCAAAATCAAATTCCATCGGCCCGGTCCAGGCACGGACCAAATCTCTGAACGTAAAGCTGGTGGAATGTCCTCGCTGGCCTTTGGTAGTTCGCTGTCCGACGTTGTCCATGCCACAGCAAGCCATGTACTCCGATCTTCAAGCACACATCCTACATGCGATCCCGCCGCTTCGCGAAAGAGCTCCATGCGGCTGGTCCCTGCCAGCAGGCGGTGGAATCGGCGCACACGCAACCACTGGTAGCCGAAGTGCTTTTCCTGCGCAGTTTCGAAAGAGCGTATAGTCAAGTACCGAATGGCAAGCATTGCGCACACATGCGGCTCCCTGTCGTAGAGAGATTTTGGCTGCAGGCTGAGATGGTCCAAGCTGTGCCGGTCAGCTGCTGCGCAGGCACGACAAAGTGATTGCAAGCCTAGTAACAGGGAGCAGAAGCAACATTGATCGTACCCGCAGCAGCGAATTTGTCCAAGAAGCAAACGCCAATAACTTTGGGCTTTGCTTCACATGGCGGATCCCAAAACTCCATGCCTTCCTGCGCAGGTGGTGTCAGCAATGCGTCGCAGACACTGGAAAGAGTCCAGTGCAGCTTCCGGCCAGGCCTCTGCTGCAAGCGCCTTCTCAGTGCCTGCAGCGAACTTATCGGTGGCGACTTCGCATGTTCTTTACTGTGACGTGAAAACATGCAGACAACCGGTGCAGCAAGTGAAGAACGCTCTCTGCAACAACTGCCCTGTCCAAACGATCGGCTTGTGACCAACGCCTCGGCCTGACACTGCTGGCTGCCCCTGCTGCTGCGCATCGGCCAGGAAGTCGCAAACAGCCCCCCTGCGGCAGTCATCGTCGCGGACCTGATTTTTCGACCACGCTTTCTGAAATCAAGATGAAGATGAAGCATTCCCAGAACCCGGGTCATGGACCACGAGCGGCAGCCGCAAGATCGCAGGCGCTGGTCGCAAAAGAAACTTCCTTAACGAATCGTGCCGTCGTCTGCAGTAACATGGCAATGCGTCCCCGAAAACGAGCCCTGGATTTCAACCATTTTTGGCAAAGCTACGCTGCGACCAGTGAAAAGGGGTCTCCGCCGGCGAGACTCCACCAATAGTAGAGCTGTTCTGTTCGCATTCCAAGGCCTCACCCGACTTCAAGCATGCCTTCTGCAATCGAGCTCGGACCACAGTCCGGGCTCTGCAGGGCCAAGCCAAGCGACTGGAGAGATAGCGCATCGGTGGCACGACCGTGCCAGGGTCAAGCGCCAAAGCTGCAGATGTTTGGGCGGCCCAAGCACTGTCACCGCCCAAACTTTCGGACCTGACAAGCTGTTGCAATGCCGCTACAGCTTGCTGAAACCATTCAGCTGATCCTGCTGCTGAGGCTCCGGCTGCAAGGCAGAGCTAAGCGCCCAAAGCTGCAAATCCTGGATTTTGTGCTGCGACAGGCTGGAGTGCGACGCCAAGTCTTGTGGGCGTGGTCGATGGGACGGGTTCCTGGGGGCAGGGCTGGCAGCTGCAGCTTACAGTGTCTGTCTTCCTGCTTCTCTGATCTTTAGGATCTGCTCAGTGGCCCGCCAAGCTGGTGCTAGCCGAGCATCAGAATAAGGCATGCCTCGAACAAGTCGTGAAGGCCGGCTTCGCACAAAATACCATCTGCCATTAGCCACTTTTGATATGATGCCTGCCAAGACTTCACTTGTGCCACGAGTACATGCGACACTGGCCATCAGCGATGACATGTAATCAGATAATCAATCACATCTAGCACCCCGCCTCAAGGGTTTCGAGGGTTGGTGCACTTTCACAGCCGGAGCCTTGCGCGAAGAGAAGAGACTCGGCTGAGCTGCTGGAGAGGGATTCACTTGGGCTTGTGCTCAACAGCCCATCCCACTTAGCGAAGATTCGCGCGTGGTGGCTTGGCATGTGGGCTTTCCGATGAAACAGTAGCACGAAGACTTTCACCGGTGACATGGGGCCGAAGGCTAAACTAGGCAAGAAAGGAATGCTGATGTCACTGATGCCCCCGCAAGATTAAGGTTCGGGCTCCTACAAGTACTGGCAGAGGTCCATGCGCCTCCGCAGTTGAAAGCTCCAAGCACCTTATAGTTCTCGTTGTATCGTTGAAGGGAACGGGCAGGCTTTTCCGCCGGGGCAAGACGTGGCTTCGGGGGGGTCTTCCCCACAGTGTCTCTTCGTCTTCCCATGCTTCGTTATTTGTGCACGGAGAGTACAGGAAGGGACTCCGACCCTGATTCTGATGAGCCCCTGGAGCCAGAGCCGGAGCCTTCGGCTCGCGGCGCTCGTGGAGCGACCTGGCGGCCTTTGAGCCTCGGCGAGGGACTCGCGATGGAACAGAGGGCGACGGAGCGCCCGGTATGCGCGCGCTGTGCACTTCGTCTTCTTCTTTTGCCCGAGGCACAAGGAGCGAAGCGTGAGCCCCGGATTCGGCCCGGCCACGGCGCTACGCCACAGCTCTGCCTGAATCCGAAAGCCGAGCAGCAACAAAAACACCAAATTCAGATGCTCAACATGACTTTTCAAGAAACGGCTGAACGTGCTGCATCCGCGGCAGATGTTTCGACCGCAACGACGTGGCAAAGCTGCGGCGCATTCTGAAGTCCTGCAGATGTATAAGTCCAATCGGAATTGACAGCATTCTGATATAAACACCCTGAAGTAATTATTCTGGTCACGGTTGATGGCTGTGAGCAGTGGCTACGCACCCGAAGCTACACGCTTGCTCCACCCGGCGAGCGAAGCTGTGACAAATCATGCGCAAGCTACTCGGCCACATTGCGCTTTAAGACTTTGTCTTTAGGTTTAAACCTTGTCGCATGCGAGATATTCCGCAGCTCCGGGGCTCCTTCTGTCGCCAGACGGTCTTGCCATCGGCCCTGCAACATCTGCCTCTGTCTGCGATGATACGTGGGATCTAACAACACTTCGCACAAACGAGGCTTTACTTGCAACAATCTTACAATCCTATGCATCGGCTTCATTGGCAGCCACTCAGACGTGAAATGTGTTTGCCAGCCCAGGCACAGCAGAAGAACGCCGAGGCCCCAAACATCTGGCTGGCAGCTAGGGCTTTCGCTTACCGGTGAGACCGTTGAAGTGCTGCACGCCTCGGGGGCCACTGCTTCAGAGCTTCTTGAGAGCTGCTCATGGCCAGTCTCTAAATTCGTTCAGTACTGTCGAGCATGCTACCTCTGATGTGCTGGCAAGTCTCAACATGGGGTGACTTGGCAGCTCCGCTTGCAAGAACTGTCATCATTATGTTACATTGAATTCGATCAATCTACTATGCCACCGCAACGATCACTGCGGCCAACAGCGGGTCGAGCATTCCTCCACCACTCCACCGACGGACAGCGACTTCTTGTGTTGAAATGCAGAGTGCCCGGGCAAGACATTCGGCCAACCAGAGTTGGTACAGTACTGTTACTGCTGCTGCACTATGCGGTAACCAGTTTCAGCGCGTTCTGCTGCAAGAGTTCCTAATGCCATGAGGCATGCCCACTGCTTTGCTGCTGAAGTGCTCGGGCGACTTCAGGAGCCAGGCAGCACGGGTCCTGTCGAGGAGGGATGACAATGGCTACAGCATCTGAGCTTTCTGCAAAGTTTCGGGGCGGCGACCAGTACTATTACTTCTCAGACTCTAAAGAAGCCCGGAAGGTGAATGACAGCGGCTCACAGCCCGGACAGATCCAGGCAAGGCTCGCTGGGTCGGACATCGCGAAAGTTTCGGAGCCAGTGGAACATGCCACATACAAACCAAAAGAGGCCAATATAGCAGAGAGACTTGCCCTCGAACGACTTTGCGTCACATTGGCAGAATATAAATCATGACTATTACACGTCAAACTGCAACGTACCGACAGCAAGACACGCAATGAAGAAAGGGTACGAATGTGAAGATGATGTACATTGTGCATGATTGGACGACTGTCCACTACGGAGCTACGGCTCAGGTCACACCTGACATGCGGTAGCTGGGTGGCATACAAGGTCAACAAATGCAATGTTGTGCAACGTGTCTCGAGCTGTGTTCACTTCCGAGTATGCGCAAAACTCCAAGTGCAGGGACACTTCGTTTCGTCAACAAGTTTGTTGACACATCCTGGGCGTGCCGGCTTGATTGCCAGGATGTCGGGCGGTCCGCCCGAGACGTGAAGACCACGCAGGATGGGCATGGTTGTTACGACATGTTACGACCGTACAAATGCGGAACTTGTTCGCAGAAACGGTGGTCCAAATTGGAAGCACAGATTCGGCCAGCCCCCAGTGACAGCGCTCGAACGGAGCTGCATCGTCTCACCAGCGCAGGGCACATCAACTTCTCCAAAAACATACCCTGACACCATGAATAAGATTCCTCAGGAGCCAGCGGATAGCAGCTCGCCAAGCGCCCGTAGGCCATCAAGTGTCCCAGCCTGCTCACTTGGCAATTGGCAGGATGCACTGTCGTCTACGCCTGTGATTTCCTTGCATGCGAATCATCCTTCCCGCTGGTTGGTCAATGAATACTTACTATCATGGCGTCCAACAGTCATCTGGAATCACGCATCTGTCAGGTACTGCCCAAACTAAGTCCATTGTAAGTGCTGTCAAACATGAGGTGCATGTCGAGCACAGGCACCGTCACGGCAGAGGCTCCTGTTCTGAATGCAGCCGAAGCCACCCATGGCCCGTGAGGAGGACTCTACATTTGGCCAGGTTCCCAGCAGCACAGCCTTCGTCCAGCAAAACCTCAGCATTCTGAAACTCTTTCAGACGATCATGCAGACCGTGTTGCATTTCAAAGGCATACTTGCTCCCCCTTCCCCTTGCACATGGAAAGCTATTACCGGACCAAGCTGCGGATGAGGAATCAAGCTGTCCGTGGACCAAGGCATGCGAGTTGAGGTGGCAAAGCGCCTTTCGTAAACATCTGGTCGCCGCGACGCAGTCATAAAGCACACAAAGCAACTCTTGACAGCAATAGAAGCCCTTCAGCACTTGCCTGCACGACCTGTGCGGTTACGCTCCTGCCGCAAGTGACAGTTTCTGCGACCTCATGCTCGACATTGGCCTTTGAAGCCCCGTCCTGACAGCTGCCTGCTGCAGACCATTTGTGGCTTGACTCAAAACATTTGCCAGCGTCAGCGAACGATGCTCACTAGCGATGAATGCCAATCCGTGACCAACCAGGATTTCCAGGTAGCCTTGGATGCGACTTGCCACCATTGCAGTTTGGCGAGCCGTTCTGAGGTGCTGAGCTTAAATCTATGTGTATGTCTGTCCCTGGGGGAGAGGTTTGCTAGGCGCCAGAGCTTGACATGAAGTGTCGCTTGCACTCCGGCGACGCTTTTGCCAAGCAGCGGCACAGGTTCGGATGCCTCAACTGCCGCAGCGCCTCGAAGCGGTGTAAGAGCAGCTCCGATGATTCCCACCTCCCGCTCCGGCCAGAAAAAAACCTCGGAGATTCAGCCTCTTTCTTTGCAAGCATGGATCGAACACGTTCCGAAAACTGCCCTCCTTGGTCTCCTTGCTTCGAGAAGCGTCAGACCCAGCTGCAGGTCGGAGGGTTTCTCGCAGAGTTCATCCGAAGCCATGTAGCCGGGGAAGCCGGCATTGCTTTAATGAGGGAATGACGCATGCGCCGCTCGTGATGTCAGGTGTTGGATTTTACAGGGCGAGTCCGACAGACAAAGATCTGATCGAGAGACTTCCTATAAAGATACAATCTGGAAGGAACCGATCCCGAGAAACTTTAAACCAAAATGGCAGCGTTGAGCTGTGTCTCAGCCAGCATGGTTTCGGTTGATGCAGGAGGCGGGTCCTAGAGTCACCGGGCTCAGTCAGCTCAGTGCACATGCTTTGCAGCTCTTGCACAAAGATCCGGACGCCGGCCTACGGGCGCTTTGTGCGAACAGGTCTTGAGTTGCGACTGGACGGCTTCGTTTGCTTCAATGCGCGAACGCTTGGAGTAACAAGCGCCGAGCCGTACCTGAATATCTAAAGGCCCAGAGGAAATGAATGCTCACCTGGTCTCCGGCCAAAGGCCAGCTCTGATGAAGCTGCGAAATCTCCCACTGAACCGAAGTCGCCTCGGCTCCCATTCGCCGCTGAGGCTTATAGACAGACAAGATAAAATGTGCATGTGCATAAGACCTGCAAAGAGCATGCATGTGTACATAGGTGAGATGCATACAAGCCCTACTGACCTAATCTGTCTTGCAACAGACAGTCCTGCAGGCGCCGAGCTGAGGAGGCAGCTGGTAATGTGCTCTGGGAATCCGATGATCTTCTTTCCGCCTTTGGAAGCGCCCAGATGAATTTGATCTAGCAATGCTGTGTGCATCGATCAGCTGGTTGCGTCAAACAAAGGCGGGAGAACACGACGTTCTTGGAAGAGGATGAGTGTACTAGCGCCAAGTTCAGGCCGTCTGATCCTTACCGCCCTTTGAGCTTCGTGGCCCGCCTCCGCCACCTGAGCGCGATGAGCGAAACTCGCCCAAGACGTTTGGCAAGAGAAGCATCTGCTCGAAGTACGCGCCCTGCAAGCTCGGTGCTCTAAGAGCAGCAGGATAGGGCATGCCAATATAGACTGACTACAGCATTCGCAGCCAAGATGATTGCTCGGAGGCAGCAAGGCAAGCGCATCCCCGCAGATCCCCGCAGGAACACAGGATGCGCCTGCCTGATTGGCATCAATGCACTGGACGTAGGTCCCGCGGGTGAAAGGAATCGCGGTGTTCTGGTTGTCGCCCTTGCCGTCGCCGAGAATGGGAAACCTCGCGGCAGCAAAATCTAATCTCACCCGCTGCATCACCGGCAGCAGCATCACAAGCATCATTAGCATAACCAGACAATTCAACCTCCGCATCGTAGCTGCTGGTAGAAAGACAGGCACAATAGCTCTTCACACAGAGACCACAAGCTCAGGCAAAACAGTCGCGATCATTGATACATTACTCTGACGAAGAATGCAAGGACTCGCCCGGCGGTCATATCCCCCAGGTCCCGAGCCCGGGGAGTTCGATCTTGTACTTCGCCTTTCTTCGGCCGGTCTCGTCTGGAGGGCAGCTGGCATCGATCAGGCCTCGTCTGAGAAAGCTGAAAACAATACTAGTATAGCCGAAAGCACAAGTTCGTGCTTGTGAGAAAGACTGCACCTAAAGGTTCATCTCAGACGGGATACTTGACACCTGACAACCAAGGTCCCGGCAACTGTAATATCGCCTCTTCTGATTCTCATGAATGCCATCCGGCCAGTCCGCCGCCTCTCGTGAACCCCGAACTCTGCACTGTCAGGTGTCACGGTTGTGGTTGTTGTGGTTGTGCCCTTGTGGCTCGGTGAGCCTCCAGATCTTCGTAGTCGATAAACGCCACCTGTGACAAATTGACAGCATGAAGCAAGGCCTACGGGCGCCAACATCATGTTTGTTCCCGCTGCAGGTCCGCGATCACGCAGCGGGCAGGCCTTCATGGATCGAGGGAACTTTCGGAACCTGGAACTCCGTTCAAGGCTTTCGTGCAATGCAGGCTCGTCAGCTGCCGTACAAACACAACCGATCCACAGCATTTAATTCATGTAGTATCCATCAGTTCAAGACTTTCTGCAGCATCCCTCAGCAAGCTCTGCTCCCTCCCCTGATGTCAGCTACTGCGTTCAACTGTAACACAACCTCGTGCGAGAATTTCTGTGCCGGGGACATGATGTTGGTGTGCTTGAGCTGCATGGGGTTGAAGAACGCGTACATCTGCATGGCCACCTTCCGAGTCTGGAGCGCAGCTGGAGTTTCTGTCCCAGGATTTCATGTTTGCCACAGTCGCATAAGATCTTCTCAGAAACTCAGCATGTTGCATGGATTCAATCCACTGCAGTCCACGGCTGCTCTTGCTGGCCCGGACATTATGTTCAGGCAACAAAGCATGTTGGAGTTTTGCCAAGGGCCGCACTATGCAGGTAAAGGCATCGCTTGGGTCCCACACTTGTCCAAGCCTTGATCAGAAGCAACGTGTGCCGGGTACGTGCGACACTTCGTTGACTCCCCTGCGCATGCATCAGAAAAATCCAGGGCGGCACTTGCCCCTTCGATCACCTTGGGCTTCAAAATGGCATTGTAGAGCCTGGTGGTAGTGCCTCACATGGCAATCGCTGCGGGACTGCCTACATGTTCCGACCAGCAAAATCTCCCGAAAATGCTACTTGTAGTCAGTGCAACCTGCACTGTCAGGGCTCTCTTGCAAAACTCTCTGCTACCTTGGCAACTGCACAGGTGGTACAGCAATGGGTTTGGCTTCTACAGACAGCCGCGTTTTCGAAGTCGTTACAATCCTCTTCATGCCAGGTTGTGTGATGACATGTGATGATTCAGGGACACATGGCACCATTGCTCGATACATCATCACTTGCCCAGAGCTTAGGCTGTCTGGCATCATGCCCGCGACGGTCCGGAAGAGCGTTTGAAGGCGCATAGACGCCCAGAAGCCTAAGATGCTGCAAGCTTGCAAGCACTGCCGGTCGCCTGGACAACCATCTCTGTATGCAACACTCTTTCCTGATGATGTTGAGATTGCCACAGTCATATACAGTAATGGGCAAGTATATAACTCGAAACACATCAATGTTTTGGGGCTCGAGCCTTTTTTTGTATTGGACTCACAGGCCTCGAAAGCTTTTTTTTAACAGGAGCTGCAGTGCGCATCCTGATCCCTCGACTGCAGTGCTTGGAGGCCTTTGTTGGGGAGCTTTTCCCTTGCATTTTCGTTCTGCAGCGAGAGCTTGGGGGCTTGGGGGGTCCTCAGCCCAAACAAGCTTTGGGGCAGATTGGGGCAAGGTCCGGATCAGGTTCCGTCGTTGAAACGGAGTCAACACAAGCTCAAACCATCAACCATGCGAAAACCTGGTTTCATGGACAGTCTACAGTCATGATTTCAGGTGCTCTCAGACCCCCATACCGTCCAAAACCATGGAAACCATGGAGTTCAATGAATCTCAAAGCTAAGATGGAGCCAAAACAAGCCCAAACCATCAAACCGCACCGCAAGCATGACACGCCCTCAAATTAAACACATGCGGTATATCTGCTGCGCATTAGATGTTTACAGTTTACAGCTTCAGGCGGTCTCTCAGGGGCCATCCTGTTCCAACAACATTGGCCGTGACTCGTCTTCTGAGCAAGAAGCAGCACGGCATGAATGATGCAGCCGAAGCCACTTAGCTTTTCCCAATGCTCGTCGGTATACTTGCCCCAGACTTTGCCGGCCTGATGCGGTCGGCTTAAAAACGAAGTGTTCTTTTTCTTTCTTTCCACACAAGCCTCCCCGCACGCGATCGCGCACTCTCTCTCTTCTTCTCCCAGGCTTAAGTGGCGAGTCAAGCCCCCCCAACACCAAGCCCGCCCGCCTTTTACGGGCTGTTAGAGGGGAGTGAAGGTTTGATGACTGTGTTCGACCGAAAAAGCAGTGGACACTCTCTTCTGCCGGGCATGAGGGGCTGCTTAGACCCCTCGGCCACTAGGGCCCCCCCATGTTTTGTGGGCACTCTCTCTCTCTCTCTCTCTCTCTCTCTCTTTCTTTCGCCAGGGCTGTGCTGTAGGGGCTTTACCCCCTACACCGCTCTCTCTCTCTCTCTCTCTCTCTGTCACCTGTTAGCCGCGACGCAAGACACAGCGATTTCGCTTTGTGCGTGTATCTCCGAAACTACAAGGACTTCACATGCATCGCCCATTCATCCGAAATTTCTTCTATGCCGAGTGTGCTCTCTAAAACGCGGAAACTTTCCACTGCAAAGGCAACACGGTCTGGCTGTAACCAACAAACAAACAACGATATCGGAATCTCCGCCTTTGGCCATGTGAAGCCGCGAGCAAGCCTGGAATCAGCTCTAGTCTGCTCTGCACGGCGCCAGCAGTTACTACCACGTCTCACACAGGATCTTCAGCATGAGTCTTGCTCAGGTTTCTGCGCAGTGCTTGTCATTTTTTCCGAGAAGTTGTCGAACTCGTCCTGGGGCGGGGTCCGACGAGCCATGAAGCAGACGGAAGCTTAGTTGAATGATTGTGCCATCGAGCTGATAACAACGGTCCGGCGTAAGTAATCCGAAGGCGTGTCCTTGTACTTATCTGCGAGCCAATCCATCAACGGAATGCTGTACAGCTTTCCCTGGTTCTCCGGCCTGAGAAACAAAGAAAATCACGTTTGCTTTGCCACTTCAGCTCGCGATCCACAAACCCAAACCCGTGTCCTGCATTGGTTGGGCTGTGTACTTTCAGACTGCTTGATGCCACATGTAGCATGCCTGGTAATACCGCGAAACATGACGGATCTCAGCACAGCTGCACATGCATAGAAGACCTCGTAATATTCCCTCGGATGCTGTTCCGTGGCCTGCTGTCACCTACAGCAATGCAATTGAATTTCATCGCAATCAACTTTGGATCTGGCATTCATTCCGCACGGGATGGAAGAGGCTGGAAGAACAAGTGATGCGCTGGAAGGCACTACATTCGATAAACAAAAGATACAGTTTCCAGTAGACTACAACTTACACTCGATGCCCTCAAGAGGTTTTTGTATCGGCCGAATCCACACACCTCTTCTTCTGTGCAGTCACGGTGGGCTTCTTCGCCCTTACATAATCCATTAACCGATTAGCAAGTTGGCCGTATGTCCTGAAACGCTGGCATTCTGCAGTGAATTGGTCAGTGCTGCCGCATGCGCCGCAAATGGCATGCACATTCTGCGCGGTCAAGCGCCATGTGTGCGAATGCAGCACCAGGACATACGGTGCAAATGTACCCTCGTCGTGCTTCGCACTGGCAATGCACCAGGACCAACATCGTCGTTATCAACTCGCCATGATGCGCGGCAGCTCCTGAGCCTGTCAGTACCATGGGACACAAACTCTTAGTTGCTGGCTGTATCTGGTAATGAGAAAGGCGAAGATGTCTCCTACTCTCCTCGAACTCTGCTGCGAGGCCATACGTGTACCGCAAGCTTAAGCCTCGGCCGCTGCAAGAGATTTCAGCGTTCCTCGGAAGCGGCCCGGACCTGCAATCAGTCCTTCGGAATGCGGGATCTTTCTGCGAAAGCCGTACTGGCAGTCATGGGACAACCGCTGACAATCTCAGAACCACGTTGGTTTGGCTTGACTTCAGCTCCTTCTTCTTCTCCTGCTCTTGCTCGGCCGCGAAACTGTTGAAGACCTGCTGAACATGTCTGCCATGAAAATCCCTGGCAGTGACACAGTGACACATTGATATGCAAGCTCAAAGCGAACGGAGAATCTCCCGCGTGACCTGCTCCAGAGTGGACTGACCTTGAAAGCATCAGCAACGCTTTTGAGTCGGGAATCAGCATACCGAGAGTACCAAGTCCGAAGCAGACTGCGAAGTCGCTCAAACCAAACTGCGGCTTGGCCTGCGCAGCGGTACCGACAGGACTCCGAAAGCATTCAGCGCATGCGTTCCCCATGCAGGGATGCAGGGCGGTTGCATTATGGCCTTACCAGTGACAAGCCTTCCTTACACTCCCTGAAGAGAACAATGAACCATCCGATCGGCGAGTCGTGGACACACGCACCCTCCGTCTGCCAAGAGTCCCCCGCCTGGGAGAGCGCCGCGAAAAGCTTGGGAAGCTGCCTAGGCCGAATATATCGGCAGGTGGGATTGGAGACACTCCAAGAAATCAGCACTTGTATTGTTGGCTATCTTCGCAGACGTCCCGTAGAAAGGGGATTTGCATGTGCGTGCGGGTTGCTCTTCACCGGCAGCTGGCAGGCGTAGGCGCAGCGAGCTGCCGTGGAACTCGAGGACCATCACCTCCGCCGCTCCACCGCTCCGACGCTCCGCACAAATCCTTCCGCCGAATCCGAATGCCCGGAGACTCTGAGAGGCCTCGCCTCGCCCAGTTGAAGCTCTCCCAAGCCCTCAGGCGTAGGGGCAGAGAAGAAGCCTGCGCAGCTCTCTGCACGTGGTCGCTTCGTGAAGGTCATAAGCTTCATAGCAAGGCTGCAACATCTCAGAACCGAGATCCCAAATTCCCGATCTTTCACTTTGCCACTCCTCACCTATCATGCGGCTAATTCAGGGTTCCACTCCGGATCGACTTTCTGCCGCCAATCCCAGCCTTTGAACTGCTCCAAGCGATTTTGCATCACCTGGCAGGGGTATGACAAAAAAATCTTGTAATCGAATCTCCTACGAACTCGATCGCACGCTTGTCCCGGACCCAAGAGGTCGTCCGTCGTCAACCAGAAGGTTGGGCACAATGAGTATTGCCAAGCATTGCACAGTGCTGATTACAAATACTCGGGTCTAGGTCGTCCAAGCTCGTGCACTGCGGGATGGTACGGTCTGGTTTCGGCGCTCACACTCGTACGGTCTGGTTTACGGTTGCGCAGACATACGCCCAAAGCGAGAATCGCCAACGAACACTCGACCATTCCAGCGGTGGCTGCCTGCCACTCTGCCACGACTTCAGCCGCCACCTCCTGCGACAAATACAACGGTCAGATTGCGATGTTGTTTTGCACATGTTGCTCGCGGGGATCAAGCCTTAGGCCTTAGACTCCAAACAGCACCGGTTTTTTCTCATCCCTAAACCCAACCGCCTCCACGTTGGCGGGCAGCGGACCCGATGGCCGGGCTGCAGCGTTGCGAAGCTCCAGAGGCAGGGACTCCATGGCCTGCAGGGTATTGTGATGTCAAAAGCTGGCCATCACGAAGCCCTAAGTCTTTTAAGCCACTCTTATTCAGTTCTTGTTTGTTTTGCGCAGTAGGTTGCAGTGATTATGATGAATTCGTCGCGCCAGAACATGCAGTCGTATCACTGCTCTCATCTCCAGCATGCCACCGATACAAGAGTGGCCATCACAGGTGACTGCAGGCCTGCGATCGCGAGATCATCGAATAACCACTTCGATCCAGTTGCCGTCCTGTTTGGGCAGAAGGGCATACGGGCAAAACGGGCAAAGGCTTTGCACTCTTTGCATTCGGACGTGTACAAACAGCGGATCTGTGGACTCAGTACGTAGAACGACCTATCCCAAAGCCAAAGTCATGAAGGCCTTCTGCTGGAAATCGTCAAAACGTTCAACGAAAGCCGTTTGCCAATGGCTGCTGCGAGTTTGCAATAAGGCTCTCGGATGTGGGAATTTGGACGACCTCTTCTAAGCATTCTACATCCGGCTGCGACTGCAGTGATGTGGTGCACAGGAGGGCAACCCGTACTCTCCACAGGGCCTGCGGGAAGAAACTTGGCAGCCAACTGTGTGAGCGCCTCAGCTGCTTCAGCATGCATCAATGCCAAGACCTCTCTCGTTCGCTCTCACGAACTGTGTGTGTGACCTCACGCGGAACAGCACTGAACTTCACGCTGACCTCATAGCCTGACAACAGGCATGGGAAATTCATATTCAGGCAGTGTCTCCATGAAGACGCAAGCGCGGATGCCTGACCCGTACCTGGACTTCAAGTGCTGCGCGGAGCCGAGACCTTCTGTTTCGTCCACTGTCTGTGGGGAAGTCGTGTCTGTTGTTGCTACATCTGTCTGCCGCGCACGTTTTCGGCCAAGACACATCGGAATTGTCCATCAACCTGGATGGCGATGCTGCTGCACAATGCCTCAGCCAAGGCGCACATGAAGGCTTTGCCGAATTCTGGGATCGTGCCAGTGCCATGTCAATGTGGCCTCGGCTTCCTCCATGGAATGTGTGGTGAGCACCACGACCGATTGCTTTCGCTTCTCTGCCATGTCCTCAGCTTGGGAGCTTTACCCTCAAGCGGTCACAGAAACAATGCATCACCGCCGCTGTCGAAAACTGAACAAAAATGATGAAACGTCGTGGAATTTATCCTCTTCTTTGGCTGCTGGTCAAGTATAAGCTGCCACGACACACAAACCGACACCGGTGCTTTCTGCAGGAAAGGTTCCTGTATGACAGACCACATAAAGCGTCGCGCAAATGGATCCATGCCTTCGCTCGCCAGCCACAGCACTACTGACGCTGCTTGCAGCTTGTGTCCACCAAAGGTCTGAAGCATGTACAGCGATGTCCTAGAGTTGGCAGGTTCAAACAATCGATAGCAATCGCACAGCTCATTCTAGCATATACAGATACAGCATGTGCACAGGAAGGCCTTTGCGACAGCAAGGAGTGAGTCCACGTCAAAGGCCCCCTGCCTGTGCTTGGCTCGTCGAGAAATATCACCGGAGGCTCGCCGATGAGCGCCATTGCTACAGACAACTTCCTCTTGTTACCTTCAGCAGGCAAGGTGCCAGGGCTGCGTGTCCAGGAAGTTCGGGCACTCTATCATGGAACTCTCTGAACGCTTGGCTCCCGCACCACCCGACAGCGTCCCGGCTCGACGGAAGCGGTACTGGGACAGCTGCATCTCCTGCTTTGTGCTCTAAAGTGGTTGCAAGGGGTCGGAATTGGAAGATATTGGATGCGTACTAGTAACAGCCACATGTCAGATTCTCCTCCACTTTCTCGTCTACCTTGCTTGTGGTGTGCTGAGTGCAACTTGGGCATTGTATGCAGAACCGCACCAAGAAATCAACACATGCACTTTCTTCCTGTCGGCCTGTGAATATGCCAACGACGCACGATCAGTAAAAACAGGATGGGGCAGCACGGGCCCTTCCTCATACACCAAGATGCGGCACTTCTTAAGTCTTTGCCTGCGAGGCCTGGGCACACTCTGAGCTGAAGCTTGAGAATGCTGTTGCTGCAGCACTTCTCTGAACCAGGCTTAAATGCGGTCTGCCGAATTGGAAGTCCGGACAAGGTCTCTCCAGCTTCTCAAACCCAGTCGCCTTTCATGCGGCCATACAGGTACAAATGCGACTCGACGGTCATGACATGTATAAGGGCATCGAACTGCGGGCAGTATCCTTGGATGCTAAGACAATTTCTCAGGCTCGCAGCCCATGACTTGGCATGGCTTGCAGATGTTGCAGCTGCGACTCCGATCAATCGCCGTGCCCGGCTCGTCTCCTCAACCATGTCAATACCTCGAAACAAGCAAGCCCCGCAAGCAAGCCGGCTCAACGAGGAAACACGGCCCTCCGGAGTCTTACTGGCCTGCGCCCTGCACTGGCAGCATTTTGGGCAGGGTCTCTCTGCATCCTAGCTGCCCAGCACACGCACCTCTCCAGCTGACGGGGTCAGGATTCCTGGCCAAGTTTGTATCTTTGCGTTCGGACGTGATGGAAAGCTGGAATTTGTAAGGGCTCCTGTCTGCATGGCATTTGTTTCAAACACATTCGATGCATTCGACTGCTAACCCTTTTTCTCGCAAGGGGCCACATCGCCTCTCATTGCCTGTTATGGCTGGAACATGAGTTAACGCCCCCCACCCGGCGGCCTGACATCAGCTTGAACGATGTCGTCTTCCCGGCACCGTTGACACCCAGCAAACCGAACACCATTCCCTGCGACATGCAACTTCAGTCGAGCAGTAAACAGCAAGCAGCAACCTGCAAACGATGGCGATTAAGTGATCAGTTGCGCATTGAAGTAACTCAGTACAGTTGGACAAACCGGCTCTCTCTGCATGGCACGCGCCTGGTCTGCGGCCCAAGTGACGCCACGCACGGCATGAGTGACCTGCAACTTGACATGCAGCAAACGGCTGGCTTCTGCCTTTCCCAGGGGTGGGAGAATGAGTTCGAATCAATTCTCTAAGGCTCCAAGGCGCCTTCGAGCTCAGCAACGAACCGTAAGCTTTGCGCAGGCCGTTGACGTACATGACCTCTACACTGCAACAAAGGAGCACTGTCACTGTCGAGCTCGGATGCTGCCGCCTGCTTGCGGGGATCTACCGTCGCCACCCTGTCCTTTTCTGCTCGAACATCCTGGTCCTGCATACTTGCAGCACTGCTTGCTGACAGGTTCAAAGGAGTCAAACGAACGAAAGGGCCTCCAGAGTGAGCATTTCAGGTGGGACGGGCTTGCTGATGGTGAACTTCCGGGCGATGCGAGGGCTCTGCGATAAATCCTGTCTGCGCTGAGGAAGCCAAAGCTTTGCTGCCAGCTGCGGTGGCCCGATTCTGAGAGGCGGAGACACATCATGCCGACTGGCAAGCACGTGAGACATCCTCCAGCACGATCGCAAGCAATGGCAGGACGACGCACCTTGCCAAGCACAGGTGCAGCGACATGCACGTGCACGAGAGCTAACACTCTTAATTACTACGCCGCATGCAATGACTTCTGAAGGCATGAAAATCGGCTTCGGCCTGTTGGCCTATGTGGTACTCATGTTGGCTCCAAGGCACAGTGCCGCCAGTCGGATCATGGTGTCATTCATAGTTGGCAGGGTAACCATCATCCTGGCCACGCTGCATTTTGCCAAAACGATGTCCGTGCATTCAGAACCTATGAAGCTGTATCATGCTGTATCACCAGGCCCGAGGCCAGTACGGACGCAACATGTCTTGCACGTGTGCCAGAGTTGTCGTTTCGCCTCTTCGAGGCCAGCATGCAGCCAGCGTATTGGAAGTTACAAATGGATCGCGGCCCGCAAGCGATTGCCGGAGAATGCAAGCTGCGCTACCCTTTCTCGGGTGGTCTTTTGGGGCCAATTATCTGCGGCCCGCGTATTGAAATTTGGAAATGGTGCAACTCGTGTAGTGGAATTTTCAATGAATCGCGCTTACGGGAGAAGGCGAATCGCAGCGACACCGAATGGCGGCACACCCACAGAAAGCCCGCAGCTGCCGACGAGCCGAATCCACCTACAGGATTACTACTTCCGGGCACCCCCGCGGCGGAAATGTAGCACGTCCCACTTCCGCTCCCGTCTTTTCTTCAGATCTCGCAGTGAAAAGTCGTCGCGTCACCACACTGGCAGCGTGACTTGGTGCGCAGAAGCTGCCCAGAGAAGATGCCCCAACCGAGAGGGTTGTTACTTCGAGAGCAACTTGTGGTTCGTGTTGTGGAATTTGCAGAATTTACGATTGATCGAGTGCCGACCGGAGAACAGCGAGGGGCCCAGGTGCTGGAATTTACAACAATAAACTGTGGTAATGGGTCGTGGCGACCGGCGGGCACGGGCGTGGTCCAAGGTATGGCAATGTACAAGAGACATCAAGGGATCGCACTCATCTTTGCAAGCAGACACAGTTGTGACATCGGAGGACGAAGAAGTCTCATGCATTGGAATTTGCATGAATTTGCCATGGATCGCACAGAACACCGAGAGTAATTAGTATCATTTCGGGCCAAAAGCGGCCGCGCATTGGACTTGAACATGGATCGCGGCGGTACGAAACGATGAGCGGTGCAACCCCCACGCCGACCAGCCTTGCCAAACCTGTTAGACGACCGCACATCAACATCCTCATAGCATGAATATCATCACTTCGCGCCGATTTGTGCCAACAACGGAAAGCCCTCCGCAACGCTTCCCAACCTCTTACTTAGAAAGTCGTATATCGCCGAGCCGCTCAATCAGGGGTCCGACTTCACCTCCAATTCCCAGATCACAGGGCACCTTCCCACAAGGAAGCAGTACCAAAGGGTTCCAAGACCATCCACTCCAAATCACCTTTGCTCGAAGGGCACCTGGCCTTCACCTCCAGTGGTCCCAAGGACATCTGTGGTAACGTTATTCCGACGTTCTTCGCCTGCCTTGGTTCTTGGCTTTGTGCTGCCTTCATTTCAGGGCCTGTGCCGCAACCGATATTAGGATTTTATCAGCCGATGGCACTCCTGACTCAGGCCCTGCCGATGCCTTGCGGCCTTGCCGTTGCCTCTGACCAAGCCCACCCAAGCCCACCGCTCTGAAGTCAAGTCGGGGAGAAGTGCTGCCCAGATGCGGAATCAACTCGGCGATGCTTACGGGGCCGATTGAAGGGCCGATGGTGCACTTGCCCCACCCCTGAACACAGGCAGACTTTGCACAAACCACACCCCCGGAAACTGGACACAGGCAATCAAGCTATGCTGTGTTCACTACTCGGGGTGCGGCATTCAGAGGCGGAAGAAACCTGGAATACAGCTGCGATCACGGCAACCACAACATGGACACATTCATATGCCACGCATTGCCACGCACTTTCAATACAAAAGAAGCACCTCAGCTGACGACCTGCCACTTGGGAATGCTAGTGCTTGCCGAGAGTCTTGTCCCCATTCTGAGTCAGCGCGGGGGATCTGGCCACTGCCTTCAGCGCCGTCCGCAGCCTGCTCAAGGAACCATTGCACTGCCTTTTCCGCAGGGAGGAATATCGTAGGAATGTGTCACCAGTCACCAGCGAGGCATGCCAGTGTAGCATTGAACTGATCGGCAGATTTGAGGAATTCAAGCCAGGGCAAGACTGGGGGAACTCCCGCCTGGCCTGTCTCCCAGCATTTCAGCGTGAGTTGCCAGAAGAGGCCCGACTGCCCCAATGGGTGCTCCGTCTTTGATGGCGCATTGCCTTCTTTGAGCAAGCATGTTCGCAACTTTCAGGCATGTGAGCCGACACCCATGCATTTCCCCGATTTGATTTGAAGTCTCGCCAAGAAGCAGAGCATTCCTCCATGGATCTTGCTCCTGCGATAAAGGCCACGTTCGGCAGCTAAATGCGTGAGCAGCTGACAAACCTCAACTATACAAAGACCGCATAGTGCTAGGCAATGTGCCTCGGGGGGCAAGAGCGATATCAGTCTTTGGCCCCCGAAGACCATCGCCATGTCCTGTTGTGGAGGCCAGCGATACAAGCTCGCAAGGATGTGCTGCCTCTTTGGTTGTTTCGCTGCCGAGTGGCGGCCGGGTGCGCGGTATACATCTGCACCATGGCGTCAATCTGCTCGGCTGTTTCCGGTGGCAACCCCTGCAGCAGCTTAGTTGAAACTTCTAGGGCACAGAAACAAGATCACGCCAATGCAGCCGTCTTCGTGAAGGGGCGTAACACAACGTCTCAAATTCTCGCAAGGGGTTCTACCATACTCCTGGTACATCTGGCTGCTCGACTCGTGGCAGGTTGCATTCTAGTTAGGCCGGGCAGTGGATGTCACAGCGAATCAGCCGGGACGATGCCTGCTTGATGCCGTCGACGATCTGTAGAATGGGCTGAAGAAGCTGGCGTGCTACCGACTCGTCAAGCATTGTCGCCGCCTCGTCGGTTGTCAAACTCGCTGCCAGACCCCGCTACCCAAACACCGGCATGCCGGATGATGTTCAAAGCCGCTGGACCACCTGCTTCAAGGTGCAGCCTGTCGAACTCCACTTTGCGGATCCCCTGGATGCAGCATGAAACTCTAGTATCTTCGATTCCAGAGCAAAGACAATTAGACGCAAGCCTCCAAGCATTGTAGGCAAAACAGTCCTCAGCAAGCGCCAGACTGTGACATGAAACGAGCATCGTCCCGCGATTCACCACTCACACTCGGAACGACTCTCGGAAGGCTTGTCCACTGGACGCTTCAGGAAACAAGCACCTCCAAAGCACAGCAGATGGGCGAGTCCAGCATGAAGGCCGCATTTCTAGATGTTGCTTCTGGCGATGTCTCACATTTCGATGTGGTGCTGGTTCAGCCGGCTACAGTACCAGATGCGAGCGGCATCGAGCGGCTCATGACAATCGAAACGTAGCTACATCCTGGAAACTCGTTTGGCTATCTATGGGCTTGCTATCTGCTTCTCGGGCGCCGAGTCTGTTGCCCTTGGCCGCCATTTCTCCCCACCTAGTTTGGCCAACAAGGTGCCGGACAAGTTGCAGCAAGTATCTGAATAATGAAGTTTACAACAAGCGAAGCATTGGGGGGGCAGGTCCATGCAGTGTCTATCATCGGAGTCACTCACTAGCGTCAGCCGAGCTACAGCCACTGAACAGCCTTCCAGCCGTATTTTCCATCAGCTGCCATGATGTCCTCAGGTGGGACTGAATGTTCCCTGCCCTGCGCCAAGGGGCGTGCACCAGAAAAGCAACACTTCAATGACAGCTCCAAACCCTCCATGTCAACCACCTCGTGTCACATGGCTTTGTAAAGTCTCGTTTCACCCTCCACTGTTACATCACGGTTAAAACAATTTTCAATACAGATACTGATGTTAAGGCGGCATTAAGACCATTCAGAGGGCTTTCTTTCAACAATGGTCTCTGCTTCCTGACGGGATATAATGCTGGGAGCGCAGTAGTTGATAGATGGTACTGTGCCCGCCAGGAACCGCCCGGTATAAGTGTAGCCCGGGCGTGCTGCCGCAGATTTGCCACGTGTTGTGTAGCTGCTGCATGTGCAGGATTTCGTCCTCACAAGCTGCTGTTGCCTCACCGCGTTGCAGTCTGCCGAAGAACTAGCATCTTTAACCACTCAGTTTAAAAAAAAGTAAGTCAAGCCGCCCACGATAAACAATGATTTTCAGAGCTGTTCGAAACTTAGGGAAGAAAGTATCAGGGCATATCAAGGCCATGCGTCGTTTCGGCCATCCGTTCCAAGAATTGAGGCAGAACCAATGTCACCTTGGTCGAGCTCTGACACATGCATCCTGTTCAACCCAGCAGTACAAGCTGGCAAATGCTCTGGCTTGCATGATTGGATCTTCCTTTAAGGTAGACTTTTCTACTGCGGCCAACGAACAAGCGAGATCGGACACGAACACACTTATACTTATGCGCCGCAAAGCTCTTTTCACCAGTCCTGTGGGCATTAATTATCTACTTTCTGCATGCATGCATCACTGTCGAGGCTGCACTTGCGGAAAAGCGACAAATGCATGGCGTCCAGTAATGCGAAGCAGGCCATCCAAAAGGTGAAAGCCGGGCAAGAAAAAGCCCACGCCCTGCCGAGACAGTAACCATGCACGTGCGCAGGTCTGCAGTCAAGCGAAAGCCCCAGCAACAGCTTCTGTTGAAACTTCCCTGGTTCCGTTTCGCTTTAGGCTTTCTGACTAGTGCTCGACCGATAGCTGCGCATGAGTAGATTCGATTAGTTGCGAAGAACTGGAGAAGCAGCAAAGAGCCATCTCTCCTTGCACGTGCGAAACCGAAACCGACAATCTCAGGCTACGAATTTGTGCATGTAGGTCCGGAGGATCGGGTCGACTGCCCCCGGCCTTTAGAATGGGAATTCCAATGTTGGAAGCTTGCACCAGTCTGCAAAAGAACTTCAGGTCCGCATCTTTCAAATCCTCAGAAATGACAATGGATGCAGAAAAACCCAGAAGGCAAAGGGCAGGTTTGGAGGGCCAGAGATCCGAGGAGCCGAGGCCTCATGCCGTTGTGACTGGTCAGGCCGTGCCCAAGCATCTCTGCCAGGCAGCTGTGCAGTCACCGTTCATCGTTTTGGCAAAGTCGCCCATTGATGCCCCACCGCCATCGGAGCCTCGAAAAATCTCTGCAGCACCGACTCATCACATCACTGGCGTGCCCTTCTTCCGACTGAGTCCTGGCACCAGCGCTGAAAGCCCTTTCGATGGGTACAGCCTTGGTGAAGATGTCAAAGAAAAGGAAGGTCATCACCTTGTCAGAAATGCTCAGAAACTCTTCCCCAATTCAGACCAGTTTGGGGTCCAGCACCTACCTGGTCGGGGAATGCGGCTACTGCAAGTTGAGAAGAAGCGCTCAAAAGTCTGCGCTTTGGGTGTCCTGTCAATTTTTGTTGGTGTCCCAGTCGCATACTTGTCGTGTGTCGCGGGTTTTTTGAATCCGCGTCTCGTTGGTGTCCCAGTCGCGCCCCGACCGGGACACCGGTCGGAACGCGTTGTCCCGGTCGATTCTAATTCGTATCCCAGTCAAGTCTTGTTGGTGTCGCGGTCGGTGTGCTGGTCGCGTCGTTGGTGTCTCCGTGGGAGTCATTTGGTTTTGGTCGATGTTCCATCAGATGCTGAGTCGGCAATATGATAGGGTTTTTGATCTTCGTCGCATGCACAAATGGTTTCGGCGCTCACACTCTACAATCCAGGCGAGGCAGGTGGTTCGAGATCTCGTGAGTGAAAACATATGGTTTAGTGTATGTATACGAACATTACTACGTAATGCGAAAGGGACTGCGTATGACGGATCATGCCCAGCATAATTCACCACAGGTCTGGCTGCATTGAGATCTGCATTGAAACTGTGAACTTCAATGCAGCGAGGCCCGCGGAACCAAGAACCAAGATGCCCAGGACTTATGAATCTTGGTTCGTCTTGCCCGGGTGAATTCAAGTTCAATATGCAGATCTCAATGCAGACATCCTCGCAAGCAAGATCCAAGATTCAAGAATACTTTTTTGCCTCTTGAATACTGGGCATCTTGGTTCTTGGTTCCACGGGTCTGGTTGCATTGATGCTCAATTTGTCAATGCTGGTTTCAGTGCAGGCAAGTCGGTGGGAACCATATATGTTTTGTTGATGGTCATGTTGGATACCGAACATTATATACTACATATCTGTATTATCATGGTATTATAAGAAACGTCGATTTGTTATGTTCTCTCTCACATGGTCACTGCTGCACTGAAAGGTGAGAGCATAAGGGAATGGGTTGCTGTGCAGCACGGATTGATTGCGCGACAATGTATGTCTGACATCCCAAGACAAGGCCTTGTAGAACATCGCCTATACATGATACATCCTGAATACCTTATGCATGCCATATAGAAGACACATACAATACCTTTTAGGATACCCCTTAGAATCCCATATAGGATACCCTAAAGATACCCTATAGATAGGGGTTTGAACATGGAAAACCAGCGGGAGCCCAAGATCTGAGAAGTGCCCATATGAATTTCGGCTTTTGGGTGAAGACATCAGGAGCCAAGAAGAATATCCTTGCAAATGCCTTATGGCATACCCCCTCTATGCATCTTAAAGAATTTCATGTAAAAGACATTGCAGAATACCTTCCCAAATATAGGCTACAGACAGAGTACCTACAGAATACCTTTTGTACAGTACCTTATGGAGTACCCTATAGACTACCGTATAGAATGCCCTATAGAATACCATCTGGGATACCCTGCAGAAGACCTTACGGAAGACCGCCTATGTAATATACCTCAAGTATACCTCATAGAAGATCCTCTAGAATACCTTTTAGAAAACATGTTCTAATAACTTATAGAATACCCTGTAGATCACGATTCTAAAAGGAACATCCTTAGCAAAAACCCACCGTGTAATAGCGCAGCATAATACTTCGTGGTTCGAACGGTGTTGTGTGGTCGCAGACAGGGAATACTACGTTTCTACGCAATGCTTAGCATCTTTGTCTTGGTCGGAACGGCTGCGGGACACAAGACTTTGGTTCGGAGTGGAACCGCAACGTAGCTTCGAGGCAGGTCGTACCTTTATCTTGGTCTGACTGGGTTTGTGTTGTCGGAGACAGGGCAACCAGGCAATAGTTTGAAGCATTATCTTGGTTTGAACGGTTGTTGTATGCGAGACTTTTTTCGGAGTGGAGTCGCAACATAATCTAGAAAGTACAGAGGTGGCTTCGAGGTAGGTCGCACCTTTATCTGGGTTTGTGATGTCGTAGACAAGGCATACTAGGCAATACTTAGGGTCATTATCTTGGCTTGAACGGTTGTTGTGTACAAGACTTTTGTGCGGAGTGGAGTCGCAACGTAATCTAGAACGTACAAGAGGTGGCTCCGACGTGGGTTTGGGAGGGCGGGTTGCATATACATTTATATATACATATGTGTTATGTATGTATATTAACATATATATATATATATATATATATAGACATCTACATTTACATCGCTTTGTGGAGGTCGTGGTCACACCTGTCGGTGTGCCTGCCAGAGTCCCTGTCAGGGTCACAGCTCTTGTGGAAAGACAATGCAGTTTCGGCGATTGACAGCATTTCTATTCGCCTTTGCTGTCTGCAGCTAAGTCATTTCCTTTGTGGTCATTGCACCTGCTGTCGCAAAGGGTTTAGGAAATATCTTCTGGATATTTCTTTTGACCTGAGCAATCATGCGTAGTGTACCGGCGCGCGAAACAAATCTGCCGAGATGGCACACCGGAACCGCAGCCCTAGAGCCAAACTAGTCTACGATATTGCTGGGCGCCGGGCCAAGAAAACCACCATGACACCGTTGCACAGTGCAAGGCCAACCTGGCAACTACCAGGGTGGCATTTCACTCAGCATTCTTCAATGCATTTCCGTCGATTCACTTGAAACTGTAGGCAATGTGCCGAGGCGAAGCTGCAAGTCACGCCGAGAAACATTCGCCAGTGCTTGCGAAGATGTCATATGCGACACGACGTAAGCCAGTCCTTATGACGAGTGCTTCGCCCAAAGTGCAAGCCTCAGAGACCTCATGGCAAAGCAAGACTCCAACTGCTGCCGGAGTGAAGAAAAGAAGGAGAGCCAAGGAGGTCTCCCAGTAGTAGATGAAGGCTTGGAAGCCTGCATGCCGGCAATGTGGCAGCAACCCGCATCGCAAATTATGCGTGTCATGTTGCGGGTGTGCGGGGTGCGTTGCTTCAGCATGCATCGAACAATCCCTTCCCTCGGACACAATGGCGATGTGTTGTTGGCGAGTGGCTCCGCATGGCCTGGCAGCCCTATAGCCTAGCTCCAGAAAGCCGAGTGGCCGTAAAACCACAGGAAGCCATACAGGGCCAAGATCGGGAACACGGTGAAGGCGCAGTCCTACGGGATGTCGATGTTGATAAGCTGACTCACTTCTTGGCTTTGAGTGGTTTGCTCGCACAGCGACAGCTGCAGAATGCTGCAAATGTCTAGTGTGGAGGTCGTCCTGCACTTACGTATTTTTCGCAGTCGCTCCAACCTATTCTCGATGTGTCCTTGCGTGTTGTTGGCCTGTTTACTTCCGCCTTACCTCTGGCTGGATTTCATCTGAGGGAAGTGTAGGGCAGAAAACCATCTAATTGAAGAGAACTTGAGAACTATTGTCAATGTTTTTCCAGAGTTTGCTCGGTTTGTTTGATATTTTGGCCGTTTAGGCACGATCTTTGGGGGAAGGGGGGAAGGTTGTGAAACATGCAGGAGCGGGGTGAACATCGCAAATTCGGAGAGGCCTTGGAACATCTCGTTGAACCTTGTAGTAGCATAATAACTACATCCGAAGCGGAAAAACTAAACTCCAACTAAGACAAAAACTCTGTCCGAAAAACTTTGGTTGGCAGACCGTCGAATCCCCCTCCCCCGTCCCAGATCAGCATGGAGACCCAGTAGGCGCGGGCAGAACAACCCGAGATCATGAGCTGGTGTTTGATGTCCTTCGCTGCATGCGCATACACACTCTCGTTCTCAGAATGGCACGGCTCCACTGGCTGGACGTCCCCGATCTACTAGGCAAGTCTGGTGCACCGCCACTACGTGGTGATGGATTCGATGTGTCCGGTGGACGTCCGGCCAGCCCCACCCACTCAGTCATGATTCCTCCGTCGTGAGTTCTCAAACCCCGATGCCGTTTGCTCCTTCCTCAAAGTCTCGACGAGCAGTGCGAACCGCGTACACAACCAGCCCCTCTCCAAGCTTTAAGCGGATCTCTGAACGTCATTAGGAGCAGGTCGAAACTCGCAGCCAAGGACTTGAAATCAGGAATTCCAGAGTAGCATTGCAAGTTTTGAAGGTGGTTAAAATCAGGCCGTGTAAAGATTAATCATGTGTGGTGTCGCAAGGATCCTCCCAGTAAGACCGTAAGACCTGCAAAGTCCGGCCTTCGTCTTCTCCATGAGTACGAAGCCGAGCACAGCAATCGGCACAAAGCAGAAAGCGAAGTTGCTGAGGATGCTAATCTCAGCTAATGAAACCATCAGAATCAACTCGAGATGTTGGTCTGGTATGTCCGGTATCTGCAGCAAAACTGCGAGGCACAGTCTGCCCCCACCCCCCCACCCCATGACTCCGTTGACGTCATGCGTCATGGATTTTTCCATGTCGACTCCATCTGGTCACGGAGTGTGCCTATGCATTGGGCTATGCCGTGCTACACTTGGGCCACGGCCATCAAGCTTGCCATGGTCTGAAGGATCAGGTTCCTGCAGAAGAGGCAAAGTGGAGAGGAAGCGCTCTCTCGACACCAGCTCTGTTCAGATTTCGAGAGCAACAGTCAAAACATTTCAATTCTAAACGTTGTATGCGAAGGCACTGCGATTTGTAGTGCTTCTGCTCGGGCACCGTCATAGGTGTGATCCTTGACGGAGAAGTAAGGACAGAAAGGCATGGGTGGATTCCGGCCAAGGCTGTAAGGGCAACCGGCGGACGTGTTACAAAGCCCTTGATTCCCGAAAGTCTGCGAAGACTCTTGCAAGCTGGGCGAATGTCGAGGTTTTTGGCATCCAAGATGCTCTTCTTTGATCTTCAGCTGAAGCCCGGTAGCCTGGACTCTGGACAGGCGAACTGCCTCCGAAAGTGGACGAGAACCCTACGGGCGCCCTTGCCCCGAGCCTCGTGGAACATCTCCATCACCGCTAGTGGAAAACCATGTGCAACATATGATTGGTTGGCAGCAACGACGGGGAAGCCGTCGATGAACAAGACCCCTGGCAGATGGTTCGAGGATACTCTGGGCTCTTCAGCGAACGGCTGCATAGGAATGACTCGGAAAGCCTGAGAAACAGCACGCACACACACACAAGGAACAAACAAAATACCCTGAGAAACAACACACACACAAGGAACAAACAAAATACGTCGAGATCTGCCTTGCACAGTGTCAGCTGTTGAAGGTCATCTTTGTTTACTAAAGGCGGCTTTCCATTGCGGCGGCAAAAAACTCTGGCGAATCCCTGAACTTCGCGCCTACGTCCTGTGGATCTTTCTGAGCTTTCTGCATCCTGTCTGGCGCCACGCCACAGCAGCATAACAATATGCGTGAGTCTTGTGATTCTCAAGGGCTGGGGGCTGCTGCTCACACGTACTACGGCACCAGGCGCGGATAAAAACGCCAAACGCCATATGCCTCCTCTCATGCCCTGTGCAACACCGCTCTGATTCTGGCAAAGCCGCAGCAGATCGTCAAATTGCACGAGATACCTCAGTTTAATGACAACCGCACCAAAGAAGCAGATGTGAACCCAACCGCGCAATTTAGAGCTGAAAATGAATGAATGTCCAAACCTTGACCATGCGGCTGCACCCATCGTGTCTTGCACGCATCTGCACCCTTGCCGGTGGCCCTGAGGAAGTGCTGAGACAAATCCAAGCACAACAAAACATCGACACACCACAAGACTACACCACTACTACTGCCACTGCCACTGCCACTGCCACTGCCACTGCCACTGCCACTGCACTGCTGCCACTGCACTGCCACTGCCACTGCCACTGCCACTGCCACTGCCACTGCCACTGCCACTGCCACTACCACTACCACTACCGCTACCGCTACCGCTACCGCTACCGCTACCGCTACCGCTACCGCTACCGCTACCACTACCACTACCACTACCACTACCACTACCACTACCACTACGACGACGACTACTAGGACTACTAGGACTACTAGTACTACTAGTACTACTAGTACTACTAGTAGCCCGGAGCCCCGCGGTGGACCCACCTTTCAAGATGAATAGGAATGTCCTTTGCTTGCTGCAAGTGCTGAAAGTACTGGTTTTGCCGTATGTTTCCATACTGAGTGCACTTGTCCATGGAATTGCCAAACCTCGTTTTGGGTGACCACCTCGGGTCTCCAAAACAGTCATTTTGGGCTTAAAACTGGCGTTTTGAACCACGCGGATGACGCATTTTTTTCCTTACTCCTCCTGCATGTCGCTGTGGCGCATGACGTCTCCGATCGTACGCCACAGGTCGTGCTGCGCATTCCAGTGCTTCCACTGGAGCTCACGGACCCGAAGCTCACCGGCTTTTTTGCGCTGAGCAGAAACCCCGTGGAGACTTTCCTTCATCCACGTCCACAGACCGTCCAGACCACAAGTACCGGCAAGCACCTTCTTGAGACCCTTTGAGGGTAGCTTGTGCTTGCAGAACTTCGTCCACTGAGGTCCTCCGTTCTTCTGAGGCCTCGAATGGTTCACGGAATCCAACTTGGCACCCAAAGCATGCTTGAGAGCAGCAGGGTAAGCGTGTGCTCCATCCACATGCCAAATGGACTTGGGATGAATGTGCTTTCCTGCGAACCGAACACACTCACTCTTTGTCAGCGGCGGCGGAGAAGCCTTGCCGGAGGGTCTTCTGTTGCAGGAAGTGTCCCCGTCACGTTCTTGGAGAATCAAGGTCGATCTCTGACCTCTTCATGAAGCCAGTGCCCTGCAGAGGTCAAGGCAGCGGCAAGCGGCATTGCCGCAGAAGCAAAACTGCCGACAGGGCCACAGCAAGAAAAGGACTCATGGCTGCGACAGTGCATGCAGTGTTCCAGACGCATGCCGAACCGGACGTCATTAAGCCCTCCCCCCCCAACATCCAACATCATCTTCGTCATCATCGTCAGCATCTGACAGTCCCAACATCCAACATCATCTTCCTCATCATCGTCAGCATCCGACAGTCATGACGAAACGTGGCTTCAAACATGCATGTTCCAGACGCATACCGAACCGGACGTCATTAAGCCCCCCCCCTCCCCCCCTCCACCCCCCCAACATCCAACATCATCTTCGTCATCATCTGACAGTCCCAACATCCAACATCATTTTCCTCATCATCGTCAAAATCTGACAGCCATGACTAAACGTGGCTTCAAACATGCACGGGGGGTGGGTCCAGAAAGGGGCACCGGCCTACTAGTACTACTAGTACTACTAGTACTACTAGTACTACTAGTACTAGTACTCCTACCACTACTACTACTACCACTGCTACTACTACTACTACTACTGCTACTACTACTACTACTACTACTGCTACTACTACTACTACTACTACTAGTACTACCAGTACTAGTAGTACTACTAGTACTACTAGTACTACTAGTGCTAGTACTCCTACCACTACTACTACTACTGCTACTCCTACCAGTGCTGCTACTATTACTACTACTACTACTACTACTACTACTACTACTACTACTACTACTACTACTACTGCTACTGCTACTGCTACTGCTACTACTGCTAGCTACTACTACTACTACTACTACTACTACTACTACTACTACTACTACTACTACTATTACTAAGGGTTTCGGCTGAAGCGCTGAGCAGTTGTGTAGGGCCTCCTTTCACCAGGGTTCATGGCACGGTGCCTTTTATACCTGACTGGCCTCTTCTGTCTTCCAATCTTGAACTGCTCCGAGGGAGACCGACTTCAGTTGCAGGGGTCCCAAATCCCCTGGGCGGATCCTGTTAACAATATGAGTGAAGGACACCGAGGACCGCTTAACCCGAGGGTTTGTGACCGTACCACAACGGCCCTGGGAGCCTCCGATCAGGGGGTGAAAATCTCTGGCAAGGGACCACAGACCGGTCCTTGGAGTATGAGTCGCAAACGTGCGTTTCGGCGTGCCAGGAGGAGGGCTGAGCAGAGGGGTGGAACTTGGTACAAAGGCCGATGGTGTACAGCTGCAGCGCTGGGGACGAACCTCAGATCCACTGCTACGCCACTGGAAGCACCTGCCAAGAGACCTCCTCAATGCCGAGCACCAGCCCGTCTTCGAGTACTGTCGTACAACATAGGAGGTTTTTCTCAAGAATGCTACGATCTCTTTAAACACTACCTTCATGAAAAGTGCGAGGCGGATGTGGTCATCGTTCAAGAAACACACCACGGCCTCGGTCGTGATGACGGTCACTGGCTCCTGCCAGGGTGGATCGTTGTCACGACTGCGGATCCCAAACAGCGATATTCTGGTGTCGGGGTTTTTCTGCGTCGATCAGTCTTTGCGGACGAACAGGTTGGCAATGTCACCTGGATACCAGGACGGCTGCTACATGTTCGGTGCGTTGGCACCACTCTGACGCTTGACATAGTGGCCGGATACCAGCATGTTTGGCAGGAGCGCCACGCGGACAAGATTAGCAAACAACGACATCACTTCTGGACACAATTAGGCCTGCTGGTTCAAGGGCTGCCAACTCGCCATCTGCTGGTCCTTGGAGCCGATCTGAACACCCAGGTCCGACCAGTGCCAGGTGTCATCGGGCGTGGAGTACTCAAAACTCGACGACAACCGGAGGTCGAGCTTGAGGCCCTGCTTCGAGAACAACAGCTCGTCTTGCTGAATACGTGGGGCCGGTCAGCAGCGTCGGCGTGTGGGACTTTCGTCCATGGTTCCACGTGCACACAAATCGACTTTCTGGCTACGCGTCGGCGACATGCGGATGCGCAAGCACGCCTGGCATGTCCTATCGCTTTGGATCTTGCTCCGTGGCGGCTTGGAGCGAAGCATAGACCCATTTTCACTTCTTTGCCGTGGATTGCCGGCTGGAAAGTCGCCCCTAAACTGCCCCACCCCGTTCGGTTTTCTCTTAGGGACCTTAGGCAAGCTGTGAAAGATGGTACATCTGAGGCCCAGGAGCTCTCCAGAGTTGTGACTGACACTGTGTGTAGCTTAGGTGAGCAGGGCAGTATCCAGCAGTTAAACGAAGCTGTCCTCCCGCACTGTCAACGCCTCTTTCCCTCTAAGCGTAGACCTGCCCATACCCGTACTAGTGACCCTGCCATCACTGCTGCTGCTGAACGACTGTGGGACCTGCATAGGTCGCAGGTCCCACGATGCCCACCAGGCTCATTTCGGCAGGCCTCTGCGCTTTGGCATAGGCAAGATAATCTGCGTAGGGCTGCCAGGGAACTTCGAGCTGCAGGCCAACACAGGCGGCGCCTGTGGCTCGAAGAGCAGCTGCAGATTGCCGAAAGAGCAGCTGAGCGACAGGATATGGGACAGGTGTATCGTGTGATCAACACTATTGCACCTAAGAAGGGCAGAACCAACGTTCGCATTCGGTCAGCTCAGGGTCATCTCTTGTCGGTTCGTGATGAGTTTCAAGAAATCTTCGCCTATTTTCAAGGTGCGTTTTCCAGAGACATTCCGTATGTCGTTCCTGATTCAGCTGCTCTTAAGTTCACGAATGCTGAAATAAGTGAGGCCATTGCACTTCTCAAGCCCGGGAAGGCCGTTCCACGATCCAGTTTGCCAGCTGATGTATGGAAGCTTTGTCCTGATGATATCGCGACCTACTGTACCAATGTACTGAATCGTAGCACGCAACAGGGCAATTGCTTCCCGCCGGAGGCTACATGCTGCGACCTGTCTCTCCTTCCCAAACCCCAGAAGGTAGGCCGCAGACCTCAGGACCTTAGACCTCTTGGCCTTCAGGACCCGTGTGCTAAGGTACTTGCTATTGCTTTGCGTGCTGGGGTCCTTCCTTACGTACAAGAGTACATTACTGCCCGACCCCAGTATGCCTACAGCCCGGGCAAGGCCGTAGACGATGCGATCTGTCGCGTGGCATCTCACTGTGCCAGTGTCCGATCTCGGATCCAGCGAGGTCAGCTCAGTGTTCGGCAAAAGCGAGAGGGCTGTAAGGAGAGTACGTGTTATGGCGGTATCATGCTGAGAGTTGATCTCAGCCGTGCTTTTGACGAACTGCCCCGAGCCTCGCTCGAGCTTGCAATGACCCATGCAGGGATCCCGGTGGATCTGCAGGCAGCCATCCTTGAAATACATGAGAGATGCAATTATAGGGTTTCTCATGGTTCTCATAGTGGTGTCTTCCAGCTGGGTAAAGGGGTACGACAAGGGTGTGCGCTTAGTCCTTTGCTGTTCACCATATACAGCTGCTGGCTATTCGATCAGTTTGCTGAGTGCACATCCTGGGAGTTTGCGAATGCAGTCGCCACACTCTTTGCTGACGACAGTCATGCCGCCTTCAAGATTGAATCCTTGCAGGATGTAGGACGTGCTCTGCGGGCGATTCGCATACTCTTTGGACTGTTCACCAAAACAGGCATGCAGGTGAACTCTGCCAAATCTTGCATCGTGGCGGGGCTGCGCGGTAGTGCAGCCCGGAACTGGCTCAGACGGCATGCCTGTGTAGTTGATGGTAAGCCTGGTTTAAGCCTTGGTACCCCTGGTCACCCCCTCAGCATACCTAGTGCTAACCGTATGGTGTACCTTGGGGTTGTAGCTTCCTACGGATCGTTCGAGATGTTTACCTACAAGCATAGGCTAAAGGCTGCTGTTCAGAACCGCCAGAGGCTTCTTCGCACACTGCACTGTCGGAAGTTTTCTCTTGGATGCCGAGTGAGATTGTATGTGGCCTGCGTCCGTTCCACGCTTATGTACGGATTGCATGCGGTTGGGTTACCCGCCAATGTGCTCCGGAAACTTGAAGCCTATGATGCTCGAGCCTTACGTGCAATCTCAAACTCGCCGGTCCATCTCACACGCGAGAGCAACGAACGCCTCCGGCAGCGCCTGAAAGTTCCGTCACCCCATCAAGCGCTGGCACAACTGTTGGGTCGTAGAGCAGAGCGTAGTGGGGAGGTTTTCAGTCGGAACTGGTTCCACTGCAAGCTCGACGAGCTAGCTGCGACTCAATCACATGTTGATGCCAGTGCCAGTGCCAATGGGCTCGTAGCCACTGAAGCCAGCTGGGGAGTGCCTTGTCCGGACTGCGGAATCTACTTCACGAATCACCGGCACATGCGCTCGCATCGCACTCGTCAGCATTTCAAGAAAGCAGCGGACTCGGTGCAACCATCCACCGTGCGGGCCAGGCCCAAAGGGGTGCTCCCCTCCCACGTCTATGCCAAGTATGCATTGGATGGCATGCCCACCTGTAGATTTTGCAGCGAATCTTTTCAAAGGGTTGAAGGCCTGAAGAAGCACATCAATGGAGGATGCCCTAGTCTTGACCCTAAAGGCGACCCACATAGTCCCCATCTTCACCCGAAACCAGCCTCGGAAGTCCAGGTAGCTTCCGGGGCTATCGTCACTGCTCCCGACCCGGCCACAGGCCCAGTGCCGGGCGGAGCAGCTGGCACAATCGCTGCAGATCAGCCTCTTTTTGAAGATGGTGGTTTCCGTAACGCCCTGAAACAGAGCTGGCGCGTGCCATTGCGTGATGCTGAGCTGTGTCGCTCCCTGCGAACATACTGCGTCTTTTGCCATCAGTGGATTTCGCTTGTAGGACCGGGATGCAAGCAACATCACCGTCTCTGTCACGAGCGGAAGTGGAAGCATGCCACCGCAGCTGTCGCCCGCGTCAACACACTGGGGCTAGATCCTTGCTCCCCGTGCCGCTACTGCTGCAAGCCCACGGCCGATCCACGCCGGCACCTCAAAAGTTGTGTGCCTGTGTTTCAAGCTTCACTGGCGGCCCTTGTTCTTTCTCATGAAACTGAGCCTACCCCGATTCTTTCCCATGAGGACACCTGCCATGACCGAGTTGATGGAGGCCGAGCAGGAGCTACCCCGAGCAGCTCTGGCGAGTCGGGAAATCGACATGGTGTTTGGTGGAAAGTCAGGCGACACGGCGGCCCAGGACAAAAAGGAGGAGGACTGGGGAAAGGACTGGGAGGAAGCCGGGCGGTCCGGCAAATGGATGAAGCAGGAGGGCGGAAAGGGCCCCACGCAGTGGCCGAAGAACTGGTCCCAGAAGAGAGGCTGGGAACCGAGCTCGGGCCACTCCAAAGCCCAACTGGATCAGAAGGTCCAGCACTTCATGACGACCGTGGCCAGGGCGCTGATCCGACACGAAGCGGATCTGACGATGCTTCGTGCAGACACAAGCTTCGTCCTCTTCATCGATACTTCCACCCACTCCTGCCTCAAGTCAGTGCAGGAAGCAGCAGAAAAATGGGGAGAGCTCTTCACCAAGGGCGAGGTCAAATCGCCGCTGAAGCTGGTGCTTCTGATGGGAATCTTCAAGAAGCTCAAGGAGGCTCTGGAGGACCTACAGATCAACGACGACAAGCAGAAGCGATGCCAAGCGGCGGGATGGCTGGTGGAAGGTCGTCAAGCCCTCGACCCAGCCTGGGTGTACCACGTCTGGAATCCACAGACGAAGGAGCAGGAAGTCGGCGAAACCGCGCCGAGGTCCCACACCGAGATTCTCAAGGACATGGATCGACTGATCCTGCTTCTTCCGACGGAAGGGCTTTTGCTTCGCTTTCGCTGCACGCAGTCCCTGACGGACAAGAAGGAGGGAGAGGTGGTTCCCTTCATGATCACCGTCAGCCTCCGCTCACAGGCAGCCGACGAGGTATACGGGATTATGCAGCGATTGGTGGGCAATGCTTGCTGCAAGATGTTGGGCATGAGGCTGAAGCCGGAGCGTGCTCAGCGTTCCCAGATGAGCAAGCAGATCGAGCAAGCCTACCAGGCCCTGGACTTCAGCGAATGGCGTCCCAGGGGCTACGCGACGCAGCAGAGCTCGGCCTAGGTCGGCCGGGTTCTGGAGGTGTGGCACTTCAGGCAGTGCCACGCCCACCCTTGCATATGCCAGGCCCCCGCTTGCCGATGATCAAGCTTGCTAATCCTGTGGGCAAGAATGTTTGCTATGCCAATGCTGCTATTCAGGCTCTCTACTGGCAGCATGAGCTTGCCGGGCTCACGCCTACCGTTGCGGGGACCGCTCAGGCTGGTTTTTCATTCCTCCGACAGCCGCATGCTTGCTCGCTGATAGAGAGCATCGCTTTTCGGCACATATTTCACGCCTGGCCTGAAATCACTCGACAGCACGACATAGGCGAATTTTGGCAGCACCTGGGCACTACGCTGCCTCTGGATGCTCTTGCAGGCAGGTGGGAAGCTCGTCTCTCCCTGCCACATCAGGTTGTAGATTGCGGTCGCTGCTCCTCGCCCATACATGTCAGACCTGAGGGTGGAACCTTGCAGAATGTTATCAACAGATGGCGTAATCAGTATTCCGTGCATGGCATAGTCGATGGTCTTGGGCTAGTCTGCCTGCAGATATGTCGGTACGGTGAGCGCCGTGGCAAAAATCAGACTGCCCTGAACATTCCGCCAGGCTTGCGTGTGAGTCTGCCTCACTTCCTCGATCCGGATGAGGGAACTGATGTAGTTTCTCTGTCATACCAGGTAGGGTTCGTGGTTTATCACATCGGGCCCACACCCAGCAGTGGGCATTACCAAGCCGCGTTGTGCTTTCCGGACGCACATGCCGATGGACCCACATGGACCTTTCATATATGTGATGATAGACGTAGTCCCCGACCTGCGACTAGGCAAGAACTTGCGCTGATTACCCGTAACTCCTACCTGGTGGGTTTGATAAGAGCGTAGCATCTGTACTAGGGAGAGCGGCTCCGGACAGCCGTGTCCACTCTCCCATGTTCCATAATTCCCGTGCCACTCCGAAGCGTCCCGGCACACTGGATGAAAAGAACCCCTATGTGACTGATTTGCACGTTTTTCGATCTTCTGTCTCCACATTGCATATGCGCACTTTGCGCTGCTTGCTCACTGCTCGCCTGCCGCGAGACTGCTACTCAATTTTGGGTGATCGCTTCTGTGGTCTTCGGACTGTGGGCCGCGGTCGGGGCCTCAACATTCCCCTTCCAGCTTACAATGATGCAGCTTACAGGGCCTGCAGCTCATTCTAATGCCTTCGGCAGCAGCTTCACTCTGTTCATGCCAGCACACCGCAGCCCAGTTTTTCCAGCATGACTGTTGAATGCATAGAAGTGCCAGCGGACATCTATCATGATTTCTTGGAGGCCCATTTGCTTCTGAGTGCTGTGCGGCACTTACATGTCCTATGTTTTGGGGAACTTCCGCCGCGCCAACTTGGGATGCTGGCTCGCAATGATGTTCTCCAATGGGCGTGCACAGCTCTGCGTGAACCGTGGCGCCGGGAGCTGGTGGCCTATGCCGGTGAGCTCTCCAGCACCTTCTCAGTGCAGATGCATGCCACTTTACCGGTCCCTCACTGGCAGGACCCTGGCTCCATTGGAGCTGCGGAAAGATTGGCTATGCACATGCTTGAGGCAGGTAGCGCCCCCATTTGGAGCGCGGCACGGCAGCTTGCTATTTTGCTCGATCATGAGCAACCTCGACACTCCATGGCACTGCGGAATGGTGAGACCTCCAGTGTTAGCTTTGGGGCGTATGCCAAAGGACCCTTTCATGGCCTCTGCAGGAAAACACTCACACATCCGAATGTTGCGATGATCCTCAACTGCTTGATCATGAGGGTATGTCCGAGGCACACCTGGACAACACTTGCTCTCCATTTCAACTATGGTACCCCTCCTCATCGTGACAAGCAGAACAGTCACCACAACTTGGTGCTTGCATTGTCTTTACATGATGATGGTGAGCTGTGGATAGAGACCCCTGAGGGTGACGAGGCGATTCTGTTTCAAGGAATGGAAGTATGGGGCATCAGATATGCATTGCAACTACATGCAGTCCGCTTTCAGGCCCACCAGCTTCTGCACTACACGTGTGCTTGGGACACCTTCGACAGGGTTACCCTCGTAGCGTACACTGTGCAGCGGTGGGAGAGCCTGGGCGACAAGGTCCACACCCAGCTCAGCGAGCTGGGCTTTCATCTCCCGGAACGGACGGTTCGCATTACTCGGGATCTACACTTGGACTGCCTGCCGTGTGTTCTTCGAGACTGAACCCTGTCACGAGGACTGGTCTACATTAGCGGTATAATCCTGCTGCCACCTGCCTTCACTAGGCTAGTTTCCTGTCGCTGATAAGGCGTTTGTACAGCTTGGAACAGCCGAATGGCACCGCCGAGAGGTCTGCAAAGGATTGCTCTTTTCACTTGAACCGACTGGTGCAAGGTGATGCGCGGCATGCCTGATGCAACTTGTCTAGCGCTCACCTGTGCACTGAGGTTGCTTCATGGCGCTATGTGCGGTGGCTGGATGTACTCGCATTGCCACACCGCATAGGGACACCTGCTGCTCGACTTGCCGTGATGGCTTCCACTCTAGGCGATGTGAGAGGAAGGCGAATGCAGCAGCTAGACGTGCTATCTCCCTGTGCGTCACTTTGCAGTGCGGACGGCTTGCATCTAAATCGCATGTGCACTGTTGCTCAGTCTGCAGCCTCACGCTAGGAGCTGAGCATAAGAAAAGCTGTGAAGCTCGGCAGAGAGCGCTCTCTGCTCTCCAAAGTAGCAGTCAACGTGGTGGTGACCACTCCGGCCCCAGTAGCAGAGCAAAGATTGTATGTTTTGAGGAGATGGATTAGATATCTCCAAGAGCTTGGTTTGTGGGAGCCGACAACAGTTCGGTGCCATCCTTTCGGCCCATATGGTGCTGAATTGAATGGCCGGATAATATCTGTCCCTACGTCGGATGCGCTGGACCGCAAGACGATGGCAATGCAATACTACTATTACTACTACTACTACTGCTACTACTACTAGTACTACTACTGCTACTACTACTGGTACTACTACTGCTACTCTACTGCTACTACTACTACTACTACCACCAGTACTACTACTACTACTACTACTACTACTACTACTACTACTACTACTACTACTACTACTACTACCAGTACTACTACTATTACTACTACTACTACTACTACTACTACTACTACTACTACTACTGCTACTCTACTGCTACTACTACTACCACCAGTACTACTACTACCACCAATACTACTACTACTACTACTACTACTACTACTACTACTACTACTACTACTACTACTACTACTACTACTACTACTACTACTACTGCTCCACTCCTACTCCTACTGCTACTGCTACTGCCATTGCCACTGCTACTGCTGCTGCTGCTACTGCTACTGCTACTGCTACTGCTACTACTGCTACTGCTACTTCTGACGTCGACGACATTGCCGCCCCGCCACGTGCAGGCCGCAATGTACTCCCGGGGCACTCCCGAGTACATTGCGGTGAGCTCTGACCTTGTGATACAGGCGCTGAGGCCATCACCGACTTCCAGTGGCTGGAGGCTGGAGATTGCCGAAACGATTTCGACTGATATGAGGGCCAAAGGGCAACGTGCAGCTCGACGGATTTTCAGAATATGATGACGAACACTTCGTACTCTGCCTTGGCAAGAGTTGCTCTCGTAAGCACTGCCCGTTCCATTCGGTCGCCTTCCATACACGACTTGCAGGTTCAGGATGTGTCAGTCAAACTCCTGTAGAAGTTATTGGATACAGCCCCGGCACTTCTGCAGCGAAACCGTGCGCTCATTTCCGGCAGGATCGGGAAGAAGTTCTACTCCGTCCGTCGCCTTGAATTTGGCAGACCAAAGGGGCTCTCGGTATGGTTGTCTTCTACAGTCCTAGCTGACTGGCAGTTGTCAAACACCCATACAATCCCACGAACACCCTCTGTTTGTATCGCAGAAGGAGCGACGAAGTACCCGGAGGACGAAGACAAAAGGCAAGGCAAGGAGCAGTGTCTGATTCGGTGGTGGCCACAGTTACCTTCATGTTGGCGAGCTCCATCTTAATGGGGATTCCTGCATCCCGACCCAAGAAAATGGCACTTAGAAAGCTGCGGAATTCAGCGCCCGTGCTTGCTGCTCAAGTTCAACTCACTTTTCATCCATGTGCACACCGGTTAGACCTACCAAAATACTCGAACAACGGAGCTCCCAGATCTCCTGGCCCCTGTGGGGGAGATCCAAGAGAAACCAGAAGTGCTCCGAAGGAGGTTGCGAAGAACACGCCGACAACCTGGACGGTCAAGACGGATCTAAAATAATCGAAAGCAAGGCAAGGCGGCAAGTTAGCCACAAGTGAACAAGTGCTGTGCGATTCACACTTCCATTGTTTTCCACTACACATGCGCCCTATCCCCGTACGAAAGCACGCACATGCGTCGACACATGTTTGGACTCAGTCAGTGCGCGACGACTGGCCGACTAGCCTGCAGAAGTCTGCATCAACATGGTGGACTGGACGCACGCACACACAAACACACACACACACACACGCACGCATGTGCAACTGCATATGTGTACATACAAATATTCTGGGTCTGGGAAATTTCCAGGAATTCTGCATTCAGCGGCTGCATATGCAAGGGTCCAATATGCTGCGAAGAAGCAAACATGGTGGATGTAATGGGGCTATATCATCCTGACTCCACGATGCACGGCATGTCGATGTTGTGCAATGTGGGTTTCGTGACGGCTTCGCGGACATCACTGCGTTCCATGACTCCCATGACATTTCGGCACGGTTCTGAGAACTGGTCGAGAATCGGGTTCATCGGCTTTTGATGATTCAGCCGCTTCGAAACCAGAATACTCCGACCTCGAATATTCTGGCCCAAGTCCACGTCTGTAATGTTTGCCAAGCACTGCTGCCAGCAACAAGGGGTGATTGCGGCTCCACTTGTTTCATGCAAGGGGTAGTCAATATGCAGATTGCAGATATGCACATAAAATGTCTGTGTGCAGGGGTTCGTTGAGCCGAAGAGGAGCTGGCAGAAGGCAGCCCAGCAGGAACATCTTTCTGTCACGTAGAGCCTGAGGCAAACACGCCGGAAGATTTGCTCGCAGATGTCAGAACTGAATCTGGCCAGGGGCAGTTGCAGCACGACGTTCGATGAGCGCCCTGATCTGTTGTGGAATTGTCCCACCTGCCGATTAAGACTCAACCTGTTTCCTGTTCTCCATGGCTTGTAAAGCGCCAAATAGTGACTAGTGAAACTCCTGAACAGGAATTCGGCCAAGGTGGGCTTGTTGCATGTGCAGGGGCTGGGACTGCTATCTGCACAACTGGACTTTGGCAGCACCCCTGATCATGGATGATCTGCCTGGGTTTGGCATGACCTCGGTATGAGCAGCAAGTTTAACAGTTCACCTAAGAGCAGGTTCAAGAGTGGCCAATGCAAACACCACAACGGGAACCTGTTGGATACCAAGTGGCGAATGCTGGTCCATGGGATACCTGCGATGCTTGTCAACTTAGGCAGCTTCGCCGCAGAAACTGCCAAACAGTAAGTGGGTTTCGCCTCAAATACCTGCTCAAGCAATAGTGCTGCGATGACTTCAATTTTCGCGTGGCCTGAGGCTGTTCTTCCACGGCTGCTTGGAAGGAGTTCTCCTCAGAAACTAGGGCTGCCAGACAACTCTCACGGCTCATAACCACTTTCAGTTTCCTGCTGTGAAGGTCTGCGGACAGGTTCGCGGACGAACGAAGATCTGCTAAAACCGCTTCGTAGCGCTAATGTCTTGCAGCAAATGTGACGCATTGGACTTACTTACAACTTACAACCAGGCTTCTGCCGTCCCAGGCTCAGTTTCTTTCTTTGCATCTTCGCTTCCATGATCTCCACTAGCCACTTTGAGGAATACCTCTCATCAAACCAGCGTCTTGTTCGACATGTCGTGTGCAAGTCTTCCCTGATTCCAGTAGCACGTGCCCAAAGACTCTGGGCCACCGCTAGAGCCAGGGTTTCGTCTTGATTGGTCGGGGGCCGCGGGCATACACTGAGGGTCGTTCGTTTCATTGATTCATGCTCTTCACCACGACGGTCCATAGAAGAGTTTGGTCACTCTTTGTTGCTTGGACTATTTCCGAGTCTGTGCTGCAGGACTCGAAGACTGTCACGGCCAATCAGAGTACTACCCAGGTGTTACGCAGACAACGGCACGTTTTACTTGCGCCGCTGCCTCCTCAAGGTTCGAGACTGACACGCCGAAGGTGGCCACAGAAAGCTGCGCCTGACGAAGCAACGCCATCCGCCACCAAACACAACGAATCATCGCCCAGCCTTCTTCTCCGAGAGTGCTGCCAAACAAGAAGACAACGGTTCCTCCTCCGACTCACTGTGCTTAAGGAGGCAGGAGGCAGAGGTAGATGGAATTCGAGTCTGACTGCTGACTTTCGGGGGTGCATCCTGGCAGAAATGCACTGAATCAAACATCGTGACATAATTTGAGCTGACAGTACTTTCGGGGTCCTTCTCCATGGGCACGTTTGCCAGAATTTCTTTGCCGACTCCTTGAGCTAGGTAGGAGAGGCGAAGCTGAACAGAAGCGACTAAATCAGGAGGTCTCTCTTCCTGAAATGTCCACATCGCCGAGTATGGAGATCAGGAGCTGCTTCACTGGTTCGTGGTTGTCGCCGCGCTCCCGCATGACCTCGGGTGGTGCACTGCTTCTTACAACACTGTCGAAGCGCTAAGGGTCCAGTGGGACGTTCTGTTCGGAGCGGCTAGGAGGTTACCCACTTTCCAAGCGTTATCCTGGCAACCGTAGGCGCAAGGTGAAGTTGGCCTTGCTGCACGACTGCTCAGCTCTAGAGCCCACAAACTGCCACCTTCAGCAGCTAGCTTTAGACTTTAGGCCTCTAGGCTTTGTTTGACAGATGTTATGCTGCGAAGCCTGTGCCCCAAGTACAAATCGGCTGACAAGCACAACCTAGTGAGCCGGTGATTTCAAATGTAAAGCGAAGCGACACCATCATATACGGTCCCGACTTCGCCGCACAAGTTCGCGCCAAGCAGCTATCGTCAGGACGTAGCCGCAGCCGAATCGGCGCTTCAGAAAATTCTGCGTTCCAGAAGCTTGCACTGCACCTGCGACGGCCGATCGTGGGCTACTGGTGGTCACTGTCACACGAAAGCGACTCGTCAGCAGTGACTTCTTGCAAAAGGGTCAACGAAGCGCTTTGCACTGTCCCCCGGCATGCCTGCTCTCATGATAGCCACGCGGTCACCCAGCACGCCAGCTTCCTTAAGTCATTCCCCTGAAGATGGTTAATATGGTAGGTAGTCTGGCGCGGTGCAGGTACCTATTGCCCTTGGATGCCCTAGGCTGTCATGACGGATCATGAAGGTATTCGCTGAATATACAGGTACTGACCCGAGAGCAAGCGTCGTCCATGAAATGCGTCGTAAGCAGCATGACGCGGCCCTGACCTAAATGGCACAGGACTCAACTGCCGCATGCCTTTCTCTAGTGCGGAAGGCCTTGTTTCAGTGAAGTGAATTCACGATGTAGCCTATATACTACCAATTCAGAAGATCCAGCTCCATTGCTTCATGGGCACGTCGCAGCTTCAAGAAGTCCCAGAGTGCGCGCCTGGAGATTCTAGATTCTACTTGCGAGACAGTACGGACAAGATCTGATGTACTCCGAGTGGCTGCATCCTACTAGTACCGGCAGTGTGGTCGAATTGAAGCCAATGTCTGCACCAAGACCCGAGCCGGCTGAAAGGGTCCATCCCACTGGTGGGCTCGTCGAGAACAACCAGGTTTGGATCTCCTCAAAGGCAGGAAGACGAAGAGCCGCTGGCGACGAGGCCAGAGCCACAATAGAGCTACACAGAGATTCAAACTGGCACATCAAGGGTTCGTCGTTCGCAATCACCCGTTCTCCTGCAAAAGCCAGGCCGACAGACAACTTGCGCTTCATGCCCCCGGACAAGGAGGTAATCAAATAGTTCGCACCTCGTCAATCACAAGGAACAGCCCGCGGCTGCCAGAGTGCAATTCATTCCCAAACTCGGTGACCCATCGCCGAGTTGCGGGAGCCAAGGCCAACATCTGCCACCAGTTGGAACACGGAAGCCTCGCTACCTTGGCAGCAGCTGTTCAGCCTGTGCCGTGGGTATCATCCCTGATGCGAAAGTTGCTGCTTCTCGGTGCGCCCGTGCCAGGGCATACGAATGAACGGATGACTTGGTGGCGGGCTCAATGACCTTCCCGCCAACGTCGTGAAAAGCGATATGTGTTGCACAACCGATAATTCCTTGGCAACGGAACTGCCGGTGCCCATGTTGGAGCAGATGCAGCCACAATTAAACGATGCAAGGTGGACAAAGCAGGGCAGCTTGCAAGGTTAGAAAGCAGAAATCTACACTGCTGATACACAAATCTAATGCAGCTTACCTGCGCTGCTGAGACCCTGGCAGGAAACAAGACATCGTGCTGAGGGCAAAAGCCTTGGATTCCAAGGGCTACTCGCAGATCCCGCAAGAGAACCGACCTGCGAGTTTACAGACTTCTTGCTGACTGGCTACCCATTCGTTTCCGCACCTCCACCATGTCCTGAAATCAATGCACGGAACACGATTGAGGTCTCACAGATGGGACGCCACTTCATTGAAGGTCATGTTGCTCAGATGCAGATTGTTCGTGAGGACTGGCCACGGGAGCAATATAGAGGGGTGAGCGAAACCACACCCTTGCGCAAAAACTGTTCCTCTCGGGGATTGTCCCGCACCCGGGAAACAAGTCTCCGGCCGAGTGCGAGCAGGTGACATGTGCAAGCAGTCTGCACAGGGCAGGAAGCTTTGCGACTCAATACTTTGGGAGACTGCAAACCAGTGACACATGGGGGCTAATCATTAGGCAAATCCAGACCAGCGGCCGGAAGATTCTCATTATGCCGGCATAAACCCCCCACAGCAAGAGAGCACCACGACGGACATGACAATGACGATCACGACGACCACGACCACAAAGAGACCACCAGCCACAGGCGATCAGCAGGACAGCACGGCCACGCTTTTTCCCTCAAGATCTCCCAAGCACCGGCGATTCAAAACCACGCTCATGCTTTCGCCCACGGGCGGGATTCATGAGCACGGCCAGAATGCTTTCCCAAAAGTACTGGCGGTACTCAAGAGGACAACCCAGATGCTTCCTCAACTACTGGCGAGATTTAAAGATGTTGAAGGAAAAAGATTGTATATTTTGGAATGGAATGAATCTGGCTTTGCCGGGGACGCGTCTGCACGAATCTTGCAGTACGAAGTGATCGCAAATTATGGCAAGTATGCACGCGCCACGGCGGCATCGCCGCAACCTCTCGGCGCGAGTCTCGCTGGCACACGGACGAATTGTCTTCACCCCTCAACGTAACAGCCCAATAAAAGCACATACCAAACTGCTTGGGGAATCAAACTTGTTGTTTCAACGCAGCACGCATTCAAAGATCCAGGTAACTATTTCCGCACAGCAACCTTCTCCGCGTCCAGGCCTGTAAGAAATATCTGGAATGATGCGACCATATGCGACACAGGCGGTGCGTGCTATAAATCCGAAGTCTCCGGTTTGTGCGAGTTCATGGGTTTCATGGTTGACATCCTGTGAGCCTGTGAGCGTGCATCTCAACCCGAGGCCTGATCTCTCGAGTGGGCCCTTGTTCAGAGCCGTGCTGCCACGGAAGACATTAAGTTCTCAGCGAGCTTTCTGTGTTTGTCCTAAGATGGCATAATCACCTGAGGATTCGGAACACCACTTGTGAATCCTGCCAGCTGCGCTCGCTGCGCGATCGCAGTTTGTCGACTTCCGAGTCTCGGGCGCTGTGAGGCCTCAAATGGCCGGTCGCTTTCTCTGGCCTCCTTGTCTCCTTGCTTGCCTTACCGCTCGAGCTTCGGGCATGTCATCCTTTCAGACTTTACGGTTGTCTGCCCCTCAGCTCTGCAGACCTTCGGAAGTACAACTTCAAAGGGAGTGTCGCGAAGTCTGACTTTTACCTGCTGTTACTGTGCACCTTCCGTGAGATCATCGAGGATTGTCTCAGACGGGCGAGTAGGGTTTAGGCCACGGGGTGCTTCGTATGGTGAGGGGCAAAAATTTTGACCTTTGCTGACACATAGTGACCCACGTCGTGCAGAGTACAGCACACGTTCCCGCATTCCGGACAGCTTCGGCACCAATGTCATGCTTGCGCAGCTCTACCAGGCTACCAGTCCATACATCGGACTCTAAAGTTTCTAAAGCGCCGTACTTCCTGAAATGCGGATGTGTGTACCTGCTCGCCTGCAAGCTTCTACTATGCCACTTTGGGGGAGAGACTCTTAGCATGCCCTCCTGAAGCCAGCGCAGCGCTCGCGGAAGTATGGATCACATTCGCCATCCACGCGTGCACCGCTGACTGAAAACTGATTGCCTTCCAATCGTGCCACGACACTTACACTTAGCCTTAGTCACCAATAAGCCCAGCTACCTTTCTTGACATGCTTCGATCGCCGTTTACGGATCGCATGCACATTTAGGTTCTACATGGGGGTGGGAGGGAGGCTTTGGGCAAAGCTATGTAACTGCCGGGATCGGAAAAGCCACTATAAATCGGCAAGCTTGTCTGCTGTCGCTGCGTCCTTGGGAACTTCCAGCCCGAATGCTGAGATTTGGCCTGCGCACAACGCCAAACTACGAAATAAGCAGTCGTGCAGGATTGGCAGGGCGAAGGCAACCTGAAGTTGGAGGTATTAGCCCGCAAAGCGCTGACATCGTAGTGGATTTGCCTGGCGATTGGGATGAGGCACGTGTGACTTTACAGCTGCAGAGCTCAGTGCTGTAGACAACTGCAAGCTGGAGGACCTGCTCCATTGTGGCCCAGCAGCGCAAAGATCTCTCCCGGGAACCTGGGTCGTTGCGAGGCCTCTGAACTTCGACTCCAAAGCAGCATCTACAGGTGGCGACTAAAGCAAGATAAAGCAAGGCATGCAAGGCCTAAGGCGCCTAAGGCCTAAGTGCTGAACATGACCAGGCTAACGCCATCCACAGCACGGATCTCCTCCGAGTAAATCCCCTTGAAGTAAACGCAGAGATCCTGAGAGGAACTGTCCCTCACATCGTCGCATCGTGCATCAGATCAGGACCTTTCGACTCTCGACCTCCGAGGTTGCCTCTGAGTGGCATCGACCTTCACGCAACTTTTGGACAGGATCTGGGCCATCATCCCTCGGTCTGCCTTGGCGGAGTCCAGAAACGGTTCTAGCAGATGGTGCAGGATCCTCCGGACCTGTTAGCCGTCGAAGGCATCGAGATCGCTAGGTGTTCGGGAAGAAAACCCCGTCGAGGCCCCCCCGCTTTTTTGGGACTCCGCATCGCCTCGGCGCCTCGGCCCCGACACCACCACCCGACAGCCATCGACAACGCCGACAACCACCTGATATTTGTCCCCCCTGACTCACACTGTCGGAGGGTCCGGCCGGAAGACTCTTACTCCACTTCGTCACGTGCTGCTACCACGCGACAAAAAGAACAGTATCGCCAGCTCAATTCGTCGACTTGTTCACCTACATGCACGCCAGCGAATGCAGTCAAGTAACGGGCTCGATCAGGGAGCTGCGACCGATCTGTGACATCGTTTCGTCAATGGATCCACGTGCGCCTGAGCTTCTGGTGCAGCCACCCTCTGCATGCACGGAAGCGCCAGGATGCATGCTGGCCGGGAGCTGCCATGAAGAGAATCATGACCCTCGGCCTCTATCGCTGAGCGAAACCACCACCACCCCCCTGCCGAAGACATCCGTAGACGACCACCACCCCCCCCTCCGCTCACCACAGCCGCTTACAAATTAGTACTACTACTACTACTCGTACCAATACCAGCAGCAAGCACTAGCGCGATTACTCTTTCTGTGAGTTGTATGACTTAGTACCGAACTTACCTTATTACCTTTACTATTGGTTCTGCTCTTGCTGGTGTGGAGAACTATTGCTATATAGATTGCTACTACACTTTTTGGTGCTGTTGGAGCCCGAAAATGAAAGGAACCAAGTTGATTTTTTGTCAAGCCCCGAAAAATGTTGTGGTGGTGCAGATGGCGCATGTGGTGCAGGTGTGGCGCAAAAGGCGGAAGCGGAGAGGCGTCGGAGTTCTACCACGGCTGCTGGAAGCGTGTGGGGGTCAGGAATAGTGAGGGAGGCTGGGGGCCCATTTTCAAGCGACAGAGGCCTAAGCCAAGCTTCACGCTCCACTGTGACGCTGCCTGATTCCTTCCCATGTCAAAAAAACACAAAGACCTTCGCTCCCTTCAACTGAGTTCCGAACCCAGGTTGGGTGGTTCCTCCAAGTTGGGGGTCTCCTCAATCAACGCCTGCTCAACAGATGACGACTGAGAGCTGCGCATCCCCGAATCCTCCCCTTACACGTCTTGTGATGCGAACGTCCCGCTATGTCCCGAGGCCTCGGTGTGCTCAGAGGACGTGCCCAGGCCGAGGCTCCTCATCTCAGTGCTCCCTTCGCGGACGGCCACGCCCTCATCGCCTCCGCTGAACAGGGCTAATGGTATGTGCCCGTGTGCGCCGACTTCTCTGCTTCAAGCCCGGAGCCCGCCTTTCCAGTAGCTTGGATCACATGGAAACCAAGGGCGCAAAGCATTGCCACCATTGTGAGAAATCACCTTGGCACACACTGCACCTTCAAAAACCACGCGATAGCCGCGGTACGGCGGGCACGTTAAGGGGGAAGCTCAATTCAGTAATTCCATCTCGCAACTAATCACCAATTCCAGGGTGCCTGGTCCAGATAAAGCCAGAGGAGCGTCCACAAAATCTTAGTCAGCGAGCTTCGCAGGATGAAACACACGGAACATCCAGGTTCAATATCTGCTGGACGGCCAGAATGCAATAGGTCTGTCGTGTCACGAGGTCTAACTTCCGAAGCTTTACCGGCACCTACAAGGTCTAACACGTAAGTAGGGTCAATCAGTGCCATGGAATGAACGGACCACAGTCTCGCCAAGCAGCCGCATCCAGAATTAGCCAACCCAATGCCCCTCGGTGCGGATAGCAACATCAAGAGACCATGTCGCTGTGTGTGGGAGGGACTGGAACATGCGAACCAACAAAGAATCTAAGCGAATGCCATGGTGCCATATATGTCGACTCCCTTGGCTCACTGCTGCTCAGCAAAGACCGTGTGCAATATTCACTGCTGTAGCCTAGACATTCACTTATGTCGGTCGAAGTTCTTCCAGCCCTGCATCTGGGGACCAGCGTGTCCTTTCATGATGGAGATAAGCACCCAGTGCCTTCAATGCAAGGCTTAGGGCTCTGGGGCTCTCAGAGCAAGGCCCAGGCTCGGCCACTTCTCCTACGTTCTACGTGTCACTGTCGGCACTTTGCCGCAAACCCTGCAGGGCCTTGCCGAAGGCATACCTTCAGTGCGGAGCAGAGGAACAGAGCTGGAGGCCCGCCGTTCTGAGACTTCATCGGAGCGTACCATGTCGTGCACTGCGAATCGAACTTCGACTGTCGGTCAAGGAAGCATTGGGCTTGTGCGTAAGGTGCGGCTTCAACCCTTGATGCCCACAATGCGCAGAGGCCAAGACTACACAGCACACTCTCACTGCTCCAAGCTCCAGGTTTCAGCGGCAATGTAGACAAGTGACTGTGGGAAAAGCATCAAAAGGTCTCCGCCAGGCATGTGCGGAATGATGCTGACGCTGCAGGTGAAGGTGTAAATTACCTTCCAGCCGGTATGCCTACTTTCACCACGTGTATCAGTGTAGCAGACCCCAGCAAGTGCGCGGCCAGCGTCATGAGCTGGCCCATAAACGCATTTCCTGCAGAGGGGCCAGCCCGCTCCCAGCTGCAGAAGAACTCTCTCTGCACTGCCCTGGCCCCTGCGGTCCCAGGAAGCAAGAGTAGACGAAGGATACGAGGGCCAAGTCCAAGAAGAAGACCAAGCACTTGGACGAAGCACCGACGCTGCGCTCTGGCATCTGTGCCACAATAGCAAGCGAACACTCCAGAGGTTGGTGGCGAACAAGGCTCGATGAGGTAAAAGGTGGCTATGCCAGACGTTAAGATCCGCAAGCCGTAGAACATGATCATAGTAAATGTCGCATACCTCCGTCATTGCTGCAATCATTCTCGCTGCAATACTTCGCACCGCGCGTTTGTTTTCCCATCCACGCAAGATTATCGAAGTGCGAATGACATTCATCCCTCACAGGACGCTGACTGGCTTATTCTAATCCGAAGCTTTCGTCACGTTTAACTTCCCCTCGGCTTGGACACAGAATGGTTCAAGCCCCCTAACGAAAATAATTATGTCAAAACTCGACATTCATATCTCTACCATCCTGCCCACGTCCCAGCAGGCCGCGTTCAGTGGTATCTCACGCTGATTTAGTTGAGACCAGTCGTGAAGTAGTCAAAACTTGTCAAACCTCTTACAGGAGGAAGAAGCATTATGGGTTGTGTCGCCCAAACCCCAATTTTTACGCCTCCTTGAATACAGCCACCTGAAACGGCTACGAGTAGTTCGGAATAGGTCGCTAATGGGTCGACTCGACTTTCTCCAACCGAGCCAAGATGCAGAAAGCCCGTAGCCCAGCCGTAAATGATCCAGTGGCCGTAGTATGCGAAATCGCCTCAGGGAACCCAGGAAACTAAGCTGGCAAAGGCGTGGAGCGAGTGGTACCAAACGGTGTGCAGAGCATCCATGCTCGCTGGAGAGGCTTAGCAGCGCATCACAGGCGCTTTGCCGCTTTGCAATGTGCTTCAGTGTGAGGCTCTCAAGTCTTGTTCGCTCTCTTCTCGCCTTGGGGCCTAGCCGGCAGTGGGAGCCCCGCTCCTCACTCCTCCCTCGCACCGGGGTGGAATTGCCGAAGACCGGCGATTTTGCCGAAAATGTAGCTCTCCCACCCCGACCCCACTCTTCCACTGGAAAACAGCCACCTTGATCCGAAGTACGTGAAAGTGCGGAGCTTCCCTGCGGAACAACAAAACGTGAAGTATTGCACTGCAGCTAGTGCTTGAAGCTTTGCGATTGATTGCCTGTGGTACGACTCCAGTCGACCCCTTGACGTCGACTTCTTTCGTTGCTGCGCAAGTCCTGCTGGCATGCTTCATGTGTTTCGACCTTCCACTGTTGGTCGTCAGACAGAATGGACGGAGAAGTAACAGTTAGTCTGAGACTGACGCTGCAGCCAATCATCCGCAAACCTTCCTGTTGCAGGGGGCACGGTCGTTTGAGGGATCCACTTCCACTGTCCGAAGTGCGGCTGCAGCGAGGTTCTTCAGAGGCTCAGCTGTGGGGTGAAGTAGGGACTGGGCATCCAAGCACCACCAGTGCCTTTCTCTTCTCCTCGCGCTCTGCTACCAGTCGCCTCAGCTGGGCTGAACCACAGAGAAAGAGAGAGAGAGAGAGAGATTGATGGGACAGCTCCGGGCTTATGCTCGCAGTAGCTACAGGCATGGACAAAGCTGCACACCATCCCCACGCATCACGCACAGACACACACACACACACACACGCACACACACACAGTCACACACACACACGCAGTAATCGCTCGTCCTGCAAGGCATTGTATGCAGCGACAACACCAACTAAATGGCGCAAACCAAACTGCAGCAAGGCTCAGAGTAGACACAGGCAAAAGCAGGTGCAGCCCTGAATCCTGATCCGACAGATAGGCCAGTTGATACATGTTGCTGAGCTCGAAGCTAAGCCGGGACGGCTGACCCTTGAAACTCGATTTCCAAGCGGCCCAACGAAGCCCATGACGTTCGCAATGAAGACCCAGGACACTGCAGCCTCGGAATCGACTTATACCAGCAGCGGGCGGGACGGCAAAAAAGGTGGTTGCAGCCACTTCATATGCCGTCTGCTCATCCAAACTGCTGCCAAGTTGCTCCGAAGAGGTCACCAAAAATCTGACCTACAAGGGTGCACCCATGCTCAGCGAAAGGACAAAATGATCAAAATGACTTTGGTAAAACAAATCTTCCAGCACGCCTTCGCTGAGCTTTCCCTTGCCCAGGGCCTCTGACGCAGTTTTAGTAGGCTCCTCCTCGGCCAGGTGGACCGGTCGCGACACCGGTCATGTGGCAACGACCCTGGTCCAAGAGAAACCTTGCAGCCACGTCTCTAGCGCTGGAAATGGCAACACCGTGAGCGCCAGGTTGTGCAGGGCGCTTGTGCCTGCAGGACGAGCAACGATCGCAAGTCAACCATCGCATGATTGCACTGGCCCAATGGCACGTAAAAAAAAACTGCAGAACACTTCCATAACTCCTTCAACCACGAACCCCAACTCCTAAGCTGTGCTCTCTTAAATATGTGGTGGGGCGTGGGCTGGCAGCCTTGGACCTTCTATTGATTCTATTGCTCTCGAGACCAATGTTTGGGTTGCACGCTGCCCGAGCTTCGCCTGCATATCTGTAGCCAATCTTGCCTTCTAGATTCCTTGGCTGGCATGGCTCGCCGGAGGACTACATGTGGAATGACATGACGAACAAAGACAGTCCAGCAGCTTCTTGTGTGTGATGTAGTCGCCGACCAGCATCTCTAAGCTCCTTGAGTGCCCAGCACTCTGCCCCAGTCGCGAAAACCATCCGATATGCGGCCCGGTCCATGCAACAGGAAGAAGAAGAACCATAACAAGAACAAGCAAGCCATGTTCGCTTGAACTGTGTTCTTTAAAATGCCGTAATGGCTGCCCAGCCGCACGAACATCGAATCTTGTTTGCTCGACCTGGGCGATAAAGATGAGGAATCATGCGCCGGAAGGTCAAAGTTCGCCAGTGGATGTTGGATACTACTTCGCTCTCGTTGCCAAGCCTGTGTGCAGCTGCAGCTGACTAGCCGCCAAGCTCAAACATGCGACGGCTTTGTCGATCCTAGAGATGCTTCACCTGCAACAGACTGGGCTTGGTTTGTCGCTCCTGCAAATGGTGACGTGGGAGGCCGAGACGGCCAGTTAGATAGTGTACTGCTCCGGTGTTGGGATGCCAAGAGGCTCCGGTGACGACGCGGTGTAGAGGCTGTTGTCGGAGTCTGGGCTGCGAGGTCAAGCGACGACGTGGATCCAAACAGATCTTGCTCTCTGAACCCACGACCAAGCGTGTGCAACAGGCCTAGCACAAACTAAACAAATGAGCTCTCGCAGCCAGCCCCTGAATCCCTGCACCCTGTGCAATCGAGAAGCAAAACTGCTGCTGGCAGAGCTGCCTGGACTGGAGCACTAAGCGTCTCTTGGGAAGGTGGACTGTAACTAATGATCCGTCATGTTTGCTGTTAAGTCAGCAGCTAATCATGCCGTGCCAAGGCAAATGCGTATGGAAGCTCAGCACATGACGCAGATGCCACACTAAGCCGTTAGCGCATGCGTGCAATGATGGCAATGTGAGACGGTTGTGGTCGAATTACCTATGATCTACTTACACACAATTGATGAAGACTGCGCATGTGTCGTCTTCGCGTGAGCTTCTCTCGCGAATCTCTGCAGATGAAGCACTTTGTCCATCCATTGCATCGCTTGGTCAAAAAGCCTGCATCCTGAGTAGCGCGCATGCAGCAGCGACAAGCCGAAGAACGATGACTCGCAGACTGACTAGCAGACTAGCAATTCATTCCATCGAGAGTCAGAGGTCAAGCATGAGGTTCGCAACACCACGCGGACCCCGACAATCTGAAGTAGCAACAGCCTTCTTAAGCGCAGTCTTCTCTTCCAAGCGGCCAGGTCTCTCAGACCGTTGAGTGGGCCAAACTTCCCCCTCAACATCCGCATCGGGATGGCCAGGTTGCCAAGAACACGGCACGATGTATCACAATGCCGGCACTTGAGTCTGAAAGACACTGGCAGCCACTGGAAATTCAGAGTCGAGTTGCTCTTCGTCGAGGTAGCCTTAAGCTTGCAATTTGCAGCGCTCTACATGGTTGACGGCCCACACATGCCAGTCTGCTACTTTGTGCCGCTATCCATTTTCTACATGATTGCGTCGAACCTAGTATGTGTCCTGCTGGCTGCTGGCCTTTATGCACACACCTGTGTTGACGCTCTGCATGCTCCATGCTCTATTTCCAGCTGCTAGCAAGCATCCGGCGGTTCGATTCAGGTGCACGGTGAAGTCCAACTCTGAGTCGGATGTGAACTCGACCTGGATTCGTTGATTCGAGTCTTTACACTTTTCGCTAGTACGCACATGGACCGACGGACATCGCCGGTGCCTAAGAGGTAGCGGAGCTAGAGCACAGTGACCTCCAAAGGAAGGGCTGAGACCTGGAAAATCAGCCTACCGGAAGCATGATAAAACCTGCGATTGCCTGCCATTGACGAGGCACCACTGACATGGAAGCGAGACTACCAATGCGCCGTTTACTGCGGCCGGAGTCTTAGCAGTCGCGTTGCCATATGCTTCAAAGGCATGATTTTGCATGATACCCCTTATACTCGCACCAGGAAATAATGCCGCGTCGGCCGACATTAAAAGACCAGCGGCTCTAGCACAGTGGGCAGGGCCGGAGCCCTCGCCGCCCTTTGCAACAAGCACCAGATTCCTTGCAAGAGTGTGCTCGTGGAGCGAATACGGTACAAAGCAGATCATTCAAACTCTTTTCAGCATATCATTATTTCCGCCCTTAATGCTTAGGGGCAGTTATCGAGGCTCATACAAACAAAAAAACGCGAAACTGACAGTGATTTCGCAACAGCACAGCAAGACAGGGCAAGACATGCCAAGAGTCTTCCAGTTCGGACAAGTGGGAGTAAATCCTTTGTCCACCAAGATCTGGACTTCCTTGGTTGTGGCTTGCTACAACTTAGCGGGCTTAGCATTCTTCCATTTACATTGTTCAAGTGTGAGCCGAATGCCGTCACGTCTCCGACATGATGTAACTTTGCAACTCCTGGGCAGCGCCTCCCTGCAAGATGATCCTGAGGAACGGGTGCAGCAAAAACTCGGCGGTCACATGCAGACATGTAGATACAACTTCTAGACATGCAAGGCCGGTAAGACAAACACAAAAAGGACTAAGCAAAATGCGGCCCGGAAACGGGTAGCTGCAGCTCCGGCATGCCATATACGCCGACTCAAAGGTCTCTTCTCGGCAGCTCGAACAATCGGACCAACATTCGGACTGCAGAAACCATGACAAACCCATTCCGGCATCCGACACACTCCTTCAAAATGCTTCGACAGACCAGGTCTTGTCCACACCCATTTCGGCCAGGAACGTCTGAAGAAGATGTTGCCGATAGGGGCGTAAGTTACGCTTGAAGCGCCGTATCGGTAACCTTGCTGGCAGTGGCGGCTACATCAGCGAAAGTCACACAAGGACAGTTCGCATCAGCAGCGGCAGGATGCACACAATCTTAACTAGGTAATAATGCGCGGCCAAGCAGGCAAACTGCACGCTCACTGACTTGCAAGTCATTCAAGCGAACTCGCCCTCGTCGAGCAATCCGAGGCTTCGCACCAGAGCACACGCAACACAAGCGACACCCGTAGCCCGAGAGCTTGGCCCAGCCAGTTGATGTAATGAACTGTCTCCAGCACTTTCTCCTGCCGCCGTCGCGAACAGCTTGGATATTGGGGTCATCTCACTTTCTTTCTGCCGGGCTTAGGGGTCGTCTAGCGACCCGCAGGCGCTTGGCCCAATCTCACTCTCCTCTCTCTCTCTCTCTCTCTCTCTCCTGGGCATGAGGGCGCGGTCAACGCCCTCGGGCATCATGCCCCCCCATCGTTTTGATGGGACCGAGGGGTGACGAACGAACGATGGACCCAATCTCGGCTACAGCCATGCAAGCTTACGATAACGGCGATTGTGTCATATCGTTCTCTTGTTCGACACATGCACAATCATTCCCCCTATCCCCCAAGTCAAGTGGACCATACAGGTATTGGAGTACAAATCGGGGTTGAATAGGAGTCATGATGGAAGAATCAATCCCGTCTTGGAATGATAATTCAGCTCGCTCCTCTTCATCACGGTGCTAAATATATGGGGGCCTTTGGAGCCCATCTAAAACCCAGCAATAACGCACATGTTCACAACACCTTATACTTTCTTGCACCATTTGTTAGGAGCTTTTCGTGGAAAGGAATGTGCAACTACGCATCGTGATTGATTGAAACAAGGGCACAGCGGTCAATGCAGGCCTACAGGCAATAGCATGTGTGGATGAGTGGTTTCACGATGTGCTGCAAGACTCGGGATTTTCAAGCATGTCGGGGAAGTCATCTTGGAAGCAACAACACAGCTTTCTACGTAAGGACACAAAGTATAAACAGCGGAAGCTAACACATGTTGCCCATTACCTCGCCATCCCCCGTTTTGCATAACGAGGGCATGTGTTATGAGCCTGGGCATGTGTACTTGCAAGCAATGACACAGCGATCACCCAAAAGCCTAAGGGCAACCATATGTAGACCAACATTTCGCCCGACTCAGAACACACACCAGCCTTGTTATAGCTACGCTCAGGTCAGAACCTACTGGCATTCTGGAGACTATAGTGTAGAGATCCCGATAAATGGGTAGGTACATAGAGATCCCGATATGCCTTGTTCTGGCCAGCGCTTTCGGGGAAAAGGTTTGTTAAACAAGGACACAGCGCATGAAGAAAGCCTAGAGGCCTACCATACATAGAATTGAGGTTCCTCGATCCCCCGAATTGCAAAGGTAATTGTATATCGCTCGGATCAGCACTTTTTCGGGGGACTTATGTTTTGAAACAAGGGCACAGCACATGAGGAAAGCCTAGAGGCCTGCTACGCTTGGAGCTTTGGGTTTGCACGGTCCCCCGAAATGCGAAGGTTGTGGAGTGTGCAGGGGTAGTGGAAGCAACACGCCTTGGTCGCAACATGCTGACCATCATTCGCAAACAGTAACTTGATCCCCCGCTTCTGAAAGTGGCCAGACTCAGGTGTTGGGCGCTCAGATGGGCCCGTTCTGGTCATCGAACGCCGCATGTAATCGGCGTCGCTGATGCTCCGCCGTGCTTTCCCCCTCACTTTCAACGTCTTCAGTGGGGCTTCGTCGCTGGTGACTGGCGACATTCCCCAGACCGTGGTGGCGCTCTTGTAGCCACCAAGGTTCCCCTGCCGAGGATTGGCTGGGTGCAGGTCCCCCGTGTTGGAGAGGTAGCTCTTGGTCGTGCCCATGTAGGTGCAGGTAGAGCAGGTTGTAGTGCCTCTTCCACCGCCTCCAACGTGTCGAGCAGGGCGCCGTGGACTCCGTTAAGCTGTTCCTGTGGCCAGTCCTGCAACTGGGCACGAAGGTTCCTCAGCTCGAGGATAACTCCACGTGCTCGCTGTTCTCGCCTTTCCCTGGCGAGGTGGCTGCTGACTACCCCGCGGCTTTGAGCAATAACGTCGGCCGGGTGGCTGACTGCTTCCCCCCGCTCAACAGCCATCAGGTAGACGGCAACATCTACCAAAAGGAGCCAGTGCTCCCTGTTTTGAGGTTCCATTTGGACCCCTTGCAGAGCTCGTCCCATGCGACCCAGAACTTCGGCAGTGTTTTGCATGCCCTGCTCGTAGCCGTCCGTCGTCGTTGCAGGGCTCCCCCAATTGCGAGGGTCTCCATCCATTGCTGTAGCCATTGCGTGCATGTGCCCGTTCAACCATGTAATCACTATGTCCACATCATGCTGGATGTCATAGTACGTGATATAGTCATGGTTTGCGGCCGAAGCTAATCGCTGCATTGCTTTCCCCCGGATGCGCTGCAGTGCTGCGGCGGAGTGTGTGTTGCTTCTTTGCGGGCTCTCTTGGGGTCAGGTTCCCCGGTTTGGTAAGGTTTCAAGCTCGAGGTGCCGGAGTACTTCGGCTTCTGTCTGGCTATCAACAAGGAGGTCAGCGAGGGCACATTGGGCGAGGTGGCTGACCATGCTTCCCCCGGGGAGCTGTTGTGCCAACGTATGGATCCGCATCAGATAGTATTCGATGCGATCCGTAGCCCCCATCGCCGTGGGTGGTTGTAGTGGCTCTGTTGGTGGGTATCCCCAGGGCTGTCTGGGATGGTTTCGGGTGGGTTGGCCAGGGAGGTCGCCTCGGTCGTCAGTGGAGGTGCTTGTGGTGCTTGTGGTGTGGGGATTCGCCCGCGCTGGAAGGCTTCTGCAAGGTTGTGCTGCATAAAGTTAGTGTGGTCTTCATCCCCCGGAGTAGCTGTGGTCGTGCTCGTGGTCGCAGGCTGACTCTCGAAGGTGGTTGTTGCGGTGGTGCTCGTTGTGGTGCTGTCCAGGCTTGTTGTGGTGGTAGTTGTTTGCTTCTTCTTGCCCCCGATGTCTCGACCATCACGGATTTGCTCAAAGAAATGTGCTGGTGGGGTCGGTGGTGTCGGTGGGGAAACCGGGTTGGTGTTTCCCCTGGCTCCACGCAGGTCACGTGTGTCGACGAAGGCACTTTGGTTGCGAGGTGGCTGTGGCGGCGGCGGCTTGGCTTGTGCTTTGGGTTTGCTTTTGGCAGCTGTGGCAGGCTTGGCTGTAGTTTTTGTTGCTTTGGGTGGTGTCTTTTTGACAGGTGGATCCACAACGTCGTCTGCAAGGTGGACGCGGCGGCTGTCTGGGGTCGAGCTGGTGCTGCCTGTTGGTTCTGTGCTGCTTGTAGGTGGGACCGTGTCTGCGCCCGGTGGTGGTGGTTGCTTGTGGGAGGCAGTGTGTGTGCTGGAGGTCGGTGGTTTTTCCCCCTTTGTTGGGCGTGCTGTTTGGGACATCCCCCGTCGTGTGTCACGTGCTTGGGATGCTGTTTGTTTGTCGACCGTCATCTGCCAGCCATTGGGGGTGTCCTCAAGTTGGAAGGAATCCCCGGTGACGAGGAACATGCTATGCGGCCAGAACTCATCCAAGGGGGGAACTTCCGTTGCGATGAATGAAAGCCACCGGTTGGGGCCCATGGGCGCGAGTCTGCCTCGGGTGCCGGGTGTGAAAGGTGGGGCAGTGAGCACTGGCCCGGTCTGGTGCACGTGGGTGAGGTGGAGAGGTGGCAGGCCTGGGGAGGCAGTCATGGGGGTGGGAATGTAGTGTGTGGCGGTGATCTGCACTTCGAAGCACCCGTGAGTGAGGGGTAGGTACTGGGTCGTGGTGCCCTCGGCGTGTGGTAGGCTGGGGGGGATTTCCAGCTCGGCTGAGTCTGGTCCCTGCGGGGCGTTGTCGTATTGCCACCACTCTTCCTCCGTGTAGGAGTGTTTTGTGGGGGGCCGTTCCCCCGGCGTGTCACTGGGTTTGTCCGGCTTCGCCTGGCTATCGTCTTGTGGGTGGTGTATGTCTGTGGAGCTGGAGGCTCGTGTGGTGGAGGTGTGGGCGGGGGGCTTGACCTGTGGGCTTGCCGAGGAACTTGTTCAGGGCCTCTTGGAAACGCTGTTCCGATTCCGTGTCAGCTTTGGTCCCCCGTGTTGGCACGTCGTCTGGGGGGTGTGTGTTCGTGTCACTGTGGCCCCTACTCGCAAGGATCCCCCACCCGGGACCATGTTGGGGTTGGGGGTCGGGTCGAGTGAGGGATTCGCCTGCCCAGACCCGCTGCTTAGGCATGTTTGCTTCCTTATTTCCAACTCGTTGGGAGCCATGTCCTGCGCCGCGTGTGTGTGTTGGTTTGTGTGTGCCGTGTGGTTCCCCCCATCCTGGGCGCTCCCAGGGTGGGATGCTGTGGTTGGAGGGTGTGTCGCCCTGTTGCTCTTCCGTGTCATGGGTGGTGGAGTCGGGTGGTGGCCGTGGTTGCAGGAACTGGGGGACAGCGGCAGAGCCGTGGCTGCGGGGGGGGCCGTCTTGTGGTGCCACAGGTTGGAGCGGTGGGTGGCTCGCTGCAGGAGGCATCGATGGCGGGCGATGTTTCCTCATCCTCATCCGCAAGAGTGGCTTGGGGTGTTTCGGCAGTAGGGGTGGGTGGGTCTGCCGGTGTCTGGTCCGCCAGGCTGTGCACTGGAGGGTCTGGGGGGGTCGTCGCCTTGTTGGTCTGTCGGCTTCGCTTGGCGTGCTGGAGTCAGCCTGGCTAGGGGGCGGTGGGTCGTCCTGCGGGTTGTTCCAGGGATCACAGTCCCAGTCGTATGCAGGGTGGTAGCCGTGGATGTTGGAGGCTCTCGGTTGTTGGCCGCCGCTGGGGGTTTGTGGTTGGCCCCCAAGGCATGCCCGCCGCCACAAGCTCCAACACAGACCATTCAACAAGCATCACAACCAACACATCCACCACCGATGCAGCAATCACAACGTGCCCCGACTGCCACCTCACCCCAAGCCGCAAGACAAGTGGCGTGTGTTGCTGCCCATGCCAGTTGGGCTGGGGGCTCGTCCGGAGCCCAGTGCTGCTGCAGCCATGGTGGTGTAGCGATGGGCTGCGCAGGGGGGTTTTCCCCGGCTGTGTTGGTTGTTGCCTCCTGGTGGGGGGGGTTTACGGGGGGTGGGGAGGGGAGGGAAGAGGCTGGGCAGAGGGAGGTGGGGGGCGGGGGGGTTCCACCGTGGAGTGTTCCCCACAGTAGTAAGGCAAGGGTTCGGATGCGCAGCATGTCCGAACAGGTACTGTGTGCTTCTGCGGTGTGCTTGAGCAGCGATTAGCTTAAGCCGGTCACCAAAGTATCTATATAAGGTGTTGCACGAGTTGTGAGTGGTGAACATGTTTCGAGCATCCAAGGCAGTGCAGTGCACGTGTGTGGCTGACTGCAGAGAGGGACTGCGAGTTGCTCCCTCTAGCTTTCCCCCAGGTAGGGTCATTCGCTAGTGTGGAGGTAGGCGTAGGTCCCAGCTTGATTGATTGCTTGGTAAATTGCTCTCTATGTAAAATACCAGAATTGAGAACTGTTGGGTAGGTTACACTCGAGGTCGGTTGCCATGTCGTCCGAGGCTTTGCACTGGCTTTGCTTTTGGTCTTCGGCTGTCTGCTGTTCCCCCTTGTGTCAAGGATGCTTGCAACAAACTGTTGCTCCGACGGGTTTGGGGTTGCAGGTGCAAGGTTTGCAATACTCCCTTGTTTTCCGCTACTCCATGGTACGTCGTACTTTGCGATGAAGGTCGCCTCAAGTTCCCCCCATGCTTCGCGATCCTGGGCTATTGCAAACCAGCCCTGGCCTGCAGTCTCACTGAGTTGTCTGTCGATGTCCATGTATGCGTTGAACCTCTGCGCATGCTGCAAGTGGATCCCCCGGTCTTTCTGTTGCTGCCACCATCGCAGACTGTGCCACTGAAAGGTTGCTCCCCCGACAGGATCTCCGCGGCATATATGGCCAATGGCAGTCCAGATTTGAGAAAGAACAAAGGTGGACCATCGAGTTCCCCCGCAGTGAAAGAGGGCGAGTCTGCTGCGGCGAAGACTCCGTTTGTTCCATGTCGCCCATTCTTCGCATGGCTGTCTTCTCAATCCCAGCATGGTTCGGACTTGGCCAAGTTGAATGGCGTTGATCGACTTGAGAAGGTTGCTATGGCAGGGCCATGTCTGGCACGCCCACAATGCGGCGCTCTGGCGTACCAGCACGACATGAATCTGCAGTTTCTGCCGAAAAATGACGTCCGAAATAAAAAAAAGGTGGCGTCCGAGGTGAAAGATTCTCGGTGGCTCCAGAAGGCTTTGCGGGCTCGACTCTGTGCCTCCGCGAGTAGCATTGCCGTTCCCCCTTGAAATGATAGGGGGCTTCCCAGGACATGGAAGATGTGCTTCGGTCCCTTCGTCAGGACGTCTTCCCCCGCGACCTGAAATTTGACGGGCTTGTCCGAGGTGCTGATGATGTCTGTCTTGCCAGGGTGTATGTAAAGCCCCCGTTTCGGCAATCGAGAACCAAGCGACGTGAGCATGTGCTGGAAGTGCTTGCGGTTGGTTGACCAGATGTAGTTATCATCCATGTAGCTTCCCCCGTCTTCGGGAGGGCAATCGTCCCCCGCTGGCTTGGACGATCTGGCTTCGTCGATGGCAGCATCAAGGTCAACAGCGACCACAGAACCGAAAGCGACGGGGCTTTCCGGGGCCCCCTGGCGGACTCCGTTGCTCTGCTGAATAGGGATGCTCTCCCCCGCGACTTCGATGGTGATCTTTTGCGCGTGCAGCAGAGCAACCCATGCTCTTGCCTCCCAAGGGAGGTTAGCTTGTTCCCCCACCACTTCGCACACATGTTGGGCGAGGCTCTCTTGGTAGATGGAGTCAAAGGCCTTGCGGATGTCTAATTTGGCGATGTAAAATTCCATCCCCCAGTCACGAGCTACACGAGCTAGGCGTCGGAGGATCATGATGAGTTCGATCCCTTGTCGGCCGCGCCTGCACCACTGTAAGCGCGCGGGGCTTTGTATGGTGTTCCCCCCTCTCTGGAGTAGTAGCTGGCCAAAAGTCTTGAGGAGGACCGAACTGAGCGTTATCGGTCTCGTCTCACTCCAATCCTTCGGTTGACTGGTTTTCGCCAATAGGATGGTCGCTCCGGCCTCTATGCTCTCCACAATACGACAGGTGTAGAGCATGTCGTTGAAGATCGCGACCAGCCGGTTCCCCCACACCGGATGGGGGAGGAGAGCTTTGAGGGCCTCGTGAGAGACCATGTCGGGGCCGCACGATTTCCCGTTTCGCCACTTGATTTTGACAGCCTGGAGGTCTTCCAACTGGAAAGGCAGCCATTTGGTGTGCTTGCACTGTCTTTCGAGCTTTTTCATGATCTCCCCGATGGCGACAGTAACGACGATCTGCTTTTGGCGGAAGAAGATCTTCTCGAAGTGCTCCCGCAAGTTCTTTCGCCAATCGCTGTTCTCCAAAAGTTCAGTTTCCACAGTCGTCGTCGTTCGTCGCCAGGTGGGGCTAGGAGGGCCTCACGGCGGAGTTGCCGGAGCTCGGCCGATTCTCGAAAGGGCTTTTTGTCCTTCCCCGGCTTGGTGATGGCAACGGCCACCGCTTGCAGCCTGCAGCTGTGAGACAGGGTCTCCCCCGATCGAGGCGTGGTAGTTCATGAGGTTGTCGACTTCGTCATGGTCCCGCAAGGTACGGGCCGACCAGGCTGCCGGTTTTGATCCCCCTCGGGCCGGTGCGATATGGATGTTGGTCAGTGGGACTGCAATGGGCTCGTGGTCGGAGGTGGCAATGTCTCGTTGTGCAAGTACTCCCCCGGGGTCACACAGTAGGCGCTTCGCCAACACATAGTCCAGGCGGCGTGGTTCCAGTCGCTGGTTGTAGGGGAAATGGCTCGGCTTATCGAGAGCTTGCTGCGGAAAGTGGCACTCCTGCTGCTCGAACCAGTCAAGAAGCATCTCCCCTCTTGCAGAGGAAGCCTTGATCTGTCTGTTCTGCTGAGCATCTGAGAATGTTTCATTCGCATCTACTCCGATGACTGCTTTAGTGTGGGTCTGCATCTGAATGTGGATGCTCTGTAGGATTTGTTCAGTGGTGGAGAGGGTGGCATGGTGTGGTATGTGGATCGAAAAAACCCCTATCCGAAACTCCGAAGAAGTCAAAGTGCAAGAAATGGAGCATGGAAGGATCTTTCCCCGGGTGTGCTGCAGGTTTGACGTGTGGACGATTGCCGTCCCCCGCCAATCTTCTTCTCTTCTGCCATATAGCATCTGCAGTTCATCCAGGGTGGCATGGAACTTGCCAGTGTCACAAATCACTTCCTGCACTGATACGATCAGGGAGTGACAAAAAGGTTGAATTTGCTGACGTCGGAGTGCAAGGATGACTTCCAGTACTTTTGTAGCTGCCAGTTCCCCCACATTCCAAGACAGGACATGCATGTTAGCGAGGTGTCCGGCCGTTTCGGTGGTCCCCCGCCTGCGTGGTTCTCGTCACTGAAGAGCTTTGCGCAGCTCCCCCCATTTAGAGGAGACCGCCTCTTCGGAGGCTCCGATTTGGCGTGCCAAGGCGCCCAAGTGAACCCAGCCTGCTTTCTCAATGGACGCGCCCTCGGGAGGTGTGGTGACCCCGGAAGCAATCTTGATACTGTTGTACCAAAGGTTTGCTGTGCCGTACTCCACGTCGATGCGGCGGATATCCCCGCCTTCCTCGATGATCAGCCGCTTGATTTTCCCGGCCATTTGTGCTCGCTTGCGCCGTTCGGGGCTCTGGCTGAGGGCAGCGAAGAAATAACGGTTCCCCCCTTCCGGCTTCTGCCCTGTCACAACTTTTGCTGCACGGATCGTCCTCAAGGCCTCCTGGACACGAGTGCGTTGGTCCTCATCGCTCTCGCCGTCCAATTTGGTCAGTGGCACGAGGGCAAATCCCCGGCGAAGCCCGGGGACGAAAGCTTTGCTGGTGTCCAGATTGATGTCGAGGTCCTGTAGGTGTTGCTTCACAAGGCGAAGTGTATCTTCATGGTGCTGGTCAGCACTCCATCCCCCAACAACCAGCGCAGGGCGTGAACTTCCCCCGTCGAAGTCGGATGTTCTCGTGCTTGACAAAGAGAAGTTGGCACTGGCGAACTTGCCTTCCAGCACTTCCAGTCGCTGCAGCACGGAAGATTGCCTTTCATCGACCTGTCGCACGCTCTGTTCCATTGCACAGTGACGATCTGTCATGGCTTCCAGTAACTTGGTGGTGTTAGCAACATGCGCGTCCATGGTATGCTCCACTGTCGTAACCCGATTGCTAAGCCCATCCATGTCCTCACGAACCTGAGCAACGATTTCTTCCCGGTTCTCTTTGAGGGCTGCCAACAAGGTGGACAAAGTCAGAGGTCGCTCATCATCTGCTTCGTCCGTCTGAGCGGGCCGTTTGCGTCCTCCGGGGTGTCCCCCGCTCTCTCCAGCCCCCGTGGGTGAACATGGTGATCTCCCCGTTCCTGCCATTATCACGATCTTCCGGTCGATGGAATCCCTCACCCAGCGTACAGCTTCACAGACTGCTTGGCGTCAGGTTCCCTCGCCCACGTAGGTTCGCCGATCACGGCAAAGGCGAGGTGTGAGAAAGTCCCTAATGGTCAGCGCACAGACACCGTTGAGGAACAAACCCAACTAGGTCCCCCGCAGAAGCGTGCACAGCGAAGTCGCAATGTTCGACAAGGACACCCGTGAGCTCGGATCGCACACACTCACTCTGCACAGGCTTGCTCTCCACACCCTTTTCAGTTGCTCCCCTTCACTCCAGTCGTCTTTACTTACGGGGCTCGGGGCTCGAACCACTCGCGGCTTGAGCCAAAATGGCTCTCTCTCTCTCTCTCTCGCTCGATCTCTGCCCCTCTCCCTCCCGGCATGCGGATGAGAATATCCGCCGCTGTGCACCGGGTTTGACCGCCACTGGTGTTGGGATCCTGTTGTCGTAACTTGCTGAGCCAGATGGACGGCGCGCAGAACGTGTTTCAGATGGAAGCCTGTTGAGCCGGATTCTGGCCAAAATCTCGCTGCCAGAGCCCCCCCCCCTGTGCGTAGCGAGAATTTGTGTGGTGACCGCTTTGGCACCGAAATCCACACCCATCCGAAAATCCGAAATCTGGCTTGGGATTTATGATTTGCCCTCAACACGTTCGGGCCGTTGGGGCAAGAAGCCTCGGCCGGCTTCGGAGCAGAGCCACGTCGAGGTATTATGGAATAAACCCAGAGCGGCGTCAGCAGTAGGCCCAAGGCCTCAGCCCAAGGTACTATAGCAGATACCAGCAGCTACTCGCACGTCTCCCTGATTCTGTCGAGCCAACCTAATCCAGTGCGGCAATGTCGCAATGAAAGTGATGCAGTACCTAAGGCGCCACCGGGTGCAGCCGGTGATAACACATGACATGCTTCAGCCACGATACGATGTCTGAAAGACGCTGCCACCCACACACTCTCATTCACTCTACGTCAGCTCTTGACAGTCTAAGCACAGCGAAAATTGCTGAGCACGGTTTGAGGAAGGGAATCCCAATTTGCTGGTCCGGGCGGCGTGCAGCAGTGTCGTCGACAGTTCTGCTTGTCCTGTGTTTGAATGCAGCATATACCGGCAGTATACTAGTGCTTTCCATTGCTTTCCGTACCTCCGCTGGCCATCAAGCAACAACAACAAGCATTGACGAAAACAGAAATGCCGAGATTTGCAGCTTCTTGTCTCAATGATGTTCAGAGTACGAGCGCGTGTCACGAACTGGTGCAAACAAACGCGGTTCTCATTGCCATCAGCGCACGCCAAAGCACCAAACTGTCTGACAGAAGTGGCCAGAACAGTTTCTGATAGGCGCAATCAAGGCATACATGTTGCTCCACATTTTCGCACAGGATGCAATGTCCTCCAGATAGTTCTTGTTCATGAGGGCCCTCATTTGGGAAACCACCTCAGCATGGACAGCACTCTGTCCACCGAGGAAATGTGCCATTCCAGCAATCACCAAGCAGCACAATCAGCACAATCAATGCCACGGTCGGTGGTCTCGTGGCTTGGACGCTGTCCCTGCTTGGTACTGCAAACAAGGGGCCAGCGCTGTAGGCGCCATGGTAGAGTGCAGAAGGAAGCTGCGGCAGAGTTGAAAGGAACGAGCTGGGAGCCAAACGGCTGGATCAAACCAAACACGCTAAAAGATTTTTTAATGCATGGCGCTGCCCACGCTCTTGAGTCGCGTTTTAAATGCTGTGCCCTTACAGTCTTCCATGTCCACGGCTCTCTCGTATCCATGTTGAGGCAGGCAGTGGCGAGGGCCAGCCACCGTATGCCGAAGGTACAGACATGATACAAGGGGGCAAGAACCTGACATTCAATGAAAAAACATATGACTCATATGACGGACCCAAAGAAAAAGCTGTTGAGTGCGCCGCTCGCGGAGCAACTCCAGTTGCTTCTCAGCCTCTCAAAGCTGGCAGCGGATTCATGCCAAGGTCGGGGAGGCGAAGAGTTTGTTGAGGCAATTGCTTGAGGATAAGTTGCCTGTGCATTTGGAACCATGTGTATTACTACTCTTGTACTGGTACTTGCTTCGGGTGTGTCCATCGGTTCTACTACAGGAATTTCTCGACTAACTAGTTAATATCCTCTAGATTCTAGATTGTAAACTCGAGAAGGATGCACTTCTTGATACAATGACGAGCTGAACCAACTCAAACAAGTGGTGACTGTAACTGAGGACAAATTACTGTGCATGAGCGATGTTGACACTCATTCCGATTCATTCCGGAAAACCTGTAAAGGAGAGTTTCAGTGTCTGAAACTGCTTGAAACCAAGAAAACAAATAACAACATCTTAAGCTCATGTTGCCAGGACAGAAAGGAAGCACTCCCAGTCCAAAACAACGAGCTCCAATCAAATGCTCGCATGTGTATCAACCGAATGCGGGTAATGAACACGTGCCTGATTAGTTCGGTTAAACCTTCAGTATCACGGTCGTCTATGTGGGCGTGTGAAAGAGACTGCTTCTTCATCGCATTACCGCTACGGACAAGTACACCACATAATTATACTAATATTGCAGTTTTGTAGCAACGACAATGCTAGTTGATCCGGTTTAATCAACCAGACAGCTGTGCGCAAATCACGCGAAAATGTTGCAGCTGTAAGCAAGATAAGGACATTTAGAATTTCAGGTGTGTTTGTACGGCTAACCCGAAACATTGCATTTTTTGGAAACATACCGTAACTTGCTGTGAATGGTTGAATAAGCTTTAGCACGGCCATCGCGCGTATTGAGTAATGGGCGGGTGGAAAAAGTGTTGTTGTAAGTGGCAAGAAATTGAACAATTTGTAGAGAACTGCCAGACATGCACATTGTAAGTCTGAGAAATTTGAAGTGAACTGCAATTCATGCGTTGTCTGTAAGGAAAGATGCAGAAGACACAACCACAACCACAACCACGAAATCCTCACAAGATCAAAGAATGGCAAATAATGACAACATAATCACCTGAACAGAATCAACTACAAGATCAATTATTGCCCACCCCGTTTGTAGTTATGAAACAAACAACTACAAACAACCTCAACCCGAACAGTCACAAACACAGCAGTTTATCATGCAGCAACTCTTTGATCCTGATTTTGAGAAGGATGTTCCCAAACCGGACATGATCAGACAAACAATCGACAAACGGCCTAGATAATTCTTGCAATGCTGCCCGCTTTCGCGACTTGCCACAAATGTGGCCTTGCATTTGACAAAGCGCCACGCCTGACAACAATAACCCTATCATGATCATGCAGATATGACCTATAAAAACATTGCCAATTCTTTTTACATTAGAACGTTTTTGGCTCACGGTCTGGGGCCTGAAATGGTTTGAAAATCACTTGCATTCACATGAATATTACCCCCTTAAACTCAATCAGATTCAAAATTATCAAAATGCCGGCCGAGCCACACCTGGGGGCAGAGACTTCTCACCGCTACATCCACAGGAGAAACATGCAACCACCCAGCTTCAGAAGACGAGTGAGGGCTAAGCCGCTGTAGGTGCGCAGGTGTTCAGGCCCACACTTGCAGACACCATTTGACACACGCAGGCGCAAGCACACAATGCTGCTAGGCCTGACTGGCCTTGCGGCCCGGCACATACCCCTTCTACACAGGGCGGGTGCTTCGCCAGCGGCACATGTTTTCCCGCACGACACCCATTGTAACCCGTCTCGATGCTCACTCAACTGCTTCCGCAAGGACAAAAAGGAAGAATATTGTAGCATACACGATGTGTGAATCGTGTCTGTGTGTTGTGCCCGGGTAGGGCATATAATGACCAAGGCTACACACGACATGTGCAAACACACAATGTGCTGCTAGGCCTGCCCGGCCACGTCCCCATCCGACGGGTGTGCTTGCGCGCGACCCTGCCCCTAACCAAAGGGCAGCAAAGCCACTATCCTGAGATCATGTGCTTCTCCACGCAGCTGTGAGACTGTCCATGACGTCAACGTCATGACCGTCATGGCGATGGTTCATGTCGAAGCCAGGCGGCACCAGACCTCTGTTTGAAGAGTCCGCCCAGCATGTAGTATACGCGGTCTGCACACGTTTGGCCTGTCTGTGCTGTCCCTTAAGTGTCTCAATGCTGCGCATGCACCGTCCCCAGTGCTCGGGCCATGCAGCTGTGACTACCCGCACTGCGCACTGTTGGCTCCGGAGTCTGTGTCTGCATCATTCTGCATCTCTGCATCCGGTAGTGACCAATCAGCGTTGCTGAAACCATCCCGTGGGAGTGACCGCTGTGTCATCGCCCGCATCGCTGCTTCCTGCTAGACAGTCTTCATCTTGAGATTGCCCAGAGCACCAAGAAACTTTCCTGCAGGTCGGCCAGGATAGCTTCGTCTCGACAAAATGTCCGGATCCGTCGGACGAGCGGCATCCACCTGGAAAGCTTCATCCTGCTCATTGGGAATCACCTCGCTCGACAAAATAAGCCCTCGTTGCTTCGCACGTACACGTCGTCCTTGCCTTTGCGACCGCTGACATGATCCGGGATCATGCTGAGGCCAATCCGTCTCCCTGTTGCTTTTCGCAGTGCAGAACCAAGGCAGGAGCCAAGTTTGCGCACACCACAGGTAATGGAACACCGATAACATGCACTACCTGCAAGGGCCTTGGCCAATTGCACCTCGCAGCCAAGCTTGAGCCGTAGTATTCCCGATAACCCTTTCTGGGGGAGAGACTCTTAGCTCGCCTCCGTGAAGCCAGCGCAGTGCGCTTGTGGAACTACAGTACCGCGGCAGGGCTGCGTTGATGACATTTGCATAGCCCTAAACCCCAAAAGCCTCATCTACGAGGCCCTCCTTGTCCATTCAGCTGTGGCATCTAGGTACGTAGGTTGCTGGGACTGCTCTGAGGGTGGTATTGCAAGGGGTTGGAATCTTAAGGTAGACTAAGACTGGACTCCGGTGGGGTGTTTTTTGGCTCCCGCATGGCGGGTCTGGCGATTGCATGGCAGGTAACACGTGGGGTGTTGGAGGTGCGAATCTTAGGGTTGGACTGGAGTGCTTGGGTGGGGGAAGTAGTTTCTATGAGGTGGACTTTGCAACCAATTAAGCGGTAGATCAGGCTTTGGATCAATGCCTGCTGGTCGGGGCATGCATGTGGGCGCTTTGTTGGAACATGTTGTGGAACAGTGAATCGGGGGATGCAGTTCGCCAGGGGTTTGTGAAGTGGGTAGCAACACCTGTGGAGCTTTCAGAGGGGAAATACTGCGCTGTTGGTGTGAGGCTGTTGGCAGTTCAAACAAGGGATGCTGAAGATTTGGGTGCTTGGGGGCAAGTAGCTGGCCGGTTGCAACTGGAGAAGGTCGCTGGACAAAATGACTGGGAAGGATGTTCGTGCGCTTGCGGGGTGGGTGGGTGTTTATGCGTGCTACCATGTGCCTAAGTATGCAAGGTATATCAAATTTATCCTCGTACTGAAACAGCATCCATATCCAATCTTAACGGCCCAGGCACCAGGATCGATTCGCCATAGTGTGGGATGAGCACGCTGATTCCGGGGATCTGCGCGCACAGTGCGGAGTTTGAGTTCGAGCGCCAGCAGTTTCGATCTGAGGCTGCCACATAAGGCACCCGATAAGGCACGGGAAGCGGCAGTCCTGACGTGCAAAGGACTTGGCGTATCGCCGCGATCAAACGCTCCGCGGCTGAGCGTGGCTGAGGCTTCTGCCAAGGCCCCTGGCCAGTGCCTTTCGAGGGCATCTTCCCAAAAAACAAAACATGCTCTCTTCTGGAGTCTATATCTCACACGAAAGTCTGCCTGCAGTCGCCACTTGGCTTCTCGATTTGTCGGCCAACCTGGAGTTAGCGCACCACGCGGACGTTCCCGCGTCCCTGACGTGTTTCAATCGAGGCTTGGACCTTCCTGGCCCTGAATCATGTAGCGGCGCAGAAAATTCTCGGCCTCAACGCATGGAACTTCATGAAGACCATCTGACGATCTGAAGAAGCGCATCCCTAGGCCCTAGCAGAAACCAACATCATACAAGACTACGAACACAAGATGCACGATGCATCTTGGATATCTTGGCAAAGTTGAGCATTGCAGGGTGAGTGCGGCTGTAACACTGCAGGATACTGCAGGCCATGTCTTGAAGCATGTGGTCATGGTCCCTCGCCCTGCTGGGTCCGCGCATCCGAGTTCTCTGCACACGCCGAATCCCTAGAGGTCCTAAAACAATCACAATGGATAAATCCTGAAGCTGCCGTGCGTAGCTCTTTGAACTGAAGGTACTGCGATCAGACACACCTGGATGGGTCCCCAGCGACATTCGTGCCACGAAAGATTTGCGGCCTGCGTGCAGGGCTGGCCACGGCTGTAAGCACCCGAGGAGAGAAGCCCTGTTTTCGTTTCTGTGCCGCGGCGCCTGCGAAACTCTCGCATGCCGGAGTCCAGCGGCGAGTTCAGCTGCTTCCACTGCACGTTCGAATCGGCATCTGCGCAGTACCTGCGAAAAACCGCGCGGTGGTCAGCCTCTTGCAGCGGACTAGCGAGAATCTGCGCACGACAAGTCGCCAATCTCCCGGCTGGTCACCTGCATGGGACTAGCATAGGCGCAGAGCGCTTACAGCACATGCATGAACACGCTTCATCCGCTTGTCAGCCACTCGTCGGCCTTCCCTTCGTAGCGCAGAAACTCCACTATGCGATCCCAGACACCTCAGTCATCGGTGTATAGCAACTTGTGCCACTCGGTGGATGGTCAAAGACATCATGGGCAGTTCACCCTGGCTGAAGCTCTCGGTACATCGCCAACCTGTACAAACTTTCTGAGGACCTACAACTAGAACCAAGAACCATGGCATTTTGTCATGCTCTTTACGTGGACCGGTCGTGCCAAGAAGCCATAGAAAGACATTGCTTCCCCATTCGGGCCCTGCATCGCATATGGAAGCACCTGCACGCGGCGCCTACTGTTCTTGAGAGACGGAGCAGGCTGAGACCATGCCAGCAGCAAGAAGCAGCAGACGAGGCAGAGGCAGGCAGCAAGCCCAGCAAGCTAGTTGTTCCAACGCTGCTCTGCTTCAACGCACTGCAGTGGTGCCTTCGCTGGAAAGCGCTTCTGGATCTTTGACACACTGTCCTGCTGCTTCCGAAGATAGGATACATTGTGGATACATGCGATGTCACTCTCTGACTAACCCGTGGAGATCCTAGCGCATGCCCTACAAACTAGAAAGGACGCAAAGGCTTTTTGTCAACTCACAGCCAAGTGTACTTTGGCTCCGGCATTTTAGAGGGCCAGTAATTCAGGCAAGGGTTCAGAGATAGCATGGCTGGCACCTCAGCAGGCCGGATACATTCTGGCAACAGCGTGTGTCTCCCCTGTCTGGCACAGCATGCCCGTGCAGGATCGTGTCACTTTGCCATGCAGCTAGGCAAGCATGAAAGACCTGCGGCCTGAAACAAAACTCTTCCAGCCGTACGTCATGAAGACATGGCTCCAAGCTCGCCTGCTGCCAGTACCTGCAGCGTTCATCCTGCGGCAGAGATGCCAGCACTGTGCGGACCACGAAGGTGTCCACAACGATGCTGAAAATGAAGATGAAGCCCATCCTCGCCGCAGTCAGATTACAACTGCAAGCTGACATGGACAGAACCTGAAAGGAACCCCCACCAACACTTTCGCCGGAATTGAAGGAGATCGTAAAACACTGGCGACATCTGCTTTCACTGCCCGGACTGCACTGGCCCGCCCGTTTTTTCCAGCCCCCCCCCTCCCCCAGAAACACGACCCAAGTTTTGCCTTCAACGGGCTTCGGACAGTTGCTGGGGTTCTTCGGCTTGCATTGAAGATGCTGGAAGACATGTCGTGGCACACCTCCTTGCAGTTGTTTGTGGCTATTTGTTTCCCTCTGAACAGCATCTGCTTGTGCGTGTTGTGTTTGTGCATGGGGGCCCTTCGCGGTGCAGGCTTCAACACTGGGCATAAAAGGCCTCCATTTCGACCAAGTGGCTGAAACAAGCGGACGTGCAGCGATTCAAACACTCTCTCTTGCATTTCGACCAAGTAGCTGAAACAACCGGACGTGCAGCGATTCAAACACTTTTCTTTCATTTTGACCAAGTGGCTGAAACAAGCGGACGTGCAGCGGTTCAAACACTCTCTCTTGCATTTCGACCAAGTGGCTGAAACAACCGGACGTGCAGCGATTCAAACACTCTTCGTTCATCTGACAAGGTCTGGAGACATGGGCAGCTACGTATACATGTTAAAGTCTTCCTGTGCAAACCGATCGAAGTTATTGTTCCGATGCGCAACCCGGCCCGGCCCCCGACGTGCCAGTTGTTGTGCATTTCAACCAGATTATGTTGCATGTTGCTTATAAATGGTGAAGGAATGCACCACACCTTAAGTTACACAGTAGTTATGGATCGACACATGGCCGTATTACGTTCACGTTTTATGTTGACACTCGTGCAACTTAAGTATCTGGTTTTGAGACACCGAAGGTTTGTCCATCAACGAGGCGGTGAGCACAAAGTGTGCACCATTAACAGCCTATCGGTGTCACTCAGTGTCCAAATGCGTCCGAACTCCGAGTCCCAGCGTGCATGCCTTGCGCCGGCATGCACATGACTACACTGGTGCCCATCAGCTGGTCTCGTCCTGGCTGCAGCGTCCATCCCCACAGCCATCCGGACGACTTTTTGAACGGATGGGCACATGGTCATGGATCCGACGTACTTGCTCCAAACTGTCCCCAGCGTTCTGTGCATCCAGCGTCTCGTTCCCGGGTAAGTAAGGGTCCGGTCACCCCGTTTTGGGGTTCTGGTGGCAAGCTACAACAAGGCATAGGAGGGACCCCAATCCCCCGACCCCGAACCTAGAACCATCGCTACTCCGAATCCTCCGTCGCCGTGAGTTCACACAGCCGAAAACTATCGACGTGTCTCAGCCTTCGGTACCCGGCACCTCCTTGCATCAAGCAAACACTTAACTCTCTCCGCTTGCAGGCCAGTTCTGTCAAGAAGGGACGGGCGGACGCGCGCACCAGACATGCGACTCAGAACTCACAACATTTCTGTCACCCGCCCAGCTGAACAAAGTCGCACCGCAGGGAACTCGTCCGAATCTGCCACTAGAGAGAGAGAGTCTGAGGGCAATGCACTCTGCAAGCAGACAACCCCACAAGCACGTCACAACCATAGGACTGTAGAGTGCATCACTGCCGACCCTCGGAGACCTAACAACTTAAGGGAAAGCACAGGCCCACAAGCCGACTATACTCAGAACATTAGGGAATACGTTTGGCTAGTCGCAATAGTGCTATTTGCGCCGAGGGTCTGATTCGTGATCGCCATGCTGCCCAACATCATGCTTGTCTTAGCCGGACACTGGCTTGCAGCTTCAACGGCAAGGTGGGGCTGCCATGCCACTCAACAGGCGCAGCTCTTCCGACGGACGATGTATCTGCAGCCAGGATGCGAAGGTGAAGGCAAAAATGAGCCCTGCCGAAGTGATCGTTGGCCCTTCCAGCTTTTGTTGGTGGTTGTTTGCTTACTGCTCCAGTCTTGCATATTCTCTTGCACACTCTCGTGGGCCCCGACCAGTCGCCGAGAGCGCCAGCTGAACCGATTCGTTGTCGCCAAAGCCCTGCGCGAGGTGCAGTTGAAGCTGGTACACAGGGCTACCGTCTACGGGCATTGCCTGCCAAAACCGTTGCCTACTAAGTAGACGTTCCAAGGCCAGTCATGTGGCGCACTTAGCGACTTAGCGCGCTACAGAGCTCATGTTTTCATCTGCTTGGCTTCTGCCCTCTGCTGCCGCTGCCCATGTCCCTGTCTTAGGACAGTTGCGAACCTGCGCGCGGAACTCCCAGACACGCTCAAACAGAAAGACGTCGTAGTCCTTATCGTACACGACAGTTCGAGGCCAGCTGCGACTTGTGCCCGGCAGTTCGACCGACTAATCAACAAGACGAGCCAAGATTCCAGGGCCAGGCCCAGCATTATTGTAAGAGTGAACATGGGGACCGTCCAGTCCAAGCCTCGCTTGCAGAGCCGAATTGCCGAATTACCGCAGGAAATCAGCATCTGCATCTGCTGTCGGCCTGCAGGCCCACTGTTCGTAATGTACCTCGGATGCTTTTTCAAGCAGCGGAATCTGTGTGCCGGGCGTGCCATGCTCACTGAAATCTGCGCCGGGCGCATACTGTGCTATCCAGGCTGCGTAGGAGAAAGGCCAGGGAGGCCTATGAATTCCAAGTAGCCGTCTTCGTAGACATACCTTCACAGTCGGAGGAGTTCTTGAAAGGTTCTGCCCCAGCGTTGCAACCCAGTAACAGCGCTGCTCCGTAGGTCCATGTGATCGGCAGAATCACAGTGAAGAGCAGCTTGAAAGGGATTAGCCTGCAGTGGACACTGACACTACATGCTGCTCCTTCCTTTGCTGCGTGACTATCTGCATGTCTGCCAAGTTGCCATGCATGAAACGAGATAGCAATGAGAATAAAGCAAACCTGCGACACGCGAAGAGGCGATTTGGGAAACGAGAACACCCGCTGACAGAGTGGCAGCACGCCGCTTGAAATCGATCCCTCTGCACCGTTCAGTCGACGCTCTATACTCATTGAAATCTCGCTCCGCAAGGCACCATAGCACAGCCCAGGAAGGCCACGAAGAGCCGATCGTGCGTAACTTCGATCATGTCCTTGGCTTGCTGGTCCACGGTCAAGTGACACACTGACATCACTCAGCTATGTCAGCGCGCAAGTCCTCACATGTCGACAGACTGTCGACAGCCACTGACGCAGCGTCGGCAATGCTCTCCAACACAACGAGGGTCCATCATGATTGCTGTTGGCGAGAACATGCGATAGGTAATACCCGGGAAGCCAAGGTTCCTGACCAGGCGCGACAGGTGTCGGTTTGAGCATGGGTATTCTGAATCTGCCTCGACCTGTTTTCTTCTGTAACGGTTGCGACCACGCCATTGCCTTGCGGTTTCGCTGGCATTGTGCAGCATGTGCCGGATCTCCTTGCAGAGCGCGGTTGCTGCCAAAATGCATGAGCTACCGAAAGCGATCCGAGCCACCTTTGTCATGTTGAAAGCTTCCGCGCTGAAGGGATCCTGAAGTGCGATAAACACGATACGAGAGCTGCCAACTAAATCTCCAAAATTCTCCAAGGCTACTCAATGCAGTTGGCCAGATCTGGAAGGTTCTTCTCAAAGCAGGTGCACTAAGACCGCGTCCATCTTGGGGGTCAACAAGGTGAGCATGGCATCACGCTCCGAGCTCACCAGTTGATCCCAAAGCTTTTGCATAAGCCTGCAGCAAACAACAATGGCGAAAGTCGTCTGCAGCTGGCAGCGAGTTGACGGCTGTTCGACTGAGCACAGCGTTCAGCCTGTGCATGGCAACCGTATGACTCCATGCGTTCGCCCTGCCTGGACGTGAACATGAACTTCTGCGTGAAATAGTTGGCACCTTCATGGCGAACTATTGACGCACATTGGCAAGGAGATGTTGTGTAAAGCTGCATCTACACGGCAGTCTGTCGACAGCTGAAGCAGCATCGGAAGAAATATGCTACAAGCTTTCATGGCTGCAATGATGGAACCCAGCCGAGACTGGCGCGGTAGTAGTGTGTGAGCTGGTAGTTCAAGCACTTCACTTTTCCGTTCCTTGCAGGTTCGCATGGCAAGTGGTCATGGTTGTATGTGTCATGCGTCTGCTTCCCATAAGTCGGCTTGCAAAGACACTCGCTCGACAGGTTCCGGCAGGAGTAATTCCACCTCGGCCTGGCCTTTCGCAAAGGTTGTTCCATTCCCTTCCCAGATCAACTTCGAGCAAGTGTCTCATGGGAGCCGTAGAAGGTTGGAGACTGAAAGTCATCCGAGTCCAAAGCAAAGGAGTGGTTCCTCAGCAGGCAGTACCATCGGCGGCGGCTAGCGCGCCAGCAGAGATTCGCACTTTCGCAAATTTGGCAGGGTTCGTATGGGTTCGTAAAGCTGCTGGCAGAGATGGGGTATCACCCACATTCAATTTGTTCAATTAGCAAGTTAGACAAGTCTTTGTCGCAGCTGTCAACCTACTTTTAATGGAAGCCCTCGAATGGATACAGGGTTTTGGTGGTCCCTGCGGTTGCCCCCGGCACGACCTGCCCTCCGCTTCACTGCGCTAAGAATGTCGCTAGCTCGGCATGTGACTTTCGACCATGCATTTTGAACGGTAGTAAAGATCGAAGGAATGCTATTCATCTTGCGGTCCTATTCTTTATTCTTTCCGGGTATAATTCAGCTTGGCAAGGAAAGGCTTGCTGTAAACTAAGCTCGAGCCATCAAGTTTGAGTTGGTAACACTAAACACCTCCCCCCCACCCCACCGCCGATCAGATTGCTGTTTCCGAATGGGCCCCCGGGTTCCACTCTGTCCTGGGCTTCGATTTGGGCGTGGAGTGGTGTGCCACAGTAGCAGGCCTCAGGTCCCTTGCCATCCCCTGCCAGGTAGTCAAGGCTCTTGCATCGAGGTCGCACCCGGACCGCTTCGTTTACGTGGGATTTATGGATTTATGCCCATGCGGCTCGGTTTGCCTGGAATGGACGGCATTCGTCGCACATCCTTTGGGGCATGCGCGGTATCTAGACTTCCAAGCTAGGTACGGTGCCGATTGACGTCGAGTACATGAACATGAACATAGACGAGGCCGTGAGTGGCTAGTGCCGAACGGAAACGGCCATGCACGTGCACATTGTTCCTCCGGCCAGAGTACACACATCTCACAGTGAGCATATACAATTTCCATGCATTGTCTGCTTAGTCTGCAGCATCTGGCAGCATGCGTTAGCATCCTCGTAGTCGATGCGCAAAGAGCTAGCGCAGAGTCAGCAGATGTTCGGAGTTTCTAGATATGGATTCAATTCCTTTATCGCCTGCAATGATGCTCCCTGGAAGCGAGTTCATTTCGGGAGGCAAAAGCATTCAAAATATTCGAAACCTAAGCACCACCCACAGTACTGCTGCTCTTCTCGAGAAGCGTCGAGCATCCCACTGTGAGGCGCCGGCTGTCATGACCATGCCTATTCCACACTTCATGGCTCGGGGCATGCTGACGCGTCTGATGAACTTTGAAAACCCAATCACATGCCTTGTTCCATGTCTTTAAGTCTCATCCTAGGTGTTCCGATTCATTGGCATGTCGGGATGTCGTCTGTCGATGGCATCATGCCCAGGCTCTTCTCATGGGTACAGTCGTTTCTCGGTACCTTCTTTTCTTTTGGAGAAAGGCCAGTTGACAGAATCAAAAGCCACGGACGACACCATTTAGCCAAGTCTCTCAGAAGCCTCAATGAGCGAGTCCACCATTCCTCAGATCGAATGGTACCACATAGCTCCACCATGCCAAAATATTCCCAAGAGCATGGACTAAAGCTCCCCTCCGATGACTCTACTTCTGCAGATGGTACCTGTAGCTGTTTCTTGGAGGGCGCCGAGCTGCTGCAGTTTTCGTCGAAGAAAGCCTGTCCTCTCACATCCAGTGGAGCCTGCGCAAGTCTCACTTTCGAGATTCAGCTTTGGGCCGCCCACCAGCTGGCTTAGCTGCTGTCCTCGTAACACCCCTAGCATCCCCTAGCCCTCCCATGGATCGTCATTGGCGTGTGTGGCTCATGCTGCAACAACCTTCACAGACAGGGCCGTCGAGTCCAAGCCAAGTTCTGACTGAATGCCGTGATCTGTGCTTGTTGGGCACGGGCACACACACACACACACCCACACACGAGCACTCTTGGCTCTTCCCATCCTCTGTTTCCCAAGCTTGACAACGACACAATACTGCATGGTACGATGAGCAGGGGCATTCCTCTCCTGCTGCCTAACAAAGTTCCCCCCAGAGCACAGCACTGTACTGGAAACATATCGGACGTAGACCCTCCCGGCAGAAAGTAGTAAGAAATCTTAGCATGTGGGCCCAAAGCTTCGTAGGAAACATTGCCTTGCAGCCTACACTCGTGCAGCTTGTGCCATCTCTCAGTCACATTCATAAAAAGGTGTGCCAGAAAGCCCGGATCCTCGGTCGTGATTTCGACCAGCTCCTGGCCATATGTCAACAGAAAGTCTTCCCTCATGTCGAGTTGTTCTCAGCAACAAAATAACTCAATGCCGCTATGCTTGAATCTTCGGGTCGACTGGGAGCCCGGCAGAATCGTTGCCGGCGCCTTGTGCAGTCGCTGGATGCGTGCCGTGCAAATTTTGCCACTCCCATATGCCAAGTCTTCTAGTCAAGGCTTCGGGCTTCGGGTTCGACTGCCGCACTGAACGTTGGACTTCCATAAGCACCAACTTCACACCCAAATGGCCTGTGGCGTCCAGATCTTCTGGTCCCACCAGCGCGTATCTGTCTTTGGGTGACAATTCATCCTGCACCCGATTCGTCGCGATGATCAACCTGGGATAGCGCACGCTGGCATTGGAAAGTCAACCGCATTGCTGATCTCAGTGTGTGTGTGCTTCCAGCTGCTGCTGTTGAGTGAGATGCGGCACGACGCGACTTCCTGTTTCGACGTGGGAAGTCTTGCTGGAGCTGAAATTTGCTGGTGATATGGCATGTCCAATTAATGATTCAAGTCACGTTGGCATCATGCCTTAGTGCTTCGAAGCTCTGTGCCACTCTGCCAAAACTGGGGACCGCGGGTGCCAGGTCTGCCAGGTCTGCGTTGGAGCATGTCGGAGCCCGAGCCCTGCTCTGAGAATGGCCAAGCTGCAGCCCACGCTCGGGGGGAAGTCCCGCTGAATCTGAAGTGAAGTCGCCCACTCGGGGCGACCACGAGGGACTTGAAGCTCATAAGCATGGCCCATCTTGTACCTGTGAATGCACAAGTCCGGCCTCTTGTCTCCAATGCGAGCTTGTCCTGCTTCAGACTAGTGGCTGCGTGACGCGAAGTGTAAACGGAGTCATACCGGCATAAATCAAGAGCGGCACCAAGATGTTCCTCGAGCCAGGAACCGTCAGGGAGCGATCCAACATGCTCATGCGAGCACCCGGTGCAAGAAGCGCTCCAAGACGAGCAATGCTGGATGCTGGGCAAGTTTCATTGGGCACCTTGTCAGCAAGCCTCCGATCTCATAGTACACCTCATGCTTGCAAATTGTTTAATGATGGCATGGAGAATCATGGAGATATGGTCGGAGCTACCAAAGCACAAGCTCAGTCAGCGTCAATGCAATAACATGCCAGCAAGTAGCCCCTGAGCGAAAAGGCTGCACTCGGGCATACCTTGGGTGTCCAACTATGATCGAAAAATGGCGCCATACAGAACACTACCATGCAGTTCCCATCTTCGCGCGTAGCGTACATAAAGCTTGAAACAACTGAGCCCATGATTGTCTTTGATGCTGCCCGTTTCAGTGATCTTGATGTGTACATGCTCTATTTAACCAACAGTGCTCATGTTTGATGCATGTCAGTTGCGCTTTGCGTTTTGCAGGGCTTGCGAACTCGTCATCCTCAGCCGCCACCATAACGTCGCACTGAACGCTGTTCGTGCAGTGCAGTGCGCTCCGCTTGCCGAAACCTTCTAGATTGCAAGCATGCGAATGCAAGAACTGCAGGTCCTCGTCCATGTCCATTTCGCCCTTTTCCATGGCATCAATATCTTCTAGTAGCTCCGCCTTAACAAGTCGTTTGCACAGTACTTCCAGCGCTTCAATTTGACAATGACACGGCATCAGCATGGCACCTTATCTGCGAAATAACCTACACTACGCAGCAAGGCATGCAAGGCAACCACCACCGGTGCTGCCTGGCGATCCTCTTCGGTAGGCTCGAAGCCCGCGCCCAGCCACGGAAAAATGCCGAGGACGCAGGGCACAAATGTCCTCAGAGCTGCATGTACAAGAGAAGACGAGTCATAATTCTGACGAATAGTTTCAGAAAGACATGACTTTAGTCTGGAGTGACAGGATTTGCCAAGGTTCAGCTGCACTCCAATGCTGCACCTGGGCGGTGTTGTAATGCGAGCCACCGGGGCGTCTTTTCTGCCGGCTACACTGAATATTGCACATCAATTGCTGGAAGAGGCACAGAATCATGGCACATGCAGCCACGCAAAAGCTTTTGAAGGCGCCTGGCCCAACGGTGTCGAGCTGAGGTCCCGATTCCCGAAAGGCACCCTTTTCATAACCAGGAATGCTGTGGCTCAGAATTTCCGCTTTGTCTTACTGGACATTTCTGCGGACGAACTGCCTGGAAGCACCAGCATTGCTCCATAAGCGATTGTCAAGACCTTGGCAGGAGGACTCGATTACAACTCGAACAATCAGCTAGGAACTAGCCCGTTCACGATCAAGCATGCATGCATGTCTCAGCAATCCAAGCTCATCCGTTTTATCCAGGGTGCCAAGCCCGATACCATGACCACATGGCCACTCTGCGTGATAACTTTCTCCTCATGATGAGTCTCCAGCATGGCAGCAACCATGGTCAAAATGACAAGCGAGAATGCGCCAAATGCAAGGTTAGAGCTAGACCAAGGGTCAATGGCTTCTTCCATGGTAGCCCCATGCTTGCGCTCTTCCGCGAATCGTGTCATTGTAAAAAGGGAATAATCGAAAGATAGAGCCTGCTGGAAGCTTGAAGCACTTCGCTGAACTCCCTGCATCCACACAGTCTCAAATCGGGCCCAAGGCACCGTGCACAGCATGAGCATCATAATCAGAGCGTACATGATCACGGGAAGGTGCAGGGAGACGAAGTACCTAAGAGATCGACGTCAGACTCTCAACATCTCGCCAACTATGCGTTTGACAAAAAACGGACCCTCACAAAAGGGGCCGTTTTTCTACTACTTTACTACTTCTCGTCCACGCCACATGAAACCGAAGGAGATCAGGATGGAAATGGGCATGGAGCACAGCGCAAGCCTCAGTGGAACCCATGGTCGCACATGCTAGTGCGAAGTGCTTGAAACGCCCTGTCGCTTCATTAGGGGATTCCTGTACAGCCTTCAGTGGCAGTGCCACGACAGTGCTGCTGGTGATAAGTGCAGGCCGGTTGCAAAAGGAGCCTTGCACTTTGGAGGCGCAATGCTAGAATAGCAAACGGAAGCGGAAGCGTCACAATCTCGTGTATGGGAACCTGTCAGTTCGCTGCAGCAGGAAATCTGGTTCTGCGGGCGACCTTGAATCTCTCTCACCTAGTCGGACTTAGCTCACATCCAAGCGCTTTGAGAGCGTCGCCTGTTCACTGCCAAAAGCTCTCACAGGATGCAGTAATCCGCAGCGCGCCCAAAACTATCGCAAAACAGATTCTTTGTAGAAAAACAAAGCCGCTAGAAGACCTGACACAGTATAGAGCCTCGACAATCCCAACATAGACCCTGTGGTCTCTCTTCTCTGTGCAGGCACCCGTTACAAGATCTGCCAGAAACCAAGGGCGTTCGGAAAGCGGATTTTTGCGTGGAATATTGCTCTAGATTTGGAGAGTGTTCCGAAAGACATTCCGAGGGAGCACCCTTTAATCCGGAAGCAGTCTAAACTAGTCTAAACGTCATGCTGCAGGAACTCCTTTTGCAACACGGCCGTGATTTTTTTTGGAATGCTTTTAGGAAGGCCTGTCCTCTCTAGACCCAGGTCAAAGGTATTCGTAAATGAGGCTTTCTGGAATGCTGCTTTTTTGGCTCCAGCATGGCTCGACGATGAGTCTAGCTTGGAATGCTGCTAATCAAATCTGCGTCAAGATGAGGATGCTGTTCCCCGTGCTTTTCAGGGATGCTCTTGGAACGCAAAAAGAACCGTGTACCCGCCCCTTTTCTTCGATTCTTCCGTACGTGGATCTCACCAAAACCTCGTGCGATTCAATTCAGAACCGAACTTTCAGAGCTGAGGATGCTGTGGTGTGCCTTCAGGATTTGATTTTGCTCGCTGGTCCCAGAAAGCCACCGTGCAATACATCGCCAGTCGGACTGGCAGGCCTCGTGCAGTACCGTTTCCTTCATGGCAATGTTCAAGAACGTCGGTCCTGTCGGCGGATCACAGCGAGCATCACCTTGATGGACGCATGCCATTGCAAGGTGCTGGCCTGTCACAGCAATGTCATAGGCGACCTGTCCTGATCAGGGGATGAGGACATGTCGAGGTCGCGTCTGGTACCCTGCTCAGCACGGAGGACACAACGTTGAAAGAGCCTGGGACACCTCTGACCTGCTCAGCATTCCTCAGTAGCTCAGCAGCATGGCTTGTCGCAATTCCAAGATAAGCCAGAGAAAGGTCGGCTGCTTGCTTCTGGGCTTCATGAAATCGATCTTCGTGCTGACTCGCTTTGCGAAGTCCTGGGCAATCAGCTTCATGGTGCCATTCACCCGCCAGCCTCGGCAAGCAGCCAACCCTACCGCAAGAATATTCTTATGCAATTGTGGGGACATAGTCCGGGAAATGCACGAGCTGCCTTACAGGCAGGACCGCGCAGGCAAGATTCCTGCCTGCAAGCGAAGCAACGCCAGTCGCAGATGCTTTGACGGGAACAATTGCTCAAAAGAGCTAACGGGAAGGCGACAAAGGGATGAGGCGGACGGATTGGCTCAGGGGGGGATGGGCGGCACGGGGTTAAGAACGACCCTTTGCAAATCTCGCCACTTACACAAATCACTGGCATTTGCGATGTTTCTTCGCAAGTGTCCATATCGTGGGGGAACCACCCTGTCACTGCGGACAAGTGAATTCCTAGAATTCCAACGCACATCCAGTGCTTCGACCACCGGGGTCCAGTCTTCACAGAGGGACCTCTTTCGATCGTGCTTAGTTCAGGCCATGTGGAGCCGGTGAGATCAAACAACAACTCACCAAACACCCTAAATCCGCAACTTTGTTGAGAAACATCTCTCGTACAAATTCAACATAACCCCGAACCATGTAAGACCTGACGCGACAGGCCAAAACCCAAAACATCGTGGGCCATGGCCAAGCTCCGGCCGCAAATATCAGCAAACAAATCTTCAGCGCTAGGCCTTCGCGCACGGGAAGCAACGACCCGTAAGGCAAGAAATCTCAGCACGCTTGCGGTGATCTACAACATGCACGCACTGGTTACTTTTTGTTTAGGGATGCCCGTGGTTTGGGCTTCCGGCAGATGTGCCTGTCTGGGGCATCTTTGACGCATCCTTATAAAGCTTCAGAGTTGGGTGTCAAAACGTGAGCCCCTACAAAGATGCAGTCTCAAGAGCTAGTTGAGCACGAAATGGGGGGTGAGGGGTTTTGAGACGTGTACATGAACAGTACATAAGAAATACGGGCAAAAAACACCAGAAGAATAAGAAGAGATGAAGGACAGGAATTGGCATGCAATGCAAGGTGCTCAGGGGCCTCAGTGCTCACGAGGGAGGCACAGCCATCCCACTGCTTTTCACTGAAAATCCCACGAACAGGATTTCGCATGAAGCTGTTTAAATACAGTAGGCCTGAGTCCCAGAGCAACAATATGAAATCACCAGTTCCAAACACCAGGCTGTCAACATGAAAACAAAATTCAATCATGAAACTCGTCAAAGTGTTGGGCAGAAATAAGATGCGCACACGCACACATGCGGCCGCAAGCAACTAAGAAGACTGACTGTGCAGCTGCTTCAAGCCGTCAAGGCAGAGTCAAAGCTAAAGGTCTATTTAGTCCTCGCAGCACCACTACTTGTTGCGTGTTTGAACATTTCACACAGGAAAAGCCATTTTCGAGAATCATCAACAATAATTCAACAATACTCAGGAGTCAGGAGCAATATTCGTGAAGTTTTGCATGTGCAAATAGACATCTGTGCGCATACTCATGGCGGCCATGAACAGTTAATCACATGTCTAGAGTCTGCGGCTGAAAGACAAAGAAACAAACACCACCAAAGGAATGGCAGGGTGACGAGGGATAGAGATGGAGGCGGAAAAGCAGAGAGGTAGATCGTGTAACAGAACGTGAGATGATACTACTTAAAATCATATGGTGCGATGATTCAATAATAACATGGTACCGTATACACCACATGGTAACAAAAACTGTAATAAAAGTGATGTAGAACAGCAGAAAAACATGATCATGATGTCATGTAGCATACTGGGGTATAGTATGTGATCTGACCAATACAACAAAGTTATACGTAGTTATATTACATTACACTTTACTGCACTATATCATGCACAGATTAAACTGAAACATGTTATAAGCCAGACTGATATGACACGCTAGCATGTCATAAGAAAAAACGCACTGCTGTATAAACGCATACACGATAGTGTAAGAAAATGCAGTATAGACTTGTTAAAGACGTTATCGTACAGTAAACAATATACTCGTTGTTCTGTTATGCTGCACTTCGCTGCATTGCAAAAAAAAAAAAACGTTAAAGGCACGAAATTAAAAAAAAAAATGCAACAGTAGCATCGGGTGTTGCAACGAAGCATGGTAGGACATAGCAACGTCTACTGTAGAAACTAGTATACTACAGTATAACTACAAAAAAGTGTGATGCAACATTACATTAACAAATGTTGAAGTGTAGCCTATCCTAACAGGACATAAATAACACAATATCATTCAGGATGCAACACGAATACTACCACAAAGTAGGACATCCCGCCATGCGTGTAATGTTCTGCGATTGCAAAAATAATCGAGAATGGAACATGACAGAATTAAAAAGTGGCCAGCTGGCTAGCCGGCTAGCTAGCCACTTAGGTAGATAGATCGACAGATGGATACATAGCAAAATTGGTAGATAGTCAGACAGATAGGTAAGTAAATCAATAAGTAGATAGATAGAAAGATAAACAAACAGATCATGGTAGAGTTGGAAGGTAAGATGGATAGATACATGATACAAGTGCTCACATGCGCTTCGTCAAAGGCCGATGTGTAAGCGTGTACGTGTACCACTGTGTGCACATGGATGTTACTCACGTCTCCGACCTCGACTCCAAACAAGAGGCAAGGGCTATGTTGTCGTTGCCAAGCAACTCCAAACGAACAGAATACTTTGCTGGTCGTGGGCCAGCATGGGATTTTCATCGATCTTGTCACCGAAAGTGTAGTACGAACCTGAGCATGGAAGAAACTGTGGCAGCTTTGTTAATCATGCCTCACTGGACAGAAAGCTCTTTAGAACGATTATGCGTCCTGCTGAGGCTTGCTGCAGCTGCTTCCGTGAGACTTTGTCACTGGCTTGCCTTTCAACCGAGTAGGTCTGCGGCTAGTTTGCTTGTTTTCCTGCCCTGAAAACTTGCTGCGTTCTAGCTGGGCTTCATGGTGCAACCAAGGCGGCGGATGTCAATGACAGTCCCGGGATAGTCGTTTCCGAAGTTCATCACCATGTCCTGAGGGTCTCTTCGGGGTGTCTCGTAAATTTTCGTCCACACATGCTCTGCAGCTTCTTGTCGCATGTTTGCGAAAAAAACAGCAGTTCCCAAGCCGTCCCGTAGCTGCTCAACGTACGCCTCACTTTCCAGGGACCTGAGCTGTATTGTCACCGCTGCAAGCCGTCTGTGCGAGGTGCTCTTTGCCTACTTGCTCGAGGTTCACAATTGACCGGTATGACCCCGGACCCCTGGGATCCAAGATGAGCTTTGACTTGGTATTTCAGGTAGCATGATGTCCGAAACTCACAAGGTGGGTGCAGGAGTGCTGCACATGCAGGCTGCCCTTACTTTGAAGTCGAGCATCACAGCAGTTGGGCAGTGTGGTGTGCACCTTAGTCGAGTCAGCACAGCGCAACCTTGCTTGCCGTACGTGGACAAGGCTCGACAGTTCACTAGACGAGGGATTCGACGACTGAATGGGAGAAACGGCACTCGGCGCATGATTCATTTGGAATCGATCGACCGCATGCAGGGATGCGCAACTATGACCCACAGCATAGGGCGAAGAGCTTGAGAACAATCATCTCCATCTTCATACCCACCAAGTACGGGAACTTCACCTCCAAAAGTGATCACGGCAATGCGGGGCACTGTGGCAGACTGTGGTCGGCCTCGAAGAGCTCCTCTGCCTCAAAAGACGCAGTGCCATGCGGCGCGGTCTTCGGCAATGGAAGGGCGTTGATCACCTCATGCTGCTCATGCTTTTTCACACTTCGCAAACTGCAAACCGCCTGTTATCCGCCGTGCTCTGTGTGAGTGCGCGCACATCGACACACCATGTCTCAGTGCTGGCCAACGGCCAATTTGTACGCAAACGGCGCCATAATCCTTAGACAGCCGGTGGCAGCAATGGTCCCGTAATAAGGTATCAGCCCGTAGCACAACAGGTCATGCCTTAAACAACTCCACGCGTCAGTGCGAGTAGTGGCCAGCAAATGACCACGCAATAGCGAGAATTCCAGATCACCCTGGCTGCAACCTCGCTCGGAACTGCTTCCGCTTCGCGCTCTACGCAACTAGGGACCGGCTCATTAGATCTTCAAGGGTGCCGATAGCCACAGGTAGCTTGCCGGGCTTGGTCCGCCAGATTCACTAGATGCAACCACGCCCACATGGAGAACAGCGAACGAGTGGTGACATGATTTGCCTTAGTTGCTCGCCTTGCCACACTGTCCTTCGTGGTGGTTGTCCTCGTCCCCTTGGTCCAAGGAAGTGCAGCCACGGATGAACCATAGCAGGTGCAAAACATCGCCGCTGGACTCTCTCTGAATAGATCCCACTGCAATTGCTTTGCTCTCCGAGCCTCCAATCAAGCCTTCCTTTTCCTGGGAAGCCATGCGCAACTGCCAGACTTTGTCAAACTACCAGGAAGGAACAGCGACCCTACGAAAGTCCTCCGTGTTTGACAAGTCATGGCCACCGCTTGATTTGCAATCGTAGCCACTCTCCTGCCGAGAAAACACGCCAATAGTAAAAACTAAAAACTCGGCGGGAAGGCAGTCTGTGGGCAGAACGCTTCTCAGCCCTACCGGGCTGCCTCGTCGGAGCTGGCATCACTGTAGCAAATGGCCTGCATGAGGCCTATACCAGCTAATCAGCTAATCCACCTCGTGGGGACGAGATGACAAGCCTTACTTACAGCAGGAGGCTTCCTGGCTTGAGCCGAAACCACCAAGACCAAGTAGACGAGTTCGGCGCACTTCGCATGCCAAATTTTTGACAAAGGCAAAGGCATGCTGGCACATGGTCGCAGACGTTCGGTTGCATCCAAAGGAGAATACACAGCTCTTGCTTGGACTGTCCTCGGTCACAAAGCTGCGGACACGACCACGCCGCTGGACGAAAACGTAGCAAACGCCTCGGTTCCGGGGCGGTCCTATCTTCCTTGCCTGTGGATGGCCCTCAATTCACGAATAAGTAGGTGGTCAGAAACATGATAACTACAAGACTAGGTACCACAGCTATCATATCCAACAGAGCACATGTCCGGCTCCACGTTTGCTCTTGAGCCTGGTGTTGGATACCCAGTAACTGTTTTCTGGATACGCTTGTGCTTCGCTCGTTGGTGTTGGTGCACCGCCCTTCCCCTACTGTACAGCGGAAGTGCGACGAGTTCGGATGCGAGGCAACTGATACCTGGGCTTCTTGATTGAATACGGTTTCTGGAAAATCATGTCGCGCGGCCGAAATGGCTCCAGCACTTTCGGCTCCTCGTGCCGATACAGATCACCCTCGCCCCGGCGTTGAGCTGCGGAAACTCTTTGAATTCCGTGGTGCATGGTGTACATGCACAGTAACTGTGTAAATGCACGACAGTGTTAGTTGTGTTTTCTTCATAGGTCAGAAAATGTCGGCAACTTCGCGAAGTGCGCCCGGCGTTCTGGCAAGGCATCACAGTGGAACTCTGGGCGTGTCTTCTGAGGACTTTGCCCAGGATAGTACAGCCCAGAATGTGCCAGAGGAGCCTTGGATCCGACATGAACGCCCAAAGATTGAACCCTTCACGATACATTGTCTTCTCGCTGAACCCTGCCTGACGGGACTGAAATGAATGGTTCTTTGCATCTCCAGTCCCTCTCAATGCACGCAGCCTCGCTGCAGTACCGACCTGTCTCTCAGCTCCAGCACGTTTTCCTGAATGAAGTTCGCTGACTCGGTGCGGGTGCTCGTGACTTCCACAATTTTCCTCTAACTTCCGTCCTGAATGCTACCATGAACCCAGAGTCTCAGGCATTTGGGGCCGGGCCAGCATCTAAGAGATCTGTTGAAGTCTGGCTAATGGTGGTTGCATGGTACGTGCGGGTACCTGGAGATCTCCTGCAGGGGCAGCCCAAGAAAGCTGCACACAAAACTGGGAGACGTACTCTGCAAACCTTCTACTACGTGATCGCTTCATGGAAACCAAAACAGCAGTAAGACTCAGTAAGAGCAAAGCCATGCCGTGGAACCCCTTCTCTCGCAGAAGAAGTGGCTAAGCGATGGGCCCCGAACCTAAATGACCAGAGAAACGGTGAATTTGTGAACGTGCCACTATACTATTCTTGCATCTAGCTGCACCGTGAAAGTCTGCCAGGGCTTGTGGCTCTCAAGGATCCTGTAGAACCATACCGCCTATCGTGACTGGGATCTGCCGGGCAAGGAGCGTGTCCGCGAAGAACAAGAAGAATGCCGCCCCTCAGCTGTGCAGGCTGCGCTACTGTAGGATGCCATGGAGCCTTCGGTTGGTTGCCAACCGATCATTAGGCCTTTGTTTCTATTGCGGTGAACTGGAAGATGCCAGCTCTTGTAACCCTCCAAGGCGTCCACCCCAGATGCCGCAGCCCTCCAGGAAGTCACGGCTCAGAGGCGCGTTAAGAAAGAGGCCCCGCCAGCCCTCGGATGTCCCCGCCGTCATACGCGTTTTGCAACACAGCAGACGATCTCTCTCTCGCTATTTCTTGCAAGTAACTGCAAGGCTGTTGATTTGGAAAGCTTTCTAACGCTGAGGCAACAGCCATGGCATAGACGTCGGATTGGGAGTACTGACCTGAAGGGCAGGTGCATCTTCGGGAGTCTGCGCCTCCTCGAATGGCTCGGGCCGAGCCCTCCCTCTGCAAGGTGCGAAGCTCTCTGTGGAAGATACAAACCGACGCTTGGCGTCGCTTCCAGTTCGCTTCCATGGTTCATCTGTGCTGGCACGAATCCGCCGACAATCTTGGGGCCAGGCTCAGGCGCAGTTTCTCGACTGACCGAAGCATCTTTGAGATCAATCCTTTGCCACATGCACAGTAAGATTGAAGATATGGGATGCACTATCGCAGGGCACGACTAGGTTCGACATCCAAGCAAGGCGTTGAAGAAGCACAGGCTGCGGTTGCGCGCACTGGTTTTCTGAGATCCATCACCGTAGTAAGCCAGCACGCACTTCACTGCCAGCACACAGCCCTGAGCAGGGTTGTGGCTCGTGACCCAGCAACCTCCCACTGCTGTCACACTTGGCAAGAAAGGGCAGGTATCAGCAGCCCCTCCAAGCCGCGGACCCAGAACAAATATCGCGAGAACTGCACAAGAACGGAGACCTCAACAACAAGTTTCGCCAGCTCCAAGCTGGCTGCATTCTCCCAACAAGTTCGTTTCAGAACGCTAACTGTCTCAGTCTGAGCGGCTCTAGTCAGCGACCAGATCGCATCGGTGGACCAGATGGGCAAGAACAGGCCGACGCCGATGCCGATTGCAGAAACCTCGCTAGGAGCTTCCACAGACTGTCACAAGAACAAACCACAGGCACTTGGGAGAAACGAGACAACTCTGTCAGAGGTTGACTGCATCTTGCACCCTGTCTGTTTTGCTGCAGAATCCGCGTTTTGAGTTGACGAAGCCAGCCGCTTACATTCAGAGGACAGACGAAGTAAGAGTGTTGGAATCATGTGGCGGACCATAGGTGCAGCAGAAGATATTTCTGTGCTGCCTGTTCACTACTCGTAAAGTCAAGGTGCCGCACATGCTCCAAGTCTGTTCGTAACACCACCTGAATGTTGGTAAAGCAAAGTTAGCCAGGGCCGGCGGCAAACAGTTTCAGCTGAGCTGGGCCGCCTACTGTGCGACATGCAACTTAATTGCTTGTTGAGCTGGCAGGTAGAATTTGCTTCCTGCAGCCCAAAAAGGATATCAAAAGGCTCGGCAGCATGCTGCGTAGCAGAAACATCAAACAAGGGAAGCCATGTGAGCACTGCCGGCCCTCCCGCAGTTAATTGCACTAATTGCACTGCATCCTGCGCAGTCGTTCGCCGATGCAGGACGCAGTGCCCTTTACAGCATGTAGCTTTCCTCCACATTCATGTGGACAAAATCGTATCTACACGTTGATCGGCAAAGAAAGACTGCCATGCCCTCTTGTTCCATCTCTTGTTCCCTCAGCATTCAGCCTTCGGCTCAGCCCGGCGCAAGGCGCTCTTCATGTGTGAGTAAGCCGAGTGTGTGAATGCACGCTGCACGTAGGACGAAACTTCAGGATCGTCTGTGTGCATCAGGTTCAACATCTCCTCGCACATGTCGGCTGCATGTGGCAGAGCAGCGCTTTCTTGTGAGTCATCCACAGGCCCCCAAAATCGAGGACATTCCCAAGGAGCGTTGCACTCTCAGGCTGGGTTACGATTACGAACGTGGCAGCTTGGACGGGGATCAGCCTGATAGGTTCAACAAGAACAACTGCACTATGATCCTCGAGGTCTGCTAAGCCTTCTATGTGGCCTCTTCGCGTTTGCAAAATGCATGGAGCCGGAAATAGACTGGGAGAAATCGGCTGCAGTTCTGAAACACGCGTCGGCACGCACAAACAAGCTTGATGAAACGCATGATGGCCCAAGCGAAGGCATAAGCACCGAACAAAGTTGACACTTGTGCTGTTGAACTGGAACTCCGTCTTCGTACTGTAGGAGACAGGTCTCAGGCTGCTGTCGAAGGGGCCTTTCGCCTTCCTGAGTCTTTGCTCTAAGATTCTATGACTCTACGAGGGCAGAGGGCGGGGCAGGGAGATTTTTCCAGCTGTCATCCTTCCCTTTCCAGTAGTCTCCTTCTCAACCATCAACACAGCGCTAGCCGCTGGCCACATGACAGATGCGAGTTCGCTCCAACGAGCCGGCGTTGCTCATGCGAAACCACACGCAAACGAAGAGTCACGAGAAGCAGGCGCTGTCCTCAAAGAGAACTTCAACTTTCGTCTCCAAGCGCCATATGTCCAATGCTTTCGCTCCGCCTCTAAACCGTGCGGAACCTCTGCAGATCTGACAAGATTTTAGGGCATCATAACATGAGAGCCCCACATGGGTTCGCATACTTAAGGCACTATGTCGCTATGTGTTGCTATCTGATGCCGCCATACCTGAATCAAAGCGCTGATCAGCTGTCCAAGCGGCCTTCGATGAACTCCTTAGCTGCTCGTTCTTAGCTGCCTGCATTGAAATTAACCTCCTGGTGCCCTTCTCAAAGAAAAGTCCAACTATATCCAATCATGCTCCACGACAAACTCTGCAACATAGTGCTACTGCGATTCGGCCAGCGTAATCTGTCCATCTCCGTCATCGAGAAACCTGGCGTGACGGCGAGGTTCGAATTAGAGCCTTTCGCTTAAAAAACGCAGCTTCCTTGCTAGGAGATTCTTCGGTTACTTTACCGAGCACTAACTATTTCGTTGGCTTTGGACGAAAACCCTGTAGTTGAACAAGCTTTCGAAAGCGAAAGATTCTTCCGTTCCCAGCATAAGCCGCCTCTTCTTTCGCAAACCTTCCAAGGACAAAACTGCCTTGCTAGCGAAAACGGTTTGCTAAAACCTCAAGTGCCTAAGAAGAGTTCGACTGCTTGTTCGATGGTTTCCTCAGGAATTATCGACAACGTCAGTCAGGAAGTCATCGAATAAAACGCAAAGCCTCCTTGCGCGGCATTCAACATTCTAAATCGAACAATCGGGCTCCCGCCGGACACCAGGGGATACCAGTTGCTGTGCAGTCGAGCATTCCTCTCTGGTCCAGTTGTTAGTTGTCTAAACTAGCCCAGAAGCTCGAACAAGCTGAGGAGATCGTGGTACTCCAATTCCAGCTGACCTCAAACAACAACCCACCCAGGCTCGATATCACCGTCGGGACCCCGGCAACTGCAAGCTACAGGCAATTTGGACTTGGAGGTTTGAGGACTTCGCGGCATTCTTTTGGATTGCCATGCTTTCGGCTGCACAACTGAGTACGGAAGCTTCGTTGTAACAAGGTGTTTAGACATGGAGTTGACGGGACTACGGGCAGCATTCCACTCTGATTATACCTACCGATGTAACACAACGCGGCATCTCGGGAGAAAGATCTGACAAGTGCCAACTCTGTGCCCGAGCAAGACTGCGCCAAGCGTCTCATCCAGAAGCTCAACTTTGGACTCGTCACCAGCTTGGAAAACTCTTCTAAGTTCAATGCGCCATCGCCTGGCAGTGCAGGCCACGGCATGAACCCAACAGTGAAAGAGCACCTAACAGTCCAAGCCTTACTTTGCGAAGAACCATTTCCAACCCTAGCAAGGGACGAACGGCATAATTTTTCCATTCAATACCATGCAACACTGATCAACACTGTAAAGCCTGCCCGCGAAACCTGCTTGCATGGACGAATCATGAGATGAATGTCATCCAACGAACCCCAGAAACACTGCGCGCATGGCCTGAATCGTCCATCGACTGAAACAGTTTCCGAACTTTCCGCGTGTAGGCTTGGATCTCCTTTTCCTTCTGTCTGTATGCCAGCTCTTCATCCGAGTGTGCCGTCTTGAGTGTTTGCTGAATGAAAACTGCCTGGGAACGTGCCATATTCGGCATAATGACCGACAAATTTCTACGCGTCTACGTAATTCCCCACCAAAAACACGTTGCTAGTTGCAGGCCGGCGTGCCCCTACCACGTTCAGGACTGCGAACCCAATTACACACCGGTAAAATAAAAAGAATAGGGCAAACCACTCACTGATGTTCTCCACAAGCACTCGACATGCTGGCCCCCAATTCGCGAAGAGCACTTCAAACATCGTGAGAAATGTGCGTGTGAAGGTCCCGAAGTAGCGGAAGACTTGGTCACGCAAGTCTGCATCAACGGTGACATCGGCCAGGTACTCTCGGCACAGGGTGCTCACCACCAAGCCAGCCACGCATTGCAAAAATGCAAGGAGGCAGAAACTCCAGAAGAGCATATCAATACTGGACATCAAACTCTTCAGAAGCAATTGGAGCGATTGGAGGACACTCCCCATGCTGATCAGGCGAATAACGCGCGCGAGCTTCCCAAGCCGTAGAATGCGCACCAACACCGGGCCTGAGTTCGGCGGACACCGACATGCTCAAGTGGATCAGTTGCTGGCTGTCTGTGCCGGATGCTGATTTACAGTTAATGCGAGGTAATCGCTGGTTCCAAGACACGCAGCAACAAGAATGCTTTTTTGCGCGTGGAGCCAAATGCCGGTGATAGCAATCTCGGTGTGAAACTGCATCATGATGATCTACATGCCAAGACATCGCTCATCGTGTGTAATGGCATGGGAGAAGAGTGATCTAAGTACGATTAGACAACAGCACGTCGAGCTACCCAAAGCTGGGGTTTTTCTCTAAAGAAACAGCCGCTCGGAGCTTCTCAGCTCGCACGCACACATGGGGGTTTCGCGCCGCACACGGGTCTCTTGAGCACTGTTCCTGGTCAAGTCCGACAGGACCCTCGACCCAAATATGACCGCCATCAACCTCTGGAGCGGAATCACGAAGTTGAACGAGCCGGGATCGTTCCATTCATCGGGATATATCTAAATTTGTTGACACTGCGGGACACAACTGCTGTGACAGCAAATCCCTTTGCTAGCTGCTTGAAAACCGCATCAGAGAGTCCTCTGGTGACTGTTTTGAACCTTGGCCGGTTCGTCCACGACCGGACTCCATGCATGCACCAGTGCAAACTGCTTCTTGATTTGCAACGGGTAAGTGATTGTCATCCTGTGGAAGATGGGCCAACAGTTGGAGGATGCGCTGTTCCAGAAGTCTGTGTGGCAGAACCCCCGCAACAGAGACTGTGTCACTTGACGTGACACCGTCGACTCAAGTATTCGCGGGGACTGCTGTGGTTTGGGGCATTTGCTTCTTCTGGAAGACGCAGAGTTGCTCTAGCCTAGCCTGGCTGGCGGCATGAACTTCGTGAATCCATTCGCCGGTTAGTAGTCTGCTGAGCTCTTGGTTGAGCCAACCTTCCGGGACCTTCAACATGTACACGATGTGCACGCTGCATGTGTCGCAATCGAGCTGCATAGCCCCGTTTCGTTATGTTGCTGATAACGGACACGAACCTCAATCTCAAGGATATGTTCCAACGGCGGTTGGATAATGTTCAAAGCTGCAGCAAATATCGCAGTAGACATAGCTATCAGCTCAGCCTCGAGTGGTGCTCCGGGTGCTTGTGTTCCTTCATTTGCATCCGCGGCCAGCCGCCATCTCGGCTGACAGAGTCTTCAAGTTGCCGATCAACCAGTCCCAACTACGACTACGGACGTGGCTACCGTCACGAGCATCTTATGTACTTGATCGTGCCGATGTGCCGCTGTACTGGTCTACGCTTCGTCAACTGACGACTAACAGACAGGTACCTGGTTTGCTCTGAAGAATGTGCATGAGGGATTGAGATAATGACCATCCCAGAGCCCAGTGGGCCCAGAGTTCTCCGAAAGAACGTCCGAGCAGAGTGGGGGAATGTCAGGCAAAAGAAGGCACGAAAAGGTTACGGGGTGGTTAGGATCATGGTCGAAGGATGCTTGGGGCTAGGCTGAAGGGCCTAGGCAAGCTAGCTATTGGATGTTACTGGACTCTCGGGTTAGGCCTAAGGCTTCATGGTTTAAGGTGCTTTGGGGTTTCGGGTTGAGGCTAGAGAGAGAATTCAGCATGTGTGGGAGCCGGGAGTGCATGGAGTGTTCAGCTATGGTGTGTGTTGCGACGACAGGCCGACGAGTGGGGTAGGACTGGAATGGTCTGCGTCAACTCGAGGAAGCAACCAATTCAGTCCTGGTTTTAAGGACTATACAATGGTTGTTCCAAGGACCTCACTGGCCGAGGGTCGGGAACGTCGGCTGAGGACATCATCACTAACTGCACGGATTCTAGCTGTTGCGGTGGTGCTCTCAACTCCTGCTGTCTGCGATCGGCACTTCCAGAAGCTTTCTCTCTTTCTCTGGAAGGCCGAGTGTTCCAACTGCGCTGTCGGATATCCGACATATCCGTTCCAACTGATTCTGTCTGGGCTGCGGCCTGACCGTGAATCTGTGCTTCAATTGCTCGGGCCTCGTATGCTCTGGCTTGTTGTCCAACTTCAACGGGGTCCAAACCGACATGGAACTGAACATTCCGATGTCATGGTTTTGGAGGCAACGGGGATTAGTGATTGGCAACCCGTATCCGGACGCGATCGAGCAGCGGCTTCGGCGCCCGATCTTCCTTGACCCCTCTCGATGAACCGGAACTGCTACGTGAACCCCTGGTTTCACGGGAGGACGAGGTCCTGGCAGACATCGTGTGGAATGTAGTGGTGTGAACAATGCTCGGTATGTTGACAGGAACTCTGACCGGTGGGTTCAGTAGTGTACAAGACATATTTTACGTCGCAACTCACCATTCAAGTGGCGCGGACACGATCTGCTTCAGCTCCTGTCCAACGGCCGGCCGCGGATCGTGGGCGTGCCACACCTGCGTCACCTAACTTCGACAATTTTGATGGAGCCTTGCAGTCTTGTTGAAGAGCAATGTGAAGATGTTCGACAGTTCGCGCGACGATGCAAACAAGCGAACGGTCGCAGGAGGATGGGGGCGCCGTGTAACGTCTGCAGGATCAAGCCTCCAAGATGCCCTAAGTCCTCGTCCGCCCAAGGCGGATCCATTGGTTTGCGGTCTAAGGGCCCTCTGGCGGAAGAATCGAACTTCCCAGGTGCAGCCTGGTTAGCACGCTTTCCTCCACGGTTGGCCCGAACAGCTGCAATGTCTGCGTCCATTCTGCCGGCCAATTCAATTCTTCGATCATCTGGCATTCCAGGGCAAGCTGCTGCCAGAAACTCCCGAAAGTCAAAACGCCTGGTCAACGGCCTTGTTTACGGGCCCGAGGTGGCTGGGCCTTGTTGTGGTTGGTTCAAAAGACAAAATGCATGATCAGGCGAAGCTCCTTCACTGATCCCTGGCGTGTTCAGGTTTGGGCCGGGCTTTAGCAAGCTCCTTTTGCAACCGCGGCCGGCTTCAGTGCCACCAAAAATAGCAAAAAAAAATGTTTGATCTTCATTGTATATAGCTGATCACACATCGCATCCCGTCAAAAACGAATATCCGGTAGGCAGTTCCTGTGGTGTGCCAACGATTCGGCATTTGGTTGTAAAGTAAGCTCAGGTAACGGCACCGGGTTGTTGGTCAAGCCACAGCCACAGTAATCGCCTTTGGGTTCAATTTCAAGCCACAGTAGCGGCACTGGGTTCAAGGATCAAGCCGCAGCAACAGTGGTCATGAACCACTGTTACTGCATTGGGTTTTGGGACATTTCAAGCGCTCTTGGAAACCTTCTCCGTCTCACTCACATCCTTGTGTCCTGCGGAGCCAACACGGTCTGTGTGGAAGGCCAGGAAACAGCTGTTGACGCAAGGAGCTGGTGGCAGTTGGCGAAGCAGCTCTTATACATGTGTACAAGATCGTTGAACCCAAAGTTGAATCAATTCCTAATTGCAGCCTCCTCGACAATATGCAATGCTCCTGTCAACATCGGCAGGCTGCCCACACAGAGGAGCTGTTCTGGAATGCAACGCAAGGTCAACCTCTACTCGTTGGCTTGGCTCTAGCCGAAACGGGGAGCGCAGTGCAAAGGAAATGTGGAATCGATATGGAAAGCTATGGTGTCAGTCGGCTCGACGCTACCCCTAACCAATTGAATGCGAGGTAATCGCTGATTCCAGGACACGCGGAAGCAAGCATACTTCTTCTGCGTCTTGAGCCAAACATCGGTGCTAGCAATCTCGGTGTGAAACTGAGTCGTGAGGATCTACATACCAAGACATCGAAGCATCACATGCAATGGCATGGGGGGAGCGTGATTTCTCAATGTTTATTGGTCGAAGGCTGTGAATGTGCTTTCTTGCAGGCCACAGCACGATGCAACAGTGCACTCCCATTCTCCGAAGCAAACTGAGCACGGAGCTAACAGGCATCACCAGCAAGGTGGAGATGACTTCCACTGCAGAAACCAAGCTCACCGCCAGGTCTGCATAGTTCAGCAAGACCTTCCAAAACTGTTTGCCCAAACATATGATGCGGATAGACACCTCGAGAAGAAATAGTCCTCAGCGACACAGGAGATGCCATGACAGCCATCATCATTAGCAAGAACCGCTGCCAGCAAATGCTACCAGGGAGAAGTATTGGTTTCACCCTACGTACCACAAGGCCAGTATCAGCATTCACTCAAGAGTCATGACCGGAGGAGTATCCTCTCTTTCTGTGAGTCTTTGAAAACCGACAGTCCGGCTAACTTGTCGAGACCTCATGACTCAGCCGACAGCAGAAACCCATACACGCCCCGAGACCTGATTGAGTTTTCTGCAAAAACTCGCTTCGCTAATTCGTAATTGCAGTATTCCAACAAGTGGTGAGCTGCAGCAAATCTTGACCTTTGCAGGCGTCCCAGAAGAGTTTCTGTCTCCAGGCAACGTAATACTTGGGGCCAAATGAGGCGGCATGACTTGACAGCAGCCAAAGCTCCGGAGAATATGATATCACCGATCTGCAGCATCTCGTCGAGGGCTGGCTTCGCCTCCTGAGGTGCAGTAGGGAATTCTGCACTGTATCTACTTGGACGGTCTATGCGAATGGGCATCAGAATGAAGCTCCAATAAGGCATTTCTGAGCCATTGGATGCGCGGATACAAGCCCACTAAAAAACCACGAGAGTCTGTACCGCTTGTGTCAATGGTGTCCTGTGGAAAACTTGGAGAAGGTACCAAGTTTGATTCGAAGGCTGTGAAAGATCCGGCAATCTGTAGCTCCAAAGCCATCCAAAAAATGTTGGCGCAAAGGAGGCAAATGATCAACATCCTGGCAGGTGCACATCTACACAACACAAGGGCCTTTTGACGCGTGCGCAAAAGGCCAGCATGCAGCCGAGGATCTCGAAACGGCTGGATTGCAACCACCAGTACAACTGCTCGCCGAAAGACATTTCCGTCCTGTCCATTTCTGACCAATCTTGCATTTGAGGAGCCGTCCGGGTCTGACTCAGGATGTCTTCGACAACCTTGCCCGTAGTGTCGAACTTGCTCACGATATCTGGGATCGCATCTTTGTCTGTCGTTGGAGTCATTGGCATCGAATCCTCCAAAGCCTCCAAGAGCTCCTTGGCTTGCAACTCCCTGCGCGCAGCTTTGCTACCTCGGCAAGGAGGACAGAGGACACTTCTTCCTCTTCCTACATCTTGAGCTCATCGCTCTCCTTCTCTTGTCCTTCTCTTTGTGTGCTCAAAGCACTGCGGGACGACACACACCCGCACGCAGTTCCGGTCTGTCTGACACTGTTCGGTCCTTCTGTGGGTCTGTCTGTGTCTGGGGCGAGGCAGGGTGGGGGTCTGTCTGTCTCTCTCTGTTTTGCTTTGCTTTGCTCTGGGGCTTGGAGGGCAGGCAGTCCCCACCCTCCGCTCTGGGGAGCTGCCCCGTCTCTCTCTGTCTCTGTGTCTGAGTCTGAGTCTGTGTCTGCTTCTGTCTGTCTCTGTCTGTCTTTCTTTCGCCAGGGCTGTGGCAAAGGGTTGCCCGCCCCACACGCGAGCGCGCGCCCCCGCTGGTTGCGGGTGAGAGCTGGCAGCATACAACGGCCTATGTCTGTCTCGGGCTGTCTCCGTCTGTCTCTCAGTCTCTCAGGCTCTCAGGCTCTCTGTTTCTCTGTCTGCGTCTACGTCTATATCTATGCGTCTCTGTCTATGTCTCTGTCTCTGTCTGCCTGTCTGTGTCTGTCCCAAGGACAGCGCAGGCACTGCGCCCGCGCATGCATGTACACGGGTCTGAAGTCTGGACTAACTTGTCGAGATGAGGCCCTGTTGTGCACTGTTGTAGCCATAGCTCCCGGAATGTCTATAACCTTCAACAATATAAAACCACCCCGGAGCCTCATCTAAGGCCGGCGTGGAATCCGGCTTCCGTGTCGCGTTTCTTTCGCAGGGCTTAGGTGCGCGCCCCTGTGTGGACTGTCTCTCTGGTTGCATCTCTCGTTTTCTACGTCTCCACATGGTCTGACGCAGTCCCAAGAGCCTGTGAACGACTTTGTGCCAGAATCCATTGGAAGCACTTCAGGTGGTTGCTGTGGTTCTGGTGGCCTGCAGCATCTGCAGCTCCAGGAAGCGTGTCTATCTATAGTGTCGCGAGTAGAGGCGACAGAGACAGCAAGGCCTCGTGCTATCACCAAACTCGGCAGCAGAGGCCTCAGCTGGAAAGCATCCGTGAAGTCTCCACTGAAGTCACTACAGCCGCTCTCCAATCTCTTGCCTTGTTCATCCGAGGACGTCGTGCTTCTGTGAGCTCCTTCACGTGTTGAAGCACCAACCTGAAGCCGCAAAACTGCAGCTTGTGTGACAGCATGTGAGTGCCGCAAGGCTTCGAGAATGCCCTTCCAAGCCGCTGCTCCACCAGCTGCTTGAACGCGTCAGACGCGACGGAGCGCGCATCATCAGAACCGAGGCCTGAGAACGGATGATGTCTCCAGACATGTGACATGCCGGTGACATGCCGGTGACATGCCCGAAGTTTGCTTCAGCTTAGCCGGCCTGGAAGCTCCGAGCGAGCCTCGGCGTGGGAGCACGGATGGATCTCATGGATATCCGGTACCTAAGCACACGCCGTGTACATCACGCACACGAGGTTTATCGCTTATGGCCGGCTCCCGGAGCACTTGCGAATATCCCAATCAGGACACATTTGGAAGATCCTGGAAGCTCTCTCTGGCCATCGCCAAACCTGCTGCTGACATTCGGCCGGAGCTGTGACACCTGCTCTTTGAACTGTAGTGTTGCATCCCCAGCCGGTGGTCGGACTGCTTAGCAGAGCTGAAACTAGAAGTCGCATGAAGTTATTCTGGTGCCCAAGCTTGACAGGCAAAATGCTGCAAGTTGGGAGGTCAGCCCAGGCACGAGTAGTTACCAAGAAGCCATGTACAATTAGTACAGGACGCCCAACAAGGATCATATCAGGAACGCGCGTCGAAGACGGAAGATCACGCGGTTTTGTGTCCATTCGGCATGTGTCCCAACCAAGGCTACAACAAACCCCACATGAAAGTCGAGCTCTCCGCACATGCAGGCCGAGCATGCTGCCACGTAGTGGATAGTCAGGACAGCGAAGAAACCGTCACCGAGGCCTTCAGACCTTTCCGTCTTCACAATACCACAGGGGTCCTAAAGTGATCAGCATTGTTCAGTGCTAGTGTCGGGGGATGAGCAGGACCGAGCTTTGGATCGCGTACACATTCCTAGAACTCCTCGCAAACTTCCGAAGAACCTTCTGGACCTCCAAGCCGTTCGAACTTCTTATCAAAGCGTCAAATTCCCAAAGCATCCTCGAGATCACCTCCCTAATCCTGTTACGAGAGAACTCCTTTCCATGTCCTTCGTTCGCACTGCAGGATCCGCTTGACAAAAGAACTGCCGGCGACCACACACTTTGTGTGGTCGCAGGCTCAAGTTGACTCAAGCCATGCGATGCACACGCACTTTGCAACAAGCAACATGGGAAGCCTCAAGCCATGGCCCTGCCAGCTTCAGCCATGCTGAGCATCCAAGGATGATGCAACGAAGCTATGATTTCCATTGAAAACAAGACGCGACCAGATAGGACATGACGACAGCAACTCCTTACGTGACATCTTCTCTGAGCACCTTGGATTTCCGATCGACTCATCGAACCGTATGATGATGTACGTGATGGCCGGGATGACCCACCTGCCACGTGCGTGAATTGATGAATTGATGCCGCCTCGCCTACTCTTAGATTCACGGTACCCCGCATTGCTTCGCTCAAATCTGCCAGCAACACAGGAAGGCGAAAAAGGTGTGCTTCAACAGCCGCGCAATCTCCCTGAACAATCAGGGCGGATTGGATTAGAGTCCAGGCAGACAGTTCGCACAGAAACATTATTGCACCTTCTACTTGTTACTAAGTAACATGCTGAAGACTGTGTCTGCCACGGCCAGGAACTGGGCCATGCAGGCTGCAGTGCCTCTTTCCGCAGTTTCGAATGCGTAGCGCGGTTCCAGTGGCCTGGCGCGCTAAAGGCGGCAAAAGCGAGTCGCCGCAGGGCGCATCCAATTGAAGTCGATCTTAGAAGTTGCGTACACAACTCCGCATATCTTCGCATGCGGCAGCTGCGACGCATTGCTACACTGCCGTAGCTTTCAATTTCCCCCACGGGATTACGTGCTAACGGAAGGAACATCATGCGATCAGGGGCACTTTACAGCATGGCCTCCCACCGCGAGTAGTACAATGCGAAGCCATGGAGCGGCACCTCGCATCAAGTCGAGACGGAATCACTTTGCAAAGCCAACTCGCAATGAGCACCTGAGCATCATGTCTGAGATCACGGCAAGAAGTCCCAAGACAGCAAAGCGAGTAGCCCGAGTTTTCCTGGAAATGAATAGAAAAACCATCATACAGCAACGTGTTCCGAAACAACATGAAACAACTAGGCTCCGCAAAAATGCGGGTTCTTGCCGAGGCCCTGGCCCTAGGACCGTGCCGGAGGTGCTCATTGCCGGGACCTCGTTCTCCTGAAGCACATGACGAGACTATCTGGTGCCCGCGCACCGAAATCATCAGTCGGCTGTGACTGCCGTGTATGGCCTCAAAAGAGTCTTAAGCCCGGTGCCGTTGCCATAAGCAGCAGCAGGACGAAGAGGACTGCATGTAGAAGAACAACACGATGTATGCTGGCGAAAACGCCCCAGAGCGAGTGAACCTGCACTGCATGCTGCCGGGCGGAGGGGGATAAGACATCCGTGGCCTCGCGATGAGTCTTTACTCCACTGGCGGCAAGCACTCGGCCTGTGTTCACGTGAGTGCTGAATGTGAAGAGGAAGACTGAGGAAGAAGGATCAGAGAGTCCCCTGACAGTTGTCAAGCCCTCGACGCCAGTCCACACGATGTAGCTGACCGAAGCGCCGCTCGTGAGGCATGTCGAAGAGCCTTCCAAGTTGCATGGGCAACCATGGCTCTTCAGCGGTCTTGAAGTCTTCCATCGTCTTCGTCGTTGGGGTCATCGTCCAAGATTTCACCGAATCAAATCATCATGTTACAGTCACGGGCCTCGACCCATCATCCAGGACCAGTCGCTTCGCCATGCGAGCAGGATCCTCAATGCTCGCAGAGAGGAGTCTATGACACCATGAGTTTCTTATAGTTTCTTAGCGTTCCTGTCCGGCCGTTTCTTGCTGCTGTTTGGAAGCCGCCGCCCTCTCGGGCTGCCACTACCCCCGAATGGCCTCTTTCGCTTCATCACCGGCTTTGACTTGTACTCTCTCCTGGCATTCTTCCCCCAGCTATCCATCGCTTCCTCGCCCAGCATCCTTCTCCAGCGCCTCTCGCTTCGACAGATCGCTTTCTGAAGCTTGCAGTATGAATAATCTTGTGGATGTCCTACAAGGTCCTACAGTGTCATATAAACGTCCAATTACAGTTGTGCCCATCTAGACGAAGAATAAGTTCGGGTCGCTCTGGACTCGCAGGCTCGGAGTTGTCAAGAAGTGGGGTGAAAAATGAGGACCTGCGGAGGCACAGGCACCAGTCGGGTGGATCTGTGAAAAATGGTGCGGGGTTCTTTGTGTATCTTTGCGTCTCTGCAGCGTGTTTCATCGAACCAGCTGCTGTTCATTGTTGTTATTATCTTTCCGCATTTCAAGGTGTACACAACCAGCGCGGCGGTCAACCGCACTTTCGCGGCTAGCCGTATGCTATTGGAAATGAACTTGGGCATGATTGTGGCACAGGCCTGCGGCGAAGCTTTAGTGGGATGCGCTGTCATGCTGGCCATGTAGAACTGAAGCTACCGGTGAGTCTGTTGAGCATTTGGTCTTGTTCCTTCTATAGCTCTTGCCCCGCAGGACCTTCGCCGATGATCCGATTGTATCGAGATAATGAACAGACCTCGCCAGTGTTATCAAGGTTCGAACATCGATGCAGGATACGACGGGCATCAAGCTGGATCGGGCGGCGGATGTGGGGGCTTCCGCTCCTGATTTTGTGCCATGAGGGGTCCATCCGCAGAGATGAAGACACGAGATCGTCAACCGTCAACTGCAGAGTTCCGCCATGTAAGGTGAACATGCCATGTTTGGAATCACAAGCCCTGCTCGCAAGTGTCACAAGACCGAAGTAGGGGCCAGGTTTCTGGAATACCACCTTGCAAGGGGCACCTCCATTTACAAGGCGGGATTCTTTTGTTCGTTTGCCTTTTTGCACCTCTATGTTTTTGTGTAGGTGGCCCTACGCAAAGCTCACTCGTGTCCCTACACTCACTGTGAGTATAAGGAAAGAAAGAATTGGACTCAACGAGCTTGTTGCACGTTGGCAAGGTCCCACTGACTTATTCCAGATTGGACGGTTGACTGCCAGCTTGTGAACTTGCAGGAAGGCGTGCGGGAAAACAGTGTGAAGGGGAGGGCCTGTGGTGTTCGTGATAAACTTGAACTGCCTCGTTCCGGATGGTTTGCGCGAGTGGGTTGTCAGTGAACACTTTGGTGTAGAAAGTGGACTCGGTAGGGTGGATCTTGCGAAGTGACTGCGAGTGGAAGGCCAATGCTGGTAGATCTGCTGTTATATTTGCTGCTAATTCCATGCCATATCCCAGCATCGGCACGAACGCTGAATTGTAGAATTCTGAATTCCCATGACACGATCAAGAACCTGTGTCTGCAACATTGAAGCAGTGTTTTCAAGTGTTTTCATGGCTTTGGGCAGCCTGGTGGTGACACCGGTCTTGCTGGAGTCGTCAGACCCCGAAGGATAACGCCAAAGTACTTTACCTATGTGACCGGCTTGAGGTTGTCGCGGGTAAAGAAGCAAATGTGCTTGCGGGCGGCCTGTGAGCGAAGCAGCATCGACTTCTTCTAGTTCAGTCTGAGGTTGCTATACGCTGCAATTTCTTGCGGCGTCTACGCTCGGCGGTGCCTGTGAAAACAGTCGTGTCATCTGCGTATGCCAGGTCATAGAATGGTTGGCTTTGGCGGGCATCCTTGCCGAATCCGCGTTGGATCCTGTCTGTGAGTCTGGTGTGGCCAAGGCGAGGCTCTGCTAAATGGCATTCACAACAGGTGGGTAAATGCCGACGTGACGCCGTGTCTGGCGAGTGCCTGTGTGCCGGCTTGGGGAAGCAGCTTGTCAAAGCTTGGGCCCAGTGAAGTTGGACCTACAAGGTCGATGCGTGTCTTTCGGCACTCTCGAGGCCAGGCTCTTTGAGAGCCTTACTGTGAGCAGCGCAGTTTATCGTCGACTGCAGCCTCCAACCTCGTTTGAAGGATCCTGGCAAATAGTTTTTGTGTAATGCACGGGACAGAAATGGTCCGGTAATTGTTCGGGTCGGCCATCGTGCCACGCTTGTGGACTTGTGCAACCACTGCCTCTGACCAGGAGCCACTGCAGAGCCTCTTGGGGGATGTTATCGGGGCCCGGTGCTTGGTTGGTAGCCATGCCTCTGAGCGCAGCGGTTAGCTCGTCGGAGGTAATGGGCTCAATGTTCACCGGGCTGTCGTACGTGAGTTGGCAGGTGGGGCCTGCGTATGGTTGAGCCGGGGGACCCGCTGTGCCACAATGTGTTTTGCAAAGGTATCAGCTTGCTTGCTGCAACTAACCCGTGGGCTTGCCATCGGGCCCTGTGAATGTGAATGTTCTCGGCTTGTAGTCGGAGCGGATGCGCATGATCCAACGCCATTTGTCCCTGGCATCGATCGTGTCTTCGCTATGGGCCTCTACGTATGTCACTTGTTTAAATTCGACATTCCAATTCTGCGGCGAGTTGCACGTCCAACCAAAGTCTGAATGGATAGATGTCCTAAAGGCGACCATAGATCTTCCGGCAGGCGCGCCATCGCGAAATTCACTTCCAGGCCAAAACATCTCACGAACCACCAGTGACCAGCATGCAGATATGACGCTGACCGGCCCAGCCGCCCCCAATCGTCACCACCCCTGTTCCAGTTGCGATCAGAGTGACTGTGTTACACAATGCCCTCACAGCAAAGCCAACTTCCGCAGCAAAATTACGCAGAAGCTTCGGGTGGCAGTGCTGGATAACACAGCTGGTTGGACTTGACCGAGAAACCTCCCAAGGCTTCCTGAGGAGCCAAATCCGAAAAACACGTCCACAGACAAAACAGCACGAACTTCGTATCCGCAGCAGACAAGCAGGCGGGCAACCAACACAGCACTTCGAGCTCGCGATCCTAGGACGATTTTGCTCTCACTCTCGGGTAAGCAAGTCAGCGGATGTTCAGGCAGAGCATCTCCGCATCCATCGACAACTCCCATCCACAAGATTCGAAACTACCGATGGAGCCATTCGGAGCCATAATGTTTACACACCAAGCAATGTAAGTACAAGCAAATATGATAGGGCCCCCTACATCCGCTTCTGAGGTGCAGTCAAGCATACAACGAACGACATTCTCAGTGTGTTTCTTGCTCGAAACGGTTAAAATGTTGCCCTCGTCCCGGCATCTAATCCGTTGTCCATGCAAAACTGAATGCATGTTAGTCATGCTTTTTCGGCAGAGCACGAAGGGATAGGGGGCTCATCCATGCTGTGTGCAGGGTCTCCTTGCTCCATCTGGCTGGCTTGAAAGGCAATGAAACTTGAAGCCAAGCCAAGCATCGCAGAACAGCTCGTTCCAATCATCGTAGTTAGCTGTATCAGCCTGGGCAGGCAGAAAGAAGCAGAAAGTCTGCATGTCCGCAAGTGCCCAATTGGGGCGAGGCTGGCAGAAATCTGTGAAGGTCCTCCTTGAGCACCTTGCAAGACAGCCCGGAGGAGTCTTGTCTCAGCTTGCTGCCCACACGCTTATGCAGCTTTGCAAACCCAGCACTCCATCAGTTCCGAAGCCGGGCCACCTTCTTGTCTCGCTGGTTTTTGGGGTCAACATCAACTTTCACGTACCATTCCTGGTCAATCCAGCAAGTCGTCAAGATGCCCAAGCAAAGACCACAGCACAACTAACGCTACGTAGTGTATAGGTGAGGCCTCGAAAACCACATTGTAGATAGGCCTCGTGATTTTGGCCAGAAAAAGAGCACCTTGGTGGCAGCACCAGATCTTGACCATGTCGACACGTGCTCAATTCGAGTGCATCTGCCGCCTAGGTACTCTTCACGGTGCCGCTGCCAGTCTCATAGGCAGAGCCTGGTTAATTACGCTCTCGCAACTCGGACAAGCCTGACGAGCCTGGTTAATTATGTTTTGAATCAACCCTAGTCTGACAAAGATCAGCTCGGCCATCTGTGTTCGCCGTCTACGCACATGTGCCTCCAGTGAGAATGTCCTCGGAAGCCAGCGCCAGCTCCGTGAGGAAATAGATAAGCTCAGGCCTTTGTGAGTGAAAACGAGCATTCGAGAAGAGGACGGCAGGTTGAAAGCTGCGCTGTTAAGACATGTATCGGCATCCAAGGCCGAAGCATAAATCTAATGTTGCCTGCCTCGCCCCAAACCTGGCATTGTGAACGGAGCTGTCTTATGATTGATTATTGATTGGACGCGCGCATGAGCCCGCTGTGTGGACCTTCTCTCCTTCAAACTTGCTATTCTTGCGGTCGCGTGATCTGTCCACGTCCTTAAGCTTTAGGCAACAAGGAGGGGCAGATTGAACCTGTTCGTTCAACGCGTCACGAACTCAATGCTCGTCATCTGGGTGTTTTTCCATGTGGTTTTTCATAGGATTGAACCTGGCCTTGAGGGAGGCACGCGCAACGAAAGCTTGGTCTTTCTTCCATCGGAGGCTTTCATCATTCCCAACAACGCAGAAGCAAGAAATCCTACATCTTAGCAGCCTCACATGCCACAGATCATGTCACTTTTCCAGGAACATCTGAGACATGGCAAAAGCAGCTGAGCAGGATTCAGCCACTGATGAGTTCGACAGCTAGTCATCATCTTTTGCTACAAGCGCGGCCGCTGATTTATCAATCCACCCCCACCGCCCACCCGCAGTGCATCGTGTTTCGTCTGCCTCACTGCTACAGCGTGCAGCTTTTCCATTTGCTTGTGCCCAAAGGTTTTGGGAAGAATGATCCTCTGCTCCTAACAGGAGGAAGGAACGAAGAAAGAAAGCAACATCCGAGGGCCGAGCCCTGCGGTTCACACCAACCAAAGAAGAAGCCGAACGCCTTCGATGTGGATCGATTTGGTGTCCTTCCTCCCCTCCTTCCTTCTTTCCTTCCTTCCTTCTGTTTCTTTACTTCCCTCCACCCTTCCTGCCTTCCTTCCTTTCTACCCCTTCCCTTCCGGCCGTTCCGCAACAGAAAAACTCACTGCACTTGTCAATTCCAGTGCTCAGGTGGCTAAGCCTGGCGAAGTCGATGACATGCAAGCCACAAAATCAGCCGAAGCTTGAAACATGGCAGGTGATGCCAGCAGGTAAACGCCAATTTCCACCTCAGGTTTGAACAGTGTGTGCACCGCGGAGGTGCTGCAGGCACGGCGCTTGTGCAGAGCATTAGACTTACACAGATATTTTTCTTGGCTGAAACCAAGGCACTAGTTGCTTGGACGAGGCCGCGTCTGCATGTGCAAGAATACCTCGATGCTGGCCTCGATGCAACTACATCTTCGCTCGTCCTCCCGGCCACGATTTACTGCAAGCACCATCGTGACGAGACAATATCATCTGGGGCATCTCGCGTTCGCCTGTCGGAAAAACCTGCCACTCTCTGACTGGTAAGTTGGATTCTGTCTGTGCTGACCGGCCGCGCCTCGATGTCAGAGCATCCTTGCAACCTCGGTTGCGCCAGAGTTTTGCAGCTCGAGGGTCTCTTTGACTGAAAGGGCCTCTCCGACCACTCCCGAAGGCCCTCGAGGAGGTCCTGGTGCAAATCGTGGAGCGCCTCCTGACAAGAGCTTGCAGCTAGAGCATCCACGCAAGCGCCAGGGGAAGGCCAGGGGGCCGCGGAGGCAGGTGCAGCTAGAGCAGGGGCGTCGCGCAGGACGCAGAGGTACGCCAAGGCCGCCTTGAGGAGGTCCGGCTCCATCTCTGTGGCCGCACGGTGCAGCGCCTGCAGGACCCGCTCTCAGGAAAAATTCCCGGCTTTGCTGAGGTGGCCACCCTGCGCACGGAGCATTTTATCACAGCCTCTTGGCTGAGTCAAAACTGCCTGCAGATTCAATCGTCGTGGCACCCTGTTGGTGTCGACTAACCAGAACCAGGCGGAATCAAGCTGAATTCTGAAGCTTGCCGAGTTCCTCTTGCAGGTGTGGAGCTATTCAAGGCCCCCGCAGGCAAGTGCAAACTCAATCTTGGTACAGCAAACTGTCTGCTTTGCAGCTTGCTGGAGCCGGAACCAATCGCTCTCTGAGCGGACTGGGAAGATGTCCAATGTGAAATCCTGAACCGCAGACCTCTCCTCATGAAGTAAAAACCTTCCCGGGCGTGAAGAACAACCCTTCGAAACGGAATGCTCCACTTCAGGATCCACCTGTACAGGAGTCGCGATCGTCGCAAGACCTCCTGGCTCTTTGGCGACTCTGGGGAAGTTCCCAAGCCATATGCTGTACAGTATCTGTGGGCAAGAGTTTTTAAACGTGCTGACAACAAAAGAACCCAGGCAGCCTTCTGTCTGGATTTTGCTCGGCTATGCCTTGTCTAGTCATCTTGACAGATCTGAATTCAAACACCAATACAGGCTGTACAAGGCAGCGAACCCCTTGTCGAGAGGCGCTGCTGCTGACTGTCAGTTCCACAGCGCAGCTGTCCAAATTATATACTGGGCCCTGGTTGTGCGCTGGATGAATTCAGCGCACAGGAATCCGCATGGGTTGGCAGTGTCTGGCTGAATAGGAACTGTCCCTAAGACAGAACTCGTTCCGATCTCCAGACGATCTCACTTTTCGACTTGGTTATAAAGTCCAGGTCCTGCAGGACAAACACGCTTCGCATGTAAGTGCCGGTGCTGTGGATCAGGCTGTTGTCGGCACGTGTGCTGGCCCCCAAAAACATCTGATTCAAGTATGCGCCAGTCTCCTCCAGCTCAGACTCGTCATCAGAAACGTTCTCCTGTCTCATCTCAAACAAATGCTTCAGAAGCGAACAGAGCTGGCATGCTGCAAAAAAGACCACTCAAATCAATCTGCAGTCCACGAAGGTCCGGCGCACCACGATCTTCTGCAGGGGAAGTCCTGTGGAGGAAGTGCGAACAGCATGAAAACTTGACTAATTATGCGCTCAAGACTCCAGTCCTGGAGAGTGCTTGTCTCTCGAATGACGAATGTTGGAAACGAATCGTGGCACAGCATCCTCTGTCAAGCCTTGCTGCAACAGGCGAATGTTCGATCCAAGTGCATCTTGCCGCTTGCTGGACACCAACAGCTGCTCATTATGGGATGCAGCTTCTGGATGGATTGGGAGGAGGTGTGCGAAGCGCTTCTGATTCTGAAAGACTGTGGAAGGCTGAGGAGGCGTAATTTCCAACTTCTTCTGAGTGAATGCCTTTCTGCTGACGAGAGGCTCGGGGCGTTCGAGCCGCCGTTTGCGCGACGGTAAGCTGCTTTCTGCAGGTGGAAGACCTGGACTCGGACTGTGAACAAATCCCCCCGAGATACCAGGAGCACGAGAGAGAACGCCCATTCCATAAGAAACGACGTCAACAACCGATACCAGATAGCTTACGTCTCCATCAACTCGCTTCCAAAAATCCGCCCAGGCCTGTTGAAACCGATCACGTACCTGATGCCAATCGCGGCGATTGATTGCACACTGATAGTATACCTTGGAACAACGAGCTGCCAACTCCACTTCACAAGTCCCCAGGAGCGGAAACAAACGGAGCGCGCGAATGCGCACCAACGAACCTCAAGAACTTGTGCTCGTTGAGGAATTGCAGTTCGTCTGGAGTGGCTTCAAAATATAATTCCGAGTCGTGTGGCGCACCCGCAGGGGCAAGTAACCCAGCTCGAAGAGAAGCTGGCAACACAAAACACCTTCACCGATCTTGCCTCGCATGAAGCAGTCACCCAGATCTGCAGTTTTTTCTGCCGAAAGGCTAGTGGACGGCCATCCATCTGGCTGTAGATCTTTACGTCTTCGTCCAAACTGGCCATGAAGTCTTGGAGGTAGAGAGCCAAGTTGAACTGTTCGCCGGCCGATCCTGCGACGGCAGCATTTTGGAACTGAATCGGAACTGAACCACGGAGGGAGCTGTCCTGTGAAGCGTCGCCACTTTGGGAAGCCAATGGCTTCGCCGGCCTTGCTGGCATCACGGCACAACCAGAGAGAGCGTACAATGACATAATGTTACAATGTTTTCTGGGGCTTCTGCCTGGATGTCGATCGACTCCGTGGGGTCCGGGTCCTTTCTTGCATGGGACGCTCTGCTGCGGACAGAAACCCTTCAGGCAAGGGCAGGCAAGGAGCCTTGCCGGCCGGAAGTAGCGGGGGACCCCTTTTGGTGCATGAAAGGGCTAGGACCTGAGGCATTTCCAACTCTTCGTGGGCACAAGCGGTTGCTCACATGTCCAGGTTCGCGAAGTGTACGACAAAGGGGGCTCACAGCGACCAGGCTCATGTACCGGGCACATGTCATGCAGGCATTCCGGATGGCAGTGTGGTGATCACCGCTTACAAGACAGGCTGGACTGGCCAAACAGCTCGAAGAGAAACACTCGCCGCTCTCTCCAATACAATCCAGCCTAAGGCGGTGTCACCTTGCATGTTTAGCCTTTCGGTTGCGTCGCCGGGCTGCAATGTAGTGCTCCTCGTCCAGCTGGCGAAGCTCCGCAATACCCGGTCTGTTCAATAACCATTGGATGCACCTTTCGGCCAAATGGGCTAGCCGCATGATGTGCGGCAAAGCCCAACCTGCCCACTTCCACCTCGGTGCCAGTTTCGCGCGACGGCAAAGCAAACACCAGGCAAGAGCTACAAAGTGTGGGTACATATGACATGTTCAGGCCCAAGGTGCTGCGCATGAGGAAGAACAAACATAACTGTCACCGAGAATTCGGAAGAATCTGCTGTGGGACGGGTGATAAAGACCCCCTCCGAAACTCCATCACATTCCATTTGAGTGTTGTCCATTCGTCCTGAGTTCAGCTGCCGAGCCACCATATCCGACTTCGCAGCCAGACTTCTTCGGAACCCTGTGACCCAACAAAAGTCAGTAAAGCTCTCTTCAAAGTTCTGCAGAGCAGCCAGCATACACGCAGTCCCCGGGTTCTGGAAAGTCTCGCTTGAGCTTGTGATGCCCCAGCGTCGGGGTATCCGTGCAGAAGAACCTATTCCTTGCCACATCGGAAGGTCGAACTTCATTAAGGCACAAGAAGGACCACTGGGTACAGGAAAATCTACTTCTAGCAAGAAAAACCTGCTATTCTCGCGCCAGGGACGCAGATGATCCAGCCAAGCTGCCGAAAAACAGGCAGCAAAGCTTCAGCAGTCCTTTTCAAAGAAGTGCTGTTACGGGATTACAATCAAAAATTATTTTAAATCGAACATCCCCACCCTAGTGCCTTGTCCTTCCTACACGCAAATCCAAAGACCGAAAGAACCCGAGCCTAAACCTTAAACCCTGGTGCTTACCGAGCACTCCAGGGATTCTCACGGAAGTCTGTGGGGTTGGGCACTCCAGGGATTCTCACAGTAGTCCCGCTAGTCTGTGGGGTTGGGCACTCCAGGCATTCTCACGGTATTCTCACGGTAGTCTGTGGGATTTAGTACTCCAGGAGGTGATCTCAGCTGCGAGGAGTAATAGCTGACTTTAAGATCTAACAACCCCACACCGTGGGTGGGGAACAACACATGCGCATACACACGCCGCCTACTTAGAAAGCACGGCGTCGACGTACAACCCTAGTGGTGAAGGCGTCGCGAGGCCAAAAACTGCGGGCGCGTATGCTCTAGCACATCGGAACCCAACACGTCGCTGGCCTGATCAAGGGCGGAACGGAACAGCGACTACCGCCAGCCAAGGGCTCAGAACACGCAACACAAGCTCCCAAGCCCTGCGCCCAAGCTGTCGTTCACCCGCTTGACCCGCAAGCGACTGCCGGTCGAGATGGATGCGACTCCAAGCTCAAACACAAGACGAGGAGCATGAACCATTCATCATGATACTCATGTGGTTACATGCTGGTGATGACAAGAAACCGTGAACTTTGCGGGAGAACACACCAAAAGAGCTACTCACGAAGTGAAGCTGGCATCGCGGCTTCTACATCTAAGCACGGCTCCAAACTGCTGGAAGCGCCAGAAAATGCCATCTCCAGGCGCATTGGTCTCCACAAGGTCAAGGCTGTGGCCGGAGACCGGCGAAATCCTAGGTAAGGCTGGCTCGGCCCGCACCCTTACTTCACGCCGTTGCCGACAATACCCCATCATGCAAGAATCCCAAAAGGACGCTTGACTTAGCACCCCGCTCCTGTTTCAACCTCGCCCGGCCACACAACCAAACCTGCATCAAACCTAGCCTTCCTGGCCTTGATGTGTGGACTTGGTTCATGCGCTGATTGAAACTTCGACACCTGAGGACCTAGAGTACCCAAAAGGTGTGAATAGCAACTATGTTGCAGTGTTTGTCGTGGGGACTAAATGCGGACATGCAGCTCCTTCTGGTACTGCGCTCTGACTTCGGGCCGCACCAGCAGATGACTGGGATTCTTCGGTGGGTCACGGATGGCGACTCGTGTTATGACAAGCCTCACCATCTGCCGATGTCCAGAACACTCCCGATGCGCCAACTTCACCTGTGAGCATGCCTATGCCGCGTAAGCCCTCAGCTCTCTGGTTTTTTGGTGGGCTGTTCACACACGGGCCACTTGCATGCATTGGCCGCCTCTCGGCGGCACGCTGCCCGTTGTCAGTGTTCCCCCTAGTTGCATCAACTCTCGCGCTCACTCGCCTCTCTGACCTCTTACCAGATCCTGACCGCCCGAAAGCTATCGCGCATGCCGGGGTTCACGATTTCCCACCCGAAAAGCCACAGAAGCAACCATCAAGATGTCGAGACGCTCGGCGATCGTTCAATAGCAGTGTCCAGTTCTCATCTGACATGCACTGTGCGGCCAAGCCCATCCTCGGTTGGAAAGAACGAGGAATAACTGATTAATACATAAGCACAAAGGTCTAAATAAACATGTTTGGCATGCGTCTGTGTACAAGTGTACAACCAAACGTTAGTAGCACAAACATGTGCATATCCGAATACACAAACATACAAATAAATGGACGAATGTATGCATAGGCAGTTATACAAGTGTACAACTATTGCAAGAACTGAACTTGTAAACAAGGTAATTACGAACACAGCACAAAAAACTGAATGTACAATTAGAGAAGTGTGCAACTTTGTCAACACCCGCAAATACACACTCTGCAGGTTGTGTGTACGTGTGTGCGTGTTAACAGTGTATGCGTGCGTTAGGTATGTGTGCATGAATGTATATATGTACATAAATATGTACATACATACATGCATACATACATACACTACAAGTGCATATTGTATATATATATATATATATATATATGTGTGTGTGTATGTGTGTTTGCTTCTATCTATGTATGTGTCTGTGTGTCTGTATGTGTGTATGCATGCATGCATGTATACACCGCTTGCATGTACATGCATGCATACATACATACATCGATGCACACATGCATACCTGCACAATTACATATGTACGTACATATATATATATGTACACATATGTGCATAGAAATACACATACATACATGTATCCGTTGGCATGTAGATGTATAGGTTTACTTGTAAGACAAAGAAGGAGATCTGGACATGAACATAGATACAGGTACACACACACACACATATATATATATATATATATACATACATATTGTGTAAATGTGGGTGGCCATTATTTTGACAACTACCCATGTATATGTCTGTATGCTGTGTGTGTGTGTGTGTGCGTGTGTGGGTGTGGATGTATGTGTGTGCCAAAACCGCCCAAACCCAAGATCACTTCCAGAGCTGTGTCCTTGCCCTCATGACTCACCAACTGGCTGAGGCACAGTTGGTCCATGGCATCACTGTCACTCGCCGGGGCCATGGCTTGATGCTGCTGCGTCGCAAACCAGGTCGACTCTAAGTCTACAATAAAGCTCTGCGCAAAGCCAGCGGACGAAGCGCTGCTGCTGAAACACTGAGAATTGGATGAGTGCTTCAAAATTGCTTCTGAGCAGGATGCATTGCAGACCAAGCGAGAGTACGCAAAGGTCCCACAAAAAGGCCCCCTGCACTAAAGTAGAGTCGCGTCAGCGAATTCACATTAGCTGACGAAGACTGTCCCAAACAATGCGGGGTGCCTTGTGGCTCACGTCGAGGCCTCCTTTGGATTGCTCGCTCAGAGAGCCGGAGACCCACCTGCGAACAAAAGTCATCACGCGGTGAACTGAAACTGGCGATCCAGCCATGCCCCCGTCAACTGTTGCACGCAGCTGCTCGTCAATTGCAACAGTCGGAGTTACGACTCCCGGATGAGACATACTGTAGGTCTACACTCTACACCATCAAGATATAGAAAGTGCAACTGTCTTCAGCGTACGACACACTGGTCATGGATTTCTCCTTCTGATGGCAAGGCGCGGCAATGTAACTAACCATGGAACACGAGAGCTGAGGCCGGTCATTGTCATGCTCCCTCCAAAGCCTTAGGAGACGTGAACTTCGGAACGGGCTTTCCGAAGTTCACGAGAAACCACGAAGACCAGGCGCCAAAGAGGGCGCTCGTGAACGGGGCTTTCAACACCGACGGTCTGGTGAAGACAAGTGATTGTGGCACTCGCACGGCTGGCCTTTATCATGTGGGAAGCAGTCTAGTCCCGGAGTTCTCTAGCTCTAGATAGCTCTAGCAAACAAGATCCCCAGCAGCTGCAACAGCTCGCGCCTCCATTTGTTTTCTACCGCATCTTGAATCGCTCGGTCGGTCACTATGGCAGCATGGGACCTTCGGCAATGACTTCTTCAGGATACATGCAAGTTTGGAAGAGCAGACGAGCATGCGAAATCTTCTATCGTGGTGGCCAATCGCCTGCAATCTCGGCTCTTCTTCTTTTTCAGGGAAGCTGAGAGGGGACAAGATCCCCCGGCGCAGCCTGGTACGCTCTCGGATTACGGGCCAGAAGAAACGCAAGCAGCCGAAGTCATAATGGCACTTACAAGACGACGTTTACATGGTAGAGTGCAACGCCACCCCTACCAGAGCCACAATGCCCTCACGCCCCCACCTCCTCTGCACCAGCAACGCAGTACAACGCAGTTTGAGATCTACTATACTCCGCAACACTAACGGTCTCTCTTCCCTCATCTTCCTTCCCTCCTACCCTCTTCTTTCTGGCGACGGGCTGGAGGGAGTTGCCTCGCCCCCACACCAGCGCACACCCACGTCCCCTTTTCAGTGCAGACAAGGAAGTGAAGGAACCCCCGCACACATGGCACGCTGCGGCGCTGCCTCTGTAGCTCTCCATGTGCCCCGGTGTTTTTGGTTTTTCAAGGGAGTTGGCATGCAACTCTGCAGTGTCCGACTGCAGCACATGGCTATAATCCGGACGAGTGGAGCTCAAAAACGGCGTGAGATTCCATTTGCATGCGTCATGCCGCTGATCTCGCATCATGCCCGTCCTCCAGAGGGAAATCAAGTGCTCGAACTGGTTGCAGACGCTGTCCGCCTGTCAAGCGGCGGCTAACAGAAAGCCGAGCAAAAAGAGCAGTCATGTCACTGAGACATGGGATGACATGAACGGAGGGACCGCGAGGCCTGAAAGTCAAACGCAAGCTTCATCGTAGCGAAGAAGTTTGCCGCTGCACGGCCCCACTCCCGAGATCGGGGCCTGAAGCAGAGAAAGGTGCCGAGAAAGCTTTGGGAAATTCCCCATGCAACTCGGACCCAGACAAAGCTTTTTGTGGGTCGCCCTTGCCGCCAAGGCAGGACTGGTCCCAAATTGCTAGGAGCTTCTGCCTGGGCCGATTGGGACCAATTTTTTGGGATGTCCCAGGAGTGCTGCGCGTCACAAAAAGCATGGGCTCTCTTGGTCTCCGAACTCGAGGTCGACAGCACTTTGTGGCCTGCGAAAATTCGCCACCCCACAGAACGAGGGAACAGTACGGCGGACCGGTTTCAGAAAGCTTTAGTCGCATCTCAGCTTGGCGCTGCCCTTGTTGTGGCTCTTTGCCATGAAACTGCCTCAGATGCCCAGTCAGTGCGTGCTCTCCACCAAGAGAAGCCTTGCAGAACAAGGCCGCGGCTCTTCAGGAGCTTTCCGCCCAAGTTGGCGAACCCAAAGTGCGCAAGACCTGTCGAACTGCGTGCTTCTCCACTCCTGTCCTACACTCTGGTCTTGGAAGCGATAAAAAAACGCAGTCTGCAGTCTGTAAAATTCTGTAAACGTCCACATCAGAGCACATCGGCTCTTAGGTCCCAGCTTGGATGCAACAGCTGCGAACAGCATTGCCTTCCCAACGGCAAACCACTTGCAGCGCATCTCTAAGGCTCAGAGTCCTTACTCTAGATCCACAGCAGATCTTCCGCCAACGTGCCAAGATAAGCACAAAACATGCCGGAATGTCAAACAGTGAGAGCAGCACCGGAATCGCAAAGTCAAACACATCAGTCTTCATGGTGTAGCAGTACGGTGGTGCCAACCTGGTCAGGAAGATATCCCTGCCAACTCGGGATCCATCGTGCACCGGTCACGGCAGGAAGCTGCGCAAGTCTCGAGCATGCAGCTGCGCATGTGGAAAGGATGCCTGGTGTGCACCTCCTGACTTGCGGGTTTGCATTGAGTGGGGCTTGCCTTCGACCTTCCTATGTCCCTGTCCGAAGGTACAGTACCTTCAAGTGGTGACGACTGATCCGTGTAAACTCCAAGCGAAGCAACGCCCATGTAGGCTGCCCGGCATTATGCAGCAGTCGTGGCCGCGCATGAGAGTGCCTCCCCAGGCATCCACAGCCATCTGTGCTGCCTGGCTGTCGATCAGCTTCGGAAATCTGCTGCGAATAGGCACCGCTCATATCCTGCCTGCTCAAGGTTGCCAGTGCTGCCATTTTTGACGGCAATCCACGACCTTTGTGGGTCTTGCCCTGGGCGCTAAACATCTACTTGTTTAGGGTCTGAGCTACCAACTGGTCGCAGAGCCATAACGCTTTTCTTGCTCCTAGGTGCAGCACAAGTGGCGCTTTAGCCGAAGCTTGGCAAGCCTAAATCACCGCCGGACATCAGTCAAGTCAGCCAAGTTACTTCTGTCCCATTCCGAGGATGGCAGAACTGCGACGGGCACAAAGGTATCAGTTCAGACTCAAACGAAGAAAGATGAACAGAGTAAGCAGTAAGCATGCACAACTCATTCCATTCGCAGTGTTCAATGCGCTGCATTTTCACCTCGAAACCTTCTTGGGAGTCTTCCTTCGCAGCTCCGAGCACAAACTCTCAGGGCCGCATTGAAACCTCAGACCATCAAGCAGGGGGAGAGTGTCGTCAAACACTTTACTATGCTATGCTGCTTGACGGAAGTAAATGGAACGTCGCAAAGTGGCAGTCTTCATCCAAGTGAAACTGTCGCTGCAACGTCCAGAGCAAGGTCAAAGAGACCTGCCGATGGCACGCTATGGTGTTTCACACGCGCGTGCTCCCCAATGCTCCCCCAACCTTTCCGAAGTCGAGGTGTGTGATCTCTTTGCCTTCCAGTGGTGCGCAGCAGCCACGGCCGCTGAGCCCCCGAGCGCATCGGAGCAGCGGCTAGCAAGGCCGAGCGCTCGTGGCCACGGCCCTGCGACACTCTGGGAGCTGGGCACTGAATCCGCGACTCAAACGACCATAGACTTAGCGACATCTCAGTCAGTGCCTTCCACAACAAATGCCGCAATGGCCGAGTTGGTGCCGATGACCCGTTCTCTTTCGTCTCCTGACACAAAGACATCTGCAGGACTAGCTGAAACATGTCCATGCCTATGCTGCAGGCAGAATCGGATTGCAGGGTTGGACCTGGTTCAGCAGCGGATACCGAAAAGCCACGGTGCAGCAGGGCAATTGCCAACCGCCAGCGTCCGTGCCTCAACAGTCGGTGGCAACACATGACAGCCTGTGGAGTGTCGGTTGAGGGGTGCGTGGACGTGGGCACGCGACAATCTGTCATGGGCGGAATATTCGTATGAATTGCTCGTTGATGCTTTGGTTTAGGGTGTCGCTTGGGGAGCGGGGTCAAGGGCTCCTCCTGAAGCTTTTTCGCCGGATGGCCCCTTGCTTAGCAGGCAATACAACATGTCTCCATCATGTACCCCAAAAGAGTGTACCGAGTGCAAGATTACGCACACGCACACTAGCAGCAGGTCGTATTCGATCAACCGTCACCGGTGTGGCTCTTGTTCAATCTGTTCGATGTTTTGTTCCTGTCTTTTTAATCCCCATGTTCGATTTCAGTCGAAGAGGACTCGAGGCTTTCACAAGCATAACGAGCGTGTTGATCAAACATGCAACTGCAACACTTGACAAACAAGCGGACGACATGGACATGCGCGCTGATCAAGCTCTCCAGTGCAATTTGTAGCACAGCCTGATACGGCCTGAAAACCTTGTTTCAAGCAAGAGTGAAATTAAGATATGGATGTCCAAGCTCCGATCAAACGTCCGTGGCACATCATTCATATTCTACAGCTACAGAGTCATTCGTCAATGACTCCGGCTCATCCAACACCATAGCTTTGTTCGTGTGGCTAGGAGCAATAAGAGCGCCACACCCCCTGATTCTTGATGGACATGTGTGTTACTTTTCCTTTGGTACAGGGGTAAAACACACACACACACACACACACACACACACAGAGGACACACAGACACACACGCGCACGCACGCACGCACGCACGCACGCGCGCACGCACGCACGCACGCACGCACGCACGCACGCGCGCACGCACGCACGCACACACACACACACACACACACACATGCGCACGCACACACGCACACACACACACACAGACACACACACACACACACACACACACACACACACACCCGCGCGCGCACGCGCACGCGCACGCGCACGCACACCCTTGCATGCATACACACATATATACATGCATGCATGCATACATGCAGACAGTCACTCTTGTGCATGCACACCCGTACATGACGTTCAGGATACCTTCAGCTCAACCTGAGATTTGCTCTCCTTGTGTCCACAGCGCCTGGCGAGAGCTCCAAGGGCAGAGTTGGTCACCGAGGGTTCCCGGCATGCCTTTTTGAAACTGCCGCAAAATGGCGCACTGGCGCGGCGCAAGCGACTCGTGTGACCCGCCTTGCAGAGTTCGAAGGCCCTTGTCCAGCTGCGGGACGTGGCGGAAGTTACAAGAAAGGCGTTCCTCAAGTGGCGGAGCAAAGACGTAACCTCCAATGGGCCCAAACCTTCGAAGGGATAAGGCCCAGACGTCTGCAGGTTCTGGGCCGAGTAGCTGCGAAGCAGCTCCGCGGCGACGCTCCAAAAATTTGCCTCACCATGGGCATATGTTGCCCTCCCCCACGCAAAGTGCCTCCTCGATGCTGGTCAACACGAGGCTGGGCAGTGTCTTTGCGCAGTAGACACGTTAGTTGCCAGACACTGAAAAGACATCGGCAGTTCTGAAACTGCGTGCCCAAGCGGCAGAAGTGCAGGACGCCGCGACCGAGCTCCAGCTTGCAACGTCTGGACGGCAAAAGTCCCAAGCCAAGCCTGCAAATCGTCTGCCAGTGTGTGCACGTCTGACGAGCCTCATCATCCCTAGATCGTCCCTAGGAAGTAGATGGGAAGTAGGTTGAGTATGGTTGAGTCGGCATGCAAATACAAGTAGGATTCTGCAACAGATTCATCTCTCGATTACGCGCAAGGCACGCTGCAGGAGCTGCAGAGGAGCTCGCCACATCCCACCTCAGAGGCACTCGTGCTCTTAATTACTTGTCTCGGAGGCAAGATCAGGCAAGATCCCCGCTCGCTGGGTAAAATGTTTTTTTCACGGTGGCTGCGGTCGTTGCCGCGGGCCGCAGGCCGCATGCCGCAGACTGCACACCGCGGGCCCCGGGCCGCAGGTCGCAGGGGCCGCGGGCCGCAGCCCCAAACCCCAAAAGCAGTGGGTGGGTGCGAAACTGAACCTTAAGAGGAGTGAGTGGCTGCGAAACCCCTAGAAGGAGCACATGGGTGGCTACGAAACCCTCAGACCCGAAAAGGAGCGGGTGGGTGCGAAACCCTGAACCCTAAAAGGAGTGAGTGGCTACGAAACACTCATACCCTAAAAGGAGTGTGTGCGTGCGAAACCCCAAACCCGCCAAACCCTAAAGGGAGTTGGTAGAAGGAGCGTGTGTGGCTGCGAAATGCTGCGAAACCCTGAACCCTAAACGGAGCAGGCTTGAACACCAAAAGGAGTGGGTGGGTGCGAAACCCCAAGCCCTAAAAGAAATCGCGTGGGTGCGAAACCCTGCACCCCAAAACGGGTGAGTGGCTACGAAACCCTCAGACCCCAAAAGGAGTGAGTGGGTGCGAACCCCTGAACCCTAAAAGGGTTAGTGGCTAGGAAACCCTCATACTTTGAAAGGAGTGCGTGCGTGCGAAACCCCAAACCCGAAAAGGAGTGGGTGGGTGCGAAGCCCTGAACCCTAAAATTTTGAGAACCAAAACCTTGTCGTAGGGAGCGGTCATGTAAGGAGCGCGAAAGTCGAACATAACAAAACTCCGCAGGAGCTGTGGAGAATTCTGGATGCGAGCAACTTTCGAATTATAGGCGGGCGCGGCGATTGAAATGTTTAGTTACCGTGCGACATGCCGTGCCCGGCTACTACTACCACAACTGCCGCCTGCTCCTGCTGCCACCACTACTACTTACTACGACTGCTTGAAAGCCCTTTCAACCCCTTAAGCCCTCTTTTGATCCAAACTCAAACAAAGCCCCGCTTAAGCTCCCCCTCAAAGCCCCACCTTAAGCGATTAATCCTTCGAAGGTCTCCTTAACGCCCCATGTGACGTCCCCCCCTGAATGACCGTTTAAGCCCCTCCTGGGTGGGAGCGAAACCCCAAACCCTAAAAGCAGTGGGTGGCTACCCTGAACTCTAAATGGACTGAGTGGCTGCGAAACCCGAAGACGCAGACCGCGGGCCGAGTAAATAGTACCATTATGTGCTCAGTGCTCATTTGCATGCTTAACATCGTTTGGCAGCACTAACAAGCATACATTTTGGCAGGTCGCCGGCTTTGCCTGTGCTGATCTCAGCATTCTGAACCAGCACATCCGGCGCAATCTTTACAGCCTCGCGGCGTCTTGCAAGGCTTATGAGTCTTATGAGTCTGGCTTTGCAGGAGGCGTGTGCTGAGAGAGGGAGGCCATGCTTCCTTGGAAGCAAAACCACAACTTCGCATCAAGGCAAGTCGTGATAGTTGAGCATCCCACAATGCTTGCTGTTTCATACGCAGAAGAAAGTGTGGCCGGAGGAGAATGGAAACACCGCTGGGCCTTCATCTGCTGTAAACTTTCGCGAGCTTGCAGCCAAGTCGAGGCCTGCAAGTACCCAAAGCTTGAACTGCGTGTTCGGCATAAGCGCAGCACCTTCACAACTTTGGCGACCATGGCTTGGGTCGGCTGCAGGCCACGCTCGCGGGCAAACTGGAGTAAACCTCTCGTCTGCGGCAGTGCTTCTGGCCAGGACTGCAGCTTCCAGCACGGATCACCTGCGGCTGCAGCACCAGCGGCTGCAGATGCGAAAGTGACGCGGTCCTCAAAACTGGCCACATCAGAGTCACAACTGCGGACTGCTGCAGTCAGTCCAGCTGGCTATTCTGCGGAGCAATCTAGTCGTAACTGTCCAACGGAAGAATTAAAGCAATGCTTGGAAGTGGCGTTGGACGAACGTGGAATGAAAGCTGCCAGAAGGTTGGCAAAATCAATGAGCCGACAAACGAACGAAAAAATAAACGAATGCATGAAAGACAGAGTGACTGAGTGGATGCATAATTGCATGAATGAACGCATGAACACGTGGCGAACGAAGGAATGAAGGTGGATGGATGAATGGACGAATGGATGAATGGATGAATGGATGGATGAATGAATGGACCAACGGTAACTAGCAGTTTGTGCATCCACAGAGACTAACTGAGCTCGATCCTTGCTTGGAACAGGCAGACCGTCTCCAAGTATGGCTCTCCTTTATACACGGATCCGCAGATGCCAAGGCGGTGAAGTTGCGCTTCTCGGCGTGGACTCTGGGCTGCAAGGTTCACTACGTTGTGCATCCTATGAGTTTCGAGCTGTGTCATGACCTTATTGAAGCGATTTCAGAACGTCCCTCAGCCAGACTCTGAAGCTTCAACAGTTTCCCCATTGGGCAGGGCCGCTCTCTGTGAAGCTTCGAGCAGTTGCTCCATCGGCTTAAGACCTTCTTCAAAGCTCTCCAAAACCAAGTTGCAGCTAGGCAGGGACGACTCGGACTGACTCGGACTAGTGAGACTAGTGACTAGTGTGCAGTGACCTCTGACCAGGCCGAGGCTGTGCGAGGCTGTGAGGTTGGGATAGGTCCTGGATAGGTTGGGCGGCCGGGGCGAGTTCCAAACTGAAATCTCCCACCTTTCTCTCGCACTTGCTCGGGGCTGTTCCGAATGCACATGACTTGATTGTCACTACTTGCAATCGAATCAACTTCTGTGCAACTGTTGTCTAAGCTTACGCCACCTGTCCCGACGCACCATTTAGCTCAAATCTTCACAACTTTTCGTTTTCTGCAAACCTTGAGAACCTGAGCGTCACCTGCTCCAGCTCTGCACATTATAAAATTAGAATCATCATTATGAGTCAGAAAGGCATAGGCCTGGACAAAAAACCTCCACGGTGGAATCAGGACATACAAAGTCAAGAAGGACAAAAAGCCGAGCATCCACGAGCTCCGCAGGAGCCAAGCGCAACAGAATCTGCGCAAGGTGCCTGACAAGTTCGGTGCCCCACGTTGCTCCGCTTGACGCGAGCAGTGGGCACTCACATCTGACTGTTCACTGGTCACGTGTGATCAAAACCCCGCCAGCTCTCGGCTCGTGCCACAGCGCCCAGGGCTGCACTGGCCATCACTGCATCGGCGCAGCGGCGGGCAGCCAGTATTGCCTCAGCTTTGAACTGCAGGCTCTGCTTCATCAGCTGAACAGCCAAGATGCAAAAGCTGCTGCAGCAAAACGCCAGCAGCCCGCATTTGGGCCGCCTCGCGCGATGGCTGCTTCGTCAGTTACGATGAGAACAACGAGTTGGAACAGGTCGTGTGCGCAAAGCCGCTTGGTGCGCCTACTGTGGCGGCAACACCAACAGCACCGAGGCCCGTCGCCGCAGCAAGGCGCCACTGCCCAGCCTTCCACAAGTCCGACCAAGGGAAAGCCACGGGTTCAATGCATCGAACATTGGATGTCTATCTATATTATCGTCAAGAAGAATGATCTGCAAGCATGCGTGCCAAAACAAAGGCCAACGGTGGGATCGGCAGAGAGTAGCTTATGCGAGGAGTGATCGGCAACGGGAAGACGAGTCATCAGCTGCATTCAGCTGCCGGAAACATAATGATTCAGGCAGCACACACCACATTGATCGGAAGTCGTCGAGAAATTGCGGCAGAACGGTGATTAGCAGGCGGCTTTCTTTGGGGATCTACCCGGCAGTGGGGTCGAAGAGCAGAAGATCGGCAATGGATTTGATTCGACAGTCGACAGTCTTGAGTTGTTTTCTGTCTGTCTCGCGTCTCGCAGATGATGCGGATGCTAGCACCTGCCACGGCGCAGACAGGTCGGATGCTCGGGAGCTGACGTCTCCCGCACGACCAGTACCCGCTCGATAAGTCGTCTCGTGAACAGCCACTGGCAAGTTTTTTGCTAGGCCTGCTCTTCCATTTCAGCATGCAGCCTATGTACTGCCTTTCACAATGCACGCCTTTTGCCGGGCCCTCGTCCACATGGCCAGAAACCCAGGGTCCCCGCTGACTTTGAACGAACGATGCTAGTACTTCAGAGAGGCATGTGTGGCAATAGTCGTCGCCTGCTCGTGCTACCGGAGTTATGGCTCGAATCAATGTTGCACAAACAGCAAAGTTTGTGCACGTGCCTATGCTGACTCCATTCATCACATGCTGCACCCTGCATCCTGCGGAAATGTCTCTACGAATAGGAGACGGCCGCCTTGTCCGCTTTATAAGGGTGGCGGCTAGCTTACACATATCTCACACAGTCATCCGAAAGCAAAGGGATGGTACGGCCACACACAGCTTGACGAGCAATCCCTGCAAGCAGATGCTCTGCTCCACTGATTCCGCGGATGTATTTTCGGAAGCGTGGTCAAAGTTACCAGTCCTGCAAGAATCATCCGCGATGCACGTCTTGCCATCAACATCAATGGAGGATTTACGGCGTACTTGCGCTGAAGACAATTCTCTCCAGCAGAAATAAGTCTCTCATGCAGACACACCACCGTTTACTAGCAATGGTAAAACCGCAATGCAAGGGCACGAAACTGCTGGCTAGAAGCTAGCTGAGTCGTTGAAATGATTGAATTTTTCTGCGTGGCGACCGACCTCGTGTTCCTCCGAGCCGAGCCCCACCGTCGTCGCGACACTTTGGGGCAGCGACTGGTGAAATCACTGTTTCAGGGCGATGAATCTCAGATCTTTTCTGACTTGGGAATGAATGGGCACGAACACAGTGGTTGGGAGTGCCCGGGCCAGACAATTGAGTACGAGTGATCGCGCCTGGAAATAGTCATCTGAGCACGATCAGCGCCCAGAAATAGATATATAGGACAGGAGCGATCAGGGCAAGCCCCCATCAATGCGAGCGAACATACGAAGTGCTGATGTAGATGAAAGCATCTAAGCTGAACCAACTCTTGAAAACTTTTGTAAGCCTATTGGACCCCAAGCTTTCCTGAGTAGCTGCCATGTTCAATTTCTTCGGCTCCCAAGATGCATCGCGAAAGCTTTTGGACAGACGTTCATGGACCGCACCAGTGCTGAAGCCGCACAGTGACGTACTGGTGAGTCGTGGCTTGCTCGCTGTCGCGCAGTGACTTACATCTTTCCGGTGTCATCAGAGACATGACGTGGCACCCACTTAGACATACAGCATGCCGCCTTTGCCATGGCATCCGCAAGGACGTTTTGAAAGACTCCGTCAATCTGCATGGAAATGCGCCGAAGCCAAAAGAGCCTGGGGACTGTAGTTTTTCCGTTGCTTCGAGGCGAAACTGACTGAGCATGCATCCCGGCAGCATGTTCAAGGACATCTTCCTGGCACGGTCTGATCATGCATTCCTAGTCCGATCAGAAACATTCGTAAGCCTCGGTCGATACGGAAAACCCAGCAAAATCGTCACAACGGTAAAGAGATCGATCCCTTGACAAGTCGACCGTCCAGAAGCACCCTGCATACATGAGTTTTAGGCTTCACAGATTTCCCGGTCCAGCCCGCCACGTGCAAGACCAGGGTGGCGCTGGCAGCATGGGTGGCCATGCGCCGGCAAGCCACGCCTCGGACTGTCAAGGTAGCACAAGCTGAGGTTGTCCCTGGTCTGGGCCAAGCACTCCGGAGTAAATCCGCTGCCATCGGCCAAGCTTGACCTAGCATCGGCCCAGTGCTGGGTGCGTTTGGAATTCCGAATCAAGTCTTGGGACCCGGACCTTTTGCCGCCGCATCGGGCCCGAGCACCGACCGCAGACAGTGCTGCCACAGTGACAGTGGCATCCCCGCACCTCCCAAGCCCAAGCATTTAGACTTGCACGGACAAAGACGTCAAGCTCGGAATCTGCACGACAAGGCACAACGAGCCGCAAGTGTCGAGAACCAAAACAGTGCAACGACAAGTACAAGCTCCACAAATACATGGTGCAGCGCTGCTTGGCCCCCCCTCCCCCCCCCACCCCATGGTATCCCCCCCCTCCCCCCCTGTGGTTCGCTGTGGTGTGGGTTCCCCCCTCCCCTCCCCCCTGTGGTTGCGGTCGGCTGCGCCCGCTTCCATGGCTATTGCTGGTTGGGCGTCCGGCTGCTAAAGGTTTTGACCTTAGGATGTGATACAGTTCCACTGGACTCCGACCTGCCCTGAGCTCCAAAGCCAATGACAGAGATGAATATTTTGGTTATGATAATGACCGAGATTGTGGTCATGATCCCCACCTCCGGTCCCTTGCTCAAGAGTCCCGAATGAAAACCATTCAAATTCGTGCTCAAGCTTACTTTTAACGTAAAACAATGAGCATGCGGTGCCGAAGCCCAGAGCAACACAAGAGCAAAGGTACCACCAACAGCCACACTGGGAATCATCATTATCACCTGTATGTCGAAGGGGAGGGCCCCTGGCGCTCCGCGGATGATGTGTGACTGTTTGTTGGGACGAGAGGCTTGGCCGGGGGGGGGGGGGGCATACCATGGGGGGGGGGGGGGCCTGCGACGCGGCGACGCGGCACCATACATACAGCAACCTGTAAGCATCAAGAGCCTACAGCAAAGACACCAGGCGACTGTCACCGCCCACGATGCTGTCTACGTCTTGGCCAACGTGTTTGTAAGGCCGTTAAACTCACTGCGACCAGTCGATGGAAACTGCCTGCCTGTGGCAGTGCTGCCGACGGCAGAGTTGACCGCAACATCATCGACCTCCATGGAGCTGTCAGTCATCCTGCCAACTGGAGATCCTCAACTACATTCGACACGAAATGTTCTCCCGATGCGAGAGATAGACAGAGGCCCGTAGGTGGTTCAGCTCTCGCCACGTTGCTACGGACGTAGGAGAGGATCGGAAGCTTCGGCACAAAATATATGAGTGTGGATCACGGCTCGAACAAGGACTAAGGCCAATCAGACTGTGTGCAACGTTGCAAAGTGCCAGTGGTCTGCCTGCGTAGGAGGTCGATGCCTAGCTCCCACTGCCTTCCATGGGCGAACACGAGCAACATCCAGGTCAGCCCCGACTCGAACCCAAATCCCTGAAATTGATCGGACCGTACATGTAAGCTGGAGCGTGCGAAAGAAACAACATCAAATCTCACCAGCATTTTGTCCGTTTGACCTGGTGACATCGACACCTGCGGAGTCTTCCACGCCTAGTGTCTGCAACCTGCGTCCAAATCATAACGTCGCATCGCTACGCCGTGCCGAGGGGCCGAGCGCGGCGGCATGAAGTCGCAACTGTTGTGAGGCTCGCAGCATCTGCCTTCGGTCTCCGGAATGGGGTTTTCGGCAAACAAAGGCAGGTAGAGAGTGTGCACTGGCAGGCCACCTCAATTTCAAGCACGCGCATGTCGCGGAGAAGCTGCAGCGAAGCTTGCGCCGATGCTGTCTTGCCTCAAAGTCAAACCAACGTAGGCTCAGGAGGCTGTCTCAACAGTCCAGACGATGAATGCACCCTGGCGCCACATGCTGCGTAAGATTTGAACGGACATCTTTGAGGGAAATTGTCTTGTGGTGGCACGGGTGCTTTAAGTTCATGTAAAGACTGTCTCCTCCTCCTTCTCCTCTCGGGTGCTCAGGCGTGTCGTCTGTCAGGCTTGAGGTGTGATGCTTGTTCTTTACCGCGATTAAAGAGACTGACAACCCTGGCTTTATCGAAGACTGTGCAAGACACAACTTTTCCAAGCCCGGGCATAACCCCGCGATTAGGGAATGAGAGTGGTGTTCCCAACCAGAAAACACCTAGACACACACACACACACACACACACACCCATCGGGCATCACTCGCGGGTCATCCACTGCTTCCCCAACAGTCAGAGTGGGTAGCCCAAACATCAGTGTCTTCTTTCTTTCTGCAGGGCTTAGGGGTCACGTCGTGACCCTCAGGCCATCGGCCTGCACATCAGTGTCTTTCTCTCTCTCTTCTTCCGCAGGGCGTAAGGGGCTGTTGAGGCCCCCCGGCCATATGGCTGCAGAATTAATTTAGGTAGTTTTTTGTTTTTTTGTCCGGTATTATTTTTGTTTTCCTTCTTTGCTAGCAAATTACATGCAATTTACAAGTTGCAAGACGTCTGAAGTGCCGACTTCTGTCTACTCATGCAAGCTCTCTGCCTTTTGCAATTTGCACAACATAGCGCGATCCTTGCTCGGCCATCCGGAGGGTGCCGGGGTACAGCATGTTTTAGCTAGCGCATGGATTACTGTCGCGCGTTTTTGCTGTTTTCGGGAGCTGGTCTTGGGGTCTTGGGAGTTGGGGGTGGGGGGGACTGATAACGTCCATTTCGCCACCATCATCATGATCATCGTCATCATTGTCATCATCATTGTCATCATCACGGCATGGTCATCTTTTACGCTCCGGTACTCACATCATCCCCACATGAGGTTAGACCCTCAACACAACAATAATTCCACCGTGCCCCAGCAACAAAAAAAAGGACCCAAACCATACAAATCTGCCCCCGCCGAAAACAGCTAGTTCTAAGCCTACAAACCGCCAAAGGCTGTAAATACCCAGGAGTTCCTGACCTGTAACGTCCGACGTGGCGTTTATTTTTTTGGTTGCCCAAAATCGTGCTTGCTGTTTGCGGGGTCTGGTCTTGAAGTTTTGGGGGTGGCGTGGGGGCTGATAACGTCCACTTCGCCACCATCCTCATGATCATCGTCATCATTGCCATCATCATTGTCATCATCCTCGTCATCGTCGCAGCATGGTCATCGTTACATGAGGTTAGACCCTCAACATAACAATAAATATACAGGGCCCCAACCAAATCAAAATACCACCCAAAACATAAAATTCGGCTCCCGCCGAAAACCGCAAGTTTTAAGCTTTCCTGACATTTTGCACGGATTTCGTGCTATTTCTGGCGTTTCGCTGACCTGAGCCTACATTATCTTAGTTGTTGTTGTTGTCCCGAGAAATACCGACGTTGCCTTGGTTGTGGTTGCGGTTGTTGTTGCTGCTATTATTGTTATTGGTATTATTCTTCTTGTGGCTGTTGTTAGCCTTATTATTTTTCTATTGTTATGCATTGCCGTATTATTATTGTACCATTTTATTCATTGATTTATTGGATTTACTGTTACTATCATATGTAATGTTTTTTATTAATATTATTACTGTTGCTGTTGTTGTTGCTGCCATTGTTATCGTTGTGGTCGTTGTTGCTGTTCTCGTTATTCTCAGCCGTTGTTGTTGTTGTTGTTGTTGTTGTTGTTGTTAGTGTCATGATTATGATTGTTCTTGTTGTTGCTATTGTTACTAGTGTCGTTGTCGTCGTTGTCGTTGCTACTTTTGCTGTTGTGTCACTGCTTTTGTCGTTGTTGTTGTTGCTTTTGCTACTACCCTAACTGCAGTGGAGCTTAAAGAAAGCAGCAGCGTCTCCAGTTCAGAAAAGCGGGGGGTAAAGGGGAGGGAGCAAGCAGCAAAGCTTGCAGTTTAGACAAAGCGGGGGGGGGGTTGCGGGGGCGGAGCCGCCCCTCCATTTGTAAATCTTCCAAAAATGACATTGGTTTTTCGTTTTTACCCACTGAAGCGATTTCGTGTGGTTTCTCCAGTCTTGTGTGTTGGAGAAGACGCTTTTAGCCATTTATTCGTTTTACAAAGGAGACTCTTTTTCATTTTTTTGTCTTCTTGCTTTTTTACTCCCCAGCGAATACGTCTGGCTTTCGCCTTCTTCTTGTCTGTCGGTGAAGACGTTTCTTTTATGATTATTTTAATTTTCCTCGCTTTTAACCCCCTGAAGCGTTTTTGTGTGGCTTTCTCCTTCTCGTGTGTTGGGGAAAGACGTGTTTGTTCATTTCTTCACGGCTTAAGCGAGCGCGGGGGTTGGGGGGTCCAGCCCCCCCCCATTTGCAACGAGGGGGCCCCCTTCGAAGAGGGCTTCGAAGGCGATTTCGCAAGGAATTTCTTTTGCATGTTGGAGAAGATATTCTTAGTCTTTAATAATAGTAATGGTAATAGTAATAGTAATAAGTAATAGTAATAAGTAATAGTAATAGAAATAGTAATAGCAATAGTACTATAGTAGTACTATTAATAGTAATAGTACGAAAGCAAAGCCTTAAAGCAGGACAGCGGGTAAGCAGAGAAGTACAATAGATGAAAAGCAAAAGGAAAGTAAAGGCAGAGGAAAGCAATCAACAAGAAAAAACAACAAGCAAGCAAAGCAGGGAAGAGCAGCAAGCGAAAACTTAAAAAAAGAAAAGCGAAGCAGACAGTCAGAGAAGCAGAAAAGCAGAGAAGCAGGAGAAGCGGAAAGCAGAGAAGCAGAAAAGCAGAGCAGCAGAAAAGAAGAGGACAGCAAAAGCAGAGAAAAGCAAAGGCGCAAACGTAAAAACAGTAACAAAAAAACACTAAAGCAGGGAAGAGCTGCAAGCAAAAACTTTAAAAAAACACGAAGCAGACGATCAGAGAAGCAGCAGCGAGGAATCAGAAAAGCAGAGAAGCAAGAGAAGCGGAAAAGCAGAGAAGCAGATAAGCACAAAAGCAGAGGAAAGCAGAAAAGCAGAGGAAAGCAAAAAACACAAAAACTCAAACCAAATTCACCAAGAAAAAAACAAAAAAATCCTCAAATAATTAGGATTCCATTCCCTTCTTGCCAAGAAGCCGAGAACCCAGGAAGCTAGGAATCCGATAAGCCACGAAGCCAAACAGCCAAGGTGAAGAAGTCAGGAAGCCAGGCCAGGTGAAGAAGCCAGGAAGCCAAGCGAAGCAGGCAAACAAGACAGCAAACCAGGAAGGAAAGCCCAGAAGCCAGAGAAAAGACGACGACAAACCAGCAAGGAAAGCCCAGAACCCGAAAAGGCAAAAACCAAAAACAAAAAAAATACCCACAGAAAAACAAAAAAATACCTAAAAAAAATGTGATTCCCTGCCTTTTTGGCCCCCCATGTGTTATGGGGTTTTTGGAGAGGCGTGAGAATATCATCAATCCCCCGGCTAGCATAAAGGAGTATATTGGTCTATAAAGTGGCCAGGTTCTTGATGATTTTGTAGACACATGCACCCGTCCTTATTGCTAGCAACCGGCAACTTGGTCCCCCGGCAAGTATATCGCAACTTGTGCTACAAGCTAATATAAGAAGAAATACCATCCGCATTCCCTCAGGAGGGTTGTTGCCTTGCAGTGTTGGGACGGTGTGTTGATTATGGTCGCGACGGCCTGGTCCTAGCTTGTTCTTAGCAACCGTTAGCAACAACAAGCGGCACGATGATTGCACGTAGTTATTTTGTGTGACCTGGCCATAGAAAAGACCACAGACTCGTAGAGCAAGGTGTCCCCCAACACAAGATGTAACCAGCAGAAGATCTCATGGCTAATCAAGAAACTTGCTCTTCGTTCATCACAGCAGTATCAGTACGTCGCCCTCAGGATGTGTGGAGGAAGACAAAGTGTAGCTAATAAGTAAAACCTTAGTAACTAACCTGTATTCCTCTCTCTCTCTCGCTCGCAGGCTGGCTTGCAAGCAAGCAAGCAAGGCGTGTGGGAAGGCGAGCACGGGGCTTTCGCTCCCTGCGCGCAGCGCATGCCCAAAGTCCGAGTTTGGTGCTTTGCTTCCAGGCAGACGCTGTGTTTGCGTGCTTGCTGGCGGTTCGGGACACGGAACAGCCCCACATGGCGCGCAGCTGGGGGGGCCAACACCCGAAAGTCTGTCTGTGTCAAGTTCAAGGGTGGCACGCACTGCCGGATTGCGCTGTAAACAGCTGTCCTTCCTTCTTGGGGTCTCGCAGGGCATGACTTCCTCGGCGCTAGTCCCCCAGTCAGCCCGCAGTAAACCCTCAAGGGTCTGCTGGCTTCACAAAGTTAAGTATGCCCCGGTGAAGGCTTAGGTTGAGTGGCATTGGGATGGCACCGGCGACCCATCATCAAAGAGTTCAATGTTGCACAACGACTGATTGTTGCCAGGTGACAAGCATGTCTTCCACGCCCACGCATGTGGGGTTTCTTCTTGCTCTCGCTGAGCCGCTTCCATGTCTCCCACTCGGCATCTACCGCCTGCTGTTGACTCACTTCCCTCCACACGTGCGTCAGGTGCTGGTTGGCCGCCAACAGCGGTTTACCACCATGGTCATCCACCATCGTGCTCCACAATGCCTCCGTCCTTGCCTAGTTCACTGTCTTTCAGGTGTGACATGCGCTGCACTGGTTGCCGAAACTGCGAGTTTTGAGGTCGCCTTGACATGGGATGGCTCCTGTTGGGCGACCAGAACACAGTTGGTCCCTTCTGCTCGTGAGTCGCCGCCTTCACTAACCCGAGACCTTGTCTTTCGTTCTTGTTCTTCTTTCTTTCGTTGTCATGACCAGCTGAGCCATGTAGAATGCAGAACGACACCTCCCTCTCTCGTGCGAAGTCTTCCCGGTGTAAGATTTCGTTTAATCCGAAACAGATACTGTCAAAGCCAGGTGCTCAAGGACACCAGCACCGAGCGGATGTTGAGCCTTAGTCTCCGATGCTAAGCACGGTTCCGTACAGAGAAGTCAAATTCCAACAAGCTGTACTTTGCTCACACATTCGGCGCTTTTTGGTGCTTTGAGGAGCTGCAGGCGGGGAACAGGTTGCTCTGGCGGCGCAGGTCGAGCGAGGTCTTTGTTGGTCCTCCGTTCTGTCCGTTCCGTGTCAGTCGTCTCACCATAGCCATGGACTCAGCGTGCCATTCTGTGTCCCGGCCACAAGCACAGAGTCCACGCTTGCACGGAGGCTTGGGCTTGCCATTCTGAGCACCGGGTGAGGCGGCTCGGACTGGCAATGCCCAGCTGTCCGCGACCAGGACAGCACAGACCTCTCAGAGATGCGACGTCGTGGTTGGCCAACAGCGCCATTACATCGCAAATCGGCCACGGGCAAAGACCCTCCCCTGCCTGTGAGCAGTGCTATTTTTCCTAAGACCCTCTCTTCTGCATATGGCCCTGGAGGCACATGGCACCTGCAAGGCTCGACCTTTCCTAATCTATTGTAGTTTGATGGGTAGAGGAAGGCCAAACTAAACGAATTTGCTTTGAAATCCAAGTCAAGAAATTCTGATCTGCTTTCGGCTATGCACAGAGAGGCTGGAGTAGCTGAGCTCTGAAGCCTGAAGGGGCGTCACACATTTTTCCACTTTGCAGTTCACCCCGTCAGCGCTGGAGCTCGGGGAGAGTGTGGATCGTGCAGGCTGCATCCGCCAGCCGCCAGCATGGCTTTAACCGTAGAATACCGCTCTTCGTGACGACGTCGGGCTACCACGAACCTCAGGCGCGGTGCCTAACAGTCAAACGGTGAAGTTACTAAGCAGCGAGGTAAAATTGCTACCCAGTAACCGAATACCCGTCGTTGACGACATCAGGCAGTAAGGTGAAGTGAGTTAGTCGACCCCGTTGCAGGAGTTTCGGCCACGGCACCGCAAGCTCTTGCAGCAAGCCGCACGGACCGTCGCTGTAGGAGGCGTGGAGGATTGAAAGCACTGCAGGCCTGCCATCACCTGCAATTTGCATCTGGCAGATGCAACTATAAACACACACATACAACAACGGATAATGCGGATACACAAAAACACCCGAGCTAGGGTTCCGAAAGCCTTTAGAGCAGCGAGGTGACACGGAACATCCAGGAAGCAGTTTGGCCGTGCTCCTTAATCATGCCAATACATGAGAGAAGCATGGCGGTCATGTCTCCGCGCAAAGGCGCAAGCATTTGGCCTTGGTCCTGAATCCCAGCAGGACATTGGGGGAAGCATGAGCAGCAGGGGAACAGTTCAAAGGAGACCGACATCCCTCCTCCAGAGGGCATCTGCTGCTTCCGAAACGAAGGCCACGCCCTCAAGCCTCACTGCGCACGGTGTCCAAGTTAGCATGTCAGAGCCGCAAATGCTAAACTGACGGTACACAGAGACGTGCTGCCGGCGCAGGTTGGGGTTTCTAGTTTTGCCCGCAGGCCAAAGGTCGCCTCCAATTTGCCCACAGCTTCCATCATAGACAACGTCTGCTTTCCGCTTTCGTACATAAACGCACTACCTATACATGCCGACTTGCTCGTCGGGTCCCGCGTGCATACACAAGGAATACACAAACAGAAAAAGGCACGCAGCTTGGTAGACTGTAGACCCAGCTCAACGGACTACGACCCAACACCACACTGCCTACAGCATGGATTTTGATTTCATGTCCCTAGAGCCATTCAATATCCCGAGATCGAAGCTGCTGTTCGATCCAGACTCAGCATCACACCTTCTTCGGGGACTCCATGTCGCCCACCAGACTCGCGCGTTCACGGGTACAGCCGCGCAGCCTCGCATGCTATTTGGTGAAAAGCGCCGTCAAACGTGCCACCGCTTCCACCGAGTTGCTGATGCTCGCCCCAGTTCCTCCAGAAGCTTCGCAGCCGTGCCATGATGCCCACCTGACAAACCATCCGAGAAGCCATGATTGGAGGGTCCTGGTCCTGGCAATGGTGTCCCTCAGCACTGCATTCCGCGAAGGCATGCCTTGCTGCACTGCCTGGAGACGCAATGCCACCACCTCCCAAAGCAGAAGTCGCAGACTCCAGTCTCCAGACTTACAGCAAGGCATGAAAGGAAAGAAATGTGCAGAAAAGACAAGAACAAATAGTCACAAAGCTCACATCTACGTCTCCCCTTTGATGACGGACCTGGACAAGCAAACCTAAGATCATGCAGGAGACTGTCAACATGCTTGACTTGTGTGGTCGAACCAAGAAAACCCTTTACAATCTCAGACAGAGACGACAGAGTGTTTACCCATCTTGCCCCAACTGGCTCTTGACCGTCCTAGTCCTAGCATGTCCTGCCGCCCGTACGAAAAGGCCTCATGGCATCTCAAGGGTGAACTTTTTATGGCCGCACCGCCATGCCCGCGCAGACTTCGACGCAGCGGAGGAAATCATATACCAGGCCTGCATGAAGCCATCAAGTCCGGACAGACAATCGATTTACAGGCCCGGTCTCTGTGCGTGTGTCAGATACACCCACCGCAAACTTGCGGTAGTACAGCTGACATCTCTCGGCGTGGCGACATTGCGCTTGCCAGCGAGTCCGAGGCAAGCGTATCATAGCGTATCCGTTCGCACAGGCCCGGCTAAAGAGCTCTGGGCGCTCTTCGAGCTCATCGGTCTCTGGCTTCAAAACGGAACACACGGCGGTTTTACTTAGTTACTTGTCAGATTTCAGTGTACTTCCCGTATCTCGAGAGCTTCGGACACCGGCACGCTGCGCGTGAAGGTTCAACGGAAACTGCCCTCGCCTCCGAGGCGAAGGCCCCAGAACGCAGGGCCCACGGCCCGGGCTCCTTCCAGAAAGTCTAAGAAAGCTCTTAGCGTCTTAGCCTCAGCCTTGACGGCCTTATAAGGCCTTTTCTGAAAACACGGTCGGGGCACCAAGGGCATCAGATGGACCACCCAAGAAGCACACTTGTCTCAGGCTCTTGGCATCCGGAGACGTGCAGGTACAAAGCCCGACCCTGCCAACAGCCAGAGCCGACGGCCTCAACGCATTTGAGCATAAGGCGGCGCCTATGGAATACGTGTGAGGCCTGCCTCGGACAGCTTGCTCGCAGGGAAGGCTTCTAACATGTGGAACGTGAAAGGGTTGCGACCTTTGGAAACGCGTCGCTGTATCGCGGCATGTGGTCAGGTTTTGGTGGATTTCGACATGCCCTTCTCCACCATGTCGTGAAGAGCAAACAGACACGGTCCACACTGCAACCTAATCACTGCCTAAGCTTTCGGCATATTTCGACAGGCTGGATTCGGCTGGATGCATAGCCTCCGTGTCTGCTTCTCCACACATGTGAGCGCCTGGACTCCTCAGCAGTGCCCTCCACGAACGAATATGCAACATTCGTAATTCTTAAAGAGGGTATATAAGCCTTGGCCCTCTACTACAAGTGGAAGGCACCAGAGTGCTCGGATTTGCCGCTCAATACCCAGGTTGAGCACAATGACAAGCAATGCCTGACTAGTCCAGCTTCAACCGCTCACGGCACTAGACGTGCAGGTCCGCTTGCTTCAAAAAAGCCGCATCAAGCCACAAATCGAGTCTTGCCATCAAAACTATGCAGCGGCATCTGCAACATCGGCCTCCACGGCACAGCACACGTGAGACATGGATGGGATAGCTCAGCCGCATGCTGGGTGTTCCACATGTGGGAAGACTTTCGACACATCACGTTCATCCAAGCAAGAGCTCAACGAGACGCATACACACGAACATGCTGTCACCATCCTCAAAATATTCTCAGGCGAGTCGACGTAGCACTCGTGATGCATCATGAGTAGGAGAACAGAAAAAAGGCAGACCTACAGTGGAGCCTGCAAAGCTTGGCAAAGCTCTCTCTTCTGTGCGAATTTCACAAGATTGAGGTTGAACTCGAGGCTGTCCCTACAGCATCGAGTTTGGAGCCGGTGGGGAAGTGCCTACCAGTTTTCTTGACGTGCTATCTTTCTCTCAGATTCACCCAATTCCTGGACCCCACGGTCAGGGCTAGGGCCATCACGACGATGAACACATATGAACACGAGAAAATCAACCGCGCCAGAGCGCCGGATCAATCCAAACCAACTCACCAAATACAGGACACACGTCGCAAAACAGCGACGAGTCAGGAAAAGAAAGAACTACAGCACTTGAGGAACTCCCAACGCCCAAACAACAAACAAGGCCAGCAAGAAGCTGCGTCCTGAACACCCAACCCGAAAGCTTCGTAGACGTTGCTTGGGATACACATAAGCGGTTGCCCAAGCTCAATGGTTTCCCCGTACATCACAGTACAGTCCCCAGTTCCTAGCCATTTCCACCGACTTCTTTAGACCGGGTGATTTCTCTAGGGTTTCTCAGATCTATACAAGTCGGACTTCGTGAGACTGGGAAAAAATTACGCGGCTTTCCCCAGACAATGTCCAAGTCTATCCAGACATGCCAAAGCTTTATACTTGACAAAGCTTTATACTCAAGGCTTCCATACACTGCTGGTCGCGTTTGTTAGGCTTGATATTGAAACTTCAAGACTTGCGGAGAGATCCGAAGATGTCCTTGAATGCGTTCGGTGTTCTCAGGAGCCCCCAGCATTCTTGTATGAGCTTCTGTGTTTCGAGAAATTCGAGTTTATTATCATAAAGTGCGTTGCATGTCTTGAGATGTGGATGCCTGTCGAACTCTTTACGTCGCATGTGTGTTCTCCAGGCTTCTATAGATTTCACCTGGCGATTTTTTCGGGTTTCTCTTTCTTCCTCCCACTTTCTTCACATCTCGGTGGATACCTAGTCCTGTGTCGTGAGTTACTCGTCTAAGCGACTTCTGATTTATGCGGATTCCTCCTGGTCCTAACCCAGATTCTCTACTACAACAGATTTAAACTTCGCAGGAATACCCTGGGCGAAAGGCTCGGCTTCCATGGTTTTCCACTGTTCTGCATGATTTGTCGGATCTCGCTCGCCCGGAGCGCTTCCCGAGCCTTGCCCAAAAGCTGACTCCATGTTGCTACTCATCTACGACGCCACCCCGACTCATTCTGTACCAGGATCAACGGCAATATACAGGGCAATCTTCCAACCTGGCTCACAAGGCAAAGCATGCCACACGTGGCTGAAGCCACAATACGACGCAGCAGGCCGGTATGGGACTGCTCCCCAGCCGCTGCGCATTCATACAGGGTCTTTTGCAGCAGCTGCTTTGCAGAACATGGCTCTTGCCTCCTATATAAATGTGGGTATGCTGAAGACGCCGGAAACAAGGTGAAGGATTCACTGGCTGACAAAGAAGCAGTCCCGTGCGGCCACTGCACCAACGACAATCTGGACACGCCCGGTTACGGCCCTCCGGAATGCGCTTAGACTAATGAATCAACATGTGGAGCATGTTTCTTCAACTTGCTCCACAACCACCAACAGTCAAGCTCGCAATTGCAGTTTCGAGCAATGGCACGGCCAGCTCAGTGACAGAATGGAGCCGACAAACTCGAAACACTCTTCGCATTGCTTCACCATGGCGCCTCGGACGTTCAGCGGCTGCAGTATGCCAGTATACGGCTGCAAGCATGAACAGACTTAGGCCTTGCTTCACCCGGCCGTGAGACAGAGAGAGAGAGAGAGAGATGCCGACACGCCCACACCCAAGACAGAAAGACGGAACGACAGCATGAAGGGGAGCGATATCGTCCCTCCTGTCTTTACACTTGCACCAGAGTTTCGGTGATTCTGCGTCATCGCTCGAAGATTGCGTCGGGCAAGCATCTCCTTCCTAAGCTGGAAGCTTCACATTCTACAATAATTATCTGCATGTCAGTGCTGACTTCATCGCCCAAGAACTGCACAGCTGATGTCAGTCCAAAAATGTCCCAGGTGCTTGCCGGTGACATCAACCGAGCTCAGTATTCTTGGAAACATCTTTTCCTCCAGAAACATCATCCAACGGCAGAACCGTGGACAACTTCCTGAAGTTCTATTCAAGAGCTACTCAGCAAATGCACCTCGCGGCCGTGTGTCTTCACTGCAAGGACTGGCACTTCGCAGTTCAGCGCCTGGCGAAGTACTCTGACAAATCCTAATCTGGTTTGGGCGCGCGGCGCCGGCAGATGTATCAGTCTCTTGAAACTCTGGACACTCAAGACATCTTTTGGCAGGTGTGGTAACGCATTCAGGGGCTGCAAAAAGCCTGCATACGGTCTCAACAAGGAAGTCTCTTCGAAATATCTGAGAAAGATCTTCTAGCAGCAATTGGAGACTGCTGGAACTCAACAGCAGGGAAACAAAGCTTGTTGGACGCTTGTTACTACCTTCCTGACGTCCCGCTCCGTCCCGGAGTCCAGCTCAGCAATATCAAATTTGTTCATGATGATTTGGTCCAAACAACTTCCCGAGACTTGCCCATGACTCTGCAGAAGGCTTTTATAGACCTCATGTTGCACTCTTGGGCGCTCAGAAGACACAAGCTGACCTCCCGGCCCTGCCCACTGAGCTCTGCTCGACGCCTCGTTGAACTTCACGCACCGCGGCGTGCGACAGCTTTTCGCTGAGGAGCCGGAGGAGCCAGGAGAAGCGAAGGCAAAGTCGATGACCTGGCTGACCCGCACGGCTTTCAGCCACGGCTTCTGCGTTTCTTTACTGTGCCTCTGGAGAACCAGCTCTGGCAGACATGCGGCCAGCACATCTCCTGCAGCGGCTGCGAGCAAAGCATCTCGTCTCACGACTGCTCCAACATGGCCTCAGCAGCCTACAACTTCTGGCGAGATGGCCGGGAGGAGACCGCTCTACACGCAGGACTTGCCCCTTACGAACCACACTCGCGGCCCTGGAAGTCGTGCTGCCAGTGCAACGAGAGACGACTGCATCTGAAGATCGGGCCCGAAGAGGCCGTCTCAACTGAACTGACTGGTCGGACACTGGCTCAAACCATGGCAGCACTACGATGTTGCCTGCAATCTGCAGTCCTGTGGATGACACTTCGGGCCGGTCTCTTCTTATCAGGCGATAGCGGCCGCAGGGACTTGCATGCCTCACCCCCATGCTTCTGATTAACCGAATGTGGGCATCCACAAAGTCTGAGCTGATGGCCGCATCTCCTTTGTGATCATCTGCGAGGTTTCGGAGAGAGGCTGGCAACCTCCGTAGGCGGTGAGTCGTCGACCCAGGTCATCCACTCACAATTAAAATCAATTAAACAACACAGCGACAAAAGCCAAAGGAAGACAAGGTTCCAGCAACAAGTCTAAACATGACACTGTCCCACGACTCTCCAACCTCAGCTCAGCCGAGCTGTCTCTGAAGCATTTCGCCGTCAGCCGCCACTTCAGGTTCCTTTGGCTAGGCGAGAAGCCGCAAGAATTGCAAGGACATCGCGTGTCTCGGTTTCTGATGGCTGGGCACTGAAGGCGCGCGCAGTGAACGGAGCCCAGGTCTGCCGAACGCGAATGACCGTGAGGCACCTTGCTGCACCAGAACATGCTGTTGAAACGAGCTTTTGACTCTGTTCCCTCAAACTGAAGCAGCGGAAACGCTGCTAAGCACAGGATGGAGCCAGATCCAAACTGCCAGAGCACCAGGAGCTTGAGTCGCTCCGCACAGCGGCAGTTTTCTCCAGGATGGTGCAACTTGCCTCGGCCAAACCAGAGCATGCACCAGGGCTGGCGGCCAAGAGCTTCACCCCAGCACTGCCAAGCACTAGGGCTGAGCTGCGCGGGCACGGGTGCGGAATTGGTCGGTCCAGCAGATCAGCCATGCGGCCTCACGACAGCACGAAGGCATCCTGCAATTGTACATTGACAGTTTGGGCAGGCGTGGATGCCAGGATTTCCCCGGGCCTCTGAATGACGCTAGACTCCCCTCCCTTCCTGCACCGTGCTGAGAAGCTCTTCACACCTCCCCTGCATTTGACCCTCTAAATGCCATTCGCATAGCAGCTCGAAGATGCATAGACACCACAACTCCCGAGCAACTATTCAATATCTTTACCTGAACCACGAACGTGCCTTCTCGAGCACTCAGGCCCAAGGCATCAATTGTGCGCCATGCACTGAGCCAAATGGTCTACGGACACAAGCAGAAATTCGATTTCAAGACATGTGCTCGTCAACTGAGATATGTGCGTCTACTGCGGGATCACTGTGGCCTCTGCTACAGTTCCTTTGTGCTCCGGCACCGTGCTAGCGACAAGGACTTGCCTGAGTTTGACAGCCACCCCGTGCACACCGATCTGGCAGCGAAGGTTTGCAGTCCGAAGAAGCTCTGCCATGCGCCAAGTTGCCACTGGCTTCCCAAGTAGAAGGCCCCCATGGCGGAGACGTGACTTACCTTGCTCCGTGCAGAGAAATGCCTCTCCGTCCGTCTGACATCAGCCAAGATGCAATATCTGCCTCTAGTGCTGCCGCAGCCAGCAATGCCTGAAGCCTCGCGGAGAGTTTCGGTGCATTTCAACGAACAACACCATGATATCTGCAATCCACGCTGCCCCAACGCCAACTGCCAGGCTCGGGCAGTCCGCGCTGCATCCTTTGAGATCGAGTCTGGCCATTCACCAGAAACTATGGGTGAAACAGCGATCCAGCTCACTGAAACAACCATATTCCAAAAACTATGCGCTGGCCAACTTCGAGCTCCGGTCCAGAACAGCATTGAAGCTCACCTGGGATGCTGAAGGGGAACACTAACCGTCAAAAGATGGACGGTGACAAGATCTAGAATCTAGTCGTGTGTTTTGCACAACACGGAGGTCCGATGCCTCCTGTCTTGCATCTCATGGTCGGCCCCTACGACCCTACGATATTCATATGGAAGAGATGCAACCGGCAAGCTGGAGAATCTAAGCAGCGCTTGCGCGAGATAGGTCTGCAGTCGGGCCACGATGTTCTGTTGCAGCTGCTCGGCTCCAAACAGCTCAACCAACAAGGCGAGCGCGTGCTGCCACTGCAAAGCTTTTGCACAAACCTCATCACCGGCAAAGGCCCTTTCATGTATGAGCACGAAAAAGAAAACTTAGACGTGGTGCCAAAGCCAGGGGACATTGATCAGCGCATTCGCACAAAAAGTATCCACAGCACTGTCGCGCCTGGCTGCGCCTGCATCCAAAGACAGCTCCCTTGCACACGGCTAGAGTGTTTTCTTTGCTGTCGTTGTGGGGCGCATTTTTGTTTTGCTGTCGTTGCGGGGGCGCCGTTTTGCTGTCGTCCGCCGGAGCGCGTTTTGGTTTTGCCTGTCGTTGCGGGCACGCGTTTTTCTGGCTGTTACCGTTTTGGGATAGGGAACCCGTGTTGTTTTTGCTGTCGTTGCTTTATGCTGTTTTGGCTCTCGTTGCACGGACCCAGGAAGCCAGCGAGTTTTTTTGTCGCTGTTGTCCCCCCGGGGCCCGATTTATTGATGCTGTCGTTGCAGGGGCGCTTTGTTTGTTGCTGTCGTTGCAGTCCGCGGCGTTTTTGTTCTTGCTGTCGTTGCGCTTCCCGATGAGGGATTCGTTCACTCCCCGGCTTCCGGTCCGCACAACGAGAACACAAACAACATAAAGCGACGACAGCAACAAAATACAACACTGGTTCACCTTACAGAGTCAACTGATCCAGATGCTCCACTCGCGTCGCCATCGAGACGAGCCCGGTATGCTGGGAAGTGCAAACCCTTGAAGCCCGAGCCTAGGAGCTGTAGAGCCTGCTGCCAAGGCTTCGGCGGCTGCTGCCAATCGACCCTGTCGCAAAGGTTCAGCAAGGACGCATATGCGTGAGCACCTGCGACGGGAGCTTTGCAGATGACAGGCGCACATGCAAAGCCGGAAACGCTCAGGCAAAGAAAAACTGCGGCTGGGCGCTTCGTCGCGAATTCGGCTGCATGAGGAGCTGTATGGCTGCATCCCAACCAGTGGCAAAAGCATCCAAGGCCTCAACACACGGCGCATTCACGTGACCTTGCGCGGTCACACATGTAGACCATGGAGCCATGGAAAGCCAAAGACATTTATTAGCATCTGCGATGCCGGCACACCGTGAGCCCTCTTGCTGAAGTGAGTTGTGCACCCGACATTGACCCACTTGGAAGCTCCTTGCTTGGCACATTGCCGCGACAAGGGATTCATGGGCCCGATAAGACAATTATAGATGCAGATATGCATGCGCACATATGTACATATTTGTTGGCTCCCGCTTGGCTGATCCGAAGACCGCATTGCAAGTCACACTTGGGACACGGGTTTGGAAGGACTCGCAGCTTCGGTTGCCTTCCAGTATGTATATATATATATATATATATATATATTGATATAGATATGTATACATATATATATATACATACATATATATATATATATATCTGTATGTATTTACATAATTATGTGAATTATGTGTTTATCTTATATTCTATTTAACAGGCGTTTCCGCCAAACAGGCGGACAATTTCTTCATATGTTTCAGAGTTTGGATCATCACTCGCCGAGTCTTTGGAGGTCTTGCATGGGCAGGGGGGCATTGTCTACTCCCAATGCCCCAGTTTTTGCGTGTGTTGTTTCCGGAAAGCACCGACGCGATGAACATCGATGAGCAGTGATGCAGAGGTCGTCACTGTGGATGACCAGCACATGCGAAGCCTTCCTGTCGCTTGGATTGCTTGGCCCTCACCCTGCCCCGAATCTGAAGTGCTGTCGAAGGAGCACTTGCATAACTAGTCTCATCAGGCACCAGTGCAACTTGCAGCGTACTTTGCCTCGGTAGCGAAGCGACGTCAAGGCCCTAGACTCCAGACCCTTGCCGGTTTCCAGAATTAGCAGGGACACTGTCAGCACGGGGTGGGATCCTAATCAAAAGCCGAAGTTGCAAAAGGTGAACCGACAGCTGCCAGTCGAAGCCCATCGAGCCCTCAGCTTGGACAGGCGCCCTTCCCAACAAGCTGGAGCATCGGCTTGTCGTGACCGCGAGAGAATAATTAAACAGGAGCCCGCCGACTGCAACGCCAGCAACAACCGAATTCTAGAGCACGCTGCCGGCCAGAACATGGCATGCGGTCGCATTTTGCAGCAGAGCCTTGTGGCATCCCACGTAAAAAAGCCAGTGCCTGCTGTTACAACCCATCGGTTCCAAGAAAAGGTGTGCATCAAAACGACAGCGAAGAAGCAAAAGCACGCTTAGCACACAGCGGAACAAGCAGCAGCAGCGGCGGCAGGGGTGAACTCAGACATATGCTGCATATGCTCTCCACAGCATCACCCAAGATCCTTTTAGTCTCTTCAGTTCATGCCATCCGAAAAACATGCCCAAATGGCCATGCTTCCTTGAACAGGCAGCGGCTATACAGAGCTGCATCGCTTCGGACTGCGCGAAGGTGGAGGCTGGCTAACAGCCGGACCTGGAAGATTCGCACATGATTGGACACGTCTCGGCCACCCTGTCACACACCGAACACATGCCGCCGTGCCACCGTCTGCTCCCATACCTGATGCGCTAATCGGCTGACTACTTTGCCGTCCACGAGCGAGATTGGCCCCGCCATGTAATTGAGCTCCTACTTGCTTCCACGCTGCCCGGCTTCTCGTGCAAGCCCCAAGCATGGAATCGCAGCTGATGACATCCTGGAAATGAACATGTTGATTCCATTTAACTGATCGAGGGCGGTGTCTTTCCCGGCGATGGCCAGCAGCTAGCAACCAGTCCAGCGGCTCGTCCTGCTGCACCGCAGCTGCTGCGGAACTGGCCAGCAAGGAAGAAGCCGATGCCCAGCAACCAGGGCCCTGCCTCGTCAAAAACACCAATACCCCGCTGAATCGGCTAGTTCTCGCACAAGCCTGACATGCCACAGCTGACTCCAGACTGTCTCCACAAGTTGAGCTGCAAAGCGCTTGCTGCAGAATTGAAGGTGATGATGTCTCTCCGGACTCGCCTGGGCGGGAGGTTCAAGACTTGATGCAAGAAGTAGCGAACGAATGCGCCACGCAATGGTCAAATCTTGAAGTGGCTACATTCAAAAAGCATCTTATGCAAGAGCATCCAACTCAGTTCAACAAGAGGGCAGAATGACAGTTGCATGTCTTCCAATTAAAGACGTCGAGGCCTGGCCGTGTGACGAAGTAGTGACAATGCTTCCCTCCATGGTGGCGAGAAGGACAGCGCCTAGGTTCGGTTTCAAGATCTTGGGAGCTTGCCAAACAGGCCGACTTCAACGGCATAAACCTACATTCCGCTTGGTGGCAGCATTGTAGGCGGTCACTCCTGCAAGGAGGCCGAGGTTGTCACAGGAACCTGGATGGCTCACAGTGAGACTGCGGCATCGCGGAAAAGTGCTCTCGGACGTGGCACGAAGAGTCGTCAAAGCTGAATGCCACTTGCCTTGAGAGAACAACATCACCACGCCAGCTCACAATCCTTCCAGACCCAAACAGGAATGAAATGAACAAGCGGCGGGTTGACGCCACTGCTGCACCAATGGCGACCTGTGCAACTTTAAGAGACTAGAAGACGCTGAGCGCCACAATATTCTTCAGCCTCTCGCGGCCTGGTCGAGCACTATGCGCTTCTTGAGAGCGGCTCCCAGCAAGGCCAGGCCGCTGCTTTCACTTTGGCGGCGCACACCAGCGCCAGCCTCGAAGCTTTCGCTTTGGCGGCGAACTCCGTGCCGGTTCGTGCATCCCAGGCATCGTCCTGGATGGCCAGCGTGTACGTGATGGCGTCGCTACGCACGGCCGCAAAATCGGAGGCCTGCAGGGCACAGATCGCACTCGTCGCACTCACCCATCCCTGGGGCCCTCTGGCCACAGGGGCGTTGCCTTGAGCCAGTTCAAAGCCAAACTCCAGCTGTTGCGGGAGCCGCAAGCCTGTGCAGGATACAGCAACAATGCGCTGCCAGGTGGGACCACCTCATAACATTGACATCAAAGACATGCCCGCATCACCACATCTATCTGCAACCAGCCCTGCATTCTGCCGTCATACTGTTGCGGCAGTGAGGCGCAAGAACCAGCTTGCGAAAGCCCAGCGTGTGCGTCTTTACACCGGCCTGCCTTCACAACCGCATTCAAGCTGACCTGGATCCACTTCCGGGTCTAGGTTGTCTCTATCGGACTGCCAACGTCAATGGTCAGCAGACTCAACAAGCGAAAAAGTCCGCGGCCGTGTCAGGCTGTGCAGGAGCGGCTGCTGCAAGCTCAAATAGCCAAGCACATAGAGACCTTGAAATTGGGATGTGATGAGATGGGATGAGCTTCATCATGACAATCAACACGCAAGGTGCGAGGAAGCTTTCCAAAGAGCGGAGTGACCCTCAACATCCATCCATCCATCCATCCATGCATGCATGCATGCATGCATGCATCCATCCATCCATCCATCCGGCAAGGTGCCATCTGCAAGCAGAGGCGCAAGCCGCGATGGCGGCATTGAAGCCTTACGGCCAGGGAGCGGCTTGGAATCTGCCGGGTTAGGAGATGCTTACGGAACAGAAGACGACTTACACATGAACTCGCCTCGCTATACTGTAGCAGCCCTGCACACTTGAAAAGAAGAACTTCTCTTTGTCTCCCAGGTCCCGGCCCCGCCCTCCAACGAACCTAGACAGAATTGGCACCAAGGGTACCAAATGCAGGGCGAGGAAGGTTCGTGCTCCTCACGCAAAGACGATGTGTCCCGAAGTAAACCAGCGCAGGTAGTGCAAGACACGCCAGGTGGCATTCGACTCCGCAACGTAGGCGACCCTTCCTATAGCTTACGGGTAGGCGCGCAGCTCTGTTGAAACGTGCAGAGTCGAGTGTCGACCTTCGCATGCAGAAGCTCCTCAGAGAGCAAAGATCCGGAAAGACTCAAGGGAGAGAAGTGACAATCTGCTTCTTCAGAATGCGATGCAACCGAAATGCCGACAGGAGTAAAACAAAACCTGTGTGGACAGGTTTGCAAATTTTGGCGTGCTGCCCGAAGTAGATGCCAGTATGCCTGTGCTGTCGCCTTTGCATCTGAGCAGCACTGAAGAATGGAATGAATGCAAGGGCGACACTCAATTTGGTCAGCACTCTCAGTCGTGTTCCTGCATCAGCCGCGCAACATGCTTTTCGTGCAGGTTCTTGAGAAGTGATTAAACAGCTTAATCCTGCACAGCATGTTTTGGAGTATGTAAAGGGGCGGGAGGGGAGGGGAAGCACCTCGCATAAGGCATGGTGACGATCAGAGCTGTCGGTCACCCACCCAGGACTCATCAACCATGCCCTGCAGCAGTAAGAACTGTAAGCCTGGATGTATAACAACAATTCTTCGATTGCACCGTATGCCGTACGTCTTGTGTTGATTCTTTCGGACTTCGATAAGACCCAGAGATCGCCTGCATCGTGCCACATACACGGCTTGATGCTTGTCCAAGTTGCTGAAGTTGTCTTTGCTCGGCATCTCCTCATGGCGGAAGATGTCTGATTCTGACAGATAAGCACGTGCTGGGCATGCGAAGAACATGGTATGCACCGTCATGCACAAAATGCCACGACCTCCAGGCAAAGCAGCGCCAGCTGCCAGCGCCCGAGCTTGGAGCCTCAAGCTGCCAATACCATCAGCACAACGCAGCACTCGCGGCACCAAGGCCGTCATTCATCAAGGGCACATCTGGCCAAAACCGCATTGCGGCGTCGGAGCGTCCCATCCAAACCTTCACGACAAGATCTCGCCGGTTCCAGGCTGAAGATGCATGGCTTCGTGCCAGCACATCACGGCTATGGTTTGGACACTCGCAATGCTCTGCAGTTCAACTGAATGTCGTACATGCTGCGCTAGAGCCTGGTAGAGCCTGCTGGGCCTTGCAAGCTGGTGTGGCCTCCCGTCTCGGCAGGCTTCGAGCGCATCGAGCGCTCGCAGCGGCAACTTGACGGGAAGTCATGGCTCGAATGTGCTCTCGGCCGTTAGCCGAGTCCACTCCGTCATGCTGATCGAGGCAGGGAAATGTGGCTTCAGTTTTGCTGATCGAGACTAACATAGGAGCATTGAAGCCCAGCAAGCATCCTACACAGAGCTTGTCACCAGAGCGTGTCTGCGTAAAACTGTCCATGCAGCCCAGGCCGTGCAAGCAGGCAAGCAGTGCAAACTCCCACCTCAGGCTCAGGAATTGTGCAGTAACAAACTTCCAACTTCCAGCTGCGGTTTGCACACGGATAGGGGTGGCAACCTCCGTGCAGCGTGAGGTTCCGCATGCAATCGAAGATCCTGGGTGGCGGTTTCAAGAACACCCCCGCCAAAGACGTGCATGTGTTAAGAAGTCCAACAAATACTGCCTCTGGAGTTGTTCAAAAAACTTGTTAGGAGTTGCGTTGCAGGTTAGCAACGATTAGCCTCCACCCTTAACACCCTGGTTCATCAGCATGAGAAGCTTGCGAAGCGTGTGCAGGAGTTGCCAAGCGGCTCGGGCTTCTGCTGGCCTGTGCAGTGAACGCCGTCACCCTGAAAGACGACGATTGCATTTTGCACCTAGCGCTCGCTCAGTTCGCGTAGTTGACAAGCATTCCACTTCGGAGCGTAGCTCCCGCTTCATGATGCATGAAATCTTGAGATCTTTGCGCTTCGAACGGCTTGCGATCTCCAGCCTCGTTGCAGTTCAGTTTCCGGAGAAATGACAAGTCCTATCGCGAGGCGAAGCTCATATCCGACTCCGACACGGCATGCAAACACAAGCTCGTCGTTGTTGGCTGTCACACAACACTTTGGCACACCCTCTCAGCCGCACTGCCTGTTGCCTTGATTGCTAAGGCTTGTCGCGATGCGGGGCTAGATTAGATGCACCACTGTCCTCGGCGGACATCTGGGACTGCACCCGGCATGATGTGTCCGTCCACCTCATATCAAACGTGAGTCAAAACTGCAGAACAAATCCGCTCTCCACACGCTTGAAGCCCGAGTGGGAAGCTCAAAGGTGGACGAAAGAACAGGCAGCATCACCTCGGGCGAACTGCCGGCACCCGCCCCTGAAGACTTTAGATGTACGGCTTTGAAGGAAGCTGAGTGCTAGGCCAAGCAGAGGAGTCGCATCTTGCAGCCGCCACCCTGCGACGAGAAAGCGACGGCGACCACAACTCGCATCGCTTGGTGCTCCGCCTCGGCTCTGCCTCCACCCGCCTCGTTGCAGCTCACGCCACAAGCCCTCCGTACGCGGCCCCTTGAGGCCTCGCAGAAGCCTCGCTGCAGCCCTGGCTGGACCTGAGCTTGAACAACGATAACAGCCCGCTTTAATCTTGCCCGAGACTGCGAAACCACATACCCGAGCGACATCTACCAACCTAATTCCGTTTCTTGCCATGCTGCCCACGTCTGATTGCTGCAGGAGCCATGCGATTCGCATTGGCTCTGAGATGGTGGAGATGAGCTGCGGCAATGCATCATCGATGGGCTCTCTGCTGACGAGCACATGGTCCACCATTGAGAAGAGAAAGTGCAAAGACCATGTTCTGTTGTCGATGTCTTATGCCCGGCGGTGCTTTATCCTCGTTGGGCTACGTTTCATATGCCATTTCCCTTGGCATCTCTCCAGGCCAAGAAAGAGCTTGCCACCGCCTCCTGTTTGTCCGGGTTCATGCTTGGTTGGTGCGGCACTTCGTGACCCTTGAACTCGTTCCTGTATTGTTCGGAGGCCGGTCTCAGGCGAGTTCTGCTCATTTTTCTTCTGGGCATGCTGCTCTGCCCTCTAGCTCAGCACGGCGGTCGGAAGTCCTGTCTCCACATCGACGAATATGAATACGACTGCGCAAGGCTTGAACTGACACCTAACCTAGCCATTTAGTCTGGGCTCTCCTGGCGGCAATTGCAGACTGGACCTTCCTTCGGTAGGCTGGTGAACCACGGCATCAGGCATTCGCAAGAGAGCATAGTCTTCTTGATGGCATGTCCACAAAAGGTCATGCAGCGGATAACCTGTGGTGGCACTGGACATACATCCAGGACTCATCACCAACATTGCGGGTACTATGTACAGATACAGACACAGCGCAGGGCTGTGCCTGAGGCACCAAGAAGCGGGCAGACACTGCTTAGAGTTTCTTGTCCAACGAATACTTTTAGGTCATTTTAGGTCGCTGCCTGGTGCAAAGCAAACTCAATCTTGCAGAAATTGCCATCGGGGCTTCGTGAAAACAAGAACAAAACAGCAGGAATGCCACCGTTGCAACTACAACATGACATGCAAAGGAATACAATCAGTTACAATCATGATACGTAGGGAAGCCGTCCGAGTCGAGGCAAGCTGAAGATGCTCTGACAGTGGCCGTGGCTCCGTTTTTGAAGTCTGCCGAAGCACCTCGTCCTTCACAGCTCGTGGCTGCTTCCTGCAGCCTGTCCGGAGATGGTGTGTTCTGCCAGGTGCTGCCGCTGCAGCTCAAGGCTCACGCGGCATGCTTGACATCGTCATGTACCCAACGAAGAAACCAACCGCTGGTACGAGTATGTGCTTCTGAAGGAAGCCGCAGGCACAGCACCTGAATGAAACTTGCGCACAAGAGCTGGAACGCATTGCTCAGTTCACCACCACCTGAGTTCAACACAAAAGTGGAGGGGCGCTCTTGCGGACCAATTGAGGTGTTGGTTACCGGCAAGCAGGCTTCGGCTCTGCATATCACCGGGTATGTGCTACAATATACATAGGAAATAATAAGCACCGGACCAAGTCGTCTTGTTCAGTGATCTCATCCAGGCTGCCACAGTACGTCGGTTGCCTTCACCGTGTTTTGAAGTGCTGCGATACTGAGGAACGAAAGAAAAACGTGACTCAAGTGTGCGGGCTCACTACGGCTACGACACTTTGGCACTCAGATGGACTGCAATCTGCACTAATCGTTCCGACTTGGGCGGAGCCGTCCTTTCCAATACTTCGAAGACCTGCTCGCGCGGCCCTGGCACACACCAGAAACTAGCCGCTGTAGTGCGAAAGTGCAAGCAATCTCTGAGCAGCTGTGAGCTAGAAACCCAGTGAAATTGATTGCACGGTGAACATCGGTGAACTGACAAGCTGCCAGATCTGCAAGGGAGCATTTCTGTGGCCTGCAGACGATACCCACCAGTGTGCCATGACATGGTGTGACCCGGCTGCTTGGGTGCGCCATGCATTCACGATGCCAGCCGGAGTGCACCCTGCCGTGCTGCCTTCGGTGAGTCGATCGCACAGCGACATAAACCTTGCATTTCTCATAACGGGTCTGGCATCTGTCATGAAAGGCGAGTGGTGTGGTTTTGCGAGATCAAAGGCTTCATTCAGCTGCAGAGCAGGTAGGGCAACGCATCTGGATTCCAATACTGAGCTCTTGTCTTGCCAGTTTCCGTGATGACAAAGTCGGGATGCTTTTGTTACAGAAACGAGGAAAATGGAGCTCGGTCGCACTACTCGCAGGGGTTACCGAGGCAGGCGACCGGGTCTTGCCCAAGGCTACACGACAATCAGAACAGGGGTGGGAACTTGGGGTGAGTTCTTCGGAAGCGGTGGCTACTGTAGCAATGCATCCCGTCGGCATAAACGAAAATCGAAACTACAAGAGCTCCCTAGCACGTTTTCTTGGCAGCTCGAGAAGTCCAAGTGTGCAAGCTGGCACTTCGCCACAAAAATCAGCCTTGCCGGAAGGGATTCTGCATACTGGGCATGTGCTCCAGCACGATCGGCCGATCGGGGACCCAAGAAGGCGCTTCAGACCCGAGGCTGTCCGATAACATGTACCTCTGAACAGCGCAGAAAAACCCAGCAGCAGCATGCCCGAAAGTTGGTGCGCTCGCGTCGTGGTTGCCGCTACACAGCATGTGCCAAGGCACAAGATCCAATAAGCCCCAAGCACCTGCAAGAAGTTTGCAGCAATGGATTGATGCTCGATCCAGACTCCATCATGTCTCGAATCTTGAGCATGTTGCATCTCGCTGGCTGCGCTTGAAATCCGAATGCAACCAAAGAATCTGGACATATCTACATCCACCCATCCTTCCATACGTCCGCCCTACAGACCTCAGACAAACAGAGACATGAAGACAATTGTGGACATAAAGACATCCAGACACAAAGAAGTACATACACACACACACATACAATACACGCGTACAATACATAAAATACATACAAACGGCCAGCCAGCCAGCCATGCATGCATGCATACCAAATGATGACATAGCATAGCACAACATAGCAGAGCATGAACATGTGACTCTGGTGATGATATACGTATATAACCTTGTACATTGCACATACACATGTACATACGTATCTCTCTCAGCTTCAAAAATAACAGAAAACGCCAAATCGCACGTGAGGCATCGAAGCACTGTTCCCATTAAAATCCCCGGCGAGTCCTGCATGTGGTCGGCCAACGCAGGGATTTCTTGAGCCCTCTGTGGCCAGCACACCAGTGCTGCTCTCAGCACATCCTTGGCGCTGACCGATGAGCGGAAATCAAAGCTGCTTGTCGCTGGATGCTCGCAGTCTCCGCCAAGCAACAAGTGGCACCTGCTGGCCCGTGCCTCGCCAATCTGCCTGCCAAGTATGCAGTCTAAGACCAGCTTCCCGTCGGACCACGAGGGCCGCACCCAGCCTGAAACTGATCCGCATACGCTGCTGTGCAGGCTGCCATATATTCCGTAGTCGCAGCCATCTCAGATGGAAGGGCAGCAGGCGTGCACGGGTTTGGCAATACTAGTAGCAAGATCAGGCGTTACACCACACACGACCCTACGGAAGCCAAAGCATGTCAAGTTGCGTCGTCTTGCCAAACATTCCTGCCACTCTGCGGCTTGCTGCGACTGAATTGAACCATTGTCCATGCGCGGTGCATGTACTTGGCACCTGCGCAAATTGGAAAAGTGTTCGAACACGAACGAAGCTATGGCCATATCATCTTTCCACTGCCGTTTTAGCCAAGGATGACTTGCGCAGACCACGCTTGACAACTCTCGGCATCATGTCGAGAATGTGACAATCAACTGCATTGTTTCAGGGGGGGCCTTCGATAAGGAAGTGGTAGAAGGGGACACCTCATCTCAAAAGCACAAGGCTCAAGCGTCAAGTCGTTGATGACATATACAATGAACTCTCTCAAAACGGAAAACATGTGAAAACTCAGCCGACCAACAATGCTACATGGAATTAGCAGTAGCTACTAGCACTCCAACCACACACAAGCAGACCTCATTCACATTCCACCCCTGAGCTGCCAGTGGATGCGCCACATTTGTTCTCTTGCGGCTTCATTTGATTGTGTTCCACTCCTGTGGGCTTTTCGCTGGCCCACAGGTCTCCAGGATTGCTAGCACCTGGCTTCACGTCTAGTGAGTCCAGTGACCTGTAGCTCTGCCGGCCGTTAAAACCCACCTGCAAATCTAAGAAACATTGTTTCTGCATTGCAGCCAGTTACAACGAGATTCAACAGCTCGTGGCAGCAAGAGCAGGGGGAGGCACAAATAGATGAAAGGCGTTTCCGTCGCAACCATCGTGCACATTGGGCATTGCAGTTGTTGCAGTTCTTTTTCCGCACTTCCTGATGCACCGACCCCAAAGCCAGGCAAACTTACACAAACTGGTAAGCTGTAGTTCGGCAGCTTTCCCTCATGCAGCTTGCGGACTGCAAACATATGCTTCAGTGCAATCTGGTTTCCATTTCAATTTGTCAGGCTGCGTTCACACATTATTGTCTTTAACTCGGCATACCACACCACTCAGCAGCTGCCACTGTTCATCCAGGATGCTGCTGGCTGGAACACAGTCCATGTCAGAGCTATTGGCACGCACAGGCCATGCCAGACCTGAGAAACATTCATGCTGGAGCACCCCTTCTGGCCAGAATCAAAAGTTCGAAGGAAGCGAATTCTTGCAGTCGAAAGCACACAAGGAGCACTTCTGCCAGTCACCGCAGTGCCCTCTCGTAACAGCCTGACACAGCTCGACGTTCAATCGTGAGAACGTCTGGGCTATGGAGACTCCGGTGCCTCGCACACTTCGCGACTCTTGCAATACCCGTAAAGCTCGCCGCTTCGAACGGCATGTTCCTCAGATCAGACACATGCGCTCATGTGCAGCGTTCGCATCCGGGGTCCTACAGGTGCACCTGGATCGGTATAGGCCCCAGCTAACATCAGGCCACCCAAGCTGATTGAGGTCTACGCACGCACCTTTCCCAGAGCTGTGCACGGCGCCTTACACAAGCTGTTGCAGGCAGTGCTGAGTATGCGCCTTACCTAATGCCTGAATTTTGACCTGCACCGCACCCGCCTGCCCAACCTCTAACCGAGGTTGCACAGTCGAAAACTCCTGAAACCCAATTAGACATTCCCGTAATCCCGTAAGTGTCCACTACTACTTGGGCAAGCCGGCAAGCCTTCCCCAAATCGCATGCGCTCGTGGCCTTCTCGACACAGAACTACTGGTTTTGGCTGTTGAAGGGTGTCGCGATCCCGCTTCTCGTAGGCGCACATTGAGTCCTCACATTCCTCGTCGCCTCGTTGTAAACTGCAGCTTTGCACGGTTCCCTGTTTTCTGCGGTGTGCTGTCTGCCCGGTGGAAGAGGCTGGTGAAGCTTGCGGTGCAAAGTAAGGCAATCTGCTTTTGATGCCTGGGCAAGTCTCCAACAGAAGTTGTAGATTGTAGACTGCAAGTCATGTCCAGGTCCCCTACAACCAGCATTGCTCGCACAAGGCTCCTTCGAAGTCTGGTCAGGATAAAACCGGCTCAGCTTTCTGTCGATGTGCTGAAACTCCTTCAGAACAAGACCAGGCTACTGGACGGCGGAAATGGCAAATCAGCGGCACCTTTGCAAGCTGCAGTCCTCTTGCGTATGCGACAGCTCTTTGAAAAGGTCAGCGAGGTTCTCGACAAAGGCATCCAAGAACCCCGCCGTGCCTCAAACAAGTTGATATGACGAGTTTGCATCTACATGCCCACAGACATCGTATACAGCCGAGAGACTGATATCCAGGTCGCAGGCAGTGCCTGTCCTTGGATTTCAGAAGTGGGTAGACTCGGACTTGGACACATGTCCAATCACGCCCTGAAGCGAGCGTAGCAATGTGATCCAAGCATCACACATGGCTTTGACAGGCTCAGTTGCAAACGCCCCACCACCGCGTCAAAGGCACCCTGTGTCCAGTAGGTCTCCTCATCTTCCCACTGCCATGCGTCGAGAGCACCCACACGAAGGGAGAAATATCAGCCAAAAATGATGTCCCAGGCGAAGGAAGCAGACTTAACTCGATGGTACACCCTACCAACCCCACCTCGACACACATCGCCATCAACTCGGCCACAGGATAATGGAGCAGAATAGTGGAGAGGACGAACCCCAACTGCCAAGAGCAATGCGACACATCCAGCAAAGATCCAGCCCAGGCTCGATGCCATACGCCAAAGATTCTGTGATCGAGTGACGCAGCTCGGCGCATTCTCGGAATGGCTCGGGGAAACGCAGACAAAAACCACCTGAAGCCTGTACACGTCTTGCCGGCTGACAACGGCTTGCACAGAGTCGCGAAGGGGCTCTGAACCTAAACACCGCGAGCCGACGTAAATCCTCCAAGGATCGCTTCAAATCTTTTCGTCCCGTTCTCAGCTGGCGCTCCAGTGCATACACGCGCCTTGGAAGCTCGTCTTGCGCCGGTGCAGCTCTCTGGGTTGGTCTAGTCTTGGGTTAAACAACAGGTTTCGAATATGTGCTGTTGCCATGGCTGAGGAGCGAGAGTTTCTCCGCATAAATTTCATTGCGGACCATGATCTGCCCTTGCCAGAGCTGGCAACTCACCTCACAACAACCCAGTTCTGGGCAAGCAGAGAGACAGCAACACCACTGCAGCCACTGCAGCCTCTTTCCCAGGAAGTAATTCTATGACACGCTGTGCATGCGACGCAAGGAGGTCTGCCATGATGTCTCCTTCAGAACTTATTGGCGAAAGAAGGGTTGCTCGAAACCACTACCCCCAGCCAGCGAAATATGCGACTGCCGTGATCCGAAGTGCCAAGGGGCTCGCTGCTCTCATTACAGCCTGCATCTTGGGAAGCATCGACTGTAGTCCATGCCAGTATGTGGTTCCATAAAGCTTGCTCCAGAACTCGCAAATCGGCGTGCAGACATCGTCGCCTCAACATACAGTCGTTTCAGATTCACGGAAATTCATGCTCACCTCTCCCTCATCCATTGCTTGAGAACCAAGGCGCGTTCGCCACAAGATTGGTCAGTGAAATTGGTGCCAGTGTCCAGAGTATGAGCAATGGCAACCTGGCTTGAACCAGGAAGTACTTCTTTGTGTCGGCGTCTGCATTCTGGTGACTGGTGCGGCCTTTTCCGTCGAAGTAGTACTGCAGGCCGCAATGCCACCTGCGCGAAGAGCAGAAAAATCGTCGAGTGACTGCCGCCAAACCTCCGATGTTGACGCAAAGCACATGAGGCAGTGGTCGCACGAGGGCCCACCGGCTTGTCTTTCAGGGTGTACAACAGAAGCTTTCAAATTGCACAGCGCCGGCTTGCATGAGCAAGAGCTTCACCTATACCCGACCCGCCACACGTTCCTCAAAGGCCCGGCAACTGGAGACTGTGTGATCCGTGTTTCGCATAGCATCACCGGGATTTCGGCGAGCGGTGAAGCATGCGGAGCTTCGCACAGCTGGAAACAGACTCTGCTTAGGTGCAAAAGAATAGTCAACCTGAACGGCAGGCCTCCCCGGCCGAATTCCCGCAAGTAATACAGCAACTTTGCCAAGCCAAAGCTGTGCTGGTCTTGGACGTCCTTCAAACAGGCTGAAGAATGCTAGCTGTTTGTCCCCGAATCCGTTGTTCAGAGTTGGCTCACAGATTGATGCTTCTGAACTCTGCCCCCCAACTCGCGCTCTTTGCTTTGCTTTGCTCAGGGGTGTGGGCCGCAAGCAGTCCTTGCGACCCGCGCGTTTGCGCTACCCCATCCAACATTTTGTACGGATGGGCTTGGCTTTACACAACACAAGGGCTGAGCGGGTGCCCACGCGGTCGTAGAGCTGCGTTTCTGAGCGGGTGTCCTCGGGAGGTAGTGAAAGGTCCCCAGTCTCTACAAGAAGGTTCCTCTTCCGGACGAGTGTCAGCGGGATCACCTCGAGTTCCTCTGTGATGTGGCATCTTTGCCCGACCCCTACTACTGGGCCACCTTGGGTTCCTCACCAGGGGTCCCGGTGACAGCCGGTCCCACAAGTGTGAGCCGATGTCGCGGCGAGTGGCCTCAAGCCCCCCACCAGGTCCCCCGGGCGACAGCCGGGTTCCCACAAGCGTGAGAGACATGAGCCAAAATGGCCACTCTCGCTCTCTCTCTCTCTCTCTCTCTCGGACTCGGTCCCCTGTCAGCCACGACCAAGACACAGCGACTTCGTTATGTGCGTGTATCCACAAAAGGATTAAATGCGAGAACCGAGACCACCGAAACTACAATACAAGGACTTCACATGCATCTGCTAGATGTTGCATGTGTGTGTGTGTGCATCTCCCTAGCACATGGGAGCAGCGGGTCACTCTTTGATTTCGTATTTTCAACCATCAACAAAACCAAAAAGAGTCAGCAACATGTTTGCAGGGGGCATGGCGCGTGTGCTCGTGACCATGCCAACGAAGCAATGGAGCACGGGCGGAAGGGAATGTAGACGTACATGCCTGTACCTGCAAAAAAACTGGGGCCTCTGAGCCAGCAAGATAAAAGGGCCCCTGTGCCAAGATCAGAGTTTTTTGTCAGGCCAACGTTGTCAGTTGATGGAACAGTTAGCATTGCAACATGCCGTGTGTGTGTCTCTGTGTGTGTGTGTGTGTGTGTTTGTGTTTGTGCTTGTGCTTGTGCTTGTGCTTGTGCTTGTGCTTGTGCTTGTGCTTGTGCTTGTGCCTGTGCCTGTGCCTGTGCCTGTGCCTGTGCCTGTGCCTGTGTCTGTGTCTGTGTCTGTGTCTGTGTCTGTGTCTGTGTCTGTCGGTGTCGGTGTCGGTGTCCGTGTCGGTGTCGGTGTCGGTGTCTGTGTCTGTGTCTGTGTCTGTGTCTGTGTCTGTGTCTGTGTCTGTGTCTGTGTTTGTGTTTGTGTGTTTGTGTGTTTTTGTGTTGGTGTGTTGGTGTGTTTGTGTGTTTGTGTGTTTGTGTGTTTGTGTGTTTGTGTGTTTGTGTGTTTGTGTGTTTGTGTGTTTGTGTGTTTGTGTGTTTGTGTGTTTGTGTTTGTGTGTTTGTGTCTGTGTGTGTGTGTGTGTGTCTGTGTGTGTGTCTGTGTCTGTGTCTGTGTGTGTGTGTGTGTGTGTGTGTGTGTGTGTGTGTGTGTGTGTGTGTGTGTGTGTGTGTGTGTGTGTGTGTGTGTGTGTGTGTGTGTGTGGGTGTGTGTGTGTGTGTGTGTGTGTGTGGTTGTGTGTGTGTGTGTGTGTGTGTGTGTGTGTGTGTGTGTGTGTGTGTGTGTGTGTGTGTGTGTGTGTGTGTGTGTGTGTGTGTGTGTGTGAACCTCCCTAGTACATGGGAGCAGAGGGTCACTCCTACACTGCTTGCAATTTTGCTTTGCAACACAATCAGACATTTGACACTCAACGATTCAAATGTTGCAGGGGGATCAGGCTTCCAGTGACTGACCTGATCCAACGAAGCTAGGTCACTGGAAGGGAAGTGATTGAGGACGCTCAGTCATGTACCTGCGCAATTTTCGGCAGCCCCCTGTGGTGCCAAGATTAGTGTGAGGACAGGCCCCCTGTGGTGTCCAGATTATACAAACAAGTTGTACGGTTGCCACAATCTGACAAACTTTTGCAACATGAACAACATGCCTCTCTTTTTCCTCTTGCACTCGTACTCTTGGCCGAATCCATCAGTGTGATCAGCGTGGGTCGATGAGACTCCAGAGCAACGGCTTTCCGTCATGGCGCCGTGGTGACCCTCCGGGGAGACCGGTGATGAACCGGGTGTTCAGCCTTCGTTCAGATCGTTCAGAATCTCCCGATGCTACTTTATCTCTCTCTCTCTGATGCCTGCATGTGAGTCTGACATGAGTGCAGTTGCGGTAACCGACGTCTAGCGCAGTAACCGTCCGCTAATGCACAGGTTCTCTCTATTCTGCCCCGGGGTTTTTTCACTTCTCTATTCCTCAGGGACTGCAAGGGCATGCGCATCTGTCATGAGTGCAGACGTGGTAAAGATGTCTACAGCAAGTGAAGCAGCGCTCTCTCCGGAGAGTACTCGGCCCTCCACCTTCCTTCTCTCCGTCTACGACCTCTCAAATCAGTCCAGCAGGGACAATCAGGACAGCCTGCACTTTGCTTGTGCAACTGTGTGCGTTTCACCCGCTTCGTTGCAGCTATGTGGTCGGAACATTTTGCTGCGCAGCCACCAGCAACACCATATGCACCAACAGCCCGACCGGTGCTTAATCAATTTCACCAGAACACCTGGGTGCCGCAGTCTCAAAGCTACCCAGTCACGATGCCAACCGGCATTGCTACCACTCAGCAGCCCACACTGCCAACACAACCCACTACGATTCCTCTTGAGCAAACACACGGCTTCCCCATGATGCCGTGCGGACACACCGCTCCTATCCCACAGCATCCGACAATCTATGCACATCTCAGCACACCACAACCCCAGATGCCACAACAACCACCACCTCAGCAACTCATGCCACAACAACCCACACCGCTCATGAATCCTGCACTTGTGCCTACCCATCCAACAACTTTTCCCATGAGCCTTTCCGCTTCAACACAGCATCAGGCCCAACCTACTACATTCAACTTTCCTTTTGCACCACCTGCCCCACAACCACAACTTGCACCCTGCCATCTCCCTCCCACACAGCCCGTTCAACAACCCCACATACCGCCGCCAACAACAATTCAACAAGCTCCACAACCCCATCCCACCAGTGTTCCCACTACCGATGCGGCATACACTGCCCCGCAGACACCGGCAATGACGTCCCAACAGCAACAACCAACAAACACAGCCAATACCCCTACTATCAACACAGTACCACCCGCACAACCACCACCACCCCCAGCTACAGGATCGGCAGACACTGACCCGCTCGCAGCCCGTACTTCCCCCCATCATCCTCCGCTGCCACGCAGACGACGGCATTCTCCCACACGCAGCAGGACTCGCACCGCGAGCACTAGACGCCGTCGACACACGCGCAGCCGAGCACGGCCGGCAAGCAGCGGCAGACAGCACCGCCGACGCAGACACCATCGATCCCGCGACACTCGCAGAAGTCGTTCTCGCAGGGACACCAGGCGTGCTTCATCGACGCCACCTCGGACCTCGGTGGTGCTCCGCAGCTATTCTACAGTGCGTGATGATGATGCCAACAAGTGGCATTACAGAGCAACACAGCCACGCCAAAGGCCACCTACCCCACCCAAGGTCCCACAAAAAACATTGGCTTCACAGGTTCAGCGCATCGCCCTCCGCATCCAGGGCAGCCAAGCCGCACAACAGCAGCCCCTAACAAGCCAGGGCACATCTTCGCGCCAACAGCTTCGGCACAATCCCCCCAGCTCTGTTCGGACACCTGCTCCGACCTACGATGCATCCACAACAGCTGCCCCATCGGGTCAGCCAACCCTCGAACAACTGGGCAAACTGAGCAGACCACCACAGATTGATGTGGCGCCTTTCTCTGAGCTTTATGATCATGAAAAGCCGACCCCCCACGCTGTCGACTTGGAGGAAGCGCACAAACTCGCCAAAACTTTGGGCGAGATAGCTGCTGACAGCGATTTTAGGCAGGAGACTTTAACCGATTTCGCGCATGCCGTATTACAGTCGGGCACGCGCTCAGCGTGCAACGAATTGGGAGCAACGCTGACGCCAATATCGGACGGCGTGCATACTATGTTATTCATCCCGTGGGCTGGTGAGACTCGCAGAGCATTCGGCACTCGTGCCACTGACCCACCAGGGGAAACATACATCTACACCGCTGGACACGGCACGAGCATTGCAAGTGCCGCACGCATAATGCGTGAGGACTTGGTCCGCCCAAGTTCTATCAGCCATTGCTTCGACGACAAGTCCTATCCACCCATTCCCTCTTGCGTCATATACGGGAGTGCAACCCCTGGAGATGTGTCGGAGAGCACGGTACATATAATTACCGATCAATGTACGCGGCGGCCCAAGGGCCAACAGGGCGTGATCGTCATCGGGACAATACGGACTAAGTATCAGCATTACAAGATGACGTATCGGGACATGTACAGAGAAGCCTACATCGTGGGGCGAAAGGGTGTTGTACGGACCCCGGAGAAGTGGGGATTCCATTCCGGGCACTTCAGCATTGTTGGATTCGGCCTCATTCAGTGATGTTGATTTCTTCTTATGTTTCTTCCTGCAACTCTTTAGTACTTTTCTTCCAGGCCTGAATCCCTGTACACATAGTCGTCTGCAATAAGGCATTTGCTCCGACCTCGCTTTTGAGCCAAAGAAGACTCGATGCAACTGCATGCTGGGTTGCCTTGCACAAGTTGATGTTGACGCTCAACCCAACCAGGTTGATCATGCATGTTTCATGTGCAGCTTTTGCAGCCACAGGCAACTGTAGTGCCCCACTGTGCAATCATGTACAAGCCGACACAGCCTCAGTGGCATACAACAATGCCAACAGGCATCATCGGCACAGCAATCAGCACCGTGCAGAGACAAGCAACCTCGACCAGCAATACTCCATTGCACCCGATCTCCCCACCACCAGGGATACACAATATCCCACCACACACCCCCTCACCAATCCCGACTACTTGGGGTCCGGCTCACATCTCCAGCCACAACAACACGTTCCCACCTTTCCCTCCACCCCCTCCCCCACCCCAACAGTTTCCCGGACCAGTTCCACCCACCACATTACCAATCCCCACTCCTGCTACTCCCCAACACACATTTGTGAGTCCATCTCCGATGACGACTCGAAACCCCAGCTTTTCATCACACACATTACCTCAAGCCACCGTCGCAACCCAACAACAGCAACTCCCCAACCCCACGCCTGCAAATCCCCAGATACCAAACGACTTTGTTCAAACACCGGAGCATTGGGACAACAGGCAGCTTTTTGGCCTCAACCTCCCCAAACACATTCAATCTACACCACATTCAGTGCATAACCGCACAGCAGGCATGCCAATCGCAACAGCACCATTGGTCGCTTTTTGCGACACAATTGGTCTTCGTACTGGCTACGGTACGCTGCGCATGGCTTCGACATTCATCTCACATGCAGCAAACACGTCAGCGAAGCCGTTTTCACCACTGAACTTATGGGTCAACTCCGAGC